AAACACACTAACAGCCTTTGACAGACACATGATTTTCGATAACATACAGATTTTCCCCCATGCTTACGGAGCAAGGCTGAAAAGAATTGTACAAATAGTCTTTATGGACGGAAAGATATGTGTGGTGGGAGCATCGCAATGCCGCCAGCAAGCGACGCAAATACAGCAGGAAAAAAAAAACAATTGTTCGTCAAGAGTACATTGACTTGTAAAAAGCCCCGTTTTCCAGTCGCAACGTTACATGTGTCGTTGGACCTTTCTCCTCGTTTATCATATATCCAGTCATAGCACCCGTGTGTAAACGTGTCAAGATCGTTAAGTGACCTTGTAACGCCAATAGTGGTCTTGTTTTGTCGTGTTACCATCCCCGCCTCCTAACCCGAGACAACAAGCTCTGTGACATGGCAAATCCACGACGTCCACCTGGATATCGCCCGAGTCGGATGAGATCGCCAGCTGAAATGGGCGAAATGGCTTTCGTCGGACCGGTGCGAGGAATTTACTCCTCAAACAAGGCCTCAGCGGTGCGAGGGAGAGAGATACTCAAACATCCTGTGATTAAGTAGTATTCGTCTAGCCAAGCAATTCCACATCAAGGCCAATGGCACGCATGAAGAGGTTCACATTGCCGAGACGCTGACTGGCCATGTCGGCGGGTAGAGTCTTGCTGTATGTGACCGTTTCCATCACGCGGTCCCTGAAAGCAAAGGTCAGCATCCCAGTGGTACAGAAGTAATGTCGGACCAAAGCAAACACGAGGAATAGGAAAGAAAAAGAAGACTCACTTCACGGCGATGACCAAGCGCTGCTGCTGTTCTGGGCTGGCCCCAATACCAACCGCCGCCAGGAATTGCCATACATACATGTCGTCACCAGCGTTGATCGACGCGGGGAAAATGTCGCCAAAGATCGGCTCCAGAGTGTCGAACAACACATTGAACTTTTCAACCCATTGTTGCCAATCCCGTTCCGCCGCCTGTCCTGCTTCCTTGACAATTTCGGCACGGCTGAGCAACATGGTCAGAACTCCCAGACCAACGCGTGTCTTGGCCACCAGTTGCACATGGGTCTGTGCAATCACGAGCCCCAGAAGCCCGATGATGATGTTGAATGGCGCCTCGTTCACATAACCCAACAGACTGGGCATCACAGCCTGCGAGAACAAATCAATGGCCTCCCGAACGGCAAGCGACGGCTGGGTCTCGCCGGGAACAGGCTGTGCGTTTCGGACAACGTCCAAGGTGTCCAGGTGGACAACAATCATGGTGAGAATCGTGACCCGTTGTTCCTGATCGATGTGCCGAAAGATACGGGGAATGGCTTTCTTGCCCTTGGGATAAGAAAGGAATGCGATAAACGGATGTGGGGTACTGGTATTGGGAACAATGGGCTCCATGACCTTGAGATCATGCCACAATTTCTGGTTCAATGATCGAATCTTCTGCCGCCACTCCATGTGTTTCTGGATAGCCTCCGCATCATTCTCATCCGGCGGAGGAGGCATCGTACGTTCCATGTCTTCCATCTCCATCAAAGTGCTGTACACACTCTCGATGTTCATCAGAATAGACTTTCGGTCGCTGAGGCTCAGATCAGTTTGCTGCTTTTTGGCCACCTTGGTTCCCTCTGAAGTGTCAGGACGTTTGATGTTGAGTGTCGGCCTCGGCGCCTTTGCATTGCTGAAAGAAATTTTGCCCAAGCTGCCTTCAATGATTAGCTGCTTGTTCTTGGGTTTCGCTTTCGCTGCTTCGACCGCGCGCTGCACCTGTTGCTGCATCCGCTGCATGTGGTTATCAGCACTCTGGAGGTTCTTCCGTCCATGGCCTCCGATTCGGTTACCCGTCTGAAGGAGGTAGGTTTGCGCAAAATGGCCCAGGGGCTGGTGAGGATGTTGCCGGGGTGCGCCCCGAATCTGGCTGTAGACCTGATAGTAGAAGTCTTCCGCCAAGACAGCCTCGGAGTCGGCATCCGCAACATTGCCTGCGGCTGCTACCAGCTGCTGTAACTGAATCCGTGTGATGAAGTTCTTATCTTGAGGCGTCATTAGGCCATTGCCCTTTGAGAGGAGAAATATCTTGTGGTTGCGCTTGGCCCGCTTCGCATCCTCCATGAGATAAGCCATCCGCTGTTCTTCAGTCAGCTGCATCAGTTGCTGAGGGTTCGTAATTAGCGGAAGACCGGCAGCCGCACCTCGCGAAGTCCGCCGTGGTGGGGGCTGCTGCTGGGGTTGTGGTTGTGGCTGGGGCTGGGGTTGCTGCGCTAGTGGAGGCATTGCATGGCGTTGCGGAGGGGTCATGTGTTGCGGTGGAATATTGGCGTTCTGTAGGAGATGCAACGGCAGATTGGGTGCATTGGGTGGAAGAGGATATGGCTCGGGGACCATGGCTGCTGGATGGTGCAGCAGCTGCGCCGGTGGCATCCCTTTCGCGAACTGGGCCTGGAGAAACTCCGGTGGCAACTGTGCGAAGGCTTCAGGGAGCCCGGGGAGCTGTTGGGCCCGCTGAAGGTGCGCAAGATCAGGCATCCCCATCGGCAGGGAAACCGGAAGCTGGCCTGGCAAGATACCGTGCCCGCGCAGCTGGGCCTCCACTTCCTCCAAGCTCAACATCTTCTTGGCCTGTGACATGGGCTCCGGCATAGCGTCTGGTTTCTTCTGTAGACCCCAAACGCTCGACTTGGCCTGCAGGTCGGGGATATATCCTGGATCCTGGTATTTTTCGTAGCCGGTACGCTTCGGTTTCTCGACTGCGATACTCGCCGCCGGGGGTTGGGCAGCTGTCTCATTGGCGATGCCTGCAGGAGCAGCCTGGGGGTGCTGCAGATTATAGCGAACCTGCTCCTCCCCAATAGCATCTGCAACTCGAGCGGTCTTTCCGAAGAAGTCAAAATCCTTGCCCACCGCGGTGGGACCGCCTTCACCAAAGGTATCGTCGTTGAAGGCATCCTGGTCATCGTCTAGCTGATCTCCTAGACCATCGTAGGTGTCCTCAAAATCGATACTGCAAATATGCCAATTTCGTCGCAGGTTAGTATTGTACGATCAATTATAACTTCTTTTTGCAGCTGCAGAGAGCTACAGGATGAAGAAAGCGACTCACGCATCGTCGTCGTCGTTGCCCGGGTGTCCTGCTCCAGCACGAGCGATTTCGGCAAACGGATCAGGAGCCTCGAAAAACCCCCTTTTGTCTCCCGGGGGAAGTCTATCCCTCGGCAGGGTAGTATCAAAGCCGAAGAATGACATCTTCGGCTCAAGGTGGACGGGGGAAGAAGGGTTGAAGGGATGGCGAGGTCTACCACAGCATTATTGTAGTGGGATGAAGTTCGTTCAGCACCACTCTGATATCACCCGCTAAGGCGATCGGGGTTAGCGCCGACCGTGTGGAAACCTCAGGCAGGAACGTGATATTCAGCAGCCACAGGACACGTTTCAATCTCCCGCGGAGAGTCTCAAGGTGTGATATTAAATTTGAAGGATGGATTTTTTACTGATGAGGAGAATGAACACTAATCTATCAGGCTTTGACGGATCCGAGTCTCGAGATTGTTACGGATAGTCTAGAGAGTTACACCGTGTCTTCAGGACAGCACTTGATAACTGTATCCAAACCAGCATGGACCGTCGTCCTTGCTATGGAGTATCCCCTGTACGGAGTAGAGGGAAGATAAGACGATATAAAATGCTCATAGAGATGATCTTCAAAGATGCACCATCGGTCGTAGTGCTGACATGATTCGTGTGCTTCCAAATCCTTCCCGTCTTGATTGTTGATTTCTTCCCCCAGACAAACCCGTCGGGCCTAAGTGCCGGGATTGCCAACAAAAGTGGCTGAAAACGTTTGCATAGCTAGCTGGTCTGGCGAACGTGCATGCTTTCTCCTGTATGTAGATAGAGAGTCTCTGCCTCTCTGGCGTCTCTGTATGCGAGACCGTTTTCCAGAGAGACATGTATCGCGCAGATGTATAATCTCGGTTCACCCCGAGAATTCCTGTCCTAAAACCCTCGCCAAGTTTGGCCTGTCAAAGACCGGAAAACCTGGATGTCATTGTCTCACATCCCCCTTCTGGTTTCTCGTCCTTATATTTATTGGTGTCAGACTCTCAATCTGCCATAGATTGAGGACGCCAACAAAAAAAAAAAAAAGGTTGGCCCAGCATCTGTTTCTTCAGGGACCATTGTGATTAGTGATTACGTACCTCCGTGGCGGATTCCCCATATATTCTTTCCCATCACCTGTGCCAAACTGCCAATAAGTCGGTCTATTTTGAAATTAAACTGACCGTTTCAGTCTCTTATCATCGGCCTGGAGTGATCTCCGCAACAGGCATCCGCCATTCCTCTCACTGACAATCAACACCTCTTTCGTCTGGAACTCTCCTGCTGGATAGCAGTGGTGAGGGCTTCCCATCATGTCTTCCGGACCTAAGTACATGCGATATCTACTATTCGCGGCTGTAGTGAGTTGACTGTCCCCGCTATCGTCCACCGCGATCACAGCGCCACTGACACAGTATACCTTTGTTGTTTGCAGGGCTTAGCGATAGTTTTTTTCGTCTCGCGGAGCGCAATTCCTATTCCTGAGAATATCAGATCGAAGTTGAATCCAACCAACTACAAGGATACCGTAACCTCTCAACCACCGTCACATAATGATGCCGCACCCCCGAACCCGCCAGTCAAGGATATTCCGGCGGCCTCGAGTGCTCCTACGGCCGGTCGTGTGAACGCGACGTTTGTTACTCTGGCGCGTAACTCTGACGTCTGGGATATCGCAAAATCGATTCGCACGGTTGAGGATCGCTTCAACCGCAACTACCATTACGATTGGGTCTTTCTCAATGATAAGCCATTCGACAAGACGTTCAAGAAGGTCACTACGTCACTAGCCTCAGGCAATACACACTACGGCGTTATCCCGACGGAACACTGGTCGTACCCGGAATGGATCGATCAGGAGAAGGCCAAGAAGGTGCGCGAGGAGATGGGACAGAAGAAGATCATCTACGGTGACTCGGAGAGCTATCGCCACATGTGCCGCTATGAATCCGGTTTCTTCTTCCGCCATCCACTGATGCTGAATTATGAGTACTACTGGCGTGTCGAGCCGAGCATTGAGCTTTTCTGTGATATCAGCTTCGATCCATTCCGCTTCATGAAGGAAAAGAACAAGAAGTATAGCTTTGTCCTGAGTCTGTACGAGTACTTCGACACTATTCCTACCTTGTGGGACAGCGCGAAGAAGTTCATGGGCAATCACCCCGAGCATATTGCGGAGGGAAACGCCATGGACTTTTTGAGCGACGATGGCGGCAAAACTTACAACAAGTGTCACTTTGTAAGCATGCCTGCTTTGCTTTTTATCGCTGCGGTTACTGACAGGCTATCAAATAGTGGTCCAATTTCGAGGTTGGAAGCTTGGAGTGGCTCCGGTCGAAGCAGTACATCGACTACTTTGAGTCCCTTGACCGCGACGGCGGTTTCTTCTATGAGCGCTGGGGAGACGCTCCAGTTCACTCCATTGCGGCCGGTGTCATGCTCAAGAAGGAGGAAATTCACTTCTTCGATGAGATTGCCTACTATCACATCCCCTTCACGCACTGCCCGACTACTGAGCAGAAAAGGCTGGACCTGAAATGCCACTGCAACCCGGAGGAGAACTTCGATTGGAAGGGATACTCATGTAAGTTGATTTTCAATCTCTATCTTGTCATGAGGCGCATATTAATCGGGCCCTGCAGGTACATCCCGGTGGTTCCAGGTTAATGGCATGGAGAAGCCAGAGGGCGCCGAAAACCAGAGTTGACTAGCCGTACTGCGGCGTGTTTGTGTCGTTTTTGCTATTGTAACCTGCGCTGTTGCCTTGATTTTCCGCCTGCGATACCATATCGTCGGTGGCGCGCGTCGTTTATTTGATATCATCCTTGATCTGATACCATCATCCCAGCGATAAGGCTACTTTGGAACCTCCAATGGATTTCTTCACAAAGCTGCCAAGCCCAGCCTTACTGGCTACCTGATTTCCTCTGCTTCAGATATCGTTTCGGCTTCGACAACCTCTCACCGCCATCAGCTTTCTCATCTACACAGGTTCGTTGTTGGGTTAGTATACCGTCTCTGGATACCGGAGACTGTATGATTGATATTCGGGAAATGGATTCTGGATTTATTCTCGGGAGAAAGAAAAAGAAGATTGACCGATTTAGCTAAAATGCTTCATAAATGTACATAGTTGTTTTAACGACGAAACCAATGATAAAAAACCGTAATAAACCGAACCTTAGAGTAGAATCGCAACTCTCCATTAGATTTTACAGTGCCTGAGGCGGTTGACGATAGCTCTACCACCACAGACCATCACCTTCGAACCGACCCCAAGGGCCTCTAGTCCTTCTTAGGCTTCTTAGTACCGTACTTCGATCTGCTCGTCAACCGACTGGCAACACCGCCCTGTAAAGAAAAAGAGAAAAAAAAAAGCATTAGCACCACAAGGCATTCCAAATTTGGAGAACCACGAGAATCTCTCCGTAGGAACCTACCAGATCCATCGCACCGCGCACCAAATGGTACTTGACACCAGGGCAATCGGGCGCACGACCACCACGGACCAACACCACACTGTGCTGCTGGACGTTATGACCTATATATCCCGCCGCCATTAGTTCAAATGTTCAATTCCAGCTTTGAGTAGACACTGGTCTCCGTGAAAAGGGTGGGAATCCCACCTTCACCGGGAATATACGCCGTCACCACCTTCCCACTGCTCAGACGCACTCTCGCCGTCTTCCGCTCGCCGGAATTGGGTTTCTTCGGCTTCGTGATACCCGTCTTGAGACACACGCCCTTCATCTGGGCTCTGCCGATCAGCGCGGGGGACCGCGAGCGGCGCGCGCGCTGCGACTCGCGGCAGCCGCGCCGCACCTGGTTGTAGGTCGCCTGGCGGAAAGGGGAGGTGGAGAAGTGGCGGGTGAGAGGGCCGGCGGCGGCGGCTGCTGTGATGGCGGTGGGTGTGCGGAGGACGGGCTGGAAGCGGCGGGCGGCGGGCTTGGGGAGGGTCGGGATGGAGGCGAGAGAGGGCCGCTGGATGAGGGTCCGGAGGGTGCGGAGGGCGAGCGACGAGAAGAAGGGAGGCATGGTGTCTGTTTTGAAGGGGGGGGGGGATTGTGATTGTGGGATTGTCCAGTTGTTTAATGGCTTCCGCGATGGGTCGGAGTGAGGGTATCGGGGATAATTTCTCTGGGATTGTGTCACGTGAGTAGTTGATAGATGGGAGGAAGAATCTTTGCGGAGGTGGTCTGTCTGCGGGACCGGAGGAGCTGGTGACAACGCGCGCTTGCTGTTGGAGCCTTGGCACCTGAGGCCCCATGGGCTATCGTAATGCAGAGCTACCTGCCGACCGTATCTCCAACTGACTGACTTTGGCTTCATCATCCTCCTCCTTCAACCTCACATCTCCCTTCTTCATAAACTGAGAAGCTCCATCTACCTAGCAGACTCCCGATTTACATCCTCACTCCTCTCAATCCCAGACTCAAAACACTCACCACCGCCAAAATGGTATGTCATGTCCTTCCCAACGTTCACCACCATCGTCACCACCATCACCATCATCATAACCCATCACCCCAACTACCCCCGAGCATCACGACCTCCAAACTAACAAACCCCCTCCAGTCCCTCCGCATAGCACCCCCCGCCAACTACGCTACCCAAACCTCCAACACAACCACCCGATCAACCCTCCCCGGCTCAACCCCAGCGCCCACGAAAGGCGCCCCCTCCGCCCCCGGCCTCCCCGACACCCTCCGCAACAAAATCACCCTCCCAGCGCCCGTGGGCCCCCCCTCGGCAAACGTCAACTCCACCCCGACCTCGACGCACCCACTCGAGGCCCGCCTGCTCGCCTGGCGCCAGACCCAGGACGCCATGAAGATGGAGACGCTGCGCCGCGCATACGGGATCGCCGAGCCCGTGCGCCGCGGCATGGAGCTGAAGATCGTGCGCGATGGGACGTTCCGCCCTGCGGTGCTGGGTGGGACGCGCGGTGGGAATGTGCATGAGGATATCCTTGTTCTCGGGGGCCGGGATACGGAGGTTGGGTGGGAGGATATCTTCCAAGGTTGGTTTACTTTCTTTGCTGTTGTTCTGGGGTTCTTGATGGTGGAAGACGTTGATGCTAACGAGCGATGATGCAGGTGATGAGTTCAGAGAGCCGCCTTCGCTTCACGACGAGATGGAGAAGAGACTTCGGGTGGAGTTCTGAGTCGGTTCTTTCTCTGCGGGGGGTTTTATGCCTGTGCTTATTGGCCTTATGGGTTGTTATGCTTCGTTGGTATGGTGTCAATAAAGATCTTTGATACAATATGAATTCCTTTGTTAGGTCCTGTCCGGTCTGGTGGACGTGGCTGGCATTTACCATGATCCCCAATCGTCTCATATTATCCTCTTACGCCAATCTAGTGGCATGCTACTGGAGGAGTACACGGTTTTCTAAAGACAGCTTTCATGGGTTCAATTATGTTCAACTAGGAGCTTTGTACATCTTCTTCCAGCCCCATCTCGATCTTGAGGGTGTGGAGTAATAAGCAAGAGACTATGTACTTCGAGCAAAAAGCAAAATGTGCACCGCGCTGGTAAGCAAATAGAAGGAAGCAGGCAATCTAGATTCTGTCAGATGGAATAGCGTGCCAGAAAGGTGGCCAGCAGTGCCCGAAACGATCACATATGTCAGCCCTGAGTAAGCGCCTAATCAAGCAAGTCCTCAGGTGATCTGAGCAGATTCTAAGAAGCCGCCATGTGGCAGCTCAAAAACATGGCTGTTTGTGAGTTAAAAGTACCACAGCATTTGCTGTCAGCACAAGGGAACACAGCACGGAGGGAATGAAGACGGGGTATATAGGAACGTGGTGAAGGGTAGAACGCAGGAGTAGCATCAAGCAACTTCCGAACATAACAACGCAAAGCAAATGATGGGTAAGCAGCACAGAAAATACACCGGAGAAAGCCTGAAACAGCCATAGAATCCTGAGGTTGAATAACAAACGCAGTATCCATAACGCCAGCCAACGCGCGTGAGCAGTTTGAATAAAGTAGGCAAAAAGAAAAGGCCAAATCAGGTACCCTTTATCAGGACAGGCAAATGGATAGATCGAACGGTCGATACAATAGTCGGGGAGTTCTTCGGGCACCATCCTGGTGACAATTATCTCTCTCTTATGACGTACCGAACGGTGGAGGAAGATCATTGAATGATACAACGGCAACCAGGGCTACGCTCACTGGCCTCACGTTCCCCCTGGTAAGTGCCCTTTGCGCCCTTGGCATCTTCTTCATCGACAATCTCCTGGGGTTTGACCGTCATGTGTACCACGTTAGGAGCATCCTTGTTGAATTTGCAATCTGAGCCATGAGGATTAGTTTATGACGCTAGGATCTGGAAGGCGAACTCGATACGTACCTGACAACGGAGACTTGTCATCCAACAACTTGCCAAACGAAATCAACCGGATCGAGCTCGGCGAAGTTGGTCGAGTTTCCCAATCTGTCCAGGAGTCATTAGCCATCGGATCGGACTCTATGTTTCACGCCGCCTAAAGAACACCGATGCCGGTCATACCTTGCCGCCATTCCTTCCAAATCAACTCTTTCAGAGTATATACACTCATGGCAAATGGATCATGGTTCTCGACATTGACGCCCCGTTTTTGCAGATAATTTCCATCAATTTCAAACGGATGACGAGAACCAGTTGTCAGGAGCAGCGTGATGGTCAGCGACGGGCCGGTGTGCTCAACTTCTTTTGCAAGGGCGTCGGAGAGGTCGGACGAGGGCTCAGGGGCGGACGCTTCAGTCGACTCTAGCCCAACCTTGGCCGACGTTTCATGGTCTGTTGGAGCAGCATCCGTAGGGCTCTGTTCAACCGTGGGAGCCGGTGCAGTGTTGTCTTTGTTGCCAGAGGTTGGAATGTTGGCTGCAGTGTCAATCGGCTCGGTGTGCTCGGGATGGGGAGAGGCTAATGTAGGTTCGACAGGTTCTGACGATGGCATTGTAGTGCTCTGAGATGGTTGAAAAGTCTCTTGGGGGATATCAAAGGGCGCAAATGAAGATCCATCCTTGTCGCTAGATGGTAGCGTCAGGTCCAAGTGTGGAGGACCGTTGGAAGACATCCTGAATGTGTTCTTCTGGGTCGCCTTGGCAATTGGTTTCGGGAAAAGGAGCGCAAAATAGATTGATGGGGAGTAAGGACAAGAGAGGCTTATGACGGTGAATTCAGAGTAGAGAGGGAGAAGCGAACGAACAGGGCGAATAGAGGAACAAGTCTGGGAGATTACAGGACAAGGTTATTTGAGGGGGGGGACGGCTGGGGGGGAGGGGAGTTCCTTTTATGGAGGCCGCTGGAAGGTGAGGCAAATGAATGGATAAATCCACAACAGGCCGCAGAGATGAGCAAGACAAAGGATAAGAAGAGTAAATCGATGATTATCTATTAGATAGAGATTGGAGTTGATGATGGAGAAAGAGGGCACTTGGCCGTGTAAAGGAGGAGAGGAAGGAGGAGAGAGAATATTAGTAGAGAGAGAGAGAGAGAGAGAGAGAGCGAGATCCGGAGAAGCAAGTCAGGTCAAGGTAAGACAGAGGAGGGCACAGAGTCAGTTCGACATCAGAAAACCCGGATCAAATAAGAGATAAACGGAGAGTGATGGTTAGATGGTTCTTCGATGGTGGTAGTAGTAATAACGGAAATGAAATAGCAAATTCTTGCTTCTGGTCCAGTCGAAATGATTCAGTTCTTGACCATGTTGTAAGTAAGAGAGTACCTAAGAGAGAGAGTGCTTGGTTGATTGTTGGCCTGGTCCACGGTCGCAAAGAGGGATTTTGCCTCCTTCAAACGGCCATCGAATCAATAATCAATCAGTCAATCAATCAATCAATATTCAAACAAATATTCAATAGTCACAGTTCACTTATTATTATTATTATTATTATTATGGCACTTTGACATCTGGGAATAAATCTCATAGTTATATCCCGTAGTCTACTTTGTTCCTTTTTCTTTGCCAGAGTCAGTCAACAGCTGTCGAACTGTTGTGCAGGTCCAGTTTGAGAAAATCCCTCTATGTTCCGATTAGCTGAGAGGCTGGTCGCATGCGGAGAACCACCGCAGTCGTCTGGGCTCTGGACTTTGGACTCTGGGGACCTTCATAACAATAATAACAGGACTGGTAGCTTGTCGATCAATGATTTTAGTCTCTGGCATTTAATAGAGTACTCTGTTTATATTACAAATCATTTACTCCGTACTGCAGTTAGCAATGTGAGCAAGTTGAATATAAATCAGTGATCTTTGAACTCGGTGCACCTACTTCTATCGCTGCAAACTAAACAATCATTGTACTTTGTAATGCAAGATATATAAACCCCTAGACAGACAGTCTTTCACTACACCAAGCAAGCCATGAAGACCATCAGAGTTCGAAACTACTTTCCCAATGAAGTCCAGAGGAATAATTGATCGATGATACGAGAGAAAAGGTCCATTAATTTCTACCCTTTCTACCCTTTTGGACACCTTTCTTTTCCTCTTCGTCCACATCAATCTATTCCCATTCATTGGAAGGTGGGAATCCAGTGGCGGCTTGTACACGCACACCTTGGTCAGTGTGGCCCTCGTTTTCCAAACCCGAGTCTGTGATTCTTTGATAACTGCCGGCTTCCCTAGAAGGGGCAGTGGACATCCAACTAGGTCTAGGGCGATTAAAGTGAACAAATCCAATCTGCGCCCATGGTCAGCGTCCGAGGGGGAAACAGGACGCGAGCAGAACGCACCTTCATAACCCAGATCAAAGCAGCTGCAGCAAAAACCATCCATGAAGCACTTTGATATTGCCCTTGCCAAGGCGAATAGCAGCTACGCTGATAGCCAAGTTGTGTTTCACATGCATTGTCGCCATGATTCCGGTCCTTGAATGGCCAGGCCCGGTCGTGAGTACTGCGGAACCCACAGCATTGGAAACGATCCTGGATGGCCCGGATTGCCTGCGCATCCTTGTGCTGGAAATACGACTGCCACTGTTTCTCGAGACGGCAGGAAAGGATATCGCCCGGGAACAGGTAGGTTAATGCTATAGTAGCAATCACAGTTGCCACGACGGAATGGATTTGGTCCATGACCATCAGGATCGCATTTCGATACGAATTGGGACTAGACACCGTAAGCCTGTCTGGGTTGTTGTGCTTAAATATACCCAGGCCCGCCAGGAAGAATATGGTCAGAGGAGAGAGTAGTGTGACCACTGCTGGAAGCCATCCGGGGAGAGGTAGGAATAGGGACGATGTGTGTGACCAAGCGAGCCTGAGGAAGTTGCCGCTTGTCAGCCATACTTTCATTCGATTCCTTCAGAAGGCTTGACATACGCTCCAAGTATCAAAGCCAGGGCCGAACACTAGATAAGAGACAAAGTTAGCTGATGAAACAGGAAATCAAATCGTCTGGAAGGAGTCTCATTACCAGAAAGAGGCAAACAAGGATAACTGGCATAGCTTTGATTTTGATAGCCATGATATCGGCTGCTAAATAAGATTGGGATACTTGGAATGTTTGATTTCGGTAGGAGGTGGATGGAAGGTCGATGGAGGAGGGAAGCTTTATGTCATTATGTGTAAACAGCCCTGATCAGTAGGCGCTTAACAAAACAAAGAAAAAGTACCTAGCCTTTGGTGCGCTATCAACAGCTATTTAAAGGCCTTGTTAGACCGCCCATCTATGCAGTACATTGCTTTGGGAAGAAACTTGCTAAATTAAGTCCAATAGGTGGCTGTATCTTACTCTGCACGTTAGATACTTGCCTTAGGAATGCCCTCAATATGTTGGAGGTGGTCACCATTCTTACATATTGACTGCCAATCTCTTTACCCCACTCTAATTGCTGATCCATTACCACATGTTTTGCTTTAATTGGTTGAAAGTGGTGATAGGAAGAAGATGTACACCAGGGCGCTGCATGAGATCAGCCTTCTTTGCTAACTTTATTAGCACTCCTCTGTATTCCAGATCAATATCAGTTTGAAGCACCCCTCCTTTGAGTTGGTAAGTTATTTCCCTCTCATTTCACTACCTCGTGGCTGTAATGGAAGAAGTTTGTTAACCAGGATTTGCACGATGTTCATTACAAGGGATAAGCCATCAAGATGCAAGATGGAGTCTACAGTAGGTCCTTCATTTCCCCCGTTTTTAGGTGACACTTTCTAGTACTACCATTGTCTCTATGAGATTGTGAAACCTAACTTCTATCTTGCAGGCTTTTCTACGCATTCGATATCGGTTCCTATCAAGAGATGATCTGGAATTTTAACATAAGCAGGCCCCATAGGAGATATATCCTGCTGGTCATACTCATCGTCATGCTCTAGTCCATGCTCCCCATCTATAAATCAGCCACATTGTACAACACGACAATGTGATAGGCCTCTTGCCATCAAAGAGAGACTTTACTAAGTTATGAGTTACTAGTTACTACTCTGTAGTAGTAGTAGTAGTTAAATAATAAGTAGTAACCAGTGACATCCCCCACAGTCTATGCTGTGATGGTCCGAGCGTTCATGCTGACTTACCCCACAATTCGGCTAGCTAACCCAATGTAGACAGCCAGAGGGCCTTTAGTTAAGTTCTTATCAGTTCCTCCTATGGTTTAGTCTAGACAGCTCTGGCCGACTGTGAGTTTGCACCACCTCTTCCCTAAGTTCCCTTAGTCCTAAGACTCCCCCTGTCCGATCATCCTCTTGGCTAGCTGGTTTTCTCTTCACAGATACCTTCCTCCCTTTAGTTGCAGCTGAGGAGAATAATGCTGCAGATAAAGAGAGATTAGATGCCTCATTCTCTAGGATTTGCATTCACTCTTAATAGTGACATCGGCAGAGAGAGCATTGCACGTTAAGTGAGTGATTTTCCCTTACTTGACAACCCTGGATTCCTTCATGCTAATTATCCTGATTCTTGATTGGCAAATCAGATGATGCGATAGTTAATGCAATGTCACCTGCACGCACTATCCAGTAGTACCTTGTAAATCTTTCCCTTGTTTCAGAATTTCTCCTGGCTCTCTATCTACAGCTTCCGTTGCCCCCTCGGCTTTTCTTGAGTTCTTCAGTACACTGCCCCAGACTTTCCCCTCGGTTCGGCTACCACGGTACGGAGCTCGACGCTGCAGCATTCCAAGGTAAGCTCGGCCATCCTCGACCCGTATGTGGTGCAATATTTTGAACTCTGTTCCGGAACAGGGAGTAATTGGAGAACCAAACACCAACCACAGTGGTCATCAGGTCTCGAGACACATCATCCCATCATATAAAGGCGTCAAGGTCCTTGCAAAGGATCCACGTCTCTCTTTCTCGATACGCAGAACACCCATGATGCTAGTATCGCCTCCCAGAAACTAAATGGCTCTATCTACCTTGCTGACCTCGGACGCTCTGAGTGTCGTAGGCGGGAAGCTCCGCGAGCGAGACGAGGAACGGAAGCTGAGTATCGATCTGAGTCTGACTGAACCGGCAGTCTTTCTTCCCAGGGGAACGAGCAATAACCCTGTCGTCCTTCGCGGCTGCTGCGTGTTGCATGTGAAGCGACCACTCAAGATCAAATGTTTGACTGTCACTCTTGAAGGCTTTTCTTTTGTGAGATGGCCGGTTGGTACGTCTTGATTACACGGAGGTACATTGCTTATGTTGTATCAAACGTGCAAACTGACTTTGTGAACCTTGGTCAGGATTGCGCGAGGTGGGATCAGTCGTGGATCGTTCGTTGAAGTTGTTCAATTCGTCGGATCCCAACTCCAGATCCAAAGGTCGATTTACTCCATTTGATGGCGATGCCCAGGAGCCTGAGAAAGTGATAGCAAGCGCCACAGAGACCAAAATCCGGCAGAGGAAGTCTAATATGTTGCGCCGGGCTGTGAACAAGCTTCGTTCTCGACCCCCTAGTGACCCAGACGCCTCCTCGAGCTGGTTCTTACCTGGCACATACTCGTTCGACTTTGAGATGGTCTTGCAACCGAAGCTGCCGGAGTCCATTGCAATCAACTGCACTAGGGTGTGGTACAACCTCAAGGCTCGCGTGGAGCGCCATGGGATATTGCATCGTAAATTTAGAACCAAACATGAGGTTACCGCAATCCGCTGCCCGGTGGAGGACTTCATTGATGACAGCCAACCATTCAGTTTGGTGAGAAGCTATGGAGGACTGATGCACTTTGAGATCATGGTGCCAAGTCAGGGTGCGCCGCTGGATCACCGTCTGCCTCTTGAGTTCAGATACACCGAGACCGAGGGTATTCATTTTCAGAAACTCAGGATCTTTGTGGTCGAAGATACACGCTACCGAATGAAGGATGGCTCGCCGGCTTGCAAGGGACCGTATAAGCGTTTCTTGCTCCATGAGACGGTCAACCAGACCACTGACTCGGAAGAAGTTGAGGAGTATTATCCAGATTCGTTGCCTCACCCTAATCTCACACTCACTTCCTCGCCATCTTCTACCACGCCTTCATCTTCTTCCAAACACGAGGAGCGTCCCTCCACAGGTGGTGGTGCTCCAGTCGAGATTGACCTACAGCTTCCAGCCTGCATGGCCCATTGTGGAAACGAAGGCAAATACATGCATCATGATGCGGACTACAAGAATGTGCAAGTCAGCCATTTCTTGGAGGTAATGAACCCAGCTCACTTTAGCCTCACTTGTGAGCTTAATCTGACCATCGTGTGAGTAGTTCGTTATTCACCTTCTCGTCGACACAGATCCCGGACCCGGCAGGACGAAGTCATTTACTGTTCATACTCGACTGGCGCTACGATCTTGCTTTGCGCACCCAGATAACGCATCTCTGCCAGCTTACGCTCGGAATGATGGGCTGCCTGGGTATTCCTTAGCCCTTATTTGACGATCCGAGAGATGGACTGAGTCTGTGTTCCTGAATTTTTACTCAACCGGGAACCGATCATTTCATTTAGTCTCTGGCCGGCGTAACCTGTGTCTTATGATTTTGATGATACCACCTGTGATGCCCTGACAATACCCAAATCCAGTGAAACGAATTTCCTTTCTTTTTCTCTCTCCTTTTTTCCCCCTTCAACATTTCTGATGAGCTCAAAATGAGAACAAGTTGATTATGATAGTTTTTATATGAAATCTGATTTCAAATCAAATCATTAATGAAAAAAAGATTAGTGCAGAGGACGCAAGCATAAGAGCCTCTTCTCAGTGACGCATTCATTTCTGTGCATAACTTTCCCCAACACCGAGTCAACCCTCAACACTGAACACAACTACACAAGTCTCGAGCACAAGAAGTGAAGACATGCTTATTCTGATTTGAGTTTTTCCCCTTTAACCAGGATTGAAAGAGCAGTTCACATGAGTGTGGATACAGAAGGCATGGCTAGGGCAGAATTCCTCTCCATCTTACATCATTTGGCTCCATCTTTCTGCTCCATCTGCTCCGTACCTCTAGGTACCACCAGCCAGCGCATCATCATTTCTACATCATTGCACATGAGTCAGTACTTAGAATCAGAGATCACCGCAGTGTTTATTCGAGTATTGCCAATGAGATGACCCAGAATTTCTGATCATGAATGAGCAGGATTCATCCGTGGTGATTCGGCTGCTCGCGCGCTACACTACAACCCTCAACCAAAAACCCACCAAACACATGGCAATATGCAATCAACCCAGAGAGAAGAAAAGGGAAAAAAAAAAGATCGACCACGCTCGCAAGAACCAGACTATCAAGCGAACTTACTGAGCTCACCATGGATCTGATCACCCGGAAGCCAGTGCATAAACCTGTTCCATTGTTCCCATTGCCGCATGCGGTAACAGGAAATGCAACTCAATTCTCACGACGAAGCGGACGATGTCCACCCTGACCTCATACGAGATGCGAATATATTTACCTCGGGGCTTCACAGATGCTGCGGCTGTTGTTGTCTTTTTTCCATTCAAGATTGCATTGTGCCTGGCTCGACTGCTCAACCATCAATCACCATGGCACCGCCGACCTATGCTGGGCTCTCCGGGAAGAAGCTGTCATGGACTGTCTCGACCATTGCGACCATGGGGTTTTTGCTGTTTGGATATGATCGTAGGTTTTTTTTTGTGTCTCGGGAGCGCGATGTGGATGTGTGGCTGACAAGATGCGATTCTGTAGAGGGTGTGATGTCTGGTATCATTTCTGATCCAGCTTTCAATGATATCTTCACGGCCACCAAGGGGGATAATACCATGCAAGCGACTGTGACGGCTGTATATGAAGTTGGTGGGTGCCTCAATCCCCGGGACGTTCACTCGTCAGGCGGCTCCTGACTCGATCTACCATAGGCTGTCTCCTCGGTGCTATCTTTGCGTTGATATTCGGCGAGATCCTCGGCCGTCGGAAGATGATTATCTTTGGCGCAGTGGTGATGATCATCGGGGTAATCATCCAAGTTACAGCGTTCCCGGACTCGCTGCCTCTGCTGCAGTTTATCTTCGGCCGAGTCATCACTGGTATTGGCAACGGCATGAACACGTCAACTATTCCTACATATCAAGCCGAATGCTCCAAGACCCATAACAGAGGTCTCCTGATCTGCATTGAGGGAGGCATCATTGCGATCGGGACGGCCATTGCCTACTGGATCGATTTTGGTGCTCATTATGGCCCACCGGACCTGGTCTGGCGGTTTCCAATTGCCTTCCAGGTTGTGTTCGGTTTCATCATCATCGTCGGCATGTATTATCTCCCCGAATCGCCGCGGTATTTGATTGCAAACGATCGTGTCGCGGAAGGCGAGAAGGTCCTCGCTGCGCTGGCAGGGAACGAAATCGAGCATTCCCAGACACAGCTGGAAAAGAACCTAATTCTTGACTCCGTCAGAGCGTATGTTCCCTTCCCTCGCTTTCACAGTCAGCAGAGGCTCACCTGCAAACCCAGTTCCGGCTCCGAAAAGGCCAAGTTCAGAGACCTCTTCACCGGCGGTCCCTCGCAGCACTTCCGCCGAATGATGGTCGGCTCGTCCTCGCAGGTGTTCCAGCAGATTTCTGGCTGCAACGCCGTCATCTACTATCTGCCTGTCCTGCTGGAAACCTCCGTCGGCCAATCGCACGACTTCGCCCTGCTGATCGGCGGCGTCAACATGATCTGCTACGCCATCTTCGCGACCTTCTCCTGGTTCTTCATCGAGAAGATCGGCCGGCGCAAGCTTTTCCTCGGCGGCAGCTTCGGCCAGTGCGCCGCGATGGTCATCGTCTTCGCATGCCTGATCCCCGGCGACTCGGAGACAGCCAAGGGCGCCGTCTTTGGTCTCTTCCTGTACATGTGGTATGTGCCTCTTCCCTTTCCCCTAAACCAACCCAGACTAACCCCGTTATCAAAAAAAAAAAAGCTTCTTCGGCGCAACCTGGCTCCCCCTCCCCTGGCTCTACCCGGCCGAGCTCTCGCCGCTCAAGACCCGCGCCAAAGCAAACGCCGTCTCCACCTGCAACAACTGGCTCTTCAACTTCACCGTCGTCATGATCACCCCGGTCATGATCGAGCACATCGGCTGGGGCACGTACCTCTTCTTCGCCGCCTGGAACGCCGTCTTCATCCCCATCATCTGGTTCTTCTACCCGGAGACCGCCGGCCGCAGCCTCGAAGAGATCGACCTGATCTTCGCCAAGGGCTATGTCGAGGGGATCAGCTACGTGCGCGCGGCGCGCGAGCTGCCCAGGCTCACGGACGAGGAGATCGAGGCCAAGGCCGCCGAGTATGGCGTGTTGGATAGCAATGAGAAGATCGAGGAGAGGATTGAGGAGGAGGATCCGGCGGCGACGTCTGGGTTGGCGGCGTATCAGCCTACGCAGTTATAACCTAGAGTCTTGCTGTGGGGCTGTGAGAGGTGAGAAAGGGGGTTTTCTTTTGAGGGTTTTAATGAATTTATGATTGCTTGGATTGTGGTTGACGGGGGTGTTTGTTCGTTTGCCTGTTGAACAGGCTGAGGAGATGGGGAGGAGTCACTATCTTTTTTTTTTGAGATATGATACCAGGAATCGTTCTTGATTGCGAATATGGGCAAGACCTACCTTTTTTTTTTTTTTTTCTTCTTCTTGGATTGTTATTATTATCTATGAACATGTTGTCTCCCAATATGGTTGTATGTTAGATTATTGAATCACTCCTCTTGGATCTGAGACTGAGTATGCAGCTGGCCTGTTCGTCATGTAAAACATACGAGCACTCCCGAAAATATTAGTGACATTGCTGATGCTTGAAAAATGCTATTCATGATCATGATCACGCTCATGCTATGCTATTGGTCATAACATCGTCCATCATTAATTATGTAACCCCCTTCCGAAGTACATCCTAGGATTTGCAAGTGGAAGCCCAGAATGCTTCATACTCGCTAGATCTGTCACAGCCATCCGACATACTGATCGAGGACCTCATTCCTCACCCCCTCAGACCCATGGCGGACACCAAGAAGGCGCACTTGGCCAATCTTACCACCGAAGTCATCCTCCACCTTGCTCTGCCACGTCTCGAAGAGCGCCTCCATCCGGACGATCACCTCGGGATTATCCTGGATCAGGAGCGCGATGGCGTCGTAGCCGCCTGCGCCCGGAACCACGCCGCCAATGACACCGTCGATCTCGGACAGAGCGTCAAGCAGCTCTGTCTGCACGCGCGGTTCGATGGGCACGTCAGACTTGCCGGTCATGGAGCGGATGTGGTTGCGTGAGCGCTGGATGTAGGTGCGGACGTCGTCGAAGTCGGCCAGCTCGTGCTCGTCGGGGCTCTGCGCCAGGCGGCGGAGTTCGAGACGCAGGCGCTCGTTGTTCGCTTGCAGAGCGGTCCAGAGCATGTCGGCCTCTTTGGGGTTCTGCTTCCGCCACTCCAGCACCTTCTTGACCATCGACGGGGTCTGCGAGCCGCATTCCACGTCGCACAACACCATCTGCATCCCCCGTGGCAGCTTCATGCCGAAGTCCAGGCATTCCGTGTCCCAGGGATGCTTCGGATCGGCATCTTCCACGATGGCGAACAGCCGCTCCTCGAAACCGGGGGAGCCGACGTCGCCCATTGATTCGAGGATCGAGGGTGAGAAGCGTCGGTACAGACACGATCCGTAGATGGCCGCGGCGACATCGAAGCCGGAGCCGACTTTGCCCTGTGCCGCGCAGTGGGCTGCCTGCGCTAGATTGTGGAGCTTGTCCCGCCCCGGGCCGAGGTCTTCGGGCTGCATGGTCCGGTGAATAACCAGCGCAGAGATCAGAGCAGTCACTAGAGCTGCTGACGAGCCCAGTCCCGTTTTGTGCGCCTGCTGGAGGGGAACGCCAAAGTTCACAAACCGGCTTGTCGACTGCATCCACGAAGCTTTCGAGACGGCCGTCTCGGAGTAGTAATCGTTGTCCGCGAGGATCGTAATCGACAAGGAACCAAAGTCCTTCGAGTCAGCGACATAGCTGATGTACGTCAAGGCGTAGTTCAAAGAGGTCTCGACGAATGGATTGTGTGGTCTGCATCGCGGTCAGGGGCCCAGAACCGTATTGTAGGGACACTGAGGCGCTCCAACTCACCCGTCGTTCTTCTGATTCACTTGGACACCTCCACCATTCTCACATCCGCGTATGCTGTATTCCCACACCGCATCCACGAACTGCGGCGAGCGAACGATGATCGTATCTTCATCCTCATCGCCCGCCACAGTGCCTTCTCCGGCGCCGCTTCCGCTTGCAGCCTCGGCTTGCTCTCTTACCGAGGCCGCAGATGGACCGCGCCGTCTCAACTGTTGAACAATAACATGGATTCTGGCGTCGAGCGCGAAAACAGTGCCCGTGTAGCTGCGGTCAAGCACCAAGTACCCGCCGGTCAGGAGGACCTTGCCCGGGGCAGACAGAGCCGTGACTGTGGACGAGGGAGAGGCCATAGGGGGAAGGGGAAAGAAATGGTCTGAATCAAAGGAACGAGGGATCCGATAATCGTGTGTTGCCGTTGTTTGTATCACAGTTGGAATCGGGGATTAGGCGCCACGGGGGAACTGGGAGAAACGTGTGTTAATGATCTTCTCACTCCGGACAATTGCAACGAGTCAACAGAATTGATTTTGCCAGGCAGGAAATCTTACCTGCGAGGTCAATCTAGGAGTGGTTTGACAGCTGCTCGTCAGTGGTATGAACCGTATGATGGTAGATGCAATCACCACACTGTGGAGGGGCAGATATCAATGACCCCGCCTGGGTGCCTTGGGGGTATCTGGGGTAGAAGACAGTGGTCAAAGTAGAGATGAGGAGGACAAGTTAATGTTGGCCCAGGATGGGAAATGAGTTCCTAGACCTGTTCCTGAATCTCAATGACAGATGTTTGACTTGTTGTTGTCACTCTACAACCCGTCGGGGGATTTCCATTGTTTTGGCGCTTCCACAACTGGGTGTGGCTGAGTAACATGTGTGGCTGAGTGTGGCTGATAGTCTGGAAAGAAATCATAATTATTACAGTGGAACCAAGCAGTGAGTGTAGAAAATGGATTGCTTCGGTCTGTCGAATACATGCGTATATTTCATAAAATTATCCAGGTCATCAAACATTGGGGGTATAGCGTTTTAAAAACTGAATTACAGGCCCTTCCCCGACCACCGACTCATGTACATATATAAACCAACAGCTAACGATCTAGCGTGACTGTATATTCAATGCCTCGGAGGAAGATTGAACAAATCAATGAGCCCTCATCACCACAGCGGCATGCTGATCTTCGTGTCATAGTCGACGTTGTCTGTTGCGCTCTCGATGCGCTCATGGCACGTGCCAAAGATACGGTCCCAAAGACGGGTCTGCTTGCCGTAGTTGTGGCTCTTCTTCCACCCTTTGCGGTGATGCAAATCATGGTCCTCAATCACCAGCTCGGCGTCCAAGAGTTTCAGCAACCAGGTCAACGTCGATGGCGGAGACGTGTGGAGGCGAAGCCCGCTGTGCCCGGCAAGCTCTGCAAAGACAACATATTGATGGCAGAACCACCACTCATAGAAGCCCATAGGGAATCCCAGGAATCTCAGAGTGAAATAGGCCATCAATGGAATGCCGGCAATATCGAAAAACTCCTGCTCAGTGTCCGCATAGAGTGTGAGAAGCGGGTTTGGGTGCTTTGTGAGATGGTGAGTGCGGTGGTACTTCCAGAGGCTGCCAACATCGTGCATCAGTCGGTGGTACCAGTAAAACCAGAAGTCAAGCACGATGCTATAGAGACCAATCTCAAGCGGTAACCACACCCAGTTGATCGAGGAAGGTGGCAGGTTTGTTCGATAGCTGAAGAAAACGGTGAACATGGGACGGAAAGTAGCCGTCAAGACGAGCGAATGAACGACTTTTGCGACACCCACATCAGGGACACCGTCTCTTTCATGCTTGTCGCCGTCGAGAAATCCAAGCGTGTGCCCCAGGCGACGAAGGATTTGCAGCTCGTGGACGGTAATCACCTTGAATGCTGTTCCGTAGAATAGAAAGGCAAGGATTGGAGTCAAGTTGCGGCCTGTGTAGGCGACATAGGTCCAATGGCAGATGAATGGAATCAGCGCATGGACGAGAACCCAGCGATGTGTCTGCCACTCGGTCATGAAAGGAATCTTTTCTTCTTTCGAGTGCACTGGAATGTCCTCGTCGAGGACAGTAGGGTGTATGCCGAGCACTTCATAAAACCGGTGAGATGGATTCCACTCGTCCTTATGATGGCGCCAGGTGGATTTCATGGAGTCCTTCGGACTGCGCGTGGTAGTCGCCATCCTGTATGCTTGTTTGTCTCTGAAGAGTCTGAAGGCATGAAATTGCTCGATGATTCAAGGCCCTCGAGAAAAGCGCTCTATTTTTATGTCTAAGTCCTGAGGTGGTCATTCATTACATGCAGCTCTGAAGATTAAGGTGGACGCCCTCGGCATGTGAATGAGATCAGTTCATGTGGAGGTTAGTAAAATGATGAAGCTTGCAGTTAGTGAACCAGCACCACGGCTCTACTCATGATGCTAGGAGTGCAGATCATTGCATCCCAATGGCCCAGAACTTAGAAGAGCCTGAGCAGCTCGCAACTGTTGGCGTTTTGGGAACTGTTCGATTCCACGCGACGGACGCATGATGTCAAATCTAAGCCTCTTAGCGTTCATCCGACTCTTCCCCACACTAAATTATTAGAGTAGATTGAGGATTCTGAACATCCTTAGAGAAAGTCTTTCCTTTACCTTCTTTGAATGAGTTCAAGGACAGTACTCCTGGGCGAGCCCAATCGTTGACCAGACTCACATACACGAGCCCCCATTTCTCGATTTGCAGCGGTGAACATAGGTAAGGGACTGTAGATATTGAATATCTTTTTAGTCTTTACCCCTCTCGAGTCTCTACCATTTATCCGTTTCACCTTTGTGCAGTACCATGGACAAAGATTCGACGGCGTGCAGATCCATCATCACGGACTTATTTTTCAGTCGTTGGACTTCCCCAACATTTGAGCTCAGCCCTGAGCCAACAGCTTCCCCGTATCCCGGGGATACTCTCGGCCCGGGATTAACAGAGGGACCCTCGCGTTGCATACCGGATTGAGTTTAGCCTCCCTTATTTCTTATCTGAAATCTGATTGATATTGAGGTCATCGTTCATCGGTCGTCACAATAACCATACAGAGTATACATATTACATAGAGCTGGGTGTTTCTCTCCTCATCAATGATACCTTGTATTCTTGCCGCGACTTCTTCTCGATTCCGTTCATTCGCACCAAAATGCTGTTGCCTCGCATTCGAGGCGTTGTGGAGTGTGGACTTCCCACTTTAGAAGAGTTTATCCTCAGCTGAGATTTCCTTCCAACTACGAAGGACACAGGCCGTGTCTAGAGATACTGTCTACCCCTTATTTTGAGCAAATATCACGAGGACGTATGTGGTCTCATACTCAGGAACAGTGCTTTAGGGAGTGCGATATTATTGTCTTGCTATCATGGGGTCCCTTTGGCTAGCAACATCATACGATGACAGGTCAAACAAAGGCCTCGGTAGTACTTAAGCACGACTAGTTGCAACGTGCCAGATTGGTTACATCTGTATCGCAAATGCTGAAGCCTGAAGGTAGTACTTCTGTCAATAACTTATATTTGGCTATCTCTTTCAAGTACGGAGTTGATAAACAGCCACCACACGTGAGCGCTCATCGACGCGCCATTTTATGATTGAGGAGCACTCTCTCTACTCTGAGAGACAGGTTGTGGACTAGATATGTATATCACTCTGGTGATGTGGCTTTTCTGTTATTGAGCACTACTGAACAAAACCCTCAAGCATGGCTTCAGCACCAAGATCTGAACAAGAGTCCTTGACTCCTTGTAGCCAGTAGTACCTTTCTCCGTAGCAAGCAGTCGCATTCCTTCCCTCCGCGCGGTTTATGCCTCAGGCCATAACCGGAAGTAGCTCGGATGCTCGGGCATATCGGGACTCCGACAGCCGCAAAGGAAATCAGCTCGGGCCAGTCGGGGCAAACGGGCCAAACTCCGTACGGGAACAACAAGATAATAAGCCGGGACAGCGGGTGACTCACGGCTGCTGCGCCCCTTGTCATCCACCAGTAGCATCTGCTTCTCTTCCTGGTTTTTCCTTCGATCCTAGCGGAACTCGTGGCGTCTCTGCCTGCCATTGGCCCCGATCACATTCCTAGGAGGCTACCTACGACCCGGGGATAAGGGCATGGCCGCATGACCACCTGATGACCAAATTCAGCGCAAAACAAAAAAAAAAAAAAAAAAAAAAAAAAAAAGAGGTGTAAACCTGTAAAACCTTAGGCAGCGATCTTGGTTATTGGTCTGTTGGTAGTCTTGGTAATCTAGGATATGAGTTCTCGAAGGCTTCTGCGTGCTGACGTTGGCTCTACCCCTATCCGTGGAGGATCCGATCTCTTGTACGGAGGAGTAGAACTACGGAGTACTATCTGATTGATATTAATTAGCCTGCACCGAGCCAGGTGTTCATTGTCAAGAATCATCACTTTCAACGACGGATAGAATCATTCCCCGAGTACTAAGGTACAGACTACACAGAAAACTAGGAACCAGTAAGTTACTCCGTCGTAACCACAATCCACATCCACAGCATTCCAACTGTGGATCCCCTAAAGGAGTCTAGTCTGGTTGGATCTGCACTAATCCCCTTTCGGCCTGGTTAGCGATACAGATCATTCTCGTCTTTTCCTCTCTCTCTCTGTCTCTCTCTCTCTCCAATAATAATAATAATCACTCCCTCATCCTTCTCTCCTCCAGCAGTTCGCTGTCTGACATTTTTTTTCAAGCCATTAAATCTCACCCAATTCCCTCCCTTCCCCCCCCCTTTGCTCTCTCGCTCTGGCTCACACTTGTGAGCTCTTTTTCTCCCACCCCCCGCGCGTTCCTTTGGCGACCTCAGTCGTCAAATGAACCTGCATCATCATTATTATTTTGATTGCAAGGTATGCCGGGACAATCCCATCGGAGATAGAAGGATGCACGACGTGACTAACCAACCCTCTAGCATCGCCTCTTCCCTCTGAAGAGGTCTCCCGCAAGATAAATGGTGTTCAAGCCCTTCACTCACCTCGCGCGTCAGAGTTTCACCAAAGCCTTCACTCATGGCTATGCTCAATCCGTAGTCGCGGCGTCACAGTCGTCGTACGCCTCATCGACAACCCTCAATCAACTCGCCAATCATCCCGCCAAATTCACCCGGACAAGTCAATTGCAGAATGTTTTCCAGCCCTCAAGCTCGTCAGGTGCCGGTGCAAAGGCCAGTCAGGGTGGTTCAGGATCCGGAGACGTCGGTTTAGCGGCGTACTATGCAGCCTGGCAGCAAGCCCAACAGACGGGCGATGATACCGATTGGAAACAGTTCCAGTTCAAGAGACGCATTGGCTGGAAGCCGACCGGAGATGAGGAGACTGGAAAATTAAAGTCGGCGGATAGAGATACTGACCTGCACCCGAGTCTTCACGATTCGACGCGCGTCACCAAGGCGTCGGCCAACGCAGATGTAAGCGCTCAAGTCGATGAGGCGGTGGCACGGGAAATCCAGATCCAGGAGGAGAAGGCCCAGGCAGAAGAGGCATCCGCTGTGAAGGAAAGCGAGGAGACAGAGGCGTTTCCCGATCTCCCGCCCGAGGTCGCTGCTGTTTCCGATGCCACCGCAGAACAGTCCCGGATCGTTTCCGATCGGATTGTTCAGCTCGCCTCCGGTGAAAATTACGCTGAGATCCCCGCCGCTTTCGAGTCGTTGCTTCGAGATGGCCTCACTCCGACCGTCGGGGCCTACAACGCCTTGCTGGCTTCCGCCGTCCACCTGCACACCGATGTCTCGCATGCGATCCCCAAAGCCCTGGATGTCTACTCGGACATGCTTCGTCGTAGGGTAATTCCCGACGAGGAAACCTATCGCACCCTGGTGGAGCTTTTCGTCACTCGGTCTCACGAGACAATCAAGGCCAAGGACGCGTTGGAGCAGGAGCGGATTCGGTATGGAGGCATGGAAGAGCCCGGCAAGTTCATGCTGCACTCCAGTCAGTTGGAGCGTGACATCCTGGCCGAGGACCACTCCCTTGCCATCGCCGTCAAACTTTTCAACACCGCCACATCGCGTCACCCGCACCTGGTCTTCTCCCTGGACATGTATCGCTATCTCATTACCGCATGTGCCAAGGAAGGCCTGGTCGAGCACATGATCCGCATTTACGCTCATATGGAGTCGCACAAGGTGACGCCTCACGCTTCCATCTTTCCCGCGATGATTGATGCCTTTGCATCCACGGGAGATCTGACCAGTGCGGTGGAGTGTTACAACGAATACAAAGCTCTTGCCATTTCCGACGACAATGGCACCTTTAGCATCGTCCAACGTCTGGATGGTCAGGTGTACGCGGCCCTGGTCAGGGCTTATCTTTCGGCCGGTAAAGCCGCAAACGCGATGCGCTTCCTGGAGCGAATTCGCGCTTCATTTGATGAGGTGATCGAAAACCGTGAAACTCGTCAGGAAGCATTGGAATCTGTGATTGTCCAGGACGGTCTGGTGCAATACTCCCTAAAGTCAGGGGCGCATGCCAAGGCATTTGAGCAAGCCAAGGACCAGTTGCGTGGTGGTGCTCTGGATCAGGCCATGGCCCGGATCTGCGTTAGCGCAGCGGATGCCGGTGATCTGAAGACCGCCTCTGAAGCCTATGAGTCGCTGCCCACCGACATGACGGTACGTCAGGGCCCCGCTGTTGCGATGCTGGCATTGCATGTGCGGCAAGGCCATATATCGGCGGCGCGACCCCTGTGGCTGATGCTTAGCACCTCGGGTCAGGCAACGCCGGATATGGTCCAACCGACCGCCATGTACACCGTCGCCCTCATCAAGAGTGGCCAGATCGACGAAGCCCTTCTCGAAGCCCGCAATATGTTCGCCCGGATCCGCAATTCCTCTACCAACAACACTACCTCCCTGGACTCTATCCGTGAACAGACTACCGAAAGCTTTCACCTCATCGGCCGTGTCCTCATGCAGACTGCGGCTGTCCTCTCCCCCCAGGCGGCCATGAACCTCATCTGGTCGATGACCGAAAATGGGGGTGCCGTCTCCCCTCTTGCGGAGCACGCTGTTGCCAGCCTGGGACCCATGGCCATTTCTCAGCTCCAGCCCCAGGACCTGACGCTGGCTCTTCAGGTCCAAGCCGGTATGCTCCTCAGCACCAGCTCGATGGCCTTTGATGTTGCCCACCCTATTCGCTTCGCCCACATGCTCGACATCGCCCTCGCCAACCGACTTCCCATGGATCCCCATACGACTGCTCTGGTCGACCAGGCCGTCGCAAAGCTGTTCAACAGCCGTCCGGACATGGTCAAGAGATGGCATGACCATCTGAGTGTGACCTCTTCCCCCCCATCCTTCCTGTCCGATCGCCATTCTCCTGTATCTGAGGTATCCACCATGACCCCATTGTCCAGCGACGATGCCTTCGATCCATACGCATACGCCACCGACTTCCGGGGTTCCTCCATGATCGCCGAAGATCTGGAGAACCCCAGCGGTCGCCCGGAATCGCACCTCAACGAGGCGCTGACCCGTCTTCGGAACATGCGTCGCATTGGCCGTCATCCTCGCTACATCACCTATGCCAAGCTCATCAACGCCGCCACCAAGGTCAATCGCTCCGATCTCGTTGAGGAAATTCTGAGCACGGCCCGCCGTGACGTCCCTCTGCTGCCCCAATATCATGCTGTCAAGTATGGTTGGATCTCTATCCTCGATGCCATGGTTGCCTCGTGTTTGACCCTGGGAAACCGCAGCCTCGCTGCCAAGTATCACAACGAGCTCTTGGAGCTGGGTTCGGCGCCCTCGGCCAACACCTTCGGTCTCTACATCACCACGCTCAAGGAATCCACCAAGACATTTGACGAAGCCACCGAGGCTCTGAAGATCTTCCACCGCGCTGTCGCGGAGGGTGTGGAGCCCACTTCGTTCCTTTACAATGCACTCATTGGAAAGCTCGGCAAGGCTCGTCGTATCGACGACTGCCTTCAGTACTTTGCCGAGATGCGTGCCAACGGTGTCCGACCGACCAGTGTCACCTACGGAACCGTCGTCAATGCACTCTGCCGAGTAAGCGATGAACGATTCGCCGAGGAGATGTTCGAGGAGATGGAGTCGATGCCCAACTACAAACCTCGCCCGGCCCCTTACAATTCCATGATCCAGTATTTCCTGAACACCAAGCGCGACCGCAGCAAGGTGCTCGCGTACTACCAGCGCATGCTGAGCCGCAACATCAAGCCGACCATGCACACCTACAAGCTGCTCATCGACGCTCATGCTTCGCTGGAGCCGGTGGATATGGATGCTGCTGAGAAGGTCCTGGAATCCATCCATGCCTCTGGTCAACGACCTGAAGCCGTGCACTACGCATCCTTGATTCATGCCAAGGGTTGCGTGATGCATGATATGGAGTCGGCCCTCAAGATCTTCCGCTCAGTGGTGTCGGACCGCAAGGTTCGCCTGCAGCCATGCCTGTACCAGGCCCTGCTTGAGGCCATGGTGGCCAACCACCAGGTTAGCCAATCGGAAGCCATCGTCAAGGATATGGCCGATCGCAGGGTTGAGATGACCGCCTATATTGCCAACACCCTGATCCACGGCTGGGCTGCGGAAGGCAATGTCGCCAAGGCCAAGGCGATCTACGACAGCATTGGCCTCAGCAAGCGCGAGCCTAGCACCTACGAGGCCATGACTCGGGCTTATCTGGCGTCTGAGGACCGCGAGGGAGCCTCTCGCATTGTGCAAGAGATGCTCTCCCGTGGCTATCCTACTGCGGTTGCGAGCAAGATCCTGGACCTGGTTGGTGGCGGTGCACCGGTTGCTTCCCTCTAAGCGGGTCCCTTTCTTCTTTTTTCTCCTCCTTGATTCCCTTCTTCCTGCTGATATTGCCTTCCTTTCGTCGTTTCAGCTAGCTTGAAACCTACTTTTTTCTCAAGCATCAAAAGTACCTGCTTCTAATGTGTGTCCTTCCTATGTCACCAGGGCTGGATTCCCTGCCCTTTCCAGCTATCTCCAGCCCGAGCTTCTACACAGGCATTTGGGAACCCGCATTAATTTGCTTCGATACTTTTCCTTTCTTTCTTTTTCTTTTTCTTTTTTTTTTACTTTGTCTTTATTTTGTTGATATGCATTCAGCGGGTGGAAAAGGCGTTGGTCCAAAATCTGGGGAATCATTCATGTCGCGTGTATACCACATCTGGTGTGATTTGGTTTTATTTCTTGTTATTCTCCATATAGATCACTCCCAACTCTTCTAGATCCGAGGATTTACCGGCTGTTACAGAGTGGCCGGTTCAATTCAAAAGAGATTCAAATCAAGAAGAACATTGCATGTAGGCTCTTTGGTAGAGGAACAACGTTGTATCCAAATATCAATTCTGTCTTGTCGGAAATCGAGTCACCTGATCCTCTTCGATCGCGCACTCCCTCGTATCATGTGACACAGCCGCCATCCTTCTATGATCGACTGACAGTCAGTACCTGCGAGATCCTCCTCCTCCCCCTCCTCCTCCTCCTCCTCCATAGTTCAACATCCTCGAGTATCTCTACAGCCTATGCTTCCTCGTCGGCTGGCCTTGCCGAATCCCCGTCATATCGGTCCCATACATCCGTTCTCCACCGACCCGTGCAGATCGTGGGGTCCTCGCAACATGAGCACCGGAAACCCCGCAGCAGATGACTCGCACGCCGGTGACAGCCATTCCGGCGCGGACTCCAGGCGTCCCAAGAAGCTGATCTGTACTTGCAACCCCCATAAAACCGCCGTCACCCTTGCCCTAGAATAAAAAAGATAATAATGATCCGCTAACTCCACCAGTCGCGCCCGGCGACATCGCCGCAACCCCCGACCTCAAAGTCACAGCCACCGAGACCAAAGAACCCGCCTCGCCCGCCCCCGATGCACCCCAAACCCTCGCCGAACGCCTCCGCTCCGAAGTCTCAACCCCAGACTCCACAATGGAGAGCCAGATCGTGTCCCACCCGGCGCGCGCGCACCAGTTCGTGAGCAACCCGCCCCTCACCATCTCCCAGATGCACCCAACCAACCCTCTCCACCAATTCAACACCTGGTTTCGCGACCGCCGGCTGGCGCCCTCCTCGGCGCCGGAGACGTGCACGCTCGCCACGGCGTCCCTGCCTTCGGGCCGCGTGAGCGCGCGCGTCGTCTACCTCAAGGAACTCGACGAGCGCGGCTGGGTCGTGTACAGTAACTGGGGCAGTCGGGAGGGGAAGGGCGGGCAGGTGTTCGGCGCGGAGGCGGAGACGGGCGATTTCCCCGCTGCGATCCCGCGGCCCGAGGAGGCAGAGAGTCTGCTCGAGGAACTGCCAGGCGGCAACCGCTGGGCGGCGCTGACATTCAGCTGGTCCGGGCTGGAGCGCCAGGTTCGCATCGAAGGCATGCTGGAGCCGCTGAGTCGGCAGGAGAGCGAGATGTACTGGGAGACGCGCGAGCGGGGCAGCCAGATTGGCGCGTGGGCGAGCTGGCAGAGTAAGGTGCTTTGGTCGGCAGAGCCGGAGACGATGGTGGACCGCCGGCGGAAGAGCGTGGCTGCGGCGGCCGCGGCGCAGGGCCAGGTCGCGGCTACCTCGGCGGCGGCGTGTGCGGAGATCCCTGCGGATATTGACGAGACGGATATTGACGATGGCCGCGCGCTGCTGGAGCAGCGGGTCCAGCAGATGGAGAAGCGGTTCGCGGGCATGGAGAAGATCCCCCTGCCGCCGTTCTGGGGTGGGGTGCGGCTGGTGCCGGAGTCGGTGGAGTTCTGGCAGGGCCGACGGAGCCGGTTGCATGATCGGTTCCGGTATGTGAGGGTGAAGGAGGCGGGCGATGAGTCCTCGTTCAAGTGGCGGATTGAGCGGCTGTCGCCATAGATCTGCATTCATAGACTTGATGGCTGCCCTTCTCTATAGCATGTTTTAAAGACCGTCCATTGCCAACCGAGATAACGTTCTACACTACAGAGGATACCGATATACATACGGGACGCGATGTCCCTACCCTGTTATACATATAATCTTAATGTGACCAGTTGCGCTCCTACCAACAACGATCATCAGCAGTCTGCCTTATTGGCATGATGGTATCATTATATTCTTATCATTACTACATGTTCCCCTCGCCGTACCCAGCTATCATATCATCATGTTGTTCATGAAAAGGAACTGTATAGTGTAGCTCTAAGCCGCAGGCCGCGAGACAAAAGACCAAACCGTCATCATACCTGCAACCCCTGGCCATCGTCAACGGCAACGTTCGGATGCAGCACGTAGACGGTGCGGTGGACCCGCTCCTGCTGGTCGTCGGAATCGACGAGCCCCTCTCCGCGGATGGGCATGAGGACATTATCCTGCAGTTGGAGGAGATAAATTGTTAGCGACGGCGGTTTGGTTGGTGGGATAGAGGACATGAGTGGAGAGACGTGGGGGAGAGAAAAAAAAAAAAAGAAAAACAAAGGCAAAACGAACCTTGACCATTCTCTTCAAGACCATCTTGGCCAGAGCCCGCTCCCGCTGCAGGTCCTCCTCGTTGTTCAGCTCGGCCTCGATCTGCTCCAGATACCACACCAGCAGATCCTCCTCCTCGACGCCCTCGCCGGCATTCGCCTCGTCCTCGTTGACGCGCCGCACGAACAGATTCAGGATCTTCATGAACTTGTCGTAGGTGATCTTGGTCTTCTGGCGGGGGCGCGGCTGCGCGTCGTCGCGCATGGGGCTGTCGCCTTCGCGGTCGCGGTCGGCCATCTCGTGATCGTTGTCGTCGTGGTGGTGACCGTCGACGGCGGCGTCGCCTTCGCCGTCGTCCTCCACCTCGACGTCGTCTTTCTCGACGGTGACGATGCTCTGGCGGAGGAGGTCGTAGGCTTCGCGCACGAAGCTCGGCACGATCTCCTCGACGCAGTTGGCCTTGGCGACGGCTTCGGAGAGACGGACTAGCGACTCGAGCTGGCGGACGGTGATGCGGTACGAGGAGCGGCCCATGCCTCCCTGGGCGTCGTTTGCGCGCAGCTCCTTGTATTTCTCAACGAGCAGAACCTTGGCCTCTTCGGTGAATACGGGCCGGAACGTCCGCGCGAATCGGATGTAGCGCTGCAGCTGCTCGGTGCTAAGCTCGGGTTGGACGGCCTCGTCGCGGTTCATGTGCACGTTGACAATGTGGTCGGCCAGGTTGCGGTCCACGGTCTCATTCGGCTCGTCGCGGATCACGAAGAACAAGTCGAATCGACTCATGATGGGCGCGCTGAAGTTGAGGTTCGCACGTAGTGTGGCCTTGGGGTTGTAACGACCGCCGACAGGGTTGGCAGCAGCCAGAATGGATGCACGGGCGTTGAGGGTCGTATGGATACCTGCCTTGGCAATGGAAATGGTTTGTTGTTCCATGGCTTCGTGGATAGCGACCTGATCGCTGATGTCCATCTTGTCGAACTCGTCGATTGCACAGATACCGCCTCCGTTCTGAAGGATCGAAACATATTAGCATCGTGTTAGGTCGCCACGGCGTTTAGTGGCAAGCTTACCGCAAGCATGAGTGCGCCCGCTTCAATGGTGAACTCTCCAGTCTCGGCATCCTTGACAACTGATGCAGTCAAACCTGCAGCAGATGAGGCCTTGCCGCTAGTATACACTGCACGAGGATGCAAAGAACAGATGTACCTGGTGACAAAGATGTCAGTAACCTTCGACATGATTTGGACTTAGAGCGGAAAATAGGCTACTCACTTCAAGAACTGACTCTTACTCGTCGAGGGATCACCAACGATGCAAATGTTGATATCACCACGCAATTGCATGTTTTCCTGCTCTGTAGACTTGGCGACACCACCAATCAACTGCAGAAGAAGCCCTTTCTTGATCTGGCGGTGACCGTAGATCATTGGAGCGATCGAGTCCACCAATCGAGAGTAAATGTACTCGGAATGAACCAAGTTCTTCAAGTCCTGGACCTCATAAGGGGTAAAGCTCTGAAGGAGGGCTTCTTGAGCCTTATCCTCATCGGCTTCAGGATCGTTGTTCTGGTTCAAGGACGCCAGGATGTTATGGGACTGGCCGTTCAACTGCTGATTCGACTGCTGCCCGGGAGTTGTGGTGTCCGGAGTGACCATACAGGCTAAGAATGCCAGGCGATAAGTCAAGTCTCTCACACCAAGAGACTTGAGCCCAGTCACTCCGCCGCCGCCCACCTCGCTGCTGCGGAAAGCGCCGTTGTCTCGAACAGCCTCTGGCCGTACGCCGGGCAGTCCAAGCTGGCTGACGTCAGGAATCACAATCAAAGTACCAGTGAAAATGCAGCGTTCACCAGCCTTGGCACGGTCGACCATTTCACCGCGCAAGATCACATCCATCGTGCGGGGCATGCTGCCGGTAGGAATTTCGTGTGATGACTCCTGCAATTTAACCTTCTGCCAGTCGACAAATGTACTCTTCCCAATGTCCAGGCGCCATCCGACACGATTCATGCAGGTATTGTTGGGACACTGTGAAGGCTCGGTGTAGCGGAATGTCTGCTCGACATTCGAGACCACGGACTTGCACTGCTCGCAGACGAAAGTTCCCAGCGAGAGTTCCGGCCGGATCTCAGATGTCCGGGTCACTGTTCCAGAGATGGAAAGCAACTTTCCGATCTGCGAGGTCCGCAGCTGCCGCAACCGAGAGACGAGGGGTAGATTGTAAAACGCCAGGGAAAAGAGTTTGTCGGTCTGCTGGTGACGAGTCTTCTCGCGAATGTTCCGCTCTAAATCAGGGTTCTCTGTCATACTCGCATTGGCAGCCATCATGGATGAGCTGGCCTGGGACGCGGTACTGCTGGCTTGACGATGCGAGACGAAGTACTCGGGTTCATATTTCGCAATGAGGTTGTGCAGCGCCCTTGTCAGGAATGGTTGGAATCGGTAGTACTGATTGGCTATAGCATCTGCCAGAATTTGATCGTCCAGCGATGTCAAATGGGTAAAGTCAATGTATAGGGTCGACAGTTCGAATTTTTTCATGCCTTTGATTTGAGCAATGTAATACTTGTCACTCAAAATCTCCGACGATGGCGGAGGTGCTGACAATGATGGTTCCTCCACATAGGTCTCTAGCAACTCCTCAAAAGCCTGTTGTACTTTCTCTCCAGCTAAATCGACCACGGGTGGCGGTCCTGGTAGATAGGGATTCCGAAGCCGACTGACAGTCGACCGACTTGGGTTTGGAACCTGGTCGTCGGGAAAGCCTTGCATGTCACTCATCGGGCCATTGCTCTCCGATGGTGGTTGTGGTCGTGAGCTGGGAAGCTGATCTGAGTGAAGACGCCGCTCATCGCGAGAGCCAGCTGTTGATCCCAGTTCCGACTGGAGGACGGCGTCAAAAAGGGAGGACATGGTGAGGGGAGGAATGAGCCAAGGAAAAGGGTGTCGAGGGTGGGTGAAAACACGGACTGGTCGATGGAAATGAATTCCTAGCTCAATTCCCCGTCAGTAATTGTAGTTCGACCTGTTTCTGTAGGGGTATAGTGGTACACAGCGACGGTGTGGGTTGTTGGTGGTCGTTGACCGTAAATATCATACATTTTGGCGATTCTTTCTTCTCTGTAGCGGGACGCGTCCGGGTCGCGTCCCGCCTCGGAGATATGTTCATGCGGTGCCGACGCGTTAAGTGGTTTTCTGGATTAGTCATTATAGCATAGAAAAAGTACTATGTAAGTACTATAGTTACTCCTTAGTTACTTAAGTTACAGTACAGATCGGTCTGACTAAGTGATACTGATCATGATGGAGCTCTTAGTTGCCCCTTTCGGAAATAGGTCGAGCACCAGGACCCATATGGAGGGTCCCGTTCCAAGGAAAGTGGTGCATAATTCATAACTCTCCGCCAATCAAACACCAATTGAAGAGATATCCGGGACTTTGATATAGGTAGGGATCAGCCAATGGATTATGGATACGAGCGAGATGATACCTATGGTGGACTATTTGGGCGGGGGGCGCTTTCTCTTGATGTAGATAGTTAGATACTCTGCTCTCCTGTGTGCAATTAGTACCTAATCTATTAGGCTACACAGTAGTATTCCTTTGAGTTTCGTCCTCGACTGAACTAGTTATTAACTACTCGACGACCCACTACTGTCCGGCGATTTCTCGACACCTCTGAGGCTCTGTGAAATGAACGGGCCGATCTAAGTCGTCGCTTATCAAACTGTGAGAAGACCGTCAGCAGAGTCATCCTTGCCCTCTCCCCTCCTCGATGATAACTTGGATCGCACGGAGATGATATGGTTCAACCCTCATGCTGCTATTGCGATGACTCCTTCAGCAATTGTCTTGATAACGGTACCCTGGTGATTGCATGATATGACGTGCGCTCCCCCTACCAGATCCTTGCTAGCCCAATCAGCCAGGCAGCCACCTAGTCATTGAAGAAGTCTTTCTCCATCTCACGAGTGAGGACCGTGATGTCTACAGACAGGCGCGCTTCCGCCAATCCGACGCAGTTCGCGGTCCATACTGGAGCGAATGGCATCTCCCCAGGAGCAGAACATCAAAGTCAGTATAGCCATGAAGACGCAGAGTTTTCTGGGTTCGAGTCTTGTTAGGACGGGCTGACGGTCAAGTTTTTCATGCCACAGACGGTCCCAGCGATGTCCCCCAGACCACTACTAAATCGAAACGGCGGAGGCGCCTCTCCACGACTGAAGAGCCGCCTGCGAAAGATCGAATATTCTTCTTTGTCGATTCAAATTCCTCGTCACGAGAAAAACGTGCATACGTGATGCGCCATCATGTTCAGGAGAAACGGAAACAGCGCAAACAACCGCAGCCGCAGAATGACAGGAGGGACAATCGGCCGCTTCGGTATCTTCCATGGCAGCAGAAACCCCATGAACAGGCGAGTTGTGATGGGAATGATGCAGACCAACGGGCTGGAATTGAGATTGCGCCCAACTGTAATTCCTTGGTATGTATTGCTCCAACCAGGAGAGTTATCCGGGCGTTTTTCCCCAAATGGCAACTCCCCCCCCCCCTCGGCCTCGATCATGGCAGCTCTTATGTTGTTCGTTGCATTCCCAACAACGAGGACAGCGGCGCTGACGTATAAATGTACAGGTTCCGGTGAACATGGCGACACCGAAGTACAGTGTCTATTCCGATCGGCCGCATTCGGCCTCGTTGATCACCTCGCTCGATACAACGAGGAGAGACCCTTTCAATAGTATGCCAATGGCCCGTACAAAGGAAGACAATGAGTTGATAGATTTTTGGACAAATAAACTAAGCTACTGGTCTGGGCAAAATAAGCATATCAAGGAGCAAATCTTCCGCACTGCCATGAGCCATCCATTATCCTTTCAAGCAGTGGTGCTTGGATACTGTTCCCGCTGGAAGGCCCGATTATATGGTTTGACCGATAGCCACGACAGTCAAACTCATGTTGGGCAAGCGACAAGGACCATCGAGATGGCGAGGAAAGGCTTGACGAACATCGATGGAGACAGTTTGGCCGTGGCGTTGACCGGGTTATCGCTCCAAGAAGAAAGATTCGGTAGCCAGCAGAGGGCCAGAGAATACACGGACCAGGCTGTTCAAATCCTGAGGTCGCAGGCCGGGTTTCCCAGTGGAGTCCAGGTATTCTTGCACTATGTACGATACATCACCATGCCAGATCATCCGATGACGGACCGGGAGAGTCAACAATGGCTCCTGACGTTCCTTCGCGGCGCCGAGGAAATGTCGTTGAAACAGAGATCAGCCGCATACTTGTCCTCGAGTCCTCAGAGAGCCCAGGCGTTTCAGATGGACAGTCCGCTGTTTCCTCTGCTGTCGAGTGGTCCTCGTCCATCGCAAGTGCCGCAGACTTCGCGTCTGTATGTCGTCCGGGCCGCGCCCAGCCAGGAAGTCTGCCGCACTGCAGCGCTCATCTATATCACGGCGGCTCTTTGGGATTTCCAGGACTCCCCCAGCAAGACCCGACGGTTTCTGACTCATATCAACACGATGGTGCAGCAACATCAGCTTGATCGATATCCTGCGTGCGAAACGCTGGTTTGGCTGTTGCTGGAGGAGACTTATGAAGCCGACCTGAAGGACTCCGAACGAGCCTGGTCCACGGGCGAGTTACTGCGGGCGCATAAGCAACTTCGACCGGACTTGCAGTTCCAGTTCAATGAAATATTGCTGAGCCTGCTGATGCTCAGTACACCCATCCGGGGGATTGATGATTTTGAAAAGGAACTCAATACTACGACCGTTGAAAATATGGACGATGTGTGAACATTCTCCGGAGTATATAGATAGAAATCTTTTTTACCGCAAATACTTACCGGTGTGTTTTTTTTCCAACATGGGCTGTTAAGGGTATGCAGGCCGCCGCAATCACACTTATACTTCTAGAATGTGAGGACCTAGTGATTGCCCCTGTTGAGTTCAACCCATGTTCAGAGCGACACGCAAAATGGCGTCCTATCCAGCTCCCCTCCATTGTCGACCGGCATAGTCGCGCAGAGTAGGTCGAATTTTCGAGGTCCAGTGCAGGTCGGGATCTCGCATCGCGGTTCTCTGTGAGCCGTCGGTTGACTTTATTGCCGCAATGCTAGCCATTCTTCATGTGGGTGCTGTGTATGTGCCTCTGGATATCAGTCTCCCATTGGCCAGACATAGTTCCATAATCCAGAGTTGTCAACCGAACCTGCTTCTCTACCATGCGGCAACAGAAGGGCTTGCTGACAATCTCACTGGCGATGCGGGATATGCTCTTCCATCGGCAAGAGTCGACGAGATGCAAGCCCCCATCGAGGACTTGTTCCCTGCCTCGCGGAGCCTCATTGTCCCGCTGTTCTGCTTTTTACGAGCGGCTCCACGGGCATTGATTCGTTTATTGCGACGTACTTGGAAGGGATTGTGGAGCGGGGGGGAATTGGTCACATATCCCTATTTGGGAGAGACTCCAGCGTGATATGAGGAGCATTTTGTCATGCACGGACTTTGTGGCAGATAATCCAAGACCTGAGATGCCCTCTTGTTTTTTTTTTCGGTTTGGCTTCTGGCGTGTTGGACAAGGAAACGCTCAATGGAATGGATATGCCACGGTCAACATAGATTCCATGAGAATATTCATGTCAAAAGATCGAGTAAGTACCCAATCTGCAAATGTTGGGTAATGGACTTCTACATGCCTAACAGAACCAATTGAAGCCCAACCATGGAGGGTTAAAAAGGAACAACAATTCTGGGAAACATTTTGACAAATTTATCTCTGGTCATACGTAGCCCAAGATATATCGCTCTAGCGTATGTGCCACAGGTACAAGCATAACGCCAGAGCCGTACCTGCAGCTTTCACCAAGGGTTCCAGATCCCAACGCTCTTGATTCATCTCGATTCTTCTGAATCCAGATTATCATTCCCCAGTATCACCACTCCATAAAAACCTCTTCTACCGTGGCTCTGGCTGGACCGGCCAGGAGCTACCGCTGGGGCCGGCTGGAGGAGGAGACTGGTTTGGGCTGGAGAAGAAGCCGTTAGCTCCACCCTTTCCTCTGCGGTTGACATAATCCAAAGCAGCGATATGACAGAGATTTGGCACCTAGCTTACTGGGAGAGTTTCTTTGCGATCAAGTAGGTGCAGGTACCCAGGCCAGGAGAGCGACTTTGAGTAGGCCTCCGATTCCACCGCGAAGACCGTAGGGATACCGATACCGATACCGAGGGACGAAACCCCGGGCGAAGGTCCGCCGCCGGGAGGAGCGAGAGCCACGCAGTGCAAAGGAGCTCATCTTGTCCTATCTAATGAGATGAGAGACGTGATTGAGTTTGAATATTTGCTTCGACTGGACGATTGAGCAGAAAACTGGGTGGTGTTTTATTTAGTAGCTTCGGGGATAATACCGAAGTCCGAACTTCGCCCACTCGAGGCCGGGTTCTGTTCATACTTCATACTTCATGGTTCACGGCTGCTTGGGTTACCGCGCAGCCCCTGATAAATCGGATCTACTCCGTCTCCTAGTATACGGAGTAGGCTTTAATGGGGTCGGGGGCCCTTGGCAAAGATTCTTGTTTCTTCTGTACGGACTACGGAGTAGCTAGGTGAACCAAGGTTCCAGTTAGATTTGGCTCGATCTGCTGGTGGTCTTACGAATTACGATACTCCCTTGGCTTATCATTCCATGGTTCAGTTTTAGCATTGGTTGTTTACGTCTATGCTCAACGTATCCATAATGCCCGGGAAAAACAGTAAGCTCGGAATTTCCAATCCCAAGTCAGGGTCCTAAACGGTGAGTCTGATGGCAAGCACGTAGAATGAGGAGGAAGGTGGAAAAGGAGCAAAACCAGGGGGGGGGGGGATGGAAAGACAAAAAATACTTACTAAAGCGAAGTCAAAACCTAGAGACTCAATCGAGTCCTGCAGCAAGGAATAACATTTCTTGAGGCTTTCTTTGACGGTCTCGTAAATGGCGGGTGGGATCGGCTGGCCCGACTCCATTGCACGGATCTGACTCAAGATGGCGGACAGGAAGTTGTATCGCTTGAGACTGGGATTTCCGAGGGCGATCACCTGCAGCAGCTGCTCCTGGATGTGTTCTAGGCTCCGGATCAAGGGCGCTCGATGGGCCTTGGCCAATTCATCCAGGGAATCGACGATAAATGGGGGAGAAGATCCCACGGGCCGGGTAGAAGCCTCCTCCTCGAGTTGCGTGACAATTTCCAGCCCCAGGGAGGTATTCACATCAAAACTCAAGGCACCTTTAATCTGGCGGGCCAGCAATAGGAGACAACCGACTTGCAGGCCATCCAGATTGACGGTCGACTTTTCCGATGGTCCGACTAGCCACCATTGTGCGGCATAGATCCACGTGTGTGCGAGACGGCGGAGATGCACCCTATTGTTTCGATCAGGGTAGAATGTAGTACCCAGGGCGAGAATCAAGACCAGCTTCATCAGAAAATGGGTCGGGGTCGACTGCGGCTGGGTCCACAACTGACGATACTCTTTCCAGAAGGATGGGACATGAATAACACGGTAGATAGGCTCGAAAGTGCGGAAATAGGCATTGACCAGAACTTCGCACACTGATTGGGCCGGGAGCGTGCCCAGTAAGTCCGGAACCGGATGGTTGAGTCGGACTGACTCTTGGTCCTTGATGACCTGGCGGAGTTGCCGACAGTCCTTGAAGATGCTGGCGAACTCCGATCTGGTATCCACATTTTGCAGCGACGGTTCTACTTCTTTGGCGTCAAATTTGCCAAGGGCTTGGAACTGGTGATTGAACATTCGTCAGCGACAAGACTTTTGTAGGTTGAGGGAAGTAAATCCGATCTACCATACTTTCTCAGCGGTATGCAGCTAGTGACTGGGGCTAAAAAGCTTCGTCTTATCCGGGGCGACACGCAGACGAGGAAGGGTGGCCGGTATGGCCCATTCATTGACCGAAGGACTGGGACGAGATGCATCAGACAGCTGTTGTTCGGCCCCGAGAACCCGGTCGTGAAGGTGGCGCAGAGCCTGAGTTTGAGAGACGCTGGGATTGGGACCGGTCGTGCCTCGAGAGAGCGGAGGCCCGGGAAGCTGTTCTTCCAAACGCCGAACACGATTTTGCAGATCCTGGATGATCTTATTTTGATATTGATTCTGGTCCTGAGGCTGCGATTGTGATGTGGGTGCAGGTGGACGGCTCTGCGTCTGCGGGTCAACGGCTTGGGGAGGAGGCGTATGTCCCTCGGGCACGCAAGAAGCCGTGAGCCCGGAGAATTCATCTACAGAGGGGCTTCTGGCAGCAACCGCGGGGCGGTAGAAGCACTGAAGCGAGGTTCTCGCACGCTCACATGGGCCACAAGGAAATTCCCGGTCACAACGGACTTTGCGACGACGACACGGGTCACAGGACTTGGGGGGCCGGCGACGTTTGCGTGGTGGAGACGTGGTCAGCGAGGGGTTGTCCTGATCCTGCGCCATAATAGCTCAAGGGGTATATGCGATAGGAAGAGCAAAGGGGATACCGCAAGTGAGGTGATGCCTAGGCCAGATGAAGTCCGAGTAATGAAGGGTACAAGGTGCCAAAATACCCTCGGGCTCGGGCTCGGGCCCGGGGCCGAACTTTATCATCAAGCCGGTCACATTTAACAGTCTGGAAACCCTAAACTCCCGGGGAAATGGCCGAGAATCGTCAGCGAGGGTCGCCAGAAGAAGCTGTCTTTTAAAAAGGAATCGTGGAAATCCATTGCCGTAGGTGCCATACCGGTTCACAGTCATCTAGACAGCCACGGTCTCATTAGACCTCGCTGCCACTGCTCACCAACACGCTTCTCATACACCATGTCGGATGCTCGTTCGGAGAAAGGCCCCGACGAGCCTGCAGCAGAGGCCCCAAAAGCCGCACCGCCACCAGCAAGTGTTCCCGACGGTGGCCTCCAGGCATGGCTGACAGTGGCTGGCGCATCAGTCGCTCTGTTTGTCTCCTTCGGCTGGGTCAACTGTATTGGTCTCTTCCAGGCTGAGTACGAAACGAACCAGTTGAAGGACTATTCGAGCTCGGATGTATCTTGGATCACGTCTATGGAATGTATGTTACTGTGCAATATCCTCGCGTGCTCCTCTTCTCGACGAGCTGACAACTCCCAGTTTTCTTTATGCTTTTCGCTTCCCCCGTGGCGGGCAAGCTGTTCGACAGCTGTGGTCCGCGCTTGCCGATTGCGATCGGATCGGTCTTGCATGTCTTTGGACTGATGATGGCCAGTCTCTCCCACAAATATTATCAGTTCATGCTGAGCCAGTCGGTGGTGTCTGAAACAGACTCTGCTACTGGAGTCGCATCTCTGAAATGCTTGGACCAGCGACGATAAGAATGTCTCAGATGCACAATGTTCGTAAGTACATAACTTACTGTGTAGTGGGCCCCTCGATCAAAGTGTAACCGTCACAAACTTGTGGTAGATTAGGTCTGGTACCAAGAGGCGACCTCCCTAGGGACTACGGAGGAGGTACATAGTTAGTATGGAGTAGTTCCTAGTAAGTTACTACACAGCATCCATATATCGATCGACCCAACAACGTGAGGACCATGGATCGCCAGTGGAGATCTTCATCGTCCATGCCCCTGGAGACAAGAGTATCTCATATTCTCATTCTTGACTGCAGGTGCATGTTGTCATAAGCATGGGTTATTCATTTTATTGACTCCTGGAGGATTAAGGTAATTAAACAAGCTTCTGATGCAATATTAATTATTATTATTATTATTATTATTATTATTATTATTATTATTATTATTATTATTATTATTATTATTATTCCAACCAGTCCGCAAGTCATTCGGGGGTATGACTGTATGAGGTTAAAGACGGAGGACTTCCGGAGAACGGAGGAATTGGAATTACATTACTGTGGCTGGTGATACAACTACGGAGTACAAGACTATGGTACGGTTGGTACCTACCTACTACCTACTACCTACTACCTTAAGGTACTCCGTACATACCCCTGGTACCTTAACAAGCATATCTGATTGTTGAGTATCCGTACTCAGCAAACTAGAAGGAATGATGAAAACGGCCTCTTTCTTGATCATGTAGTGTGATGACTGATGAGGTTATGTAACAGCTGCAACGGTCCCTCTGTCGTTCTGACTTACGAGGTACCTGTACGAACCTGTGGAGTAGCTACCTAGTATCTACTCTGTACACCTGGACAAGGGGAACTCAAGAATTGCCCACTGACGGAGTGGTGACGGCAAAATTTGCCACATTTTTTCGCATCTTTTGATTTCATCGTTATGCAAAAGTGGAGCCGCCCTCAATTTGGGAATGGGAGATCGAGTGGAGCCAGGTGAGCAGCTTAGCAAGTTGCTGTGCTGAAGCAGGCTGATAAGGTACTAGCGCTAGCAAAAGTCATGATATCACCCAACTCGGCGCTATTGGTTCCTCGCGGGCTAAGGGGGAGCCAGGATTGTACGGAGTACTCCGTAGGTAGGGAAAAAAAAAAAAAAAAAAAAAAGCTACAGAAAAGCACTTTTGGTGAGGGATGGAATGGACTGTCTACCTAGTATCTACGTACTACAATTCTACATGGGACATCAGCCACAGTGGCTTCAACTGAGGTCGAGATACCGTACATACTACTCCGTACATACTCCATAATACCTTACGATCTTACCATCTGTGTACAGCTTGGCAATTCGCCGCCAAATTCGGATCATCATCATCATTAGCATAATTGCATTAGCATCATCGTGTGAATTTCATCTTAGATCTCAAATTGAGTCTGGATCGGAGAGTGGAGAGAGCCTTCAGTCGTTTCTGCTTCAAAGCTCCTACTACTAAGTCCTAAGTCCTAGCATTCTCTCTTTTTCTTTCCCCCAAGGACCTTTTCACATCTGGGTTTTAGTTCAGGTATGACTTATGAGACACTGGGGAGATTCCCTTCATTTCATTCCTTTTCTTCGAATATTTTCTCACACCCTCTAGACTACGGAGTACGACAACCTCTCCTTTCGAAACTAACTAACTCCTAGATAGTTAGCATACATCCTGATCTGCTTCTCTATCATTCCTTTTTCTTTTTTCTTTTTTTTCTCCTCAACTCTGGACCGATTAGACTTTGGGTGGAGGCAACCAGGTGTTCAGCACTTCAGCCTGTGGGCGCCCCTCTTGCTTCCACGGTTCTCTGATCTCCTGGCCCTGCGCTTTCACCATCTTTTCTCTTTTCTCTCTTTCGTCCTCTCTCTCTCTCTCTCTCTCTCTCTCTGCCTCTGGATTATCTAGTCTTTTGCTTTTTCTCAGGCCCCCTCGCCTGGAGATCTCTTCTTCATCTTCTCACTTTCTCTTCTCCCCTCTTCATCGCGCTCAATTAGTTGCGCACGCTTATTTCGGTCCCTCCTGGTGCTGCGATCACAGGTCGCCCCATCTCCCTGCACCCTGGGAACTTGCGCACAACCTCCAAGTCATATATATTTATTGAATCGCAATCGCGTCGCTACGAAAAAAGATTGCAGTCAACTTCTATCGATTCTTCCCCACCCCCTGGGGAGTATTTTGACTGAGCCAAAATGGGCGTCAACGATGCTGTAGCTGGGCTGCACCAGCTAACCCGCCGTGACGTAAGTACAGTCCAATTCCCGCATCTCGAGAATTGAACTTGCAGACTCCAGTCGCAAGGTCAACAGGACACGGACTGACATCTAGTAGGATGACAACCCGCAAGATACGTCGAATTCGGCCTCGAGTTTGGTCACAACCTTGGTTCCGTCCCTGGTTGTGGCCGTCGTCATGGTTCTGGTCTTCGTGATCCTGCGTCGAAGCCAACGCCGCATGTACATGCCCCGTACCTACCTCGGATTTTTGCGACCCTCGGAACGCAGTCCTTCTTCGCGCACCGGCCTGTGGAATTGGATCGTTGACATGTACAAGCTGCCCGACGAGTACGTCTTGCAGCATCACTCCATGGACGCCTATCTTCTGCTCCGCTTCCTGAAAATGATTACAATTATCTGCTTTGTCGGTTGCTTGATTATCTGGCCGATCCTGCTACCTGTTAATGGAACCGGTGGAGCAGGAAAATTGCAATTGGATCTCCTGAGCTTGTCAAACATTGCTACTGAGTCCATGGCTCGCTACTTCGCTCATGCCTTCATGGCATGGATCTTTGTCGGTCAGTACATCTTCCTTCTACCCGTTCCCCATTGTTTTTCGTTTCTTTCCTTTTTCCTCCCCTGAGACAAATTCTCATTAGCTTCTAGGCTTCGTCTTTTATACCGTTACCCGCGAGAGCATCTTTTATATCAACTTGCGTCAGGCCTATTTTCTCTCCCCCGCTTACGCAAGCCGACTCTCGTCGCGCACCGTACTTTTCACCGCCGTCACTGAGGATTACCTCAATCGCGACAAGATTCGGCAGATGTTTGGTATCGACAAGGTGAAGACCGTTTGGGTCGCTACCGATACGAGTGAGCTTGAGGACAAGGTCAAGGATCGGGACGATGCCGCCATGAAACTGGAAGCGGCCGAAACCAAGTTGATCAAGCTGGCAAACACCGAGCGGGCCAAGGCACTGAAGAAGAGCGGAAATGTCGAGGACGACGCCGTCCCGCTCGAGAACATGGCGGGCGAGCCAGACGACGAGTCAGGCTCCATCGCTGCCCGTTGGGTCAAGCCTTCGGACAGACCCACTCACCGTCTGAAGTTTCTCATCGGAAAGAAGGTCGACACCATTAATTGGGCGAGATCGGAAATCGAACGTCTCACCCCTGAAATCGAGGAGCTTCAGGCTAAGCACCGTGCTGGTGATGCCAAGCTGGTCTCGTCCGTCTTTGTTGAGTTCTACCATCAAGCCGACGCACAATCTGCCTTCCAGTCTGGTAAGTCGGCCTTGGGCTCACCAAGTCGCCATTGTTAAATCACGCGTCCGAATATCACTAACGTTCATCCTCAGTTGCTCACAACCTGCCTCTGCACATGGCGCCCCGTTATATTGGTTTAGATCCCACACAAGTCGTTTGGTCGAACTTGCGCATCAAATGGTGGGAGCGTATCATTCGTTATGCTGGAACAATCGCGTTTGTTGCAGCTCTTGTCATTTTCTGGGCCATCCCCACCGCTTTTGTCGGTTCTATTTCCAACATCGACTCCTTGACGAACAAGGTGCATTTCCTAAAGTTCATCAACGACGTCCCTGGCTGGATCAAGGGTGTCATCACCGGTCTTCTACCCACCGTCCTGATGTCGGTACTCATGGCTCTGTTGCCCATTGTCCTGAGACGTGAGTTGCAACTTCCCTAAAGCCCTTTTCGCTACCGTTAAATAACATCTTCTAGTGATGGCCAAGCTTGGTGGCGCCCCCAGCGCTGCGGCTGTTGAATTGACCACTCAAAACTTCTACTTCGCCTTCCAAGTGGTTCAGGTCTTCTTGGTCGTGACCCTCGCTTCCTCGGCGTCCAGTGTGGTGACTAGAATCATCCAGCAGCCCACCTCCGCTGCCTCGCTCCTTGCGCAGCATATCCCCACGGTGTCGAACTTCTACATTTCATACATCATCTTGCAAGGGTTGTCATTCAGCTCCGGCGCTCTTCTGCAGATCACAGGTTTGATCCTGGGTAAGATCCTAGGCAAGCTGCTTGACTCCACCCCGCGTAAAATGTACACTCGCTGGTCATCCCTCTCCGGTCTTGGGTGGGGAACCGTGTATCCTCCTCTGACCCTTCTGGCTGTTATTGGTAAGGCCGCAACCCTCAAATTCAACTCTGTCTGAGATGCGGCTAACACTGTTCTCCGAGCATAGCCATCACGTACTCCTGCATTGCACCCCTGGTACTCGGCTTTGCAACCGTTGGTCTGTACCTGTTCTATTTCGCCTACCGGTACAACATGTTGTATGTGTCCAACGCCGATATTGACACTCAAGGCAAGGCCTATGTCCGCGCTCTGCAACATATCACCGTGGGCTGCTACCTGCTCGTGGTGTGCTTGATCGGTCTGTTTGCTATTGGCACTGCGTCCAATAAGGTGGCGCTCGGACCCATGATTCTGATGATCATCTTACTTATTTTCATGATCTTGTACCATGTTTCTCTTCAGACAGCTCTGGACCCGCTGATCCAATACCTCCCCAAGAATCTGGAGGCTGAGGAGCAGAGTCTTCTTTCCTCTGAGCCAACCAAGCAGAGCCATTCTGCGGGAGAGGAGGTTGATGGTGTTCATGCCGCCGGCTCGGGCCAGGACGGAGAGAACGGTAATTTTGCCAGTATCGACACTGCGGAGAAGGGTATACACACCGCACCCGCAGTCATTGGACAGAAACCCAACCTCTTCATCAAGTGGCTTCGCCCCGACAAATACGATGGATACTGGCAATTGCGGCACCTTGTTCCCGATGGCCACGAGTCCATCCAGTATTCCGCCGAGGTCGAGCGCGACGCGTATTTCCACCCCTCAATCACTTCCCAACCACCCCTTCTGTGGATTCCTCGTGATAAACTCGGCGTGAGCAGGCAGGAAGTCAAGCACTCGTCCCGGGTGATCCCCATCACTGATGAAGATGCATGGCTCGATGACAAGAATAAGATCCACTGGGATGAGGACAAGGGTGTTCCACCCATCTACGAGGAGAAGGTCTATTATTAAAGCCAGTGGTTTCTCTTCTCCCCCATGCCCGCTACCATTCTAACGAGAGCTCACTCCGAACGCTGTCTCTCACGTGATGACGCAAATGAGGTTTTCTCGCCCCTACTGATTGATACCCCAACAGCCAGAAGGCTGAAGCAAGACGCCGACCCTTTACAATCCTTTGACCGAATTTTCATTCTAACATATGTTTGAAGGGCATAGTGGCTCTGATAATGGAGGATATACCTAATGTTGTATTCTGACGCGATCTATGATATCGATGGTTACCGTCATCGGACTGTTATTCTCTTGAAAATGCGCAATCTAATAATCTATTCCATGACTACTTGAGCAGTTCACATGTTTCACTCCATTGATTGCAAGCTTAACGAACGACTGCACAAGGCGACTGGGCAAATCCTCTAAATATATACCGTTACCATGATACCAGTACGCTAAAAGTAGTTGGTCTGTACCGAATAGCCCTTGATACTATCAATACCATCCCATTCTACGTTCACTGCTGGATCACCCCCTGAAACCCAAGGATTCGAGGGAAGGAAGATAAAAGTGACATTGACGGATCAGAATTTAGGATCTAGGCGTTGCTGCTTCCCAAAGATCGATAATGCTGCCACGTCTCAACACACACCTTTCCTATACCACCCATCTCCATCTCCAAAGAGCATGCCCTTCGTTCAACTCAACCCGCTCACCACTGTGCCGGATCCGCATCGGCAAAAGTCGATCCCGCGGCAATCTGATCATACCAGACCTGTCTGGTGCCCTGGGAACCCTTCATGCCCTTATCATCATGCCATCCGTTCGCATACAGCCCCGCACGGAACTGGAAGGCGCGAGAATCATCAATCGTCGTGGCGAGATTCCGTTGGTCCAGCACCTTGGCGCCGTCGAACCACAGCTTGAAGAATCCCGTGCCATCCGACTCCCACTTCGACTGGATGACGATCCTGTGCCAGTCGCCCGCCGTGACCGTCGCCAGGTTGGGGAAGTCCTTGGTCTTCTGCGCGCAGATGGTGCCCTGCTTGACGCGCGAGTGCAGCTGGGTGCCGACCAGCCAGACCATGGTGGAGGGCATGAAGTCGTCGCAGCCGGTGTCGCTGAAGTCGGCGATGAACTGCGCGATGTTGTACGACTGGGCGGGCGAGAACTGCCAGTCCTCGGGCAGGCGGAACGCGAAGCCGTAGAACCCCGTGTCGCCGCGCTTGTAGACGTTCTTCTTCACCACCTCCGAGTGGTACCGGCCGCGGTAGCTCGAGTCGTAGATCTGGGTCATCTTGAGCGCGCTTGGGCCCTTGTACACGACGTCCGTGACCTGCTTGACGGTGCCCGAGTGTTCGTGGTTGATTTGGTCCCAGCCCGTCAGCGTGCCGGGGTTGCTGAAGATCTGGGTGGCATCGGTGAGGCCGCAGGCGAGCAGGGCGACTGCGCCGAGGAGGGAGGCTTTGACCATTTTTGATGAAAGGAACTCGAACGCTGGAGGCTGGAGAGATCACATATCACTGGGTGACGGGAAGCGCGGGACAGGCCAGCTATTTATCTGCTCGATACTGCCCGGGCCCGGCATGGGTCCAATTAGCACCGGCTCCGGAGCAGGTTGGTAGATTGAGGAGGATCGTCGTGAGATGAAGGGTACCGTTTCACTGCAGCTGCAGGCATTGTCTAAGCATACGGTCAGCATAGCTAGGCCCTGCCCTTACATGGGATGATGCCGATCCCAGCATTAGTGAGGGAACGATTTTCTTCATCTTCGAGCACAGCTTTTGCTACAATACTCTCGTCCATGGCGGCTGTTTCGCCGAGTTTGCCGGTAGTCGGCAGGAGGGCTTGCGCTTAGTGTTGGGGGCCAAGCTATATGGCGTTCCACTCTAAGCAATGGCTAATTCCAAATAAGCTCTCTTCGGCAGAGTAGTTCAAGTATAGCTGAAGATCATGCGGTAACCTAGTCAACCTACACGGTCGACTTTCGACTGGGATATCTGCACTCCCATGACGCGTGAAATGAGAGCACTTCCTGTAAAAAAGGGAACTGGCAATACTCCAAGACAGGCTTGTCAGCATCACACCAGAACAGGAGCTTAGCGGAGGTTACTGTGCATTAGTGTGTCAGGGTTCTCAATAGCTCCAATAATTATACGCTGCAGGAGTGATATATAAATCATGCGGATATACATGGCCGGGAATTTGGGGGCCGAAACTGAGTTTGGCACGTTTCTGCTTGCTCACTACTGTGAGTCCAACGCATCAAACCGGGAATTATTGCCCTCATAACCAACCAAAGTGCGCACTCGCCCATTCCGATGGCCCTCCGTGAACCGATACGCGACTGACAGCCATTTCCGGGTGCCCGGCATGGGATCGTGCTCACAGATATCATTACCAATCCGGAACTCCCTGTTCTCGACAATCAGGCTTATCAACCGATTTCTCACTGATTGGTTGCCATCATAGCACTGGCCGCCCCAGGTAACCGAGAGAATGCACACAGGTCCATTGGTTGGGGAGCCCACGCAGCCTTCCAGTCGGGCCAAAGCTCGCTTGCTCTCATCGAGCGCTTTTTGCACCTGCGCGATGTCTACGGTGGTGACCGTATCGTCTTCGACTACGCCGGAGGTGGGAGAGGTGTTCTGCATTGTGTTAGTAGGCTGGAAAAAAGGTGGAAAGGAGATACTGAGAAGGGACCAAAGTCTGACCTCTTTGTTACCCCAGATTGGACCCAGCCGAAAGATGCCACTTTGGGGAGTGAGACGCGAACTCGAGACCCCGTAGCCCCAGAAGCCCTTGATATGGGCATTAACGAGGAGGGGATCGAAATGCTTCATGCTGAGCCCTTCGAACTGGACGCCACCACGGACCCCTTCGCCGTTTACGGCTGGCTTCCAGTCCTCTGAATTGCCAAGAAGATCGGGTCCACGGTTGGTGTACAGCCGTAGGGCAGTCACGCGGGGCATGGCATTCGCCTCGCCCTTAACGCGTCCGGTCTCAATGGAGCACGCAATAATCTTCTCGCCGTCTTCAGGCCGCACTGTTAGCGAGACCTTGCGGCCCCCTCCCGCAGTACCGGTCGTGGCCAAGAGTCCATTGGCGTACCGCGCAGTCAGGCCACAAACCACCCCGCCGTTCAACTCAACGGTGACGGTGCGCAGGCTGAAGTCAGCCTTGACGAAATCCAAGTGGCAAAAGAGGGCGCCCTGGACGGAGCCGACCATAGGTGCAAGCCTGAGGAACTCGCTGATATCGGGTTGGTTGTTCGTATAGGTGGACGCCTTGGCAGCCTCGTCGTCTGTCACTCCATCACCATCAACACGCTCGAGTAATGGAGGGTAAGGGACGTCTGTGCCAAAGATCTTGAGAGGCGGCATTTTTTCCTTATACTTGACGAGGGGGAGACGCTCGCGGAAGACAATGGGGCTCTGGAAGGCTTCAGGGCGCTTCTCATCAGCGGCGTAGTCTGGGCGTTCCTCAATCGCATCGACTTCCTTGACGATCTTGACCATCTGGAAGCGGCAGGCACGGCGGGCAAGGTCAAGCCCTTTGATGCTGGCGGTGAAGCGAGACTCGTCATCGATGCGGGAAAGGGTGCTGTTGTCCGCAAAGGCGGTGCCCTCAGGCCAGTCGCCAAACTTCTTGGTGCCAGCTTGAATATCGAAGAGGTTGCTTCCCAGGTTGCGATATATCTGGGAAGAGTCAGAAAGCTGTGGGGACAGATGAGTAGGATGTGGAGACAAACGTTCTTGTAGTCCATGTAGGCGTCCAGCATGGAGTTGGTGTAGATGGCTGCGTTCTCGTAGAACATCGGCTTGAGTTCTGGGGGCTTCAGAGCCATGAAACTGCGGAGCGATTCGTACTTGGTGAGGATGGCACTGGAATATGGAATTTAGTATTGAGCCAAGACAGAAGAAGGGTAGAAAGCAGTACTTACTAGGTTCGCTGGGGCGTGTTGGCGACGAGGTCAGGGAACTTGGCAGCCGTTTCCATCAGCGTCGGGATTGTCCATGGTTGATCCACTGTATGCAATCAGAACCCCGTGGAAGAAAGAGCACGCAGGATGTGGGACATACTTGGCTTGATGTGCCCGCCTCCAGACCAACCGACCTGGATTGTCGTCTCCGTTTGGGACGAAAAATCGGACTTGGCGATATCGGCCTTCGCGCTACCTTTGACGTCCAATACTCCAACGCTCAAGGCGATTTCGGCCCTGCCAACGCCAGATTAGCCAGTGGAGGAAGGGTTGGAGAGTTGGGGAAACGAACTCAGCCTTGATAGCCATGCGCTTGTCCTTGTTTACGACCTTCATGCTCACCAGGGCATTAAACTCACCACCTTCCAGGAAACCTGAGATGAAGGTGTCACCAAAGACGGAGCGGAAGTTGTTCTTGTTCACCGAAGGGAGGCCTTGGAAGACGAGGGCATCTTTGATGTTGATACTCTGGTTGATCACCTTGACACTGATGAAAAAGTTGAGGTCACTCTCCTTGAACTTGTCCGAGTCGACGAAAGAGCCCTTGCCGGCACCGCCGATGGCACCATACTTGATCGAAAGGGAACCGGAGATGTTCATGTCATCAGTGATTTCACTAAAACATCAGTTCTGGTTCGCAAAGATGTCTCTTGAAGTAATGAAGCCAGGAATTATACCTGATCTTGTTCACAAAGCGTGAACTGTACGAGACAATCTGGCTTGGTCCCCGCTGGGACAGCTCCCGCACTGCGCCACGGGCGTTGGTGGACTTCAAACCTGTCCCGGTGGTCTTGATACGGGCAAGGCGCATTCGTTTCTTCTCAAGAAGCAAAGCATCGCGCTTTGTGTCATCGCTGTTGGGGTCGGTTGCTTCCTCGACGGCAGCCTCCAGCTTGGCGATATCCTCGACGAGCTTGCTGACCGTCTTGACATCTTGAGTAAGTTGAATCGCAATGCTATCAAGAGCCGTTGGAGGTGCAGGACCAATCATAGCCTGTGTCCCAGCCGCGACATCGGCAGATGCATCGCCCGTGGAAGCAGCCGTGACAGGAGCGGCCAAAGGCTCCCCGTCGTCGTAGTAGTCTTCCTCATCACCAGCACGGGCTCCGATGGCATAACGAAGCTCACGCATAGTGAAGCCATCGTTAGTGACTGCGTTGTCGATCCGGTCAGGATCGATGACGACGGCATCATCAATGCAGATTTGTTGTGTGTACGAGTTGAAGCTAAACCATCAGTTTTCCCCGTTGCTCTGGAGATGTTACGAAGTCCAACTTACCCTTGGCCTGTACCAACACGTTAGTAGACTGAACCTTAGTCAATTGATACAAGCGGAAACAACATACCAAGGCGCATGCCATTGTTGTAGGGTGCAAGAAGGAGAGCCATGATGGTCTGCTAGCACACAAGATTGGAGCTGGCTGCGGCAATAATGCTCTCGTTTCGGAACCATATATGTAGGGTAAGGAGAGGCCATCATCAATATTATTGAGGCCCTCATGGTGAGCTGGAAGAGAACTTAGAATCGTATTCAGCTCAGCCATGAATCCCATCGATGCTGGCCAGAACATGCAGGTTTGGTAAAACGATGCATTTTTGCCGATGCTGCCATGCACTTTGGACGTACTTTGGGAGCTCTCGATTTAACTTGTCAAGAATCAACCAATCACACTTGATAGATGGCTCGGTTCAAGTTGACTCTCGTGAAGGATGAAGAAGAAGGAAACATCACCGGTGGCTGATGTGGTTGCGAGACTATCGATTTGCCACGTGACGGGTATAGGATTGTTGTGATAACCTCAACTCTTGGTTCTAGACTCTTGGCTGTCTGGACTCCAGGATTCTTTACTTCTTTACGGACAACATCGTCCCCGGATCCGAAACATCGGTTCAATTAGCGCTAACTAGTGGCATTTAGTCTACTGGTGCATGAGTGTCCAATGCCGGACCTGCCGCAGACACTCCACAGGCATCAACAGAAGCTCAGCAACAACTCCACTCTGGCACAGCTGCATACACTGCTGCTGGGTCACCAGCCCACCCTTTCTCACCCCAATTTGAGTCAACAGTTTCGATATGCTGTCGTCCAGCCCCTGCGCACGCCGGTGGATCCCCCGTCCTTGTTCGATTACCGCCTGGAACCTTGCTGTGCCCAGCTTCACGGTCTCGCCGATGATTGCCTGCTCCAAGGTCGAGTACGCGCTCACACGAACCTCTGCTTGGTGCTCCGTGCGCGTTGAACTGCTCGACCACTCCTTGTGATAGTCACCAAACCACGATTCCACGCTAAGTTTCACCGATTTAGTCTCCGTCTCGCTGCGCGAGCTTGCATCCGTGCTGAAGAGGACCGATGCATCGCCTCCAATCCGGTAACCGCCCACATAGTAGTCGCCAAATATTGCCTTGAACTCATCGAGGCCCTTGCTGTAGAGAACCCGGAACGCATCCTCCGAAAGCTCAGGTGGACGCGCAAAGGCCACCGATCCGGCGCGATAACTCGTCGTGACCGAGACCTTGGCGGAGTCTCTGTTGGTCAGGACGTCTCGATCATACTGGACGGAGACGCTAGCCTCGAGGAAAATCAGATCAACGCCAATGCCACCCCCCACGCCGAGATGGTCTGTGGATGTAGAGGAGCCTGTCGCTTCGGAAGACCTGAAGCTGCCATTGCCATCGTATGCAGTGAACATGACTGGTGTCGAGCTGAGGGACTTCGCGTCGAAGGCTGACTGTGGGGCAAACGGATTGCCGCCGCCATAGTCATTCACCGTGGCTACAGATCTGAAGAACATACCCAATGGCAAGATGCGGGCCTGCCAGGGCAGTCGAATGGGTGACCGCGTGAGAGCTTGTTGGGCCACCCTAGGAATGAGCGGATCGAATGTGTCGGCATCAAGGATGGCGGCTGCCATGATTACCAACTCACTAGCGACAGTACAAGAGTGGACGAGAGGTTGGGAGAAAGGCTGGCTGAGTTTTTGGATGCGGTGCTGGCGATAGGAACTTGCTGGGACAAGAGATCTGGGATTTTGCAGACTAGTTATAGGAAACTATCGAAGCTGATTTGGGACTATCGAAAATATACTAGGATATCGAGTATGTCCAACTGACAATCTTGCCTTTCCAGACTCCAAGAACTACTTACATACCCGTCTTCAGCTGTGTGCTACAGTACAGGTGGCCCAGATTTTGAATTGATACTCTTTACCTCCAGACACATCGAGCTATTGCATTGAACAGAATGACTAGTCTTTCCAGTATCGGTCAGGACACGATGGAAAAATCCTCCTATGACTGCTCTAAATCGTCACTCACTTTTCAATCCAGATAAATACAAAAACCCTGACAACTGGGAGGATGACCCCTTCGATATACGTTCTCCATTCCAACCATGCAGCGAGTCGCGGGTTCTCGCAGATGCTCACTACTTCCCGAGAGACAATAGCGGAAGGTCTCTCTCATTCTCCTCTTTTATTCCTCTCTTTGCCAGCCAGCACAGCTAATCAACATTTCTAGACCCTCCATCCGTAATGTGAAGGATATTCCCGCCCCGGAATATGCCAATCCTTCGCCTCAGCTCACTCTCAAATCTCTCGAGGGATGGCACCAAGTGTGCAAACAAAGTATCGAGCTCGTGCGGGATAATGCGGCCGTCATCTCACAGTGGCGAACAGATGCGCTGGGCAGTCAAATTGATGTCCTGAAACTCGCCCGCCAGGCTATCAAGTCGTACTTCAATGACGATACCATGAATTCCACCGATCTCCGGCAAAAGACGGCCCCGTCAAAACCCTGGCAGCAAGAGATCCTTGCTACGATTGAGGGAGCTTTCTCGCAGAATCTCCCGACATCACCTGAGGTCCTCTACACTTTGTATCAGTTCGCCGAGATGAATCGCAACATCATTAGCCAACACATTATCAATAAACCCCAAAAAAATCTTCTGATAGGTAGGCCAGCATCTAGTTGGAAGTTCGAAAATCTTGTGGATCTCTGTTGCATCCCCCTGTTCAACGTTGGGATGGAGGGCATCATCCCGGGTAAACCTACAGGCACGGGGAATCCGACTGGCTTCGAGGCCGTGAGCAAGAAAGTCAATACAGCAATCAACAACTGTTACAGTATGGGCTTTACACTCAGATCAATCTCTGATCGCATCCAATGCGGCTTGCTGATGACCATGCAGTTGTGAAACGTATTCTGAATGAAGTCAAAATGGTGACAGAAACGGAGCTCTCCCAGTTTACCACAACCCATATGTCATGGTTCTTGCTGAATCCGTGGTGTCTCTTCTTCACCTTATTGCGCGATCTGATGACGCGGAAAAACGCAGAAGTTGAAGCAGCTCAGGTGAATAAGTCCTTGACTCTCGAGAGTATGGTGGCCGATGAGGACAAACTCGAGCCTTCGTCCGAACAGCTTCTCCATCGCTTCATGGAGGTAATTCTCATCTTGTTCTCCATCCTCTGCGATGAACGAGACGTGTTTCGCAGGTAAAGCCGCACAATCCCAAGATGATCTTTCCAATCGACAACAGGAGGTGACTGACTGACAACTGCATCTTAGCACCCCCGGCCGTGTTGATCATTCTATCAATGTCGGTTCCAAGCCGTGCAACATCTTAGACGATGGCTACGTCTACGTATGCCGTGGAGGGACCTCCGGACACCCAAAGAAAGAGTATGATAAGAACGGTAAATACTATGCTACGTACTCGGTGAATGGAAAGGCGCAACATGAACCATCTGATCGGAACCGCTACGGGCATATACCCATCATCCGATATGAGGTACGTCTGGCCTTTCTCTCTTGGTCCTTTAGAATCTGACAGAGAAGTCAAACAGGCAAAAAGTCTAGCAATGTCCTCCAATGTGCATTCCCAAATATTCTCAGAACTGCTATCAGCTGCCATCTCGAACATGGAGTACCTCAAGATCTCAGATCCTAAAGCTAGTATTCTACCTAAAGAACTTCGAAGTCAGTGGGCAGGGGTTAAGGAGCCTTCTGCACCGTATCATGACGTTTGTGCATCCCTTAGCTTATTTTCAACGTGACTAAATCCTAATATGCATCTAGGCCTTCGTGATTCATATGCATCATTACTCCTTGACGATCCATACCGCTCGTTTCCCAACGGATTATCTCACATGGGTTACAGACAGCACGGAAAGCAACCGCCCAACCGAACACTACTGCATCCTGTACAAGGTATCTAACGTGTACAATCTAGCCAAGCCAGACAGTCGACTCGCTGCTGCTCGGGACATTTTGACTCTTCTACATGCTATCAGGAACAGCGCGCCGACAGAGGACGGGTCGAGACTATTTGTGGCTCGGGCAGTCATGAGGCAGTCCATCGGCGGTAAGAAAGAATCTGGCGAGAAGAAAAACATGCCAGTCAAGGATCAAACCAAGGATCACCGGGATAACTCTGGTAAGATGAGACTCGACTTACTCGCTCAGCCACAGGTGACTGATGCAAATACAGACAAGCACTTAAAGGAATTAGGTAAGAAACCGACTGACAATAACAGTAGTCGTGGTAAGATCATGATGAGCCAGCCTTGCTTACTGCGAACTATAGCTGAATGGGACACAGACAAGCCAGGAGGCAAAAATCAAGCATCGAATCAACTATCCAACAATCAAGGATCCCTTCAGAATCAAGCACGCAACCAGCCAGCAGATTATCTACATAACGTGCAAGCATACAATCAATCGCCCAGCAATCCGTTAGGCAAAGCACTGTCCAACAAGCATGCACACACGATGATCGGTAGGAGGGATTTCGCCTAGTTGACTTAGGTACCTATCACTAAGTCGGAACAGGCGACGGGAACAGGCACCAGCAGTACGGCCAAGCACCGGAGAAAAAGGAGAACTCAGCGCAGTTCTCCTTGAAGCAGGACTCGAAACAGCCGAAAAACACAGCCGTAGGCGCCGACAAGGGGAAACAGACCAAGGAAGAAGGTACTCACACGAAGCGTTACAGTAAGCCCAGCCCCGTATCTTGTTCGTGCTTCAGCACCTGCGACTAAGACGAGATTGGTATATCTAGAACAGAAGTTGCAACAGCGGCAGCAGCTGAAAAAGAACACCCAGGGTAACAACGCCAGTAAGCCGATCTAGACTCCCTGTCCACTCGCCCGACGGGTCCTGGGCCCTTCGATAACTGAGCAGATATAGATACAGATGATGAACGATCGGGACGTGTCGATGCGAAGGAGCGCAATCCCGCTCACATCGCTACCGCGGGCACGAAAAAAGTCAAATCGAACACTGAGGCGAATGGGGCCTACAATCAGAGTCCCACTATGGCTGTGAGAGGTTATTATGCCAATGGTAAACTACATGGTTTGTAAATTAGGGGCAGTCGAATATCATGGGTGGCAAAAGCACGAAGGATAATTGAGAAGTCTCAGCGAAATCTGCCAATGGGACTATGATAACAGCAACTGAGAATTGCGAAGTCATATCCAGTAGGTATATCCAGTAGGTAGCCATATACGTAATTTCTGGACCGCCGAGGGACGGAAACCTCGGTTTAGTCCTTGAAGATCCATGATATGCATTTTTTGATACTGGAATGGGGGAGCGCATACCCACAATCCGTGGTTGAGACTTGAGACCCTACCAGCGGGTCTAAATTCCCACATGGCTGACGCTGTTTCTTGGAACAATCCTGAGTTTTATCATTGAAGAGAGCGAGTCATTTCTTTCCAATGCTCGAGAACTTTGAAACGAGGATATATCTACACTTGAAGTTTGCAGGGAGAGTGGACTAAGGATTACGTACGTAGGGTCCTGCTCTTCTAATGACCAGTGTGGATCAGTTGATGATCTCACAAAATGCTTGTTGAGATTACCTTCAAGGAATATTTTATATTTATCTAGTCTTATGCTTAAATAACAAGGTAGACCGGATCACTGGCCTCATCTACTGAGGTTCACGCATTCATCGCGACTCCCCCCCTATCTCTCGGGGAAAGGAAGCATGTCTGCTTTATCCAGTCCGATCTTGTTTCTCGGTAGCATCGAGTTCATGATGCCAGGATATACGTCCATCCGTAGCCTAGAGAGTAGAGATACTTCATGATTGCGAGGCACTTGACCCACAAGGGTCCTCTTGTTCCATCTTGCCTTCAGACCCATTTAGTGGATACCATTGGGAATGCCCTGTATGATCTTCATCAAGTCAAGTCAGCATGCGAAAGCGTCTCCCACCGAGATATGGGAGGCCCTTTCTTCTTTCTCACCCCAGGCGTAGGAACTCCAGATCGCTTAACAGTATCTATATACAAGTCAGTACATCCAGGCATACCGCAGACCCATCCCCAGCACGAACGATCCATAGCACGCAGATGAATGAGCGTGCCACCATACCCTGTGCTTCCAGGCAAACAGACATGAGCTCACGAACAATGAGATAGTCGGCTCTTCGGAAGATCGTTCGGTGCATGTTCAGATGCAGGGATTCAGCAGGATGTTGATGCACCGATTCGCCCGCTATGGTCTCTTGACAGCGGTCTTGCTCATGCTGTTTGTCATGACATGGTCTCGCCATCATGATTTTCTGCCATTAAATGTAAGTCAATCTTCTGATTTGATGGGTTGCCATTGAGCAGCTGTATTCTGAATCTCAAGGAACAGGGACCCAAATCGGCGCAGGAGAAATATCTGGAGGAGCAAAAGTTGTACCCTAGGTTCGTATACTTCATCATTCTGTTCAATTCTTGCCGTTTGCTCGCGATCTAACTGCCATGGCATAGTAACTTCAAGAGTTTCGTGTCCACCCTAGACCGCATATCTGCACCATCGAATTATAATGGCCATACCATTGTTGAGGATCCTCGAGTTCAAGGGAAGGAAAGTACCAAGATGCCCAAGATATATCGACCATACCCGGACTATAACAACCGTCAGTGGCAAGATACGCATCGTAGTTTCTTCGTTCCCTGTCAAGGCCCGCGAGGCAAGCTCCTAAATGACAGCTTGGACGATCAGGTCGGTGCTTACGTTGGTATCCCTCATAGTACGCTCCGACCATCGCTCAAATATGTGGTTCTGTCGCGGCAAGCATCGACGCTGACCAAAGTCAGATTTCCCAACTCCCTTGTTCGGTAGCCACGATGCCGTCGGCCTCGACGGTCAAGTATCTTTTGACCGCTATACGAGATACGGTACCTATGGCGAGGGTGAAGACGAAATCTTCGTCAAAAATTGGATCAAGCCATCCAAAGTCGACTGGCCGCAAGTGAATTGGGCCGAGCTGCAACAGCAGTGCTTTGACAACAACGCTGCCAGATTCTCCGCAAAGAGTGATGGTATGCCCGCAGCAAACCCGCAAATTGCGCCGGAGTCTCGGGCTGCTATTCTCATTCGCACATATGCTGGAAAGCAATATACCAAGAACGATATCTATGTGATTCGATCCATGATCACCGAACTTTCACTGCAATCGGGGGGAGAGTATGAAGTTTTCCTCCTTCTCCATGTCAAGGACCCGGAACTTCACATCGATCAGGGAGAGGTGTATCAGAAGGTTTTGCAAGAGAATGTTCCCGAGGAATTTAGAAACATGACTATTCTTTGGAATGTGCCAATGGTAGCTTCCAGGTATCCGAATCTTAACCACGACGTTATTGAGTGCGCTCACACCACCTATCCCTGATAATCTGCCGAGTCAGGCTAACTGCCAGAAGTGTTCATCATGCACAATGGCTATCCATCCAACATTTTGCCTTGCAATATCCCGGGTTCGACTTCTTATGGAACTGGGAGGTTGACGCTCGATTCACTGGCCATCATTATGAATTCGCCAACAAGATAGCAGAGTTTGCGCTCAAGCAGCCTCGACGCGGGATGTGGGAGCGCAACTCGAGATTTTACGTACCAGGAATTCACGGCAACTTTGACAATTCTTTTCGAAACTTTGTGGAGCGCGCTGAGGAAGAAGGGGTTTGGGGTCCGCTACCTATGCCATTTGACAACAGGCAGCCACTTGGTCCTTCCCCACCGGTACGCTCTCCGAGTGAAGATAACTATCAATGGGGAGTCGGTGAAGAAGCCGATTATATCGGCTTTCTCCCTATCTTTCATCCTATCGGCACGGACTGGGTCATTCGAAATGAAGTCTATGGTTACATGGGCGCTGAAACTCCTCGTCGAGCCTCCCTAATCACGCATTCCCGCCTCTCAAGGAGGCTGTTGCTCGCAATGGACGCGGAAAACCTGGTTGGGCGACATATGGGGTCGGAGATGTTCCCAGTATCCACCGCCTTGCACCACGGGCTCAAAGCTATCAGTGCACCGCATCCGATATATTCAGATCATGGCATGCCTGCCCAGAGTGCGGATAAATGGTTCAACTCTGGCATCAATGGGAGGACAGGAAGCACAAAGAACAGTCCGTTTTCCTGGGGCCGTGAGTCTCGCTTCAAAGACCTATCGTGGTACTACCGCGCCAATTTGCCTGGGCGATTGTATTGGAATTTCTTGGGCTGGAGGAAGGATGGCACTGGGGGGAAACTGGTAAGCTTGCTTGAATGCTAATCCACCGACCATTGCTGATTGCAAGTTGTTCTAGTATGAAGCCTTATATGGCCGAGTTTGCCTTCCGTCGATCCTGTTCCATCCCATCAAGGATGTTCGGCCGGATGCCGACAGTACGCACTACCAATTCGACTCCGAGTTGGGATATATTGCTCTTCGTTGATACCCTCTGTGGATTATTGCGTCGATGGTCATTCTCGTGCATATATCAAATGATAGGTTTGTTTCTAATCGTATATTTGTTTTTGTCAGCAAGTCAGAGCGTTCCAATTCCTGCAATTGGATGACGAAGAGCTCGGGGGTTAGATGGATCGCACCTCTTAGATTATCCCCAGTTGATGCTGATGTACGGTATCTCAGTGGAAATAGAGTCCAGGTCTCAGAAGGTGATCTGGTGGGAAAGTACATGCTGATCACATGCCGTCGGATGAGGTAAGATGAGCTACAATCGCATATACATTGGAGGCCTTGGTGCCTTAGTCTGCGCAGTCACAAAGCATATACAGACTCACCCCTTAGGGAGAGTCCAGCAACTACCTGGACGGTTGATAACTCCCACCTTTGCTCCTGTAGTAGTACTATCCAGCACCACGTTGTCGCCACTCGAGACACCGTTGGACGCTTTTGGCTCAGATCCATCCCAAGTAATCTGAGTCCGATGAGGTAGTGTTTTCGTCGCCTTCACTCTATCTTTGGCAATGCTGAAGCAAGCTCACGCAATCTGGCGACCTGCTACCATACTATGAGCAATTTTTGTTCCTGATGGATGAAGATGAATCTCAGCACCCTTGCCCTCCTTATCGCTTCTACCTTAATGGTAGAATGTGTTACAGAGATACCTGTGCCAGTTCCCCAAGCCGAACCTGCCGTTATCCCCGACACTGACCTCTCAAATATCACCGTCAGGCCCCAGCAAGCGGTCCACTCCCGTGGAGTGCGTCTTTATACCCATTCGCGGACACTACGCCTATGTCCAATTCCAACTCGACGACGGTCATACCGCCTGCTATGGCTGGGATAGGTGGGTATGTGGCCGTTACCCTCCATGGTCCGAAGAGGATGTCCGCGATATGGGGGAGGCAGTTGCGCAGCAGTTGCGCAGCAGTTTGCAAAGGATGGAAGGTCCGAGACCACGGCTGTCGGACGCTGGACTGCGAATTTTGCGCTGGGCACTTCGAGCATGAGTGACCACAATGCCAGCGTCTACTTTGTCTGGGCCCAGCAGGCCTATGGCTATGACATGAAGAAGCCGCAGCGGGCGTACTATTTCTCTTATGATAGCCACTTCGTCACCGTTTCTCCTAAGGATGCCTCTTGTTAATTCATAGATTCATGTATATATCTATATATATATATATACCGCGCTGCATGCTCTTTTTTCGTTGGGTGTTCTGTAACCCGGTGCTTTCAGTCACATGGAGAACAACTTGAACCCTATCCTTGTATTGCTTGTCATGTGTGAGATGTGTTATCTAATGACCTTATGATTGTCATGTGTGAGATGTGTTATCTAATGACCTTATGATTGTCATGCTTAGAGCTAAAAACAAGTGTGTACCACATATACTGATTATTGTCTTCTGTCTATCAGGAATGTATTTATAAGTAGGGAATTCGCATCAATACTATTTCCATTAACTAGGAAGCTCGACGTCTCAAGCTTTCGTAAAGGAAGTGAAACTTGCGTTTTAATTGTGTTGATCCATTGTCTGGCTTGCGCAGGAGTCATTCGACAACCATACTTGATGAGTCGATTCTCTGCCGCATGTCAGTCGGAGCAATTGGCTCTGCTGGCGACTTTCTAGCCAACAATAAACCAGCTAACACGGGCTCAGAATCGGGTTGATAACACAGGCGGAGCGCTGCATTTACAGGAGAAGAGAAAGCTCTCCAGTTTGCTAGGAGAGTTGACCTCGTGGAAGGGTGTTGTCCATGTTTCTGGGCATGGTAAAGATAGTATGATAAGCAACTAGACTGTCATTAGGACCCTTGGAACTGATAATCGTTCATCTTCATGAGATGGGAGAGTATATCCTACTCACCGGGTCGGCCTAGGAGATTGCAGATGTTGCTGGCATTTTCTAGGTGGTGAGTTCCCGCAGTATACATTTCCCACTGACCCTCATGCTTCGATATAAATATTCTTGCTGGCAGTGACGTTGCTTCTTTTCAATCAACTGTTCGTCTTTGTCCATCAGCCTCTTCTTCCTATCCATCTCCACCCTCAAGAATGATACGCAACAGATCAGGAGCTTGGCATATTCAAAGACTCGCAGCCCTCGCAACCCAGCATGAGTTCCCAACTGCTCTTGCGTATGCAGAATGTCTGTAGATGATGGGTGGTAGGATATGCTTGGGTCATGGCTTTGTTGACCAGTTGATGTATGCCAAGCAGCGGAGACTGTGTTCTGTACTCCATACTCTATATGGAGTACAGTACTAAGTACCTAGAGATTGTCTGTATTCCAGCATTAATCAATGCCTATCTGGAAGGTGTACTTTATAGTTGATGCCATTGCTACTCTGTACAAGGATGAAACCACCTTCTCTAATCATCAATCATCAATGACGTGGGCCATCAATGCTCAAAGACAGCAATCTGACATGTCAACATTGCATAACTTCCTATACCTTTGTCACGTTAAGGTACTGTTATTCTGTATAACTACCCTACTTCGTACAACCTACCTAGTATGGAGTATGAATATTACAGAGTACAAACCTCCACTCTAGGTTATCAATATGAAGTTATGATACTACTCGCCTCTCCTTTCCCAATTCAATCTTACCGGTAAGATATCAGAAAATCTCAGAACCCTTTTCCGCCCCTTCCCCAACCCATCTCAAAAGTCAAAACACATCAAATCTCAAGCCTCATAAGATCAAATCAAATAAAAACTCCCCTATCTCATCCTCATCCTCCTTCCTTATCACTACTACGTATTGACTATCCTCACAGCTCCAAGCAATCTTATTTATCAAGAAAATTAATTTAATCAAATCCTAGCCCGTCCACATGACCACCCCAGCCCCAGCCAAGTCCAGCCCCAAGCCCCGTAGCCCATCCACAACCACGCGGCAGAACAGGCGTCTCCACCGCGCAACGGGAGTGAGTCCGCCCGCTGTCTAGTGTCGGTCGTGGCTTGTCGTCCTCGACCAGTGAGAACGGAGAATTGGGCGGTTGGCAGGTGAAGGTGGTTTCCATTTTTCTCACGGTAACGTACCTTACGAAGTACGGCGGGACAGGACAGGGGGGATTCGGGTTGATTCCATGGGGAATGGTTCGTAATTCTGGTAAGGTTTATGTAATTGGACAATGGACATTCCAGTAGCCGTAATAGTAGTGAGAACTAAAGAACTAAGAAGTGGAAAGGAGGATGGTGGAAGGAAGAGGATGCGGGGCGGGACAGGGGGAGGGACCGAGGGAGGATCCTTGTCTTAAACCACGGAGTAAGATGGTGACTTGTTTCTTCAGCTGCTGCAGGTGGTCGAATTGAGATTAGACTCATTGCCGCCCCGGTGAAGAAGAGTAGTGGATATATTGTTTGGACTTTGGAAGGATTTGTTGTGTTATCCAAGGAAATTGGTATCATGGCATATCAAGGAAATGGTAGCGCCCCGAGTAATTCCACGATCGCTTCAAAGATATATTGGATATGATATGCAGATGAGAAATGCTAGCATCCAACCGCCATGCTTCCGTCTGATGATTTCAGAAATCCACCCGGATAAATTCAAAAAGAAAAACAAGAGGATATGTAAGGAAACCCGAATGATTGTAGTCGCTGTAAAAAAAAAAAAGCCAAGCCACTCCAGAACATTGCCATGCCCGCTCATGATGATGATGATGATAATGATAGTGGTAGAAAGTAACCGGTGATGGCTCGAGAAAGACTAAATACGGAAACGTTTTATGACGCTAAGCTCAAGGAAAGTTGATGGGAGGTTTAGTCGGACTGACAGAAGCATACGATCTATGCTCTGAGCCGGTTGGCGCGAAACGCCTTGATATCGATGGATTCCATGGAGATGGATGAAGCATCGTCCACTTCGATCTCTTCAATTCCTGAAGCGTGAGGTTTGTCGCTGTGAGAGTCCGCATTCGGCTTCCCTGTCGATACTGTGAGAGCCGCCTCCGGCTCTTCGTTGGTTTCTGGCGGCACATCGGGCTTCAGGCGTTGCACCTCCCTGGTCGCTAACTCGAGCAAAATCCTAAACTTCTCCACCACAGCCGCCAATTCAGTGGAGCAATCTCCATATCGTAGCACTTGGTAGGCCGCTGTCTCGCAGAGGCTGTGCAACAATTCGAGCTGTTTATCTGCAATATCGAACGCGGTCTCTCTCAAAGGACCGCGCTGTTGAGAGGCCTCGCCGGGCGGGGGACCTCGGTTCCGTGCGCTACGGATGCCAGCGAGCAATTCCCCGTCAGGACTCTCCAGTTGACTTGGCATCACTGGCGGCGGCCGATTCACCCTCGCTTCCCGGCCAAAAGCCCCCGATCGTACCCCCCCTAGCGAGATCTGGGACATCTTGCCTCGTCGCACATTGTTCCTTGCCGTGCCAATATTTCGTACCATCTCCTCCAGCAACTTCTGCGTGTGGCCGTCGTAGTGGATAACAACATTGTGCCGGATGCTGACAAACCCAGCGCTCTCCTCCGTTGAGTCTGGCGACGAATCCTCGTCAGCACTGCGCTTGCGGGGATTGTTGATCAGGCGGATTTGGGACGTCAGGGGCCGCGGTCCAGCAGCGGGTGTTCCTTGGGTCGCTTCAATCGAGCTACCGCAGTCGAGGGCCGAAGGGCAGATCTCCTCGGTGCGGATGGAGCAGACGGAGCTATTCTTGCGCCGCCGGGGTCGCACGGTGGCGTACTTCTTGTAAGCTTCTGTGTATTCTCTATGCTTTGCGGCAGTATGGGCGGCTAGTTCTGACACTCGACCGATCCAGGATGGCAGGTTGTCGGACATATAGGAGAACGCCCCCAGGGCATCCATTGTTGGAGGCATTGCGGATATGTGTGAGGAAATAGAAACGGGCGCGGAGCAGAGTATCAAAGTGTAAATGATTGGGGCCGATTAGAAAGGGAATGTGAGTATTGATTATAGTCGTGACTCGTAGTCGGATAAGGTCAGTCGGTATAGAGTCGGTATGATAAGTGGTTGAAACGGGCCGGTCCTTAAGTATCTTGCCATACGACGGAGGGACAACAAACAAAAACTATGGGGGACCGAGGAACAGGGAAAGGAAGCGACAAAGCCTTCCAGTTCCAGCAGATAATGCGAAAAAGCTATTGACGAAGACGTGAATCACTTGTCGTTTTGAGAAAGAAAATTGAAGGTTGGATGTTGGGAGGAAATCCAAGTTCAAAAGGGAGAACCTATCATACATAAAGAAGGAAACGGGGGGGGGGGTTGCCGATGGAAATCGGAGGAGTCTCGTATTCTTCAGTACAGAATTACCAATACGCTGTACTCTGTACCTACTCTGTACATGCGGAACACCAAGAAAAACACCCGAGAGTAAAAATCATGATGGAGGGCGATCCATCGGTTTACACTTTCGACACACACAGGAATTGCCAGCGAAAATTGCTGGCGACTGGCGAGTGGCACTTGGATTCCCCGAAAAATGAAGCCCGAGGCTTGGCGTGGGTCGATGACTGCAGGAGGCCGCATTGGTTTCGTGACATACAGCGCTGGACGATCGTATCGTATGTTACAATCATACTCCGTAGGTACGGTACCTAGACTGCTGTCTGTCCAGACCCCAGACTCCAGACTCGAAGACTCCTAGTCCTACTCCTCCGTAGATTCTTCGGTCATCCCGTTGTACGGACTACGGAGTACGAAATGTTTGAATTGATAATTTGATAGTACTCCGTACTCCGTAGTCAGAATTAAGGGTTAGGATCGAGCTAAGGATGAAGACCCATGCTGGACACATAATCCCCCTGCTAGTCGATTCTTGGCTGCGTTTCTGACGTACCGTGGTTGAATACTCCGAGATACCAAAGTCATCATTACAAAGCACCATGGTAACTGGTAAGGTACTACCTACCTTACTTGCTCCATCGTTCAGGCTGCCAGGCATCCAGATCTCCCAACTCTGCTCCGTAAGGAGACAAACGACCTGATCATCCAGTGACTACCGATTCTTTCTTCCATCCGATTCTGACCACCAATTATCGAAGCATCTCTACAATCGATCGATCATCATCGAGCCTGTCATTCAACAATCTTGAGAAATTCAAGAAAGTGTCAACTGTCAACAATGAACCAAAGTTCTTCAGCATTGACAGCCTGTCGAGTTGCGGTGAGAAGCTCGTGGAGTCGGCAATCCTACATGCACGGTATCATATTCTGCCTTCTTATATCTAGACCGTTTACGACCAATGAATGCTCGACATATTGCAAGCCGTCTATGCTTGACAGGGCGGGTACAGCGCAGCAGGGGGACTGAGCAGCATCGTAGGCTACCTACTCCGTAGTAGTATCCATTGAACCTGATTTTCCCCCGGTCATTGGCATGAGCATTGTAACGATGATGCACGGTGAGGGGGTGGGGCCGTCAAATCGCGGGTTTGCCTGGAACTGGAAGAGTAAACGGGCAGCAAGGCAACGGCTTCACATGTGGATCATAACGAGGATCCCAAAGCGATATCTGTTGCTTGACTGTTCTGAAGTACAGTGGTAAAGTGGTTACTTGGTCCCTCCACTCTCAAGACACCGATATGAACCGAGATTCGAAGTCGACTCCGAAATGAGAATCAGATATGGGACTATGGCCTTGATGGGCCCGTGAGATGCAGATACTAATGTGAACCTGCCACTTTCTCTCACCCTAAGGCTTGATCACACACTTGACACCTGATGGAAGAACAAAGTTACTGTGATGTGCATCGGACGATGGACTATGCCCGAGAGAGCCATGACACGTAACGGCGCCCAGGTATATGACAGGGACTGGATGCAACCATGCGCCTCTCGACTGGGGAGTTTGAAAGTTGAACCGGCACAATATTTCCTCCTTGCCCTGCAACCCAGAGACTGAGCCGTCCGACTTGGTCATGACTCGCTCGATCAGGTGACTATCAGAGCACCCCATCTGAAAGAGACGGCGACTCCGGTATGGAGTAAACGTCAATTGTCTCCTCGGCTTTACTCGCTGATCCGCGGGATTTTCCGTGGAGAAATCCTTATTTCGACTGTGTGTGCGGTTTCAGACATTCATATTATGTCGGAAAGATGAAAGAGGAGGGTACTCCAGATTGTTGGACTTCTTGTGCACAGACAATGCGAGGGGTGGAAAGGGGGGGAACCGTACCACATCCATATTAAATTCCTCGTTCTCTCATCATGGAATATGATGCACATGCACATGGAAGAGATCATGTCCAACAGTAGTTATACAGATTACAGACATTCGTCTTATCCAAATTTCGAATAGAGAATCCACTAAGGAAGGTACTCCGTAGAACAGGGTGATTTGGAATTATTGCTTTTAGTCGGAATGATCTGCTCCACCGATTGTGTGTCTGGACTCTGGAACTCTGGGTTTCTCATGTTCTTCTTGGCGGGGGAAAAGGGGGTACTTTTGTCTCTTGACTCCTTGAGAAGTTGAGTAACATTACTACATAGTATGTATAACATAGTCTACTCTGTATGAGGATCAGTCCCAATCGGGTAACTGGTAGCGCTTTCCTTTTCTGTCATGATCACCGTGGTGCTTCTTTCCTTCCCGGGTAATTTTACATGAAGGTCACGTTACCAAGGAATGGACACAGCCCGATTGCCATCTGCTTCGTACTGACTACAGAGTACAGAATCTGAAGCCATCCTCAACCTCATCGTCAATAGCAAAATAATAACACTAATTGTGACGCCAGATCATCGGTGTTTATACTCGAACAATGAAAACAAAAAACAACAATGATGTACAGTACATGCAAGAAGTTCAGCATGCAAACCTGTCTTAGAGCCCACAATCCCCCCCCATCCATCCAGCAGAACGGAAGACAGGTTCCTAGAGACATACTGCTGAATGCAAAGAAACAAATCCAAAAAGCCACACCTCGCCCATCCGCTGTACACGGGGTCAAGGGGGCACCTACAAGAACCGTGAGAACAACCGTGCGCCGCCCTATGTGCATAAACAAATGAAAACATGATAAAAAAGAAGCCCCGCAGTCGCAGAAGCAACACTCCGCACACCTTGCCAGGCATGGATACAGAGGGAGCTGTAGGTTGAAAAACAAGAAACAACCTACTACTGTCCTCTGTTCCACACCTCCACCCAACTGTCAAGTGCTTGCTTGGCGGCTTGGAGGGATTGGATCGCTGCGAGCCACTTGGTCTCGGCGTCCTCCAACTTCTGCTGCAGTTCTCTACTGAGAACTGTATGCACCGACAGATGGGCGGCTCCTTCGAGACTGTCCGTCGGGAAGGAGGGCAAGAAACGCGTTCCGGGAGCTGCAGCGGGGGACCTGGTAGCAGCGATCACCTCGGCGGGTGCTGGAGACACGCTGCGAACTGCCGCCTGCTCGACGGCTTCAGCAACGCGCTCCGCCTTTGGCTTTCGACCCCGTCGAGTTCGCTTCGGTGGAGGGTTGGACGCCTCCCCGGTGCCGGTCCCATCGTCGCTCACAGCGGCTGCGGCTTTCGATTCGGTCGGGCCCGAAGGCGCTTCCTCCTCGACTTCGTCAAACTTGCGTTTGCGAAGACCGCCCCGAACCTGCCTTTTCGCGGCAGAGACATCCTGGTCGGATTCGTGGGGACGAGGGGCGGACTGTATCACGGCCTCCGCGTGTCTGCCCTTCAACCGAATCCGAAGGGGCCTCTTCGCTGGTGGGGGAGACTGGTCCTCCGCGCCCACCTCGGCAGAAGCGTCACTGTCATTGCCAGCATCATCCCTCTCACCGACGTGCGCCTCTACCTCCCTCTTACGCTTGCGCGGGGGAACGTTGCCTATGAGAAGAGAAATGGTCAGCTCATACTGTGACAGAAGATAATATGATAAGGGGGAAAGACTCACTATCATCTACCTCGATGACTTGCCTGTGCACGCAACGTATCTTTGATTTCTTGCAGTTGGCACACGCCGGCGTCAGCTTTTTACCATCAGCGCCTTTGGCCGCTGATGGTTGGATGCACCGCTGAACCATCGTTAGCATGCCACTAACCCAAACAAATCAGAAACTAGGGAGTATTACTGACCTTGCGGCCGCGGGAGGGCTGTTCACCCTCTTCCATACTAGGTGCCTGCTCGGCCCCAGTGGCTTCCTCGGCCTCGGACTTGGGGTCGTCAGGTTTCTCGACTTGAGCCACCTGCTCACTGTGGTTGTCTGTGGGTTCGACCCCAAGGTGAACCCTGGCACAAGCCAGGCACATGTCGGTCACCAAGCCGACGAAGCCTTTTGGGCGCGGAGCCCCGCACTTGACACAATGCTTGTCTTGGTCGGCCATTCTCTGCAGGAATTTTGTGTATTAGTAAGACCCTCAATGCGAGTACCAGGAGGGATGAAAGCACTGCAACCTACCGACAGATATGTGCTGTAAGATTAGCTGATTGATAATGCTTTGGTTGCAGCAGAGAGGACAGTAGGGAGAGCAGCAAAGTAGATGGACGCTGGTCTGATGGTGGAGAAAAGAAAGGAAGAGTAGAGATGGAAGAAAGAGAAGGAGAAGGGATGAAAGCGACCTTGGAAACTCACGAGCGCGAGGCTCAAACGTCAGCAACAATGGTGGAGTGAATGTCTAGGGGATATGGCACATTCACTCCAACGCTACTGCTTGTGTCAAAAGCTCTTTCTCGTCTCCAGCTGGCTCCACTGGGCGGGAATGAAGAGAAGATCCTCAGGTGAGATAGATGTCAATCCACTATCCAGTTCAGAGATTCAAGCCTCCAGTGCCCAATCTGGAAAATGTTTGCTATTGACCGGAGAAGCTCCAGAGTTTGACCCACAGGAATGGAGTCTAGATGCGCGAGATCGATGAGGCTGGAAGAATCTGGCGCTGCTACCGCTCTTTATATTCACTCATCACGTTCTATATCAAAGCAACCAAAACAAAGGAGCGAAACAAGGCAAGAATCCGATTGTTACATCAGCCATCCACACAAAGAAATTTACATTAGTAAAAGAAGCATCAAAGACCAGTAACTCCACTTTGGTGCCTGACATATCATGTCGTTGCAGGAAGAATAAGAAGAGCCCGGGTCAGTCCGATGATTGTGTACTTCATGGCCATAATTCCGTTGCCTCCCATTTACCTCCATGCGCATCATCGTCCGATCCACTGTCAAGGGTCCAATTCCAGCGTTGAGGATTTTCATAGTCTGAGAGGTCCAGTCGCTCGACCTCGGTGGGTATAATAACGACTACGCGGAAGTTCCCACGAGCAACAGGGTCATGCAGATCTTCCACCTTCTGGCCAAGTTTCAAACTGGGGTCGCTAGGTTGTTCCGATCTAGGCTGTCCAGGTGGAGGACTTTTGAAAGATCCTGAGCATGCGGTCAGCTAAATTCTACGAGCAATGCTTGGGGTCGACAACTCACCTCGAAGAACTGGCGTATGATTCGCGAAATACGTCGTTACCTGTCTCTCCCAACCCCAATCCTTCTCATTACCACCACCATCACCCCGAGTCCTCATTCCCTTACTGATCTTCTTTCTCGCCTTCTCTTCCTCCTCTCCGCCTTGTGGATCCCCAAACACAAACGCCTCCCCTCGCACCCGCCACTGGTTCCCAGACTCTTTCAACCAGAATACCGCCTCAACCGCATTCCCAGACTGCTTTAACTGCCCCACCTTCTCCATCCGCACGTCTGTAGTAAAGGAAATCATATCACTTTCGTACACAGAAGGATTCTCGCGCTCGTCTTGGGCCGCTAGCGCCTTCTTCGCGCTTGCGTGTAGATCTGGCGACGGGAACCACCCGCGGAAGCCGCAGGTTCGCGTGCGCGGGACAGGGCGGCCCTGTGCGTCATGGGCAACGGTCGATAGGGTGAATTCAGGTGATGAGGATTGAGAGAGGTGTGCGCCGAAAAGGTCACGCCAAGGGGCCCGTGGCGGAGGCATGGTGGGTGCAGCTGTTGATAATGGATGGTTGCAATTTATAATCGACGCTGTGGACCTGCTCTGCAGATGGAGAGCTAGAGATGCTAGGCGTTTCCTAGGAATGCGTATTCTTGAAGCCAGTGTGCCTTAGCTGTCAATGCGGGGGTCGATGACTCCGTCCTCGGGAATAAGTAGCTGGGGTATGTATCAGCTGAACGATAGATGTGCTCTTTTCAGAATTGAAACCACGGCAGACTGCTGGCTATCGTGAGGGTTATTCTCAGCTGTAGGTAGTGGTCGAGATTGTGTCATTTCTCCCACAGCTGGCCGAGCTGATGACGTTGGAAATGATCGATCAGATGCACGTGTTCTTATCTTATCAGATCGGAGGGTGTTCTTGGCATAACCTAGATAGCATCTTGTCTTCACTTTTTCAATTTTTCGTTCTGACTTCTGCAGCTCAAGTTAGAATCGAAAGGGTTGAGGTGCCCTGGGTGTAGGAAGTATAGGAATTCAATTATCACAGGCTCTGAGGGGTTCAATGTGCGTTCGATCCAGGGCGTTTCAACGCGGTCTAATAAAATCCTTGAGGACCATGAAGGAGACTTACTTGATGTATATTCTTAACCTTGCAGAGTACTAACTACTAAGGTTCAAGATCTGCCTGACCACTCGACGATTTTGTATTGTAGCATGAATCAAGATGCATAACTCCAGCAAGTAAATAATCAACACAAACCATACAACAACAACCGATGAAGTCCCGGAACCAGTCAAGCAAGCACAGAATTCTTCTGCAGAGAAAGAAGAAAGTTTGTAGAACGCCGAATAAATCACATCTGCATCTTATCCTCATCGTCACTGTCATCCCCAGCATCCAAGGCCCCGCCGGGTATCCGCCCCTCATTCAACTCCTTCTCCAGCCTAGTAATCTCCTGCAGACTCCTGGCCTCCCGGATCATCTTCTCCACCCGCTTCCTCTCCTTCTCGGTCAACTTGACCCGCACCGCCTTGTCCGCGGGCGCGCGCTCCGCAGCGCCGCCAGACGGCACTTCGAAGGTTCGTGACTTGATGCCCATGAGCTTGGACGCGAGGGCAGACGGCTCCTCCGCCGTACCAAAGAGTTCCCGTGCCTTTGCGCGCTCTGCATCCTTCACCTTCTGGTAGTCGAGAAAGCGGACGGTGGGGATCCTCCAGATGATCCAGTATCGGTAGTGCTGGGGGGAGATGGTCAGGTCAGACAGGACTCTTGGCTAGCGTGTGTGGCGTGGCGTGACGGCGGGCGAAACGTAACCACGCCATAGGGACACCGGGGGTGGGGGTTTCGTAGAAAGTGTGTGCTAGGCAGATTTTTGAAAGAAGGGGCAAACAACTCACCTCTTTCCGTGTAACGGGATTCTCCATCAACACCAGATGCGTCAACCGCGCCAGGTTGCGGAGCGGATCCAAGTCCGCCAGCTCGGACATGTTGTTCGCCGTTAGCACCAGCGTCGACAGATTGGGTATGGAGGAGGCGATGGCCGGCTGGATGTGCTTGACCCGGTTGCGCGCGAGGAGGAGGGTGCGCAGGCGAGGGAAGAAGGGGAAATTCGCCAGCGAGGAGATATCATTATCGGTGAAGTCAATCGCATCTTGGTCCTATTTTTTTTTTCGTTTCGCCCCCCGGCGCGACAGATAAGCTTCAATTCTCGGACCCGGTATAGTATAGAACAAGTCGATTCGGAGCCCGGCTTGCTACTTGGTAGAGTAGCAGGAGTCGAGACGCAGAATAACGTACCTTTGCAATACCCAGATTCTCAATCGCGGGGATCTTGTGCCCTACAATACGCAAAATACAAAACGATATCAATCCAGCTCATTGAAAGTGTAGTCTCTGTCCTTCTCAGGCCAAGGTGTAGAACGCACCTCGAAGATCTAGCTCGCGATCCTTGAGCGGATTGATGTAGGAAAGGGAATTCTGGATGAGTTCGACGGTCAATCGCATTGCGGCGGTGAGGTGTTATTTTGTGATTTCTCTATTCGCGTATCATGCGCGCAAAAAAAGTATAGAAGATTAAAATGATGTTGGAGAGCAATTTCGGAATGGAAAGTTAGCAATTGAGAGAGCAAGTTCAATACAGCGGAGAAGGAAGCCGGAGCTCTTTTGCATATGGCTGAATTATTGAAGCAGCATTACCTCCAGATTTTGCCCGGCGGTGAGTGGCTGAGTCAGCACCTACATAAGCACGTGATTTATTTTCCATATTTCTTCGATTACCAGCGATCAATCAATTGTCAGATAAATCAACCTGAATCAAGGCCTGGACATGATGGAATGAATTGGCACAGTCAGAATGTTTGAGACTATGGTACAGGAAATTCATTAAAGGTATATAGATAGCCAATGCTCAACTTCCAGAGAACAGCAGGCGGAAACATGACAGAATAAAACAGCAATGCTGTGTGCTCCAGAGCACAAACAAGCTCATAATATGATACCAGGAAGCGAAAACGTTCAAGTATGACATGCATCGTAAAACATAGGAATCCGAACTGTCAGAACTCGGTTCTGCGAGGAGGATTTCCCCGTTCCCATCAAGGGACGGTTGGCACTGAAACCAAGAACTCCGGATGATATGCAGATTAGATGACGAAAATCATGGAGCGACGTTAATCTTCAGCCAAAGGTGATGTGATAGGAGTTCGGTGGGATCGCGTTGGGCTACCTGCACGCGAACGACGACCGTTGGTGGTCGGCCCCAATGCCACAGGAGCCAAGTGGTCCCTACTCTCCGTCCTCACGACCAAGCCTGCACGATCTATGGCGTTTACGCCAGAGTCAGCAGAGATCCCCAACCCAATGGTCGCCGTGGAAGAATTGTCCAAAGAGAATTTGAAGCTAGGAGTGGCAGGGCCGCTCCAACTCGAGGTTCGCTTCGGTGGCATAAAGCTGCTGGAGTCTGTCTCGGAGGAGTGTCGTCTATCCAGCGAGGCTCGACCGAAGTGAGAAGCGCCCAAATCGTACTCACGGGCACCGTCCTCGAGAACACGCTCATAGGATGGTGACCGACGGCCGAAGAACGGCAGCTTCCCTCCAAAGAAGCCCCGTCGCTTAGGGTAATTCGCACGAGACGGACCGCCACGCTTGAAAAGGGTATTGAACTTGTGAAACATTCTCGACCGACGACTCCGGCCACAGAGGAAGAATGCTGCCATAGCGACAATAAGCAGGAATAGAACAAAGCCTGGAGCCCGGCGCGGCGAGCTTCCATCGAAGAGGGCGTCCTGCCAATTGCTGCCATGCAGGGTCTCGGTGTTGGGGAATAGTTCGACGCTAGGGTATTGAAAATCGTTAGGGACCCCCGCAACATTGCTTCCAAACCCGACCGGAAGAACTTCTTCGGACTCTGTAGGGACCTGAGAGGACGCATAAAGAACCATTTTCCCCAATGTCCAGCTGACCTCCGTGGAATCAATCTTATGCACCGCCTGGAAGGGATCGAGGAACCCCTTGTTCTTGCCGTGGGAAAGGACCTCCTTGGTTCCATTGTGACCAGAACCAGTCGTATCCTCTAGACCTACACGAGGAATACCAATACCGTCGTGCAGCATATTGATGATCCACGAGGCTTTGAAGCAAACCTCGTAGGCTGATTGTTGATCAACCTTCTTTCCCCACTTGTGTTTTTCGACGCCCTTTTCGATAGCTTCCCAATCCTGCGAGCAGAACTGTTGTACGCGCTGTTGGTAGGTGTTAAAATCGTATGCTTTGTCCTTGTGGCCCATCTCCAAGATCTCATGCGTCGTATGCCAGTATTCGCTGATACCAATAAAGTGGTTGACGTCGAAATCAATTGCGGGCACATGTACTCCGTGCAAAAGGCAGGGTTGGTCAGCACAAGGCGCGTCCTTATCCAACAATGGGTATGTCTGTCGCAAGCATTCGTCGAAGCGCCCGGTTCCAAGCAACGATAGCTCCACCTTCCCGTCACTTGGCATTGGTTTCCCGTCGATCGTGGTTCGGAGCCCTTGTGGGAGACAAGGGTCGGGGAGTTCCTTAGCCGACCCGAGTGCAGTTTGGAGGGCCTCCAGATAACGCCTCCGAGCTTCGTGCACACCATATTCCAGCCACGACGTGACAAACACCCGATGCTCCTGAGTGGATCCGTCGACGTTGCGCAGACGGAGCAAGGTCAGATCGTCGGCGTGCTTTTCGGTTTCGGTGATATTAGGAGCAAAAGCGATTTGCGCGGACGCTCCACCCATATCCAAGAAACCGTATGTGTGATGGCCTTTGCCGTGGTCATGGCCTTTGGGTTCGTCGAAGCTACCCAGCAAGTAATTGGTCGCGATCCATCCGTACAAAGCTTCAGTTACACCTGGAATGACTTGAATGTGTACCCCGCAGTCGGGGAGGAGGAAGTCGTAATTCTCGTTGGCGTAGGTACAGATTTGATTGAGAAGTAGCTCGCGCTCCAGGTTGGGGAGAAGTCGCATTCCAGCAGTCGCGAGGAGGAAGATGGGCGTATCTTTGATCTCACTGGCAGGCACAATCTTACGAGCATGGTCGAGAAGCTCCGCGAGATGGTCGGGACCGATCGCCTCGGGTCGTTCTGCGAACGATGATACACCTTCGAAATTGGTCAGTCAGGGATGTGATCGGTCGCGTACAAAGATACAGATACTGCCACCGAAAACTTACCAGGGTGTATCTTCTTGGTCCATTCCGGTTTAGTCTTGAGCTCTGGCAACGTTTTCAGTTCGTCGGTGTCGGCTTGTTTGCGCGCGACAGTGTGATCTAGCCACCGATACACGTGTACACGAGTCCCCTATCGCTGCTGTCAGCCGGAGACAAATGAGACAACTTTGACACTCGAAACTCACGGAAGATCCTGCATCCAGGACGACGCCATAATGCCCTGTGAAGCAATTCTAGTGATTAGCTTTCTGACTGGAAAGGCGAACGTCGACTATCAAGGGACAGGGTGGAATACATTTGCCCATTGGAACGAGAAGCGAACGTCAATTTTAATAATGTAATTATTATTGAGTCAAAAGCATGTCCACCTGATTGATAAACGACTCGGGAAGTGTGAGCGAACGAACGAAGAAAAGTGAGTTCGGAGAGAGCTGCAGGGTCGCGATGAAGAAGTGCGTTATCGAAACGTTCTGAGGACAGGGTCCACCGGGAAGTCGAGGCAAGATGATGGAGAACGGTGGAGACCACTGCGGAGGAGTATTCAAGGCTAGTAGAAGTAGAAGGGAGATAAACGAATGGCCTTGCTGGAAGAAGTCTAGCAAGATATGAAGCAGAGCAGCGTGGAGGAAGAGGAAGAGGAAGACGGGGGGGAGAAATGCTTGAAGAAGAGAGGATAAGGTCTTCTAACAAGATGGTCTAGATGGAGATCGTTAGAGAGAGAGAGAGAGATAAAAAAAGGAGGGGAGGGAGAAATAAAATAAAATAAAATAAAATGAAATAAAATAAAATAAAATAAAATAAAAAAAATGGAAATGATAAGACGGGAACGGATGGCGACAGGACAGGACAGAACTTAATTACAGGAAAACGCGACTGGTGGCCGATCACTGGTGGAACCATGCAGCCTCAATTACCGCTAGGCTGTTCTGGGTCAGGTCCGGACCCAAATGGATGTCATGATACGGAAATTGTGGTCGCAGGCCTCGTCATCACCCCGGATATAGATTCCACCGTTGCCGCCTCATTCTTCCATCAGGAGATGCTCGGATCGAGAGAGAGAGAGTAAGTCACCAGGTCATAAGAAGGCTCTAAAAAGGCTCGAAAATAGAATCCCAAGATACATAGCTCTTGTATATCATGACCTTTGATAAGTCTCACTGATCACTGAATTGGTCCTCGAACGTGCCAATACTGAAAATAGACCCCCCCCCCCCCCAAACGGCGCTAGAACAAACTAAGCATCGAATCTTACGTGCCCCCAGCCAGCGTGACGTAAGCCTGCCCCACCCTCTAAGTTTTATACGCTCTTTGATTGGCCCAGCTTGGTATTTTTTGCTCTCCTCCATTGGGTGGTGATAGCCTGATAAGCATTTACTCTAAATATCCATCCATTTATTCTTCAACCATTAGGTAGTGATTGTTTGACAGAGATCACCACTCCAAGTACTCCGTACTCCATAGATACTACTAGGTAGTACCTAGACTCCTAGATAACTACTGTGTAGATACTCACCTGGAAGGGTCTGACATTGGATGTCAATGCGGGATGGCTTCCCAGGTTGTACCAAGGATGAACCACCCACACAGTTGCACCGCGCCTACTAGCCGACGTTGTATCCGTCAACTGAGACACCTCCCTTGACTCAACTCAACTCAACTCAACGGACTTAACACCGTTGACTAACTATTAAGATTTACACCGAATGAAACACATTTACACACCTGCGAACATAAGTGCCTATGTACATGCATCATTTCTCCGTCCGTGTTTCATCCTTCGATACCCACGATCCGTCCGAAACCCCGACTATCGTTGGAGCGGTGGTGCTCAGAGACGTTTCCATCAAGCTCCAATCGCCGATTTGCTCGTCGAAGAACTGCGCCTGATCCAGTCCGATCATCTCGCATTCCTCATCAATCCGCAGTTTCAAGCCCGGAATGTATTTGAGCATGTAGAGTAAGATGCAGGACACCACGAACGAGTACGCGGAGATGGCGCAGATCTCCGCCAGCTGGTAGCCAACCTGAATCCCATTCCCATCAATCGCTCCACCGGAGAAGGTGAATCCGTCCAGCGACGAGATCTGTTCAGTCGCGAAGAGTCCAGTGAGAAACGCCCCCACCATGCCACCGATGCCGTGGAGCTTGAAAACATCCATGCCCTCGTCGATGCCCATCCACTCGTCAATGTTCTGAAGCAGGGAGCACACTATGCCCGTGATAAAGCCAATGCATGCCGCTAGCCAAAGAGACACATATCCCGCGGCTGGGGTGATGCCGACAAGACCGGCAATGGCTCCCTCGCAGGCTCCCACCACGGAGAACTTCCGCTTGTGTCGGATGTAATCGACCATCACCCATCCCAGAATACCTGTACTGGCCGCGGTGTTGGTGTTGAAGATGACCACCATCGAGCGTACGCTGGCATTGAGAGTCGAGCCACCCTGTGATGAATCAGCAAAGACCTCCCTGGGTACCATTGTTGATGGGTTGAACTTGAACTGTACATTGAAGCCAAGCCACCCACAGCAGATTAGGACGGTCCCGGTGAAGACCAAAGTGGTATTGTGCGGTTTGCAGAGCGAGACCGTGCCGTGGTCCTTTCGCTTTCCCAGAACGAACGCATAAGCCAGCGCGGAGCAACCGGAGGCGATATGAACAGGCCCTCCACCCGCGAAGTCCAGGGCCGGTAGGTTATATAGCCAACCATGGCTGCTCCATGTCCACCGTGCTAGCGGGCAGTAGACGATCGTGGCCCAGAAGAAGCTGAAAATCATGGACGGCAGGATATTTCCTCGTTCAAAGGCACCGCCAACCACGATCATGACCTGTTCTGTGTCAGCTCCCACCAAACTGTCTGTTACCTCCTATAAGACACTCACTGTGCAAGCGCAGAAGAGCAGCTGGTACAAACAAAAGACAATCTCAGGAAGCACTGCGGAACCAGGCGAGGGAGCCACGAGAACACCCATCAGGCCGAAATTCTTCAACGTGCCGATGAATGGACCACCGTCTCTGGAGTAAGTCAGGGAGTAACCCCAGAACATCCATTGGAACGTAGTTCTATTGCATGTTTAGTATCGACGGAAGCCGACCTGGTCTCGAGCTGAGAGCACCTACACTGCTAGGACCATCCAAGCCTGGAAGAGCAGGGCCAAGGCGGATTTCCTCCGCGCCAGACCGCTGTAGAGCAGGCCAATGCCAGGAAGAATAAGCCAGACAATGAAGGCACAGATCATGATGTAGATGTAATGGTATTCGAACCCGACATATTGTGCATTGACGTCCACCTTTGTCGGATCACCCCCTTCCGGCATCGAAGCATCGTATACGGGCTATTTCGACAAGGACCATCATGAGCCAAAACGAAACATTTCTTCAAAGGCGGCGTAACACTTACCTCACTCATACTGGGCCGCGATTCTGGATATGTATTGCACAGCTATATTCCCAATGTGCTCCCGTTCTCAGTTTGGGCTACAGAACAAAACCTCAAGCAATATCGATGAGACATCTTCGAATTCCCCCCCTCGCATTTATCTCTCTTGCGTCCCCAACGCTTGGCAATCCAGACTCAACCAGTACGTGTTCTATCACGATAGAAGCCTGAACAACTCCATGTGCATCCCTCCTTTCCCCGAAATCATGGGAGACAGTTCGAGCTGCAACAGCACAAGGAACCTTATCTATACCCGCCAAGGATATAGTACCCCAACTCCAGCGCCATAACCACGATAAGGTCGTGCAAGAGGCGAATGGCAGGCTCTCACCTTTTGGCTCAGCTGCTGTTGCCAAGGGGTGATCACATTGCAGTTCGCAGGTCCTGCTGATAAGGTGCAAGGCTGCAGTGCTATCCCATGAGAGATCGTATCAACCCCGGATCTTGCATCTTGTTACGGTCTAGAGCTGCATTGAGTTGCGGTAACAGGAGATGTGACGCGCGAGGCTCAATGATGGTCATTGGTGGCAGATAACGCCCTCCTTCGAAGTATATTTTCTCGATCGTCCTGCAAAGTCCGAGCTAGATCAGTGATTGTCTCGCGATATAAACTCAGGATTTGTGAGTGAAGTTATACTTCGAGTTTATCTCATCTCCAGTATAATAGAGAATTGAGACGGTTACCCTTTGATAACTATATGATAGCTGTATCTTGACCAATGTCAAGAAAGATATCTCGGTTGATTATCTTCCCCTTCGCTGTAGTGACACACACATTAGAGACCCGATAATTGGATCGTAAGGACGATAATAAGTGCGAACAAGCTGGTTGCGCGCAAAGTATCATTTTCTGAAGCGTCAATGCGATATGCTTCATCGTAGCCCCTAAGCATATATTCAAGTAACTTGTACGTGATGGATACAGGCAACCCTTCGGCATACTGGATATAATCTAGCATCTTCATAGCAAAAACCTCGTTAGCTTCAGGCTGGACACAAAGATTTGATAATACCACAAGCCTTTCAGCCTTCTGAGCTCGGAAGGCACACCATCAAAATCCTGGGGAATTCAATCTCCTCTCTCGGCAGTCAACTATGGGATGTGATCAACTACCTTGAAATGAATCAGATATGTGATAGTTGATGATTTTGAGGGAGCCAGTCCAGTTTCTTTCGTGATAGTCTTGGTATTGTCGACAGTATCAACTTTCCTAATTCGGAGTGATCAATAACAAGCTCCCCTAACCCAGCCAGTTTCTGCTCGCTAAATCCACTCGTCCTCCTTGGCTACAAACAACGGAGTACAGGCGACGGAATTCGCTTAGCCTCAACCAATTCCCAGATTCCCAAAAGATGGGGATCCGTGATAGTATCATGGCCCGCCAAGTCTGGCACCTAAGCCTCAAGCCATGCAGATCCACCATTCTTGATGGAATATTTCCGCATATCTTCTTTGATTGCTTGACAGGAATTGGGAGATTGGCTGTTCTCCGGCGGGAGGTTACCAGCCAACTCCACTGTCCCTGCGGAGTTTGAACTTCGCTAACTCGGCTGCCTCTGACTATAGACGAGACGACGGGATGCAATGGTCCATGGGGGATTTCCAAGCCGTCGGTTGTGGCATTGTTGAGCAAATTGAAGCTAACAGAAGATTGCTTTGGTGGCCGATCTCTCATGATACAGAATGATCGTGGCTGGAATGAGATAGGATCTATCTCGAGCAGTTACAGAAACGCCGTGGTATTCAGTTGAACCCAATTCCTACCGCGAAGAAACTTCATTAAATGGAAGGACAGAAACCGAAGAAGAGGTGTGATGGCGGGATATAAAAGAGACCAACATTCTCTTTCTGATTTCTGCAAGGGGGCGCTTCACCTACTTTCCATTGATTCATCACTCATTCAGGCAAGACGAACCGTATCGAAAACTACAATGAGGTCTCCGGAATTTCTCAATTTGTTCCATCTGATAGCCCTGCTCGCTGGCGGCCTTTGTGTCTCTGCGAAGTCGATAGCTAGCGCAGCCTCAGTATGGCCCCTGCAAACATTCAGAAGCACCCCGATCACTGCTCCTTATATGAACGTTACCAAGAATGGTAAGACAGAACCCGGGTACCTCTTCATCTCGCCCTATGATTTGCTCCAAAAGACCGGCCACCCCATGATCTATGCGGATGACGGGGAGCTCGTTTGGCATGGCCCGTTGATGAATGTATCCGCTTTCCAACCCCAGATGCTGGACGGCGAGCCCGTTCTCGCTTATTGGGACGGTTATCTCTTCACGGGATTCGGCTTCGGCGGGATCACTATCCTGAACAGCTCATATCAAGAGATCCACCGAGTCACGCTGTCAGGAGACGATGAAAAGTACGTCACCATCGACGACTCAAGGACTTACGAGTCCTATCTCGACGTCCATGAAAGCCAGATCACGGATCAGGGGACTATACTCGTAACAGCGGTCAATGTCACGCAGATGGACCTAAGCTCCATTGGCGGTCCGAAGGACGGCTGGGTTCAAGATAGCCTGTTCTACGAGATTGATATCAAAACGAACAAGGTCCTCTTCCGCTGGAGCACGGTCGAGCATGTCTCCGAAGTACCCCTCTCAAACGCCGTGTTTGCATTAGGCGATACAGGGCACAGCAAAGATAACCCTTACAAATATCCACATCTCAACTCCGTAGCCAAGTACGGAGACTCATATCTCATCTCATCCCGCCTCATGTGCAGCATCTTCCTCATCGATAAGAACGGCAATGTGACGTGGACACTACACGTAAGTCACGTCTGCTCACCATCGCAGCTTCACCCCTCTTGTATAACTTCACACTAATCGCCACCCGTAGGGCCAAACCGGCGGTGACTTCAAGCTTGGCCCTGGCACCCGCTTCTGCTACCAGCACGACCTACGCTTCATTGCTCACACCGAGGACCGCATCACTCTGCACCTGCACAATAACGAGAACACAGCGTTCACTACCCACCCGATCCTGACCACCGGCCTGATACTGGAACTCGATATGCAGAACCGCACGGTATCCCTGCTGAAGAAATTCTGGGACGCAGAGGACCCCGTCTTCGCCCCCTCACAGGGCAGCTACCAGAGCCTGCCTAACGGCCATGTCTTGATGGAGCACGGCGCGGTCCCCAAGCTGGAAGAATACGATGAGAATGGTGCGGTGGTCATGAGAGCCCGGTTTGGATATGACTATGTCATGAACTCGTACAGAGGCTACCGCTCGGCCTGGACAGGGCGGCCCAACACAAAGCCTGATGTGCTTGCGTGCCCGGAGCAAGGGGGGATGGCTGTATATGTGAGCTGGAACGGAGCGACGGATGTGCAGTCGTGGAAAGTCATGACCGGCTCCGCGGAGGATAAGCTGAGTGCGGCGCAGATTGCGCCAAAGAATGGATTTGAAACGAAAGTGTGGCTCGATAAGATTTCAGAAAAGGTCACTGTCGAAGCTGTTGGGGGAGTCGGCCACGGAACCAAGTCTGAAGTAGTCACGGTGGGACAGGGATGTTGATGTTTGACTTGATTGATGTTCATTGCATTGCGCCCTTAACAAATATATACACCATGTTGATAGGGAACCTTACGAGACCCATGCTTTCAAATCCAGAAGAACATATGTAATTTCGCGTGTTAACTGTAGTCACAGAAGTAGTCACGACGGTAGTGATGATAAGGGTATTGATAGAAAAAGAATACTAAAAGGGCATAAAACACCAACACTGCAAAGCAATAAGAATAACTTCCACCCTAATTGAAACATGCAACCCTAGAGCTTCGCTGGCGCAATGACATTTCGGCGCATCTTCCGCGTCGAGACATCAATGTCATTTGCTTGGTCAGGGCTAGCTGCGCTTTCGAACAATTTTCGGCCGACAGTATCGGACATTGTGAGGACACGCGATGATACCGTGGCACCGTCGCGCCGATTTTTCCTTTCCCGCATGTTAGCAAAGCTAGTAAATCACTGGAGAAAAAAAAAATATCTGCTGAGACTCACCCTTCACGTCTGGACTGCGCGATCAACTCCGTGAAGTCCCAGAGGCGTCCACGCGGTAAAAGCTGGGCTGTTACTGGGTCTCGCTCTGGCGTCCATTCAGGAGCAAGTTTGATTGTCGGCGAGGAGCGAGACTCCTTGCTCTTCGCAACAAGGATGATGCCTTCTTCTACGAAACGTTGATACGAGTTCTTGAGAGTCTCTTTGTTCACAGCCTCGAAGTAGGAAAGATCCCCTTGGTGGTACAATGTTTTGCCAAGCTGTGACAAAGGTCAGGTATTACTTCAAGTCTGTGAAACCAGGGGAGAGACTTACTATTTGCGCACTGTCCTGAGCTTTCTTCTGGTCGATCCAGATATCCTTCGGCTCGTTCAAAGGCGGGATGAGGCCCATCAGGGACACCGCTCCCAGCCAGGAAGCCTCGATGAAAGGCCAAACGAGAAAGCAATAGAAGTCGTAATTTTCTCTGCCACAGTTACGTTCGGCGTCGGTCAATTCAATAGCGAGTGGCTTTCCGGAGGGATCCCTCGAGACTGCAATGATGTCGTCCTTCTCGAGTCCCCGAAGGGTTTTGTCAAGGTTGGTGGTCAATCCTTCAGGCGGGAAGATAAATTCACCACGGAATAGCTGTCGCACGTTAGTTTGGCTGTCAAAAGATATTGAGCTCATTGAAACCATACCTGTGACAAAAATGAAACCTGTCTCAGGAGATCCTCGTACGGCATTCGCTGATGTGCGGGACCACCACCTTGTTTGACCTTGGTGTACATAGCTGCAGAAACGAGTGCTTCGGTTATGAACAAATGGATTGTCATGTTGCGGTAGAAGGAGAGCTGGAAGCGATCCACGGCGTAATAGGTGGGTTCAGCCAGGCCAGCAACTATGCCCACAAGCTTGGGACCCATAACTTCGAGAGCTCGGTCAACGACGATCTCAGTGGGGGACCGGTAGAAGTGGGCTACACGCCCTCCCTTCGCTCGGACACGTTCACAGAGCCATTCCACGCGGCGTACAAGCTCTCCTTTGCCGACACCACGTCCTCGGAGAGTCAATAACACTGTACCGACTAGAGCCGTGGGCATCATCACCGACACATTGTTGATGTCTGACAGGACTCTGTACCCCAAGGTCCTTAGAATACGACCTCTTTCTGTGTAACTGAGCTTTTGACCGGGTTGCGTATCAATTTGATTTGGTAATCGACTGAGCTGCTGGGTAATGAACTCCCGCAGACTCCATGGCTCATGGAATCGAACATCAACGCGTCCCAATTTCAAAGACAGGACAGAAGATGATGAGAGTAAGTCGGCCAGATTCTCCTTTCGTTTCGGCTGACCGAGAAGCTCGCTGATGTAAGACCTGCTCAAACCATTAGTGGATAGTGCGGTAGGCAAGAATGTCTATTTGCATCCATACTCGGTTTCAATGACCTTGTCGTACTGTGTGCTCACGGGGCAAATTATAGTGTCCTCAACACGGCCAGAGAGCACGCTGTCCACAATGAAGCTAAGAATCCCAAACTTTGGGGATAAAAGCTTTCCCGTCCGAGATCGCCCGCCTTCGATAAAGCATTCAAAGTTGAATCCTTTTTGGAGAAGCGTATCAATGTATGCCTGTACCACAGTGTTATATAACGGATCGTTTCCGAAGCTCCTTCTAATCCACATGGCACCTGAGACAGTTAGCTGTGGACAGGGCGACATATCTGACATCGCGTCATACCTGCGTGCTGTAAGAAAGGTCCAAGCAATGGAATATTGAGGTTATCACCAGCCACGACGATCGGCAACCCAATCCCTAGACGATAGCAGATGAGCTGAAGTGAGACGTAGTCGACATGCGATTTGTGACACGGTAAGAAAACGATTGACTGCTTCTTCTTCGCCGCTTCTTCGGCGACAGAACGGAGTCGCAGGACTTCTTCACTGGAAACGTGGATTCCTAGAGCAGGGTATAAGTGACATGCACGCGATATCCAAGCACCAACACAGGACTGCAAACTCACCTTGATGATAAGCCCGCGTGAGGAGTTGGGTACACAGATAGTATGCGCCACGGATGAACTTCTTGCTCTCCATCTTGCAAATTATGCTGTCCATCATTGTATCTACCACTTCCTTCAGATTGCTCTCTATTTCGGCCCGGCGCTGCTTCTTCCTCTTGGATACAGGATTTTCGCCTATCTGCAACAACCCTTCCTTTTCCTCCACTGCGAGTCGCATTTCCGCAAGTTCTTTCACCTTCTCTTGCAGGATTGGACTTGCAAGAATGCTCGCCTTGATCCTATCCGAGAATCCAGAATAGAATATGGGCTGTCCGATCACATCGTTGTAGGCTCGCCATCCGGTTCCCGACATGTAGAGGCTGACCTCGCGCAAGAAGTCAAAGGGATTCTCGCGAAAGCGCGCCATATTGGAGACGAGATTGCGCTCCGTGATTGGCCCATCCTGGGGACCTCCAGTGTACCCGCTAGGATGGATCGTGACCTTATCACCGACAATCTCCAGGTCTGGAGCCGATTGCTCTAAGGACGTCTTGTCTGCCGGCATCTTGAATCGTGGTTCGGAGGTGAAGTGAGCGGCGTTGCTGCGGGGGTAAACCAGGGGAAGCGCTATATCAAGGAAGTGAGATGGAGACAGTTTTCAATCCCATTGGATCGTGTAAATCGAGGTATGAGTGCGACTTGAAGAAGATTCATCCACCAGAGAGGGGAGAAGAGACATGCAGCGCCATGACAATAATGACTAAGTAGACAGCTACTACTAGCTCGAGCCGACGACCCTGCGAGCTCTGTGTCCTCCTAAGTTCTTAACAGACACGCAGATCTTCCGGGGGCGGGAACCTGCTCTGGTTTCCCCAGGATACCTCGGATAACAGTCACGTGCCGTAACGACAGTACTGTGTATGGCTAGATACGGAACTTGTGACGGTACGCTAGCCACAAAGGGGAAAGTAACCAGGAGCACTAAAAATGCTAGTAGCAAAAAAGAAAAGGATGAGGTCAACGCAGCAGCCATCAGCACGGCGATCCGGAGCAGCTCTCAATTGAGCAATCAGAGAGCATGAGGACCCTTGTCGATGGCCTCATCCCACTCTGGAAGCTGCCTCTTATAAAGACCGGGTCCTTTAGTGGTGCCTGAACCGTTATATTGCTCCACAGCGGGACATCTCTCTGGCACCCCCTGCTGCAAACCTCAGGAGTCTCTTGATCCACCGAACCTCATAAATACGGCAATCATGTCGCGGTGGCTAAGGGCCTTTTCGAGTAAGATCCCTTTGTATTTTTGTAGCTGACAAGATAGTCTTCATTGTATCTGATTTGAATCCCTCTGCCACAGCTACTGCGTCGTTGTTCAGCTTCAAAATGGCCTCACCGACTCTCCGCCAGCATTCGTTTCAAGTGTTCCGCGATGTCCCTCCTCTTCGAGAGCTACGTCGGCAGTTGCTGTTATCGAACAGAACAATTGGACTTGTTCCCACCATGGGAGCTTTGCACGAAGGCCATCTCTCGTTGATCCGCCAGGCAGCGGCGGAGAACACCGATGTCGTTGTCAGCATCTATGTCAACCCAACACAATTCGGCGTGAACGAGGATCTTGCAAGCTATCCACGTACATGGGATAGTGATGTTGTCAAATTGGAGCAGTTGAATGATGAATTGGTTCGGCAAGGAGACAGCCATGGCCGCATCACGGCAATCCTTGCTCCTACATCCAAAGTCATGTATCCCACGCTACCCCCTTCATCGGAAATAGACGGCGACGGTTCCTTTGTCTGCATCACTCCCCTTTCAAGGAAGCTCGAAGGTGCCTCTCGCCCGGTCTTCTTCCGTGGAGTTGCAACCGTGTGCATGAAGCTTTTCAACATCGTAGGTGCCGACCGCGCTTACTTCGGCCAGAAGGACGTTCAACAAACCGTTGTTATCCGACGGATGGTCAAGGATTTCCATATCGATACAGAGATCAAGATTGGTGCTACTGTCCGCGAACAGGATGGGTTGGCAATGAGCTCCAGAAATGTCTACCTGGGAACTAGGAGACGTGCTGTTGGCCTCGCTCTCTTCCATGCCTTGAAAGCAGCTGAAAATGCTTACCTTTCTGGCAAGACTGACCGGAAGGACATTCTCGACTCGGCCACTCAAATAACGCAGAAAGTCCTCAACGAGCAGCGGGCTTTGCAACCGTCAGAAAGAGCACTCTATGAGGTTGACTACATCTCCCTCGCTGATCCTGATACGCTGGACGAGCTGGACGTCGTCGATCCCTCGAGAGGAGCCATCTTAAGCGGTGCATTGAAGATGGCGCCGCTGGAGGAATCTACGCCTGGTGAAGATTGCGGCCTTGGGGACGGAAAAGTTCCTGTCCGGCTGATTGATAATCTGATTCTGAATCCTCGGGCATGATCCCAACTGTATGCCCTTGCTTCCGCCAATCGTCCTCACAGGCTCCTGTTTGTGCCACAGGATACGGATAAAATTATCGTTAGATGCCCGGGCGGCATAAAATGTATTTAAATAAAAACTTGGTTACATATCATATATTTTCACTAGATAATCACTACAGTCAACTCGAAGATCTCGAGACCTCAACATCTCAGCCCCTCGGAGCAGTTCTCCCGAAAAGGAAACTAGGGCAGTATCTGAGGGTTCGGAAGCAAACCGGCCCGAGAAAATTTCCCGCTCCGGGAAAGCTTTTCCTTAGAGAGATCCAAGAGACAGCCAGAGACCGAACCAAGCGATAAACAACACCAGTCTCCCCAATTTCTTTCAACCGACGATCCTCATGGCGGACGACGGCTTGCTACTCAACTTTTCCCTCGGGGATAGCAATGTCATCAAAGCAGAGCCGAAGCTGAAGGGTGGAACGTGGCGCGACCGGCTCAGCGCAAGAAAAATCGCTCAGCACCGATCAAAAGGCCCCCGGAAACCCGGCGACGAGAACACTGCACCCAGAGTGCCGCGCAATCCTAATCAGATCGAAGTTTCTGCGACACGGCCTCAGAAGAGACAGAGAACGGATGGAGGTGACGGCGGAAGACCCCAGTCACATGCACAATCCAACCAGCCCCGCCAGTTTATCTCATCGCTCTTCACGAAGAACCCGGAGCCGAAGAATGTTGAGGAGGTAAAGGAAGAAGGACCGGTTGAAGAGGCGAAGCCGACCAACGCCCCGTTGATTGATGGCCTTGACACATTCACCAATTTGGGTCTGTCGCCCAGTCTAGCGGCGCACCTTCTCACAAAACTCGAATTGAAGGCTCCGACGGCGATTCAGAAGGCCTCGATATCGCAGCTTCTGAAGGAGGATGGCGACGCCTTCATTCAGGCAGAGACTGGTTCCGGAAAGACTCTGGCCTATCTGCTTCCCTTGGTGCAGAGAATCATGACCCTTTCGAAGCCTACCACGGACGCGACAGGTCAGCCCATCGTGCACCGGGACAGTGGCTTGTTTGCTATCGTCCTGGCGCCGACTCGTGAACTGTGCAAACAGATCTCCGTCGTGTTGGAAAGTTTACTACGGTGTGCGCATTGGATTGTCGCCGGAACTGTCATTGGTGGCGAGAAGAAGAAGTCGGAAAAAGCGAGACTGCGGAAGGGGTTGAACATTCTTGTCGCGACCCCCGGAAGACTCGCAGATCATTTGGAAAATACGAAAGTGTTGGATGTGAGCAATGTGCGGTGGTTGGTGCTCGATGAAGGTGATCGCTTGATGGAGCTGGGCTTTGAGGAAGAGATCCAGGGGATAGTCAAGAAGCTTGATGCTCGACAGCGGCCGAGTCGGATTCCGGGGATCCCTACGAAGAGGACCACGGTTCTTTGCTCTGCTACGATGAAAATGAATGTGCAGAAGCTAGGTGAAATCAGCTTGAAGGACGCAGTCCACATCAAAGCAGATCCAGAGGATGAGGATGAGAAAGCCAGGTTGGCGAACAAAGAGGAGGATTCGGCCTACCGGGTGCCTGCTCAGCTGAAACAGTCGTATGCAGTGGTTGCAGCCAAGCTCCGACTTGTCACGCTCACAGCCTACTTGAAACGTACCTTTATGAGGAAAGGTTCGGTTATGAAGACCATTGTTTTCGTATCCTGTGCGGATTCCGTCGACTTTCACTTCGAAGTATTCACAAGAAAGAAGCAACAAACAGATGATGCCGATGCCAGTGACGAAGAAAAGACCGAGGAGAAACCATTGTCGCCCCACGGTACAATTGCGCCTGCCACGGCTTTCTCGAACCCATCGAACCCGGTCACCTTGTATCGACTCCACGGATCTCTGCCCCAGAATGTCCGAACATCGACTCTCGCCTCATTCGCCAAGAACCGTGAACCGTCTGTTCTGATCTGTACTGATGTTGCATCTCGTGGTTTGGATTTGCCGAATGTCGACCTGGTCGTCGAGTACGACCCAGCGTTCAGCGCCGAAGACCACTTGCATCGTATCGGACGTACGGCCCGTGTCGGTCGCGACGGTCGAGCTTTGGTCTTCCTTATGCCTGGCTGCGAGGAGAACTACGTCGAGATTCTCAAACGGGGCTACCGCGACGGCGGGAAGGCGCTCACACGCGTAGACGCAAACGACATACTCAAGCGCGGGTTCGGCGGTAACGTCGAGGCCGGGAAGAAAGACTGGGACGTCAAAGCAACAGATTGGCAGTGCGAAGTTGAGCGCTGGTCATTGGAGAACCCACAATACCTCGAGATGGCACGAAGGGCATTCCAGTCCCACATTCGTGCATACGCCACGCACATCGCCGCCGAACGGAGCATGTTCAACATCAAGGAACTTCACCTGGGACATCTCGCCAAGGCGTTTGCGCTGCGTGACCGTCCCAGCAAGATCAACGTACCGGGTCTACGCCAAGGAAAGGAGGAAACGAAGAAGGATTTCAAGGCCGAGAGACGACCAGCTGCAGGCCAGAAGAGAAAGGCAGATGGAGCAGATATGGGTGACAGTAAATCTTCTTCTTCCCATGACACGGCGACGTCGGCCCAGAAAATGAGGGCTAAGATGAAGGAACACATGGCTGGAGCAAGCGAATTCAATCTTGCTTAATCTGTTTGTTTGTTTTTTTCTCTCAGCAGTATATATTCGAGCGGTCATCATTTCAGTAGATATCCCACAATGAAATCTTGCCATCTTTTGACCCCGCGGCCAGCCAGTGAGTCTGCTGGACTTTCTGGCTCCGTTGATGCTGAACAGCCTCGAGAGTATAAGACCCTTGATCGCGTCTTGCGAGTTGCCGGTGACCATCATCCACTTCGCTTTCTCGTTTTCCAACGCTCCTTTCATCCGTAGACATATCGTTCAGATCAGCCACCTTAGAGACATCCGCAAAGGCAACAGTATAACATCCCTCCTTATGCCATTTCAAAACAGCGAGCTCCCTCATTGTCTTACACGAATAGACTCGAATCCTACTATCCCATCCCGCCGTCGCAAAAACCTTCCCATCAGATCGTATGCGTAGCCCTTGCTGGCCCGCGTGTTTAGTGTTGACTGTCTTCAAGGTAGCATCCTCCGGCCGATTACCCGGCAAAGGTCTAGCACGGTTCAGCGGCGGAATAGGATGCTTCACCAACAGCGCGTCGGCGGACGACGACAGAAAATAATTCCCACGAGGGAAGACATCGATCGACAAAACGGGTTGCGTATGCGGGCGGCAGGCGTACAGCTTCTCCCACTTCCAGGACGAGGCGGCGCCCTGCGCAATATCGTGCGCTTTGACTGGCCCCCTGCGAGCAAACACCGCGACATGGCCATCCTCGAAGGCACACGCTACGTACAGGTCCCCAGACGACGTGGTGAATAGGCTCGCAGCCATGACCATTCCAGTTTGCACAGCTGTGTCCGCGGGGATTGTGCATACGCGCCTTTCCGAGGGCAAATGGAAGATATCGATGGCGCCGGAATTTAGAGCGTTGGGGACTGCGATCAGCACAGCCGATCGTGGTGAACTCTGCGACTGTGGAGGACTGGAGGCTTCTTCCGGGGAGGGATCTTGTTGACTGTTTCCCGCGCCCGAACCACCTCCTATGAAAAGTATGGCAAACGCACAGAAATTCAGCGCATTCACAGAGAGAGAATGAACAAGCCAGGGCTGGCTCGCACTATCCGATTGCGCTCCCTCGCTCACATCGACAGGCAAAGTCTTCTGGAGGATCTCCTCGTCCTGGCGACGGAACCTCCACACCCGCAATTTGTGATCTCGTCCATGTCTGAACCTCCATGAGTGGCAGAAAAAAAATCTTTAGGAGGGAAGTTCGGGACATACGTGTAGACATCAGTCTCGACCCCATTGTGGAATGCGAAAGCTTTGACTTCAAGGACTGCGCCCTCATGCGCTTTCCATACAGCCACCGGGCGTTTCATCACCAGGTCCCAGACAACGATCCATCCATTCGCGTCTGCAGAGACTAGCCGTAGGTTCCGGTTGAAGAGATGCAGCGCGTGGATTGGCGATGCATGCCCGCGGAGGATATAGATGGGTGTGGCTGGAGGTTGCGCAGCCTGCGTTGTAACCTCACTCATTTGCTTTGCTCGAATGTTGGGCAGAACTGATCCAATAAAAGCCGATGGGATTAAAATAAGTGTCGGATTATCTGTCACTTCATGAATTGTACTCTTGAATACTACGATAGACAATTAGGAGTGACAAGAAAGGAAGTGAGGATGGGGATAATTGATGAGGGAGAGAGAATGCTTGGCGGATGTTGTCAAAGAAGCTCAAACCGAGGACGGACTGGACAACAAGCGATGATGAATAAATAAGTCGAGCTCAGCTTCTACGAGATATAGGGGTAAGCTCCTCGTGGCCAACAGTAAGTGTATATCCAATTATCTATCTGTTCCTCGTAGGTGATCAAATTCCAAGGGAAAAAAAAAGAGAAAAAAAACAAATAGCACTCCGTTGAGTGTATCCTGCAAATCACGACAGATGAAGAACTGTATATCCTCAGACGTCACTATACAGAAGTAAGCTGGCTTCAAAGCTGTCTTTCTACTGCTCTGTAAGTATACATGCAGAACACAAGAATTGTGGTATCATCACAAGAAACGCCAGAAATCGAATCATAAAGTATACAAAAGCAGAATAAGGAAAACTCCAATCATTAACATGACACCATATCTAAAAAGTCTCATAAGTAAATTCGTGTAATGTATGATGGGGAGCAACATAATACTCCTGGTATGGGTGGATTTCCATAGAGAAATCAGCATAGGCCATGATGGGATTGATCGCCCCATGTGGCTCTCGCGAGTCGGCGAGTTCGGCTGTGTGCAAATGGCCGTGGTTGTCGACGAGAGGCACAGTCCCTGTTGAGGGTGCTAGTACTTCTTCCTGGTGAGTTGCGGGCCAGCCCCATGTCTGCTGGAGATCTTGTTTGATGTGTTCTGCCGGACACCCTGTTTCCTTTACGATCTTGTCGAGGATCTGAATGACCTCTTCCTGGGCTTCCCGCATGACCAAGCATTCTGCGGCGACGACGAGGAACTGGATTGAAAAGCTGGCGACGCCTCTATTGGATGTCAGCTGAGACATATCATCAAGTATTGTAGGAAAGGAGTGTAGACATACCGGTCCTTCACATGCGCCACAATGCCACAGATGTCGTGTGCATGGATCTGTTGCACTTGTTGCATCTCAGGGCTGAATTCGAGTTCTGAAGGATGACTTCTGGCGAGCATCAATCGTGTGGCGTGGTAGAACAATCGAGCTACAATTGCGGACCGTTTGATCAGCCTTTAAAGACACTGCATCAGTCATAATCCCTTGAATGAGCTACCATGAGGTCGAGTACCTACCAAATCTCTGGAAAATGGGACTTGGAGCTGGTTTCCCATGGGTGGAGATAGCCGAGCGGCATCATAGACCGTGGTGCTGCTTTCGCCCATTGATCACACCAGTCGCTGTATGTATTCCACTCCCGGTGCTGTTGATCGCTTCGTCTACTGTTCAGGCCCCGTGTTTGAGACACCAAGGAGCGAAAATCTGCAACCTTGGCACAAATGTAAACAATACGGTGAGTCCACATTTCCTCATCCCCTGCAACACGGGGCTCCGCTGCATCCATATTCATGTCTAGTCCCCAAGTATCAGGCTCCCAGGCCAAAGACCAGTTGAAGCGCATGCAGATGAGCAACTCCATGCTAACGTTCAGCCAGAAGCAAGCGCCACCAAGACCCGGAGATTTCGCATCCCAATGACATTCCTTGATAAGCGCTCTTGCGCCAGCGATGTGATTCATGTCATGAATTGATCGGGAACTCATTAGCTCGTACACATTGAGAACAACAGCGGTGGTGGCGCACAGCGCAGAGTCCCGATCCGGATCCCGCAAGGAGCCAAGAAGATCCTGAGAAGCCATGTCATGAAAATACGACGCCTTCTCCTCGCCATATGCAGAGTTGACCAGGTATAAATGTCGCGCACCGCATGCCATGAAGGCCTTCAAAAGCATGGGCTGTTCCAGCGCGTGAAATGGCAAAATTTGCGTAAACTAAGCATGTCAGCCGCACAGAAGAATGAAACACCATCGAGACGAACGTACATGTTTAATAGTGTCCATGGAATCCATCCATTGTCCTACTTGCTCAACGAAGACCTGCAGCAGCAGGATGTCTTGAGGGTTGTTGAGATATACACGATTGTTCACATTATTCCCTCTGTCTTTTACTGATTTGAAAGGACTGTAAGATGCGCCCTGATCAGGAGGAACAGCCGGGGGAATTCCATGGGAAGGTGAACCAGATTGCCCCATGGAGTTCAAAGGTATTGAAGGACTGATCAAAGACCCTTCTGGTGGGAAGGCTATATCTAAAGAAGGCTCCATCCCCAAAGGCGGATATCGCTCCTCCCCACCAACATACTCTGATGCTATAGTCCTGGAATCGTCCCGGAAAGTCACCGGAATCCCCGGCGGACGGGGTATATAGTGCGGCGGCGCGACCGTTTGCGTATCAATGAAATTGAGCCGGACCCCACGCCTGCACAGCCGGCCCGATTTGCGACAATTCTGGCATCGGTGCGAAGCCTCGTCGCATTTCAGATGGCGCTCGCGACATGTCAGACAGCCGGTACGGACGCGCTTAGGTTTCGTACCGGCTATCCTTTTCCGCCGTTTGCTTGTCACGCGCGGCGTGCTTGCCGGGGAGTTTGTCGAGGTGGGAACCTCGCTCTCCTCGCAGAGGCTGGCACTCGCTTCTGGTGCATCCTCTTGTATCAAGTGGTTGGCGGGCAATGCCGGGCTTTGACTAGACGAAAGGATATTGTTGAAGAGCGCGTTGCTACCCTGAGGTGGCAGGCTTACTGGTGTATCCGGATCCGACAGTGGGAGAGCATAATTGTCCGCAGAAGCCATGTCAAGTGGTGTTCAATGATCCAGGCACCTCCTTCACTGACCAGAACCGACCCACAACGCGCATATGACAGTAGCAGATCTGGTATATCAACTCCATAGGGTCCATTCCTTGACCATTATACACGTATAAAAAACCGGGTCGTCTCAGGAAAAGACTGAGAGTGGCTGTGAGCGATGAAAATCGGTTGTGCAAATGAATGTTTTCCGTAGATCTAAGAGTGGAAGGATTTGCGCTTGATCGTTTCGCAGGATTATAGAGGCTTTAGAAAGCGGTGTTATCGGGGGCGACAGAATGATTCGAAGTCGTGTCTAATTTCATGGAATGTCAGCTTGCCATCACTTAATTGCCATCGGGATAATTTCCTATCAATAAAGAGAGACAGGCGGGATGATAACCACCAAGAACTCACCAAATATGTCCTGAGCGGGTTGGTTTACAGCACGGGAAGTGCAGGTGGTTGAAAAGGGCCATCATCATTGAAACCCTTGAAAGATTGGCGGGGGAGTTTGAAACTCTCGGTGAGTAACTAAACTTGCGATGCCGAAGCCTTATCTCTGGTTACGTACCACAACAGATGCTTGTGAATCATTGTTTGAATTTGTCTACCAAATTGAAGTTTCAACTTAAGATACAATTGCTTTTTCTCTAGGCTGGCGACTCGAACGCCAAACTGCTAACTCGTCTCGTTCATGATTCCTTGGCTTTGCATTCCGCGTAATCCGAGGGGAGAAGGTACTGACGCCTTTCACCAGTCTGACACGAAGCCCAGGTCAAGTTTTCTAGGATGAGGATTTAGTGCCCAGCCGTGGCAGGCGTATACGGATTTGCAACAAGAACATGATTCCACCCCAGATTGCTGCAGAGAAGAAAGTCAACCGCAGAGCTGCAGCATATGCCTCGATCACTGAGATGGTCGTCAGCCCACATGTTTCCAATATGTCAATGTTGAATTCTGCTGGAGGTCACTTACCCTGTTCTTGATGCACTGGACCTAAATTGGCGATGGCCTGAACCGACTTGCGAACCAGAAGAATGATACTCTCCTTGTCGGGGCCAGTTACTCGATCCTGGAGTTGATATACGAGCGTATTCTGGAATATCCAGCTACTCGTTGCCACTCCCATGACTGACCCCAAGTTTCTCCATAGGCCGAGAGTTGTCGTCGCTACGGCCTGTTCTTCCTGAGCGCTTGTGGCAAGAACCGATACCATCAGTGTAGGGAAGGCGAAGCCCTGGCCGAGACTTGATAGAGAGACACAGATCATAGCAACTATATCGGGGGTGTCTCTACCGATTGAAGCCGCAGCGCAGCCGCCGATAAAGAGAAGCATCCCACCAATCACTATGGTTGGCTTCAACCGTTTCGTCCAAGTAATCAAAAATCCAGTTGACACGCTGGAGATTGTAACAGCAAACGTAGCAGCAACCAATCTGAGACCAGAATCCGTGGGACTAGCCAGCTTGACTGCTTGGAAATAGAGCGGAGCATTGAAAATCATCGTATTAATCGAAATTGAACCAAAGAAGTTTCCGAAAATAATACTCGCACGTGGCTGCTTCGACAAAAGTGATATCGGCATCACCGCCCGCTCGACATTCCGTTCGTATCGCACGAAAACCACGGCCAGAACGAGGGATAAGACCAAGGATGAAATGACGAGGGGGTGGGACCATTCGAACACATTACCGCCCAGATTGAGACCCATGATCAGGGCAGTCACCGTGACTACCAGGATAAAGGAACCCGTCAGGTCGATGCTTCTTATCACTTGGGAAACGCTGAGCCGCTCTGCGTTCGCCCTCTTCAGCCCCAGATCAGACGGGGTGGTCCAGGCCGCGACTATGAAATACACAAAGATGAAGGGGAGTTGAACGAAAAAGGCACCCCTCCATCCAACATGATCACACAAGAACCCACCAAAAGCGAGTCCAAGGCAGCCTCCGACTCCAAGGACGAGATTGATATAGGACTGGTAAAGCCCGCGGTATTCGATGCGCACCAGATCACTGGATAGGATCATTCCCATAGAGAAAACGCCACCTGCACCCAGGCCACAGAAGGCTCGCGCTGCGATGAAACTTCCGATACTTTGAGCCATGGCACACCAGCCTGTGGTGACAAAGAATACAGCGATAGAAAATAGGTAGACGGGCTTCCGGCCGAAGGCGTCAGAGACACGCCCAAAAAGTGGGAGAAAAGCGGTCGATGTCAGTAGGAAAGCAGTTGAAAGCCACGAAGCAGAGTTCGAGGCATGGAAGTGCGATGTGATGACTGGGTGGCTAGACGCCATGAGTGTTGAGTCGAAGAATCCGATAACGTAGCCCAATAGGATTCCAGAGAAGATGAGCCAAAATCGTACCGGAGAGACGTTGATAAATCTGGAAGCGTATCCATGACGCGCAGAGCTCGTAGAGCCCTCTTCGCCTGTGGGTTCTGCGCTGTCTGCTATAGGCATCGGCGGGATCCTTTCTAAATTTGGTTCGATTTCAGGTGCCTGGGGTAGCGAGCTGACCCTGGAGAGATTGAGAAGCGCATCCTCATCTTGTACTAGATAAATGGTCGTTGATAGGCTCCCATCGACACTCCTATCTGAGGCGGCGTCGCTTGCTCTATGTGAGTATGAAGTTTGATGTGAGGCATTTCCCTTCAGCAGAGGAGTTGCTTCGTCAACTTCAGGGTGCTCTGTGTTTGAGGGCGGACATTGTCCGTTCTTTACTTGAAAAAGGCCCATGTAAAGAGTGACTGCTCTGTGTAAGGACACTGGACGGTGCGTGTAGCATTCAATGGGTAGTGGAAGAGTATGGCTGCTCTCCTGCCAATGCTTCAAGATCAAGTGAGGATGCTCTGAGTTAGGTGGGAAAACTCATCAACATGCTCTGTGTCACTAGGTAGTAACTGTTAGCTAGAGAGATTTTTATAGTCAATTGACTACCTGGGACGCTAATGCATGGTGTCATCGTATCGATATTCAGTGTTGACTGTCGAGACCCAGTTGAGTCTTACTCCGTAGTTTAGGGCGGCTGGTTAGTCTGAGCTTTTGTGGAATATGCTCCAGAGTTTCGGCGTGTCTAATTCATCTCACAGCCCAACGCACGGTTGTTATTCTAAATATTAGAGAAGTACTCCTCAGGGTTAATATCCCAGCTGGCATGGCCATTGCTAGCACACACTGAAGACTTCTCCATGCTCATGGACGACAGATAAACACTGCAAACAGACAAATCGACTCGACAGTGCTCAACTTGAATGCTGATTGGCGAGAAATGGAGTCATTTGACCATAAATTTGCATGTGCATAAATTTAGGCCTTGTGCAACAACCAACAGCTCTATCAATTTCCTTGCAAGGGACCCTAAGCATTTCGGACTATTGCTAGGATTATGATAATTACTTCCCCCCCCCCTTTATATCGAGAGAATCAGAGCTAAACCCGTGCAATAAGTTCAATATTCTAAGACGGATTGAAACTTCTGCCTCATGGCGGCCGATTTCCGATATGCTCTCTGGCGTAGGCGTAGAGAAGTACGTACTACGTACTAGTTTGACCCCACCATTAACCCTTTTTGAACAGCCATAACTCATAAGTAGCTTGGATGTCTCTGCCGCTTAGGCCAAGAGTCAAGAGGACTCGAAAGTCGAACGTCTCCACAAGAGACACTCCATATATCCGCGTTTGAATCAAGAGTCAATGACTTGAGTCATCTCTGTGTCAGATCTCGATCAAGTAGGCGGTGTCGGATGATAAGACTGAGGGAACCCGATCCCGATAAGAAGTGCCACTGTCGGCATTGTTGATAAGCATGTAAATGAACTCATACTTGCCATCTCATATAATAGCGAGTATTATATTCCTGTTTCTCGTTTCTTAATCTATATACATTGGGTCGCAAGATCAGTCCATTCTCGGAAATCTTAGTTCAGCCTACTACTTCCAATCTCCTTTTACAGCCGCCACAACAATGCGTCCTCCTCTCCGTATCGCCGTCCTTGAATGTGACTCCCCACCAACAAATGCAAACGCAGAGTATGGTGGATATCACGGCGTCTTTTCATACCTCCTGAAGAATTGTGCAAAGTCTCTGGGCCAGCCGGATAAGTTAGATCCCGAGTCTGGTCTTGACATCTCCCGCTGGGATGTTGTCTTTGCACAGGACTATCCGAAATTGGAGGATGTAGATGCACTTCTTCTGACCGGGTCCAGTACGTACTATTCACTTTCTCGTTCCTAGAACCGTGGTTCTGAATTTCTTCTCCTATTGAAGCATTAGTTCCCCATGGTCCGGAGACTGAGACACTAACACATTGGCCGCAGAATACAACTCTTTCGACAACGATCCTTGGATCCTTAAACTGGTCGAGTACACCAAACAGGCTATAGAAAACCAACGCGTGAAGATTCTGGGTATTTGCTACGGACACCAGATCATTGGACGAGCGCTCGGGTGCAAGGTCGGTCGGAGTGATGCGGGGTGGGAGGTTGCAGTATGCGATGTGGATTTGACCGATCAGGGCAAGGAGTTGTTTGGGAAAGATAAATTGGTAGGTCGCAGACCTCCCCAAGTCGATTAAATGCTTTATATTTAGGTTACGATTGCTGATTCGAACAGCGCATTCAACAAATGCATCGCGATATCGTCTTTGACTATCCCTCCAATGTCGTTCCGCTCGGATCGTCCCCACGTTGTGCTGTACAGGGTATGTACAGGCCTGGGCATTTCATAACTGTCCAGGGTCATCCGGAGTTCAGAGAAGATATTGTATCTGAGGTCGTTAAGCTACGGATGCAAACCGGAGTCTTTTCTAAAGAACAAGGGGAGGAAGCCTTGAGTCGAGCAGGGAAGGAACACGACGGTACTGCCATCGGTACTGTTATGCTGAAATTCCTGCTTGGAGAAATTGAATAGATACACGGCCCAGTAGGATTGTGGCTATATAGACCAGCGTGACGATAGAGCTTATCAGCATGATAGATCTCAAAGATTCACTCCCATTTTCTGATTAGATGAAATGCCCTATTATCTTTGGAAAGGGGTAGGGCATGGTCCTCTCCAACAAACCAATATCAAGGTATAATCATATGAACTTGAACATAAATAAGTCGAATTTCGATGCAGGTATGCCTTATGCAGGGTATATGCATGTATGCATGCATCACATACCTAAGCATACTGACACATCATTACCTCCAGATTGCTCCCCATCTCGAAAAACAAGATCACCCGCTAGCTTTCGGGTCCTCACGTTCCAAAAATGTCGGGTCCATATCAACCCGCCGCTCAAACTTTGCCCACCAATCTTGGAAGCTCTTCAGTGACACAACCTCCTGACCCTTATGACTCGGATCAGCCGATGCAAAGCTCGCCAGAAAGTTAAAGGCATTTCCAATAATGCGCTGCGCCAGGACCTTGGTCGTGATACCCTTCTGCTGGCGCTGTTCCGGAGTCTGGCGCACCAGCTCTGTCGACGTCCCCGCTTTGCCCGCATTTGCCTCAAGCTCCGCAAGCTGCGGCGCAACATTCTGAATAGGCTCGATTGAGATACCCAGCGTTACTATCCCGTCTACGGGGGCTGCGCCTGCAGCACCGCTGGCGCCCTCGTCCAGCATCTCATCTTCCTCTTCAGCTTCTGAGCGCCGTGGCCGTGCTGGCGAGGGATTTGATTGGACCTGGAAAACTGCGGAGGGTTTCTCGTTGGCTAAGGCTCCGATGAACCGGAACTGCGGGCCAGTGGGTGAAGGCGTGGGTTCGGGTAATTGGATGTAGATTGCGGCGGCGGTGTCTTGGGGGAGGACAGTGCCCGGTAAGAAAAACACGACGAGTTCTGTGAAGGGTGGGTTGAGGGGGAAGGTGAAAGCGAACTTTGTCGCCTGGCCGTTGGGTTGCGCGTCCACCGCGACGATGTCTGTGAGGCATGGCCTCCCGGGTACGATGACGGAGAACATGGCGGGGACGGAGGTATCGGTATCAGCTTATGTGGGGTGTTGCTGCTGTATCAATGGCATGTAAAGGGAAGTATGGATGAAATCATATACGAATGCCCTTCAGCCTGCTAGGAGGTGAAATGCATCTCTAACAGCCTTCTCATCGGAGAGAAGCAGTTGCTACTGGAGCTACTGAGAATTTCCTGGGGCATTCGACGATGGAATCCCAAAGAAAGACTCTCTGCGGTGACGAAATGATCTGATTAGGGCTAGTCTTATCGATAAGGGCTGCGGCTCAGCATCAGGTGTGGCTGAACGGTTGACATGCCGCAGGCGACAAGCCAGATCTGGGCGCATACTGTCAGCCTGGTCAATGGTCAATTGTATATAAAGACGAGGATTGTCATTGGGGAATTGTACATAGTTTGTTTTTCTTCCATTGATATTATCGTCACTCGAATCAAAACTAGTCACCATGGGAAAGACAAATCTCGAATTGGTGCATGAATGCGACAAGTACTACAGCCCCCAGTACCCCTCTTCATCTTCAAGTCCCTAACTATCCTGATAGATTCCCATACTATGAAGATGACCGGGCCTTCTATGCGGCTCACCTCAAGAACTTCCACGCTTTCAAGGTATCCGGTTGTGATTCTGTCCTCGGATACATCCTCAATTCAGTAGTGGAAAAATTCTACTGGCCCGAAGACTGCTGGAGCATCGACTCTACAAACCAGACCGTCACACTCGTCACCCCTCCCGACGCGACAGCCGATCAGCGAAGTCAGCTAGTTGCCAAAACTCTTGACGAAGCAGTCAAGAGGGGCACGTTCGAGATCCTGAAAGGATGGCGAAACGAGCTGTACCCCGTCTACGGTCCGGGCGGGGAGTTCCTCCTGGAAATGGAACGGAGCGCAAGCCCGCTCTTCGGCATCGTCTCGTACGGTATCCACGGTACTTGCTATGTTGAGGACGAGAATGGGCTGCGCATCTGGATCCCGAGACGGTCCCGCACGAAACAGACATATCCTAGCATGCTCGACAACACCGTGGCCGGGGGGATGAGCACGGGTGAGAAGCCGTATGAATGCCTCATCCGTGAGGCAATGGAAGAAGCCTCTCTCCCCGAGGACGTCATGAGGAAGACTGCTATCTCCGTCGGATGTGTTACGTATTTCTATGTGCGGGATTCGCGAGCCGGCGGTGAAACCGACCTTCTACAGCCCGAGGTAGAGTACGTCTACGACATGAAGCTCAGCGCCGATATCATTCCCAAGCCTGGGGATTCGGAAGTCGAGGAATTCAATCTCTATACCGTCGAGGAAACAAAGAAAGCCCTGGCGAATGGAGAGTTCAAGCCCAACTGCGCTGTTGTCTTGATCGATTTCTTCATCAGGCACGGTATCCTGACGCCTGAAAACGAGCCTGACTACATGGAGATTGTCGCACGGATCCACCGTCGCTTGGAGTACCCAACAGCATCGCATGCCACGAAGTGAACGCAAGTCACGCAGGAATTGTTCGAGCCGGAAGCGAATAGATAGCGATATATGTGTCATGTTATGTTCTTCTAGTTCATTTGATATACCCAATCATCCAATCAAACGCCGACGCTGCAACCCAAACATCTGAATAATGCAAATCAACTTTTTTTTTCTGTCAATCGAGAAAGCGAATCATTGTAGACTTGCTCGCAGAGTTTGAACACCACAAGTTGAACAGGACGGGCTGCCTCGTTTATTTCTTAAGGAGCAGATACACGTAGTCGATGCGCAGAGGAGCCAGCTTCTTATAAGGCCCTTCGAGATAAAGCAGCAGACCGCCAAAGGAAACGAAAACAGCCCTGAGCGCGCGATCAGTCAGAAAATGTCCAATGTATCCCGCCTGCTTGTCACAGCAAAGCAGAGAGCACGCGACAAGTCAATTCCTTCCGGTCACAAGTTCTTACATGTTACCCTGAGTTGCCGCCTCCTCGAACCGGTAAACCTTGCCGTGGCAGACGTAGTCATAGTCGTTCGCCAAAGTCAGCTCGCCGGCTCCGACCTCCCTCCAGCTGGCCTTGCCCCCAGTGGCCTCCTTGCCGTCCAGGGAGAGTGTCGACGCAAGTGCCATGGAGAGCGACTCTCCGACCGAACAGGGGTAGAGTTCGGTGTTGACATCGAGGGTGAAAGTTGTTAAGGAGTCGGAGGAGGTGCAGGTGAGACGAGAGACACGGTCATATTTCTGTGCATTGATCCCAGTGATCGTGAAGGTATCTTCGAAAAGTAGCGGGTCGGACATGATTGCAATAGGAGACGAGGGCGTCAGATACTCTGGATATAAACCTGAACAAGACGAATTTTCTAGGATGCTGTTATCGACGTTGAGAATTGAGATGGATGCCAGCAGCTGCGTGCTTTGCGACTGCTGGAGGAGATTTTGATGAGTGGACTTGAGGCTGGAGAGTTCGAACGGGAAGCTTTTTTTGCTCGACTTTTAGCGCGCCGCCGCTTTAGTTTCCTTCCGCAAAGCTGCCCCGCAACAAATCCTCAAAAGAGCTTTTTGCGCCGATGAGAGCTTTAAGCTCTTATTGATCAATTTACTCGAAAATGTCGTTTCGCAAACGCAACATAGGCTTGTCAGGAGGTGCCGATCGCTCATCCATCCCCAGCGCCTCTGCGCAGGTACCGCAAGCCACCGCTACTATAGAATTCAATCCCGGCATCCGCCCCTCCCCGGACGATGGGCGACCAACTACTTCAACAGGCACACGATCGCTTGATAATCTTCTGGCCGGGCATGGGGGTCTTTCTATCGGGAAAACTCTCTTGATTGAAGAGAATGGGACCACAGATTTTGCGGGCGCATTACTACGATACTATGCCGCAGAAGGCGTCGTGCAAGATCAAACGGTTCATGTGGTTGGAATGCCTGAACAATGGGGCAGAAGTTTGCCAGGCTTGATCGGTCCCGCGGATGCTGTCGATGATAAGTCTGAGAAGAGGAAGGGTGAGCGTATGAAGATCGCCTGGCGATATGAGCGTTTGGGGGAGTTCGGCGCAGGGGTCGCTGGTTCAAGAGGTAAGGCTATCTTCCCCCATAAATTGGTCTCCTAATTACGGGATTCGAGATCATACAATGAGACTGACCAAATAAGCCCCCGTTGTTTCCGGCGAACAGAGTCCAACGTCTGCGGATGCGAACAAGCAAGAAGCGTTCTGCCACGCCTTTGATCTAACGAAGCGTCTGGTACATCCTTCCATATCAAAAATAACTTACATACCCATCACTCTCTCCAACGAACCTTTATTCATTTCGATCTACAAGCGGCTCCAGGCAGCGATCGCTTCGAGTCCCCCAAACACAGTTCATCGCATTGTCATCCCATCCTTGCTGAACCCTACAATATATCCGCCCGATGCCAGCCAGCCAGATAGCGTCCTCCCATTTCTCCACTCGCTGCGGGCCTTAATGAGCTCCCAAACTCACCGTATCACGGCAATGATCACGGTTCCTCTGTCTCTTTTCCCACGGTCTTCGGGGCTTGTGCGGTGGATGGAGGTTCTCAGCGATGGCGTCATCGAGCTTTGTCCTTTTCCACATTCAGCTGACGCCCTCACAACATCCGGAGCCACCACATCTCAGGAAGAACCGCCGCAAGGCATGCTCAAGACTCATAAGCTACCGGTGCTGCATGAGCGTGGTGGCGGAAGCGATCAAAACGTCGGACAGGACTGGGCTTTTACCCTCAGCAGGAGGAGATTCGAGATCAAACCCTTCAGCTTACCACCAGCGGAGGGCGATAAAGAGGCGCAAGACGCCGCGATCCCCGGAGGAATGCCGAAGAAAGCAGATCTTGAATTCTAGACAGCATTTCGTGATGTTACAGGATTGCATCAGAAATCATCCCATGTACTATTCTTCATAGTCTGAGTGCACCAGCATGTTCTCCAGCTCGATTTGCTCGGACATGGATGAGCCCGTGTTGACCATGGTTCTGAGATAATGCCTGTCGTAGGCATCGAGTCCAGGCCGTATTGAGGCTCCTGGAAAATAGGAGCGAAGGCGTTGACGGCAGGCTGAAATAGCAAGCCATGCTTCATAGTGTCAATACTAGAAGGCAGAGCAAACATGGGGAGAGAGATACCCACCTAGAACTAGAAAGAAGGGTGTGAAGAATACCAGAAATAGCAGCATTAAGAAGTCCATGTCGATAATGCTTGGGCCAATCCCTTCCGATGCCGGCCAAACAATCTATAATAGTTCCAAGAACACAATAAGATTTTGGGATAGAGCAGCTGAGATCATTATGCACGGAGTAGATCGATCTGAAGTCCAACTGAACCGGTCCGTCTGCATTGCCGAGATACACGACCCAAATAGGATAAGCTCCGTTCTTTCATGGGTACTTTTTCTCTTCAGAATTTCCTCCCACCATGATTTTTTCTTCCTCTCTCATCTTTGAAAAATTTCCCAGCTTCAAGTGACAAAGCTCTGGTTCTGCTGGACATATCCAGAGCAGGTCACCCCTTTCGTGAACGACGCTCCTTTTATGGTAAGTGACCCTTGTTTTTCTCAAGTTTATCACTTGCCTTAAAATGATTATATAAATACTATAATCTGTCAATCCCCTGAAGCTCATTTAATATCTCAAAAAAAACGAGCACATGTGACTGAGAAAAGTATCGAGAATGATTTGTCTATTTTCCTGTTAATCGTCTTAGCATCTCTCCAACAGAGTCAAAAGGCTAACATGGAATTTATTGCAACAGTGATGGGAATTCGTTTAATCAATTGTGCTGCTATTATTGTCAAAAATGGATACACAACCTTCCCTTCCTATTCCGATCTCGTATATCTCGGGTAGTTATTATCTATTCTCAATTGATGCAGTCACGTATTTGAGACGCGAACATCATATCTGCGGTGTCCTGATCGGAACCTTGCCGCAAATCCCACAGCAAAATGTCTTCCTGGGCCTGCCACTAGAGCTGATGCCGGAAGAGGCACGGCTTCTGGTGGAGAAAGGTGTAGCTTGCATTGTAGACGAGGTAAAACTACAGAAGGACGGAATGAAGTCCGTCATGGAGGCGGACCGTCACAGGTACCTGCAGGACTTAGAGAACCAGGGTCTCCAAGCTATGCGGTTCCAAACCAGTCGGAAAGAACAGAGGAAGGAGGAGGCGCTAAAGAACCTAGATGAGAAACGCGCAGCGAAGGCAAGGAAATCCGCTCAGAAGCAGAACGGTGCGGATGAGACGCCGGGCTCCGAGTTCTTCGTCGGCGATGAGCAAGGCGCCGATTCCAGCCAGACATCACGGCGAGCCTCGAATGTGACCCAGCTTCAGAACGCAATGGGCGTCACTCCCGCAACTTCCCAGTCTCTTCTTCCTTCCGAACCGCCTGCGAACCAGCTGTTACCACTTCCCGAGGTGCCGTCCTCCTATCCCTTATTTGCCCACCTCCATTCGGAGGGATACTATCTCTCGCCGGGTCTACGTTTCGGATGCCAGTACCTAGCCTATCCCGGTGATCCTCTGCGCTTTCACTCCCACTTCTTGACCGTGTCCGCCGATTGGGACGAGGAGATTGACCTGATGGACATCATTGTTGGAGGTCGACTGGGCACCGGTGTCAAGAAGGGCTTTCTCATTGGAGGCGCTGAGAATAAGGATGAAGAGGCGGGAAATGGAAGTGGCAGCAGTGTGAGAACTTTCAGCATCGAATGGGCAGGGATGTGAAGTATGAGACCCAGTGCTCTGCTTCACTACATCACACTTCTATCCCACGAGGACGGAATGGACCGTCCACATCTGCGGGTTACGAGCAGATTTTGCTCGGCCTCTGATATTACTCGATTGCACTTGATTAAGTCTGGATGACAGAACATCCTCAACCCTGCCATGGGAAAGGCCGCTTAGCTATGCTGCATGTACGAGTACGTCGGTATTTCAAACCGTCTAACAGCTGGCACCCACAGTAGGCTGAAGACCATCAACTTGCCAGTTTTCCGAATGTGGAAGGCCGTTGATGACAGCCTCGCTGAGTCTACCTATTTAGACTCTAAGCTCACCTGGTTGGGCTTAACTACCAAGAGTGAGCACAACAGATTATTAGATGATAAAATAGTTGGAATTTTAGGGTGTTATCAATTGCTCAGGAAATATGAGATTCTATTTTCCAGTCCTATTGAATGTTATGTCTCTGGATATATTGATGTATGGCGACTTGTGCCGCCACGGCGATTCTATCGGTGCGTGCAGTGGTTGCACCTCTACCGCGCTGCCGAATCAGTTGGTGCTTCACACCGAGACATGCATCTCCCCCCATGTGGACGATGTTGCATCTGTCTCCCGTGGTTGTAATCGAGTAATAATGATACTAGGTTATATCAAAATGCAAATTCGCAGGGTCCATGTGCCCAGTGTTCACGCAGCGCATACCACATCCAGGCTCTAGACCCAGTCTGGTCGACTTTCAGTAATGATTCAGAAGTCAGAAAGCTTTCCTTCTCGCCAAATCAGCCTCTGATTATTCAGACAGGCAACTGTTGGCGTGTCGAATGCCTTGTGGCATAGTCACTGCCTCATTGTCGAACCGTGAGGATCCGGGGTTTTTCTGGTGCTGCCGAGGCACCTGTGAGTTATCGTTATAGGTAACGTAGTGACCAGTCAATGGACGCTAGCACTAGATGTAATCCACGTTGCGCCATTTGAACTTCTTGTTGGCTCTATCGACGGGGCGATTCTCGAACTGGCTGCCGTGAAGCTCAAACGTGAGTTTCTTACTGGCAGTATCATCATCAGTCATAGCGGTGTCTCCATCCTCGCGTATCGGCAATGGAACGAAAAATCGAAAGATGGTTTGTTCTTTCGGAATAGCTTCAGAGAAATGTTAGTCAAGTAGTCAAGCACTAAAACTCTCCGAGGTCCAACACCACACACTTACTTTTCATCTCATCCTTCTCCGTCACAATCATGAAGGTAAACTTGGTATCCCTCACTACAATCCCCTTCATACCAACTCTTCCCGCGCACCGACTCCGAACAACCTCAACCTCCGCCCCGTGGAAATCTGCACTGACCAGTTTACTCCCATGCGACTGCGGCGTAATAACCGGCACCTGCCGAGCTCCCAGATCCAGAATCTCCTGCATATAGCTCACCCATAATTTGTGGAGTTCCTTGAAGATGGCATATTTGCATTCCTCTTTTGGGAGGTCGTAGATACCCGAGACGCGCTTTTCGCGCGCAGACAGCGGCTTGGGTTTCTGCTTGCGGAGAAAATACTCCTTCTTGCGGAGGCGGTGCAGGCGACGCCTTTCGCGGTTGTCGGCGGGTGTGGGAGAGGTAGGTCGGAGGTAGAGAGGTTTCTGTTTAATGCGCTCGGTGAAGAGCTGTTCGGCTGTGTCTGGCGAGTGGGCGCGCGCGAGAAGCTCGCGGGCTATATGAGGCTTCGGTGTTGTCATCTTGGAGGCTGTATTATGGTTGGGAGAATAAATCTCCAATATCGGAGCGTTGAAATAATTATATCGCTGACTGCGAAAAGATTAGGTTTGTTCCATCTGGATTTCCTTATCGGAGCCCAATGTCACGTGCCTTTTTGTATACTCGGTTGATTCTACTTCGTGCTCAACGACTACCACTCCTGTAAGTTGACATGATCCGAGACGTCAGCAGTGGCTTCGTGATTTTATAGGGACTCAGAGTACCCTTGTCAGTTGTCTAAGTTATGCCAAGGCAACTACTTATTCAACACACCGCAGGTGTATGCGGAACTGACATGATATATTACGGCTCATAGGTTGAGGCTCCGTCCCAACAACCTGAAATGAGACTTTAGAAAGAATGGCATGTCATTGAGTGAACAGCTCACATAAGACAATAGTGTTTGCAATCACGAGCCATTGAGAATTGCATGGGTCTACTTGTCCTAATCATGAATCTGATGCCACAGGAGCACAAGAGAGTGGAAGTATACTACACGAGACCTAACTCAATGAAGATACGCAGCCTCAACCACTATCATCTTAGGGAGATGAGACTGTTGTACCTGTTCTTGCTCAACCCGGCTGTGATTCACCCCGCATGTTGTAAACCATCGGCTGCAACTCTCTTCACCGCACGGGGTTTCGGGTCGATTGACTCTAATATTGAATATAAAGTATGAACTATAGCAGCCTGCCTGCTATATGTCTCCAATATTTTGGGAACATACAACTTGACCACGATGACTTGCACGGAAGACCTTGCTGGGTTACCTCCCTTTCCCACTGATGTACCAACAGCCCCTCTACTACGTCTATCGCTCGACAAGCTGCTTGCTCATGATACGGTTGAGATCCAGAGATTGATGCAAGCATGCGAGAAGATTGGGCTCTTTTGCCTCAATTTGCAAGGCTCGGAAGAGGGGATTAGCATCCTAGAGGATGCAGATAAGCTGTTCAAGATCGGCGAGCAGCTGTTCGATCTCACTCTGGAGGAGAAATTGAAATATGACTTTAGCGGCCAAAACTCCTATTACGGATACAAAGCACAGGGTACAGCAATTTTTGACCGGCAGGGAAACTTGGACAGGAATGAATTCTATAATGTCAGCTCCTGTGTATCCCCGGCTAATGAATTTGTATCAATACTGCTTACTGTGATCTCATAGGTGTCCAGGGACGATATCATGGACCTTACGCCGTCTCTCCCTGCCCCGGACATTCTTCATCAAACCCGTCCAGCTCTCCAGTCCTTTATACGCACCTCCCACTCGATTGTTAGCCTCTTGCTTGACCTCCTGAACGGCAGCCTCAATCTCCCGCCATCAACTATAACAGACCTCCATCGCCTTAACGCCATCAGCGGCGACCAAGTCCGCTTCATCAATGCCCCTCTACAGCCTGCTAATGACAGACGCACCGTCTTAGGCGAGCACACCGATCTCGGCAGCATCACAATCCTCTTCAGCCGACTCGGCGGGCTGCAAGTCCTGCCACCTGGAGCGGACGCGCAGTGGGTCTACGTGCGGCCACTACCAGGACACGCAATCGTGAACCTCGGAGACGCAATGATCAAGTTCACAAATGGCCTGTTTCGGTCGAACATCCACCGCGTAGCTTCGTCGCCGGGTGAGCAGGCCAATTGCACAGGTATAGTCTCGTCTACTTCTCGCGGCCGCAGGGTGATGTCATTCTCAGGAGGTTGAAGGGCTCTGGCAGGATCCCTGAACTAAAAGAAGGTGACGTTGAGGAGGCGATCAACAGCAAAGACTGGATTATCCGGCGTGCGCTGGATCTGAGGGCGAACCTGAAGGAGATTGATTTTGAGAAATCGGCGGGGACTGAGCAGTTGAGTCGAAGGATCAAAGTATAATGCTTCTTTGCAAAATATTAGAGGAGCTTGGTGTAAATCAGTCTAGAGCACTGAGCTGGATACTTTCACGTCAAGATGGAAGAAGGATCGGAGCATTTATATTCAACATCCGTTTTGAGATGTGGATGACCTCCATTGGAAATTATTCAGTGTCATATACTCCAGTTTGATCGTGAAGATTTCAAGTAGAAGCCAGCCCCTCAGATATTCTTCTATAAGGCATATCTTTCTGAGCACATTGCCCACTTCTGATCACTTCCTAGTCATACCAGCCTCCAGCTTTCCACTCATATTCCTCTCATTTTCCAAGAACACTCGCGCACCTCGAAGCATTACAACAGACTTATCTTCTCCCCCTCCCTCTCAACACGCACTTCGCCAAATCTGAATACTGTTGTACATATTTCAAACAAGGGCTTGCTTCTGACCATGAAACCCCTCCCAGGCTTCAAGTTTCATGTCCTCCTGGAGTAACACAGCTCTAGATTCGTTTCAGATCACCTTCAACACTGAAAGATGGTTGTGTTATATCTTTCTCGCCTCCTGGATTTGGAGAGGCTTCTTCCACATGGATATCTTCAATTCTTTTTCGACCCTCCGCCAAAGCGTGCTTCGAACGACTCCAAAGTGCTCCACTAAACCAGCATTATGCAGTCATACGGGCACGGAATGGATTGCTCGTTTTCGGATACCGAGTCTCTGGCATCTGCCTTGTCCACGCCCAGGTCGTGGAGCTTGTCGCCGCCGTCATCTCCCTACTACTCTGATATCTCGGAGACCGGGTTTGCGAATAGCATCGGTGAGTTCTTAGATCTCGGTGCAGGTGTTGAATGGGCGATTGACTTCAAACTTTACATTGCTAGATGGCAACAAGTCTCCAAAGGGCAAACAGCGAACCCGTGCAAAACCACTTGAAAACGCACAGGACTTCTTTCGGGAGATTCGAGAGAAACGGAATGCTTTTTTTCTTGCGCATAGGGAAATAATACTTCCTCTTCTCGGAGAGGGGACATCGTTGAGCAAGCTTCTCCAGATGGAGGACTATGCTGATTCTGAGCCTACTCCCTTTCAGAAGATCGAAGTACAGCCGGACGGGTGAGTATCTTGCAAAGAATCCAATATTTATCACCTAGACTGACGGCTTATACAGGCTCATGGGTCGCTTGAAGCCGTATCAGCTTGAGGGGGTATCTTTTCTTGTCAACCTCAACGAGAATGGCGTTGGTGGTATACTCGCCGATGAGATGGGCTTGGGGAAAACTCTCCAGACTCTTAGCCTCTTCCAATTCCTGAAAGAGAGTGACTACAGGGGCGGCACACTCCATGCACCTTTCCTGGTCGTGTGTCCACTCAGTGTGCTTGATACATGGATGGCAGAAATCACGAGATGGACACCGGAGATGCGAGCAGTTAAGTATCATGGCACGCCTGAGCAGAGAGCCAGTTCGAAGGAGATTTTGAAGGCTCAGAAGAATCCAAAAGGCTCTGCACAGTCGACAGACATGGTTGACATCGTGGTGACCACATACGACACTCTGCTCTCGGAGATCATTTGGTTTTCGCGGAGTTTCGTCTGGCGCTACATTGTCCTTGATGAGGGACATAGAATCAAAAATCACCGGTCCAAGCGAGCAGCAGTCCTTGGCCGGCTCAAATCAGAATATAAACTTGTTCTTTCAGGGTAGGTGTCAATCCATCTGAACTTGAAGCATGGCTAATCTGATTCTCTCAAAGAACGCCTGTACAAAACGATCTCGGTGAACTATGGTCGATCTTCCACTGGCTTTATCCCGATGTCTTTGTGTCATCCACCGAGAAGCTCTTTGTGCAAGCCTTTTCCTTGAAAGATGGGAAGTTTGACCCAGTCTTCTTCGACAATGTGAGGAAGTTCTTGGGGTTGATCATGATTCGAAGGACTAAAGAGACCCCGGGAATTGGATTGAACATCCCGCCCAAGACAGAACTGGTGTTATCCGTTCCCTTGACGAAAATGCAATGCTCATGGTACATGAGAATTCTTACGGGAGCGGATGAGGTCCTTGTGGATGTTGCTGGGTCTTCTCATCCACCAGCGAGCAGGAGCTCTAGCTCAGAGATATCGGATGACGAGTCTTCCCTGTTAATGGACCTTGATTTGGATTTGAAAGATTCTTCCCATACCACCGAAAAGAAAGTTTACCGCGTTACTGGGAACATCCTCATGGAGCTCCGGCAGGTGGGTTCAAGCTCGATGTCGCTGAATGGACAGTACGGGGCTGACCTTGCACAGTGTTCTATCCATCCATATCTTCTCACAAATGCGATTCCTGACCCATACATTCTAGGCGACCATGTTTTTAATAATTCTGGGAAGTTCATAGCCCTCCAAAAACTACTGAAGCATTACGTGGAGGTTGAAAACACCAAGGTTATCATTTTTTCCAACTTCGAACAGGCTTTGAACCTTTGCGAGGATCTCGTGATGATCATGCAAGGAACGAGTCCAGCCTTCGAGTATTTGCGCCTCGATGGGCGGACCACAAGCCCATGGCGCAAGCTCATGGTGTACCTTTTTCAAAATGATCCTTCTTATATGATCTTTCTACTGTCGATCAGAGCAGCAGGTGAAGGTCTGAACCTCACAAGCTCGTCTGTCGTCATTTTCTTGGATGAGGATTGGAATCCCCAAGTCATGAAACAAGCTGAATCAAGAGCGCATCGGATCGGCCAATCTCGACCGGTGAGAATTTATAAGTTGCGTTCGAGTGGAACTGTTGAAGAGCAGATGAGCCAGAGGCTGGCGAAAAAAGCTTAAATTGCAACCAAGATCACCGACAACATGCACACCTTCTGCTCTACAGACGGTTTCCCTCGAATGGCACAAGTCGAAAGCGCTGGTACTCTAAATATGTCCAGAGAATCCGGAGACTCGAGTGATCTTCCTTCGCCATTGTTTTGGAATACCCATGTTTTGCCCCAAAGAGAGAATGACATTGAGCAAATGATTAAATGGGATGTGAGGACGCTTTTGGAAAGGTGCGTGAAGCAATCGGACAGCAACTGGGGATCCGAGATGTTCACTGCAGAGCAAGAACGGCGTTGGTTGGAGAAAGCCGAAAAAGTTCGGACTGATCTATTCAACGGGACGAGAATTGATACAACAGGTCGTCATCGCTCGGTTTACGCCAGAACAATGATCACCAATCTCTCCCGGTATGAGCGAAGGATTGGCAAGGGAAGAGTGGTGATCATTGATGGCTACGAAGTCTCAAAGGAGAGTCTGACCCCCGTCGTTGAAGAGTCAGTGGCCACAAGCCAGGAGTCCAAAGTACCGCAGGGAAGATTGGTCCACGAATTGGTGAGTAGCTGCATGAGATCAAAAAAACTTAGGACTGACGCATCGCAGACATGCTTTTTGTGTCGCAAGCTCGGGCCCATTAATTGTGACAAATGCCCCCGGGCATTTCATAGAGACTGTCTGGCAAGAGTGACTGGGGATGAGGAAGAGTCCAAAGTTTTGGTCTGCCCCCATCATTATTGCTTCGAGTGCGGCAAGAGCGCTTCTCAGGCTGGGGGGCTTCTCTTTTCCTGCACACTGTGCGTGAAAGCGTACTGCGAACGATGTCTGGACTGGGAGCACACGGTCTTCATTGGAACGGACCCAGCAATTGAGGGAATGGGGTACTTCCCCCACAACGCCTTCTCCATCAAATGTTTGGGTTGCAAACCCTCCCTAAAGAGGCAGAAGGAGTTCGAGACTCGAGTGAACTATCGAAAGCGCCAGAGATTGTAGGACTGCTGGATCTCGATGCAAAAGGCACTTGGACTTTCTGAGGCTTGGAGAATAAGGTGGGGAGCCATTTGCCAATGAGGCCATTCTGCTAGTTGAAAAAGCAAAGAGATGCTCTCTGTATACTAAAGCGGAATGAGGTCATTAAGATTAGTAAAAAAACGGTCGAGTTTCCACCATCCTGCATGTCATGTCATCTTCTAGAGATACGCCAAAGTTACCGGATCGATCATCCTTCATATAGATTACAGCGCCGTCACTATATTTCATCAGCATTCAACTACTCGTACAAATCCCTGCTAATTTGCGCCAATTTGCTTATTGCCCGGTCTGGATAGTGGTGGCAACGACAATACCAGCAACCGGGACAATAATTTCTTCACACCACAGGGATGCAAGAACCCACCGAAAGGAAGTCTCCAAACTCTCAAGGCCGAATTGGCGCCCACCAGACGTGCGCCATGCATGTGAACTGCAACGTTGGATGGGCGGGAAACCGGAACACAGAAACCACGTAAGGAGTACGTTGCCCCCCATGAAGAGCATTTTCCCTCATTCAGAGTCAGAACACCTGAACAGGCTGGGTGCAGACTGCAGAGCGTCGAGCGCCAAATACATGCTGGAGACCGTTACTTTAGACCGGCAGTAGTGCGTGAAGGATACGACTGCTGGACGAGATCCCATTTGTTCCCACTGCGCTGGGATATAACGGGCGGGAAGTTGGATTTGGGATGGAGACTGTTGGGGGCCTGTGGGAACTGCGAACTGCATTCCCTGGGCTTCTGGGAGATGGGAGAGGGGCAAAACGTCTTCGTTAGCCCCCTCTTTTTTTTTTTTTTTTTTTTTTTTTTTTGTCAGAGTTCCCGGTCAATGGGAGTTGAAAATTGAAGCATGCACAATGTGCTATGTGGCTCAGGTCAAGGAGTCCACCACGTCTGAGATCATGAGATCATGAGATGATGCGGGATGCCAATGCGGGCCCCGACCATACCCTTGTCTCTGTGTCTGCCTGTTCAGCATCTGATCAACTGGTAGCAGGGCAAAAAAAAGGATGGGGACGTCAAATGGATGGCAAAGTAACTGCAGGCGTCCTTTCATGGAAAGTTCCAAGTTCTCAATAATGTGTCTGCTGATTCAACATGGAAAGGCATGTCTACGGAGTAGATGATTCCTGTAAACGCCGGTTGATTTGGAATAAAGAGACGCTCATCTCAAAATGAGATTTCGATCATCCTCAATTGGCATCTCACTAATCACTACTCTCGGCGATGTCCGTGTTGAAGATAAGCATTAGATCCTTCTTCGTGTTGCAGGGCATAGAAGGATTCGATGGTGATTACACCAAACAGGAATGCAGGAGACAATTAGCATTAATTTTCCCGTAATTTTTTTTTCTTCTTCTTCTTCTTATGTTTATCAAAATACACTTGTACCCATGGTATTGCGTTGTCTCAGGTGTGGCTCGTGCGCCGTACCAAAGACCGTTTTATCCTGTACAGCTCTTGATTACCAGCTTGTACCATGTATTGTGAGCGGGGCTGGCGGACCGAGCCGCCAGAATGGGTAGGCAGTACCAATAATCCATGGTAGCAGCAATCATACTTCAGGGTATTATAACCCATTTAGTACGATGTCTAGAGATCAATGGATGCTGATGCCCGAGGCGCGACATTGATTATCACTCATAGAATGCTTGTTCCAAGTCTAAGTATAACAGGGTATTATTTGCCACGTCGAGCAGTCCAAGTACGAGTTGCAGGCAAATGGAGCATGTTTTACGCAGGTTATGCGTCAGTACCGTATAGAAGACTACGTCGTGCTTGACAGGCAAATATCCAACATTGCACCATGGCATACTGGCATTATATGCAAGCTCTAACCTGGAGAAGTCTTTGCATCGTGGTTCTCGCGCAAGGCTTTGCTCTTACAGCCTAGATGCTCGACTCAAACCCACTTCAAAACAGCATTCGATGAGAAGGTTTTCTACTAACACAATCGCACCTGGTGACGGTGAAACTCTTAACCCCCGGCCAACTAGGCTAGCTTCCCCAAAGCATCCCAATTGACATTTGATGAATTGAAATTGAACGTTTGTTGGTGGAACTCAACGGAGATGGTGCTCAGGAGACTGGGGCCGATGCGAATATCAATCATCCCAAACCCAACCGAGCAGCTTGGACTTTCGATAGTCAATGGTCAACCGCCGGAAGCAGTTCCTAGCTTCCTTAGCTCTCCTATCTGCCTATCATAGATCCATTTAGCGACGAAGCAGGATAGAGCCCGACAACTACTCTGTATGCACTCCGCAGTCTCGATGTGAGCTGTCGGCCGTCACATCATTTAGAGTTTAGCCTGTCATATCCTCAACGGTACCGAGGCTTCTTAGTCATTGGTACGGGAGGGTCATGTATGGGCTATTGCGATTTGAGTATGATAGGAGTAGAGATACCATATAAGAGTTTGCAGCAAAGATTATCAGTGTGATCTTCAGATGGGGTTCAACAGGCCGTGCCATGGTGGAGATACAGTCACTCAAAGCTCCTTCCAATTACAGAGTAGATCTTCGGTACGTCCACCCCCTTAGGTAGTATCGTGTCAACTGTCGTGCAAATACCTCCATGTCATCAAGCGAATAGAGCCCAGGTTAATGGGGGTTTTAAAGTCTGTACTCTGTAAGTGAGCATGGGGGGAGATATAGACAGAGTCGGCAGTCCTAGGCAGTATATATTCAATACCATCTATTGGGTACAATACCATACCTACAACATGTACCTATCTAGGAAGGTGCATGACAGTAGTAAGGTAGTTGTACAAGGACCCCAATTTATTCTCCGGCTCCGACACTTCCCCGGCAGCCGTCAATTGAAATTAAACGTTGATAAGTCGCCGAAGTGTCAACAAACAAACAGTCCAGCTAACTACGGAGTAATCCAATCCAGCGACACCAGACACACAGTAGATACTAGCCCTGATAGATACTCCGTACATACTCCATAGATAGAGCAATAATAAATCTCCCAAAAACTTACGGAGTAGCAAGAAAACCCGACGAGCCAATCATTAATTTGGTTCATGAGTTATGATCCATTCGCCGAAATCAAGGTAGTGGAGCCCGCGCGCATCGCGTCTTCAGATGGAGAGGCCGCGGTGCTGGTGCAAAATAATAATAACAATAATAATCATAATCAAAATCAACTTATGCAAGCCCATCACCTCCCTTCACAGTTAGTAGCAGGCGAACCAATCGACGCTACGGGATTTGACCAGCCGTCGGGAATTGCATTGCGCAGGGTTGCAGGGTTGCATATTTTGTCGGATTAGGCATAGCACACAACATTACTCGCAGAGTCAGTGTGACTGATCTTCCTCAGTTGGCGGACTGAATCATGCTGCAGGATCGACAGTCGACAGCCGACACACTACGAAATAGGTGAGTGTAACAGACAGGCTGACAGCATCCTTTCTGGTCTACAGAGTAGGCGAGTATCTAGACGTGCTTGGGAGTAATATTAGAATGATGGGCGCTTGTGAGTTGTGACACCGGTCAAGCAGGGCCATTCTTAGATAGACTAGGTAGGCAATGGCCAATGCACCCGCCTAAACGAATCCTCCACAATCCACAGTCGAATACTACCTAGTCTGGTAGATCGTCCTCTGTCGCTCGTGCCAAAACCTCCCACCATGGCCGGCCGTTATCCCACCCGTATAGGCAGGTGGACCACAGACCACGCCGTCCACCACCGCACCGGTCCTGCAGCAGGAGACGAGAAAGTAGAAACAAAAGACCGTCCGGGTGTTCGGGATGCGGGCCCATTTTCCGTCAAAGGTGCTCACTACTACTAAGTACTAACTAGCAACTATTTAGTTACTAAATAGTCGGTATTAATAATCCGGCTATGTAGTTCTGGTTCCTCGGGTTTTGGCCCAAAGTTCCCCCCTCCCAAGTCAATTGCGAATTGGGTGATCAGGCACGGGATGGCCCGAAGCTTTGACGGACGACTAGAAGTTTTTGCTCTTGGTCCAAGGTGGAGAGAGCAGAGAGGTGGTCAATGGTGACCGGCGTCCCATTGTCGGATTCATGCCTTTTACAGTTACCAGATGGCGATCGATATGGCAGCTTCGACAGAGCTGGTTGAGGTTCTGGCCAAATTACAGCCTTTTCTCAGGAGTAGATAGATAGATAGATAGATAGATAGATAGATACCTGCTACAAAGTACTCTTTGAGTGCCTAGGAGTACGGTAGCTAGAGTGTACTAGGCTAGTTAAAAAGACAAGTAGTGGGGTCTCATCGTGAACGAAAATATGACACTCCAAAGAGGAGGCGAGAATCAAATGGACACATCGTTCCGAGGTCTTGCTTCTGACCGAATATGGCGTAATCATGCTAAAAGAAAAAAAAAAAATCATAAGAGGGATTTTAGACAAGTTGCTGCACTTGCACATGAGGAGAAAATGCAAGACCAGACGCTAGTTATTGCTCGCAGGTGGGCTCAAAAGGAAAGAAAAGAAAAGTCATCAATTGTTAGCTTTCCGACTTACTGACTCCCACATGAGCCAGCCTTTCCTCAACTCGCTTCACAACATCGGGGTCTGGTTCCGGCTTATGTTTCTTTGGCCTAGGGTATTGTCAGTCACCTTCTGCTAGTTTGAGGGTTGTTCAATAGTTAGAACATACGGGTCGCGTATAGTCTCCGGTCCCTTTTCCTGCCCGCAATTCGCACAAGCTTTCTGGCCATGCCCGTAGAGCGTCAAACATTTGTGACAACTGTAGCGCACCCTTTGTCGAGGTTTCTTCCACGTCCATTCCGGTATTTCTTTCGGAGGCTCCGCGTCCCCAGGATAGCCGTCTGGATATTTGTCGGGTTTATGCCTGGATGATTGTAAGCAACTTTCAGCAAGAATGAGCCTTCTCGGTTATGACGTACGGTTCACGGGGACATTTCTTGCATCGTATGTGTTTGCAGCTGGGGCATTCCACAGCATCTTTATCGGGGAATGTAGTACAGCACCGGTGGCACGTGCGCCGTATTCTCTGCCGAATGGGCTTGTACACCAGATCCTGGCCACCAGTGCGAGAAGGGATCGTGACTTGTGGCCCCTTGACCGTGTGTCGCGCCGGCTCGGGTTCCCTCGATGCGACTATCTTCTGGAGAGCACTCTGTGCCTGATCCTTGGGTTTGGTTGACGGATGGCGAGGACATTTGGTGCACCGGACGTGTTGGCAATTGACGCAGACCTTTTCGGGCCCAAAGGTAGTCTCGCAGCGATGACAGGTGCGGCGCACTCTCATGCGAATGGGCTTGGCCACGCGCTGGACGGTCATGTCGCTCGGCGATTGCCACTCTCCCGGCTCCAGGGTCAATCCATACTTGGCGAACAGTGCGCGAGCCTTCTCCTGTTGAATGGCGCTCCAATGTGTGACAACAACCGGCTGAGGAGACGATTTGGTCGCGGGATTCCGTGCTGGAGTGGGGGAAGTAGAACTGGGACTGCGATCATGATAAGTATGCTGAGTGATGGGAGACAATAACCAATTAAAACAAGCAGGAATAGAAGCACTGATGAATACCGAAGAATGCAAAGAAAGAAAGGCTGCTACATACCCGATAGTTTTGCTAACCTCCAGCTGCCCAGTACTCGGTTGCATGCTCGAGGTCGAACTCCTTGCAGTTGAACTCTTCCTCATCACAGTCTTTATGCGCTTCAAATACTTGCTGAAGCCATCTTGCTTCTCATCTTCCGGCTTGGGAGGGTCGCGCTGGCTGGACATTTTGTTTGTTGCGTGCTATGTCGAAAACCCCCTTCACACCGTTCAAGTCAATTGAGCGATTTTGTGGCGATAGTAAATAAACCGTTATTGGCAAGTCGCAACCGAACCCTTAAAAACTACAAATTACTCCCAGTGTCAAGCCGTCCTTCTCATAACATTTCAGATGCAGTAGACGAGGCGAAACGAAGCGAAATCAATTAAGATAAAAAAAAAAAAAAAAAAAAAAAGGAGGTCGGGACCGAATAATAATAATAATAATAATAATGTGGTATCCAGATACCAGCCAGGCAAGGTATGGCAGGTCAGGTCTCACGAGGCGCACCGAATCCAGAAGTTTGGGACCTGGGAGACCCGACAAGACGGTGAGAGTGGGAATGGGACGCAGGGACTGCACGAACAAATAGTACGCGGGCAGGGACTCAGGATTGGTCGAGTGGCGGTCAGTGTTTCAAACAGAATGCTGGACAGCCCGTCGATCTGCTGGTGTAATTAGGCTGGAGACCTGTCGACCCCCCCTCCGAGAAGAAATATGCGAGATGGTCTCCTCGTTTTGGGAGAGGCAGGGCGAATGGTGGTGATACGTTGGGTGAAAATTGGCGTGTGTAGGTACTCTGTAGTAGTAGGGGAGTGGCGGTGGTGAACTTTTTGTATATGCGACACGGACCGCAGCAAGACTAGGAAGCGAACTGGAAGCACTACAGTACTAATAATAAAGTAGGGGGAAGGGGATCATGAAATAGAAAGGCCCATCATAGTCCATTAGAATTATGATTTTAACCCAGGAAATCAATATGAGGAGAAGAAGAATAATAATAATACTAATAATGATAATTCCCTGGCCCTCCTCCTTAACAAGTTAAACAGCCAAACTACTAGCAGGGGAACAAACTTTCTGGGGGGAACCGAACGAGCAAGAGGGGCGGACTGTGGTGGGTACGTTACTTTCCAATTTACAGACATATCATACGGAGTACAGTACTTTGGGAATTGGCATGTGTATGTACTGTATATGTAGGTACTGTAGGTTGGTAGGTGGGATCCTGGAGCCATAACACCTCAGTGGCTGCAATGTGAGGATCAAAGGTACATCTTCTCCGTACAGGGGAATGAATATTCTTATTCTGGACTACTCACGTTTGGGATATTATCTTCAATTGACCCTTGCCTGAGAGAAATTGGTGATTGAAAAAATGATGGGCTTCGTACATGGGAGAGTCAAATACTGAGATACCGAACATTGAATACTTGAGTCAATTCTATGTAGGTACGGAGAGTACTGCCGAGGCGATATGAGTATCACTACTCACGACAGCTACATAGGTATATCTAAGGATAATTTTGGTCTGCTTGTTGCTCATCAACAGCATTGACATGAACTGGAGGTTTTCATGATTCCAACACTTCTTCAGATACAAGGCCTCAGCTCTTCTTATGCTGCTTGTTCCATCAAGAACAGTGAAAATACAGCATAGCTATACTAGATACAACCAATACAACCAATTACAACCTAGATTCTCAGACAGAGCATCAAACCACCATAATTAATGACGATTTGCATTTGAGACGCGGCCCCACTGAAGTGGACCATGGGTGAACTTGGCACTCTTCCTGCTCTGGAACCATGTCCGAGGCTCCGAGCCCAGAGGCGTCAAGACACTCTAATTAGCTCAGTGACTGAGAGGTTTGGCCAGCAAAGATAGACTTTCTTAGCCTTCCTCGATTCTGCATGGAATTATGCAGAATCCCACTGGTTTTTTTCCATCCATGCGGACGGCGATTTCGTCATACCAATGTAGCCCAGAAGTATGGCGGATGAGCTTATGCCATCTCTGGAAGGTCAGACGGACAATGCTTCATGGTGTTGTTTCGGGGTCTATTCGCGGTGCTGTGTGAGGTGACAGAATGATGGTGTGTTATCTGCGCGGGGATCAATGCTCGGGATCATCCTCAGTGTTTTGAAAGCGAGTTATACTCCGTATAAGGTTGGAACTTGGAAGCCCTGTGGTCAGAACGGAGTACATCTGTACCTACTGATTATCGTAATTTTGTGTATCGATCCTGCAGTCATCAGTTGATCAATGTTAGGCATTGGGCTAGAACAGATTCCGAATCATGTCAAAGGTTAGATAGAGTGGTTGATGGCAAATACAAGTCTAGATTCTAATGATTAATATCCCCAACCATAAAGAGTACTGTTGACTATAATTCATGTATAATCGTGGTATCCTGTACCATCAATCCTTACACTATGAAAGTACCAGGGGTATGTTTACTACATAGTACTTAGGCTAAGTATGTTCACTGAGCAGAGATCAGTATTTGATTGGGAGTGTCCCAACTGTCCATATATGAGGGAAATATCCCAACAAAAACCTGAACGGGGGGGAACTCAAATTGAACAAACTAGCATCCTAGACACGGATGAAACACAACCAGCTGGTGTGAAAAGAAGGAATTGGTATTCGATCTTCTAAACCACACCACCATCCCTGATCGATGGTGCATGACGAGGTGGGAACATACTAAACCACCGAGTGACCATGCAAGGCATCTCCAACGGTCTCCAACGATCTCCAACGGTCCCCAACAATCAACCTGGGCTGCAAATTTTCCCTTTGGAAATCTTGGTGGTCCATACTAGCCCACATGGGGTTGTTCTTGGTATTTCTATTGCTCCTGATGAGAGGAATAGCGCCAACTTGACCTACATCAGGAGGGAGAGGTTCGGAGACATTTTGCCTCCTTCCACCCGTTGCATAACTATCACATGGTATGGACTATAAAGAGGATTTTTTTTCTGATATGGATATGGAGGGGGGGAAGAAGCTTTCATCCTTTGAATACTTGACAGGCTATCATACTCTGATCCTACGCCGGAATCACACGTTCTCTGCATCCTAGTGAGTCAGGGCGGGGCACACTCCAGGGACCGACATATCAGCCTACCCGCATATACGAATTGCCTGAGATATCTATCAGCCCTTCCTCCGGCGGATAATTCCGCCCAATATCAAACTCCGTAAGTTCCGTCAAAGAGTTATTGTATACTATCAACCAGTGGAGTCTCCAAACAAGACACGGTGGTCAGTGCCTCGCTCAAACTCCAACCACACACGCGCACCCACATAGTGTATCTGCCAGTGTCACTCAAGAAGCCAGAACCCACCAATGAGCTCTACGACTAGAGTGATTCGCATCCCAAGCGAGTAGTGACCCGATCTCTGGGATCGGAGGACGTGGACCCAATCACACGCTTCTAGCCACTGGCGACTAGACACATTAGTTGTTCAGGGATGCTGAAAATTCCGGCGATACGGAGGTTGGGATTGTGCCAGTGGCTGTCACTGCCAACGCCAGCGCCAGTGCCTGGCGCCCCAGTGGGATGTCTTTGGTACTTAATAATATTTAATTATAATTTTTCCTTTGCATGGCGGCACTTCCTTCACGTACTGCCTAGTTTGGTTACTGGGGGCTTGTGGTCGAAACTGGTGTGACTGTGATCCGGATTTCCGATGACTGATGAATCTCCACCGTGGATGTTCTGTAATGCGCTAGTAACGGTCTGTGGATACTGGACACTGGATGGAACCGAACCGACCCAGGTACCGGGAATTGTGTTATTATCGCTTTACAACGGTTTTAACACCGGGAATTCTTATTCACCTTTTGACTGAGTACAGAAGGTCGAAAAATGCTGAGGTATAGCTTGAATTTCAAGGACAGTCGACATGAATCCCACTGCTGTGGTGTGGCGCAAATTTACAGTCGAGATCCCTCGCCAATGTGAGTGGGTTCCCCCACCGAGACACCGATGAGACAACATACTCCGTATGCTTCAACCTACGCGACTGTCTTGAAACCGATCAGATATGTGACTTTCCTAAGCACATGGGAAGTCTGCATCTGCAGTCGGATGTTCCCTTGCAGTTAATACCAGGCAACAAGAAGGTTCGCAAAAAAACCGGTCCATGACATAGCAAGCAGCTGCAAGGAGAAATATCCTTCAGAGGAAACGATGCGCAGCAGAATTGATATGATGTTTTCGATAATGGGGTATGTATGTAACCACTGTGCAGCATACCATGGGCTCGGTGGTATACCACCAAGCTCGATGGAGAACGCGAATGTGCAAAATCTCAATCATCACAGAGCAACTTCTCGTTCCGAATTCGAACCCAGCAAGTCGTCCGAAGCAGTGCAGATATCAATGAAAAGCACGCAGCACCATTACTATCATTAGAAGAAGTAGTCGTATCCCATAAGCGAATGATCCAGCCAATTGTCGCATTCCCTTCTACAAGCCCCATACCAATCAATTTGTGCCGGTGTACCGGCCGCCTCAATCAGCACCTTGGAGCTTCGCCTCGATAGACAGAATGTCGTCTTCTTCCTGGACTTCAATCACGCGATTGACTTCAGCCGTATTGCGCATGAGCTCCACGGCGCCTGCATACGTCATGCGCATGGACGGGTTGCAGTTCACGGGAAGATAGTAGAGAAGGACGTAAGGAACAGTAAGGCGACCGGAAGGCTGATATGACAAGGAAAGAGTTTAGCAAGAGGTGTCATCTTTTCCCAGCTGGGAAAGACGCGAGGCTACCCACCAGAGTCAATGGATAGCTCAGGAGTATAAAGCGGGGGGACGATTCAGGAAGCTCATCGGCCAGATCCTCCATTTTCGTATAGACTTCGCCATCTTCGGCTCTGATCTCCTGTGTCTTCGAATCGATGATATCTGCCAGCCCACCGTCAACTATTGCCCCTTTCGTTGACCTGCGTGTACTGTGTAGTGGGATTCCGATGTGCCTTGCGTCGGCAAGAAGCGCACAGGGGCTCATCTAGGAAGGCAAATGCGAGGCAACATACAGATAACCGCCTGCGGATCCTTTGCGCGGGAGGTGCCTAGCCGGAACTTGCGGAGTTTCTCTTTCGTCTCAGGGGAGAACGAATATAGTCGTGATTCGGACTGCCAGTAACAAAATCGTCGTCAGCGGAGTGGTCTCCTCCAGGTGCAATGCGGGGCAACAAAGGCTCACCATCTTGATAGGAAAAAATCGTGGGGCAATCAGACAGGAAACAAAGGCTCAGCTGTCTACTCTCCGTTTGCAAATTTGGAACAGCCCGGAAGTCAAACGTTCGAAGCCTATAAACTGACAGCGTGGATGTTGAACGCACTGCTCCACGTTGCAAAACACGAAGAGCGGGATGGTTGTGATCGATCGGGCGGTTCCCCACCCTGCCTGCGCCCTCCCCGATCATAAAATCGTCGCTCTGAATTTCCCGGACGGATTTTCTTCACACCTTGCAACCTCTCTCTCTCTCTCTACACTCTTCTCTTCTCTATGTTCAATCGTCTCAGCCAGGTTTCTCGCCATATCTCCCGGCCATTGCTAAGTTTCAGCGCCATTTCCCCAATCGCGTCGTCCTCTACGTTCCCCCCTCTATCTCGCGTATCATCTCCCACCATGACATCATCCGCGCTGGCCAACCAGTCCAAGACCATCCATACGGCGGCATGTCTGATCATTGGCGATGAAGTTCTCGGTGGAAAGGTGAGCCTCTTGTGATTTGAATAGCAACGATGGGAGTTGGGTGGGGGGGAGGTGTATGGGACGCCGCTCGTCTTTGTTGGTATATGGAAAGGCTAACGATACCAATCAACTATATAGACCATTGACACAAACTCGGCTTTTTTTGCCAAGTACTGCTTCTCGCTCGGTATCCAGCTGAAGCGGGTGGAAGTCATTGCGGACGATGAGGGCGAGATCACGGAAGCCGTGAGACGGATGAGCAACAACTATGACTTCGTAGTGACCAGTGGAGGCATTGGACCAACGTCCGTACAAACATCCGACACCTAATTACTCTTTCAAGAAGCCCCCTGGAGACTAACAAGGCTTACTCTCTCTACTTGTTCCCACAGCCACGATGACATTACCTACGAATCGATAGCCAAAGCCTTCGACCTGAAGCTGAAACTCCACGCCGCCGCCTTCGAGCGCATGAAGCGACTCTCCAAGCCTCACCCCATGCAGCCTCACTTCGACTGGGACACCCCGTCGCCGGGCCTAACCGCCAAGCTGCGCATGGTCTACCTCCCTCACGACGAGAGCCTGCCCGAAGAAACACAAGCCATCTTCGTCGCAGAGGACATGTGGGTCCCCATCTCCGTCGTCAACGGCAACGTGCACATCCTCCCCGGCGTGCCCCGGCTCTTCGAGCGGCTGCTCCAGCACCTCAAGCCCACCCTGCTGCCGCGCCTGGTCAACCCGGAGGGCAAGGGCATCTACCGCTACCTGTTCAGCACCCCGCTTCCGGAGAGCGCCGTTGCGCCGTACCTGACCGACCTGGCGTCCCGCGCGACGGTGCACGGCGTCAAGGTGGGCAGTTATCCGCGCTGGGGCAAGAAGCGGAACACCGTCACCCTTGTCGGGACGGACAAGGCGTTCATGGACTCCGTGATTGCGGAGGTGGAGGAGAATGTCAAGGGGAAGAAGGTGACGCGCGAGGATGAGCTGGATCCTGCTGAAGGTGAGGAGTAAATCAGAAGAGTATTGGATGTCAGTGACTGCGTCATTTTTTTTTTCTTTTTGCATGTACAGTCTCTAGCCTAGCTGATAGACATCTGCATATGTAGAATAGCATTCTTGGATCATTAGCAGGAAGGGAGGGCCTGTAGAACCTGGTTTACTACCCTGAGTATCTACGACTTTTCTGTGCTCGCGCAAAGAGAACCAAGATGACGAGCTCGTTATGGTAGACCGTAGACAGCAACAATCAAAATACGCTGGATACCCTGATAAGGTAGCATCTTTGAGGAATAGGTTATAAGGACACACGACATTATCGAGAAGCAGGAGATAACATCAGAGAGAAGAAAGAAGCAGGATAGAATTTGCAGCCTTCATGTCTAGTAGATAAGCTTTTGGGGGGGGAGTTCCTTTCATCACTTCATATGACTCGGGGAGTATTATTAAGATCGGGTTCGAACGCCACGAGACCGGAGAAAGGACGGAAACAGCAAAAGGATAAATAGGGCATGGGGAGGAGCAGAGACATTGACAGTCCTGACAAACACCCAAGCGGATGGAAGGGAACAAAGGAATTGGCAAATGCTGCGAGCTGGAGCGAGAGCACCAAGATGCGGACCATGACAATAGCATGTACCTATATAATTGCACAGATCTATTGACAGGCTCATCCCTCAATTTGCCAAAGGGAATGGGTATTCATCAAGAGAACAATCTTTCACAAAAAAAAAAAAAGAAAAAAAAAAGTTCGACTTAAACGGAGGAACAAAGGGGGAATCGAACGGTCGTGGCGAGAGCAGACATCACCCGATAGTGAGCCTCGAATGGTATAATAGTGACAGGTGTAGATGCATGGATACGCCGTATCCTCGGCTTTCAAGCAGCAGCTCAACTCCTGGAACTGAGCGTAGATCTTTCTCTTTCTCTTCTTCTCCTTCTCTCCTCTTTCTTTTCCTTCTGTTGTAGGGTGTATAGGCTTCCTTTCGTATAGACGTCCGCGTCTTGTTGTGTTGTGAGAATCCAGCGCCTCTTTAGTTACATTATGACGCATTTTCCGCAGCAGCCAGCGCTTTCACCAGGCTCGCTCACTTCCATCTTGCCCTCGGGCGCGCGGGCGCCCGGCGCACCCGAACCGGATGGGTACGATGACATCTCCTTGTTATAACGACGAATTTCGCGGACGAGGTCGTAGAAGGCGTTCTCGACATTGATACGGGACTTCGCCGAAGTTTCGATGAATTTGCAGCCGAATTGCCGAGCTAGAGCCTCACCCTCTATAAACCAAAGCCACTCCGATCAGTATCATTCTTCGGAAAAACCAGAGAAGCTGTGGGGAAACGCTTACCTTCCTGGGATACAGCTCTTTCCTTTTCCAAATCGCATTTGTTACCGACGACGATGATGGGGAAGTAGTCCTTATCCTTTACTCGCAGGATCTGTTGTTGAAAGGTCATAATTTCTTCGAAGGATTGACGAGATGTGATGGAGTAGACCAAGAGGAAGCCTTCGCCAGTCCGCATGTACTGTTCACGCATTGCCGAGTATTCCTCCTGACCGGCGGTATCTAAGACGTCTAACAACGCGACCTCATCGTCGATGACACACTGCTTGCGGTACGAGTCTGCATTGGAACAACATCATTGGATGAGTAACAGGATCCCATCTATTATCGTCGGGGAAAAGGTCACCCACCTTCAATCGTCGGGTCGTATTCGTCCACAAAATGACTCTGGATCAGTTGGATTGTCAAGCATGACTTTCCGACACCACCCCCACCGACAACAACCAGCTTGTACTCTCTTAGAAACTGCAATTGACAGGTCCGTCAGCACATTGTATGCACCCCCTGGCGGATGATTCTTCATAGCTATCGACGGCAAGATAGAGCGCGATGGACGTGAGGTTTCTTGGGACGGAAAAAAGGGGGCAGGCGGCAAGTGACCCCCGGGAAGGAGGATTTTCGAAGGATCGGCGTACCTTTGAAGCCATCACGGCGAATTCTGCACTGGAAACACCTGGATAGGATAGATGGGGGGAAGAAGAGAGCAACGATCGAAACTATCCCAACAGCAGCAGTGTCAGCGGGTCAAAAGAGCAACAGGGCACAAATTTCTGTTGCAGAAGGCTCAAGAGTCAGGACCCAGCTCGTCGGGAGTTCCGCACAGGACAAAGGCGCCTGGAGTGCAGTCCACAGAAACGGCGGGTCTAGTAGCGACTAGGCCAAGCTTAAAGCCGCCAACAGGGGGATGTGGAAAAAAAGAGGAGGGTGTTGGTAGGAGGGACGAGTAAGGAATTAGGGGGTGGGTGCCAGAGATTGGAAAGGGTGTTCGTGATAGTTCGCAGCAAAAGAACAGGGAGAGAGAGAAATACTGAAGTCGAAGCAGAATTGCGCAGTCCTGCCTTTTCCGATTGCTGGTAAGGGAGGTTATTACAAGTAGGTAGTATTTCCTCTTTTTTTTTACCCCTTTTGGCTTTTTATTTTTTTTTCTTCCTTTTCTTTCTTCAACCCAAAAGCACCAGGGTCAAGGTCCGTTCTGTTTGTTTGTTTGATAGATAGGATAAGGATAGTTGACTCGATCCAAAGAGTTGCCTTTTGCTTTCTCGTGTAGGTTTAGACGGAGAGAACCCAGGGTGGAGAATCCAAGGGGAGGGAAGAAAGACAGAAGTAGATAGTAAGTAGTTAGCTGGTTAAGGGGGGGGGAACAGGATTAACTATTACTATTAGTTAAAAGGGGAGCTTTAGAGTGAACAAGTGAACCCAGAGAAAAGGATGTGGGGAGGAAAAGGAGTGAACTTTCAAAAAGAAGGAATCGAGAATTCGAGATGGAAGTCAATTTCGTCTTGACTTTCTAGAGTTCTTCTTCCTTTGACAGTGAATAATAATGAAGAAAACCGGGGGGGGGGAAGGCAAAAATTAGGAGATTGAGATTTCCTCTCTCTCTCTCTCTCTTTTTCTCTCTCTGTGTATGTTTCTTTCCTGTGAGAGTTATCTGTCTAGTTATTATTATTATTATTATGTATTATTGTCTTACTTGCTGATTATTTGGTGTTATTATTATTCCATTTTTTTATTATTTTTATTTTAGTCCCTGGATTGGATCCTTCCATTCTTTTCCAAAGAAGACATGATGGCGATGGTGGAAATAAAATGGACACAACAACTGGTGTCCGTCTTTAAGGGGGCCTGTATAGTACATGGGGCAATAGGATGTGGCCATAGATTATATCGGTTGTGGGTGTACCAGGTATCAGTAATTTATTGTATCGCATCGGTATCATTGGTACCAACTTCCTCCGTAGCATTCGACGGCACTACCGACTGACTTCATTTCCCATAAGATTAATCTGATATCGTGATGGTGCCATGCCATGCCATGGTGCTTGTTGGAAGTTTGGAACTCGAAAGTAGTACTAGTACTAGTACATACAATCCTGGATTCTGGACACTTAGACCTCCAGATAACTAGGTAGTAATGGCTCAATGAGCTTCCTCCATCAACCACCATGATCCCGTTGGCGTTCACCAGTCACGGCTCCTACAAACAGACAACCGGATGGACAACCATCACGCCAATCAATACAATTTGTTCAGCGGCTGGTTTGGTTTGGCTTTTCCCAGTCCATCGTTTTTTCTGGACTCCTCCTGGAAGCACCGTCACCCTTGAAGCGAATCAACATCCTTCGCGATCTTGACAGGGATCACACAAAATGATATTAACGCGAAAGAGCGAATCTGGAACGGACCGTTGGCAATTGGCATAGCATAAAGATGGTATTTTTATGACAAGAGGTCAAGGTCCATGAGAAAGGAAATCTTACTCCGGGAGTACAACTTACAACTCAAACCAGTAATTCTGGAGGGACGGACCACCTACTTACTATCTTGAGAATTGAGATGGAGAACTCCACCTACAATACTAACTTAGTAACTTACAGAGTATAGGTAAGTACTAAGTATCCTTATGCCTGCCCGCAACTACTACCTGACTAAGTACTTACTATCTATCTCTCAATCGCCATTGGTTGCCTACTTGAGAAATTCTCCAGATGCCATCATCCAAGTTCCAACAATGATCCTGATGGGACTGGGAGATTCGGATGTTCAGGGTTTCCCTTCCAGAAGGCCGTCAAAACTCAGCCTTAAACCTTGGACCCGGCCGCTTGACAGCTTCGTCTCCATACAAATGATGCAAGCACTTACATCCTAGTCTTCCATCGAGGTTCTGGTGCGTTTCATCATGACGTCCTTCATGTGCCTGATATCCATCTACATAATCCAACTTTTCAAGATGAAAGGTTGTGCGCGCACTTACAATCTAAATTACTTCGCGGCTAGTCAACTAGTCCAACAAGCCAGGATTGTGAACCAATAAGTGGCTGGTCCAGCCAAGGTCTCCAAAGAGATTGTTTCCCCCACGCCTCCACTCAAAAGGAACATCAATGGCATCTGTGGTCTGACAGTCTGACCATCATAAGGAGTGTTTACTCAGCAGTCAGTACATCCTGATTATGCATTATGCAGTGATGCCACACAGTCAACCAAGGGGTTTACCAACAAACCCCTATAATCAAGTCTTCGGGGTTGCATCATGAAGTCGATCTCTCTCGATTTGGAGACCTGGAAGTACGGACGTCTAATCTCCCGAAGACTTCATCCAGTCCACACGTAGCAATTGTCAGCGTTGCAGATAGCCTATAGGCTATGTATCTACAGTACCTGCCCCATTTCTCAACCTTGCATACTCTCTGCATCATCTTCTTCAGTCAACAAAAGACCCGACCGACCGCTGATCTGGAGGATCCCTCCTCTCAATCCCCATTCACAAATGACCCTGTATCTTCCGGCATCCTCCAGGCACATCTATCACCTACATACATATGACTAGGTGATCTGCCCCGTTTACTCCGAAGACAAACTGGCCAGTGTGGTTGAGGAATCCAAGCAGGTTGAAATGCCTGACGCATTCTCAAAAGGGATGATCACATGTTTTGAGTAAAGCGTTAGGAAACTGGATCGCTTGGCACTTGGCAGCTCGCGATGCGTGGTTGTTGTCCGCCAGGTGAGTGAGCATATCAGCATCCAGTCTAGACATGTTTCCTTACTTGACCAAAAGACGTGGTCTTTCCACTGATCTTCAAATCCAATGTTGCATCGTGCTTGTTTGGTTGTTAAGACCTTTTCTTCGACTTCACTTATGGAACAGAACAGGAAACAAGCTTTTGTTTGTTGACTTCATGTCCTGCGACAACGGACAAGAGAATAATCAGTTGATGACGGTAACTATCAAATAATATCTGTTTTGCTTATAGTACAACGCTCATGCTTGGATGATGTAGAACTAATTTCGAAAGACAGCTTCCCGGTCATTCCTCGGCTCGATCCCACTCAACCCAGTAATGTACAAGTTTCTACAGACTACGCCGCGGCGCGAATCGCATCCGGTGACAATCAAGGCGATCCCTTCGTTGTCAGAGGTTTTAGGAGTCTAAATCCGCAGAGATCGGATCATCAATCTGGAGCGATCTCCACCAGAAGAAAGATTCCGTCTTATCGACAGAACCCGTGTGTTCTGTTCGGTATGCAGGTATCACCAATCACCAATCACCACAGGATCTACAGATACCCCTCGCCTAGAACGAGGACGAGAACCGGACCCTTGCTGGCATGCTGCTGGCCAGAAGACCCCGTGCTTGACGGTATATGCCCGACTTTCTTCGATGTAGGACGATACTCGGGGGTCAGGCCAGGTCTGATGCGGAGCACGCGAAGCTGAGATCTCCGAATAAGGCTACACGCCCGATTAGAAGTTTCAGCTGGCTAGCCTGATCCCTTCTGAAACCTTCTGGAACAACGGATTGCCCGTGTTTCGATTCGGCCACTCGAATGGGGGAGAAGACGGCTCTCTTGATGAACGAATACAGCCACGTGGGCGTCATCGTACCATGGGCCCGCGGGGATTTGGCCCAATGCAGCCCCAATATAGTTGAAGGGGAAGGCAGTATCTAATCACTTAACGAAGCGAGTATAGAACCCGAGCATCTAGCTTTATCAATACAGTAGTTAATCTCTACACATATTACCTGCATACTCATCTCATGGCGAGTGACAGTATAATCCGGGCCGATATACCTAGAATATATATATCTCCAAAGCCACGCAATACATTCCTACCATCTTTGCACCGTCGACGCTGGAACCCATCTCGAAACAAGTATATATCCAGCAAAAGCGACAAATACATCTAAAGAAAAGTAATAGAGCCTCACTAGATAATTCCCCCCCCCCCAGAATGGTAGATGCAGCTCCCCCCTGCACTACTCGTTCACACTTCATGAGTCCCATGAATGCCAGCGGGACCTCAACAATTCTGTTACAGCCACGTTCGCCCCCAGACTTGAATTCAACAAAAAAGATCCGAGACAAGACTACTGCGCTACACCAGTCCCAATTCTAAAAAAAAAAAAAAAAAAAAAAAAAATTGCGGCAAAATGCGGCTCTATCAGATTTGTGGGACTGGTCCCCGCTGCCGCAGAAGGGGTCCTGTTTCCGTGGTACGGTTGGAATGCACTGTTCGCCGAACCGAAATTTGATCTCCTGCCCTGTTGTCAAGCATAAAGGGGTAAGTAAGTACTAAGTAAGGTAGTACCTTGGACTCCTGGAGGGCTGGAGTCTGGACACGCTGGTCGTGGATTATCGTACCCTGGAGATCGAAATGTTTCCTGGAAGAGAAGGTTGGTCCAGAGTTCAGACATGGCGATCTTGTATGTCTTTTTGATCTTATATACATTGGTATACTGCGTATAGCTCTATTTATTAGATTAACCCACATCATTCGACGAGAAGCCCATCTATCCGTATTCTTCTAGTTCTTGCGGTACATGTGGCCGGGAGATGCCTGGTAATGATCATATTAGCGTCGTCTCAAGGGCTGTGAAAGAAAGTGGCACACGTACCTGATGGCTTGGGAAGATCAATGTGTCAGCGATAACGACATTCTCTCGTCGTCCCGCAGCAAAGACAATGACTTCGGCAATGTCATCGGGTGTAAGAGGCTCGCAGCCACTGCAGGGATGGGTTAGCTCAGTTCAGATGTACAGACATGGATAGTGGGAATGCCATACGCATAAACGGCATCGGCCTTGGACTTGTCACCATAGAATCGCACAACCGAGAATTCCTGAGAGGGCGTGTCAGCTTTCGAGTATCCATCACTAAGATCTAGACGCATACCGTCTCAACCTGACCGGGGTCGACTTCAATGATCCGGATTCTTGTGTCGATGAGCTCCTTGCGCAAAGCCTCGGTGAACGACTTGACGGCAGCCTTGGTGGCGCAGTAGATGCTGCCACCGGGGTATGGCTCGCGGCCGGCGATACTTCCAATGTTGATAATATCGCCGCGGCCGCCATCCGACCGCTTCTTGAAGATAGGAAGGACGGCCTGGGTCATGTTGATCAGGCCGGTCACGTTGGTGGAGAACATGACATTGATATCCTCGGTGTCGATTTCAGGAGCCTTAGCCACACCCTTGACAAGACCCCTAGTTGCTGTAAGTACATACACCCAAACAAGGAATTGAACGGTGACATTGAGGAGAACACGCACGCATTGTTGACCAGAACGTCAATCTCCTGGAACTCTGCGGGGAGGGACGGCACAAAGTTCTTGATTTCCTCGGGGTTGCTGACATCCAGCTTCACCGGCAGCACCTTGACGCCGTCGCCAACTTCCTCCTTGATCTCCTGCGCCAGCTGCTGCAAAGACTCGAGCCGTCTCGCCGTCACAATCAGCTTCAGGTCCTTGGGCGATGTGCGAGCAAACTCCTTGGCGGTGCTCTTGCCGATTCCAGACGATGCGCCTGTCACCAGGATTGTTTTGCCTTCGAGGCGCTTTGCCATTGCCGTCGCCATTGTGCGTCTGAGAAAAGCTGTTCGAGCGGTAGAGGTGGAGGGGTACGTTCGGGTCAAGGGGGTGAATGCGGAGAGAGGACAAGTAAAAGAGCGCAGGAAGAGAGCCGATTTTCTGAGGTACTGCATATATAGCTATCAGATATCTCAGATTGTGAGATCTCCCGAGAGGATAAAGAAATCGCAAGAAGATAAGAGAAAGATAGAGAGTGGTTCCGAATGACTCTTCAGTGAAGATAAGCAGCCGAAAGTCGGCATCGCATCATCTGCGGGGAAACTGATTCATTGGTGGGGGGTTCGCCCTTGCTGCCTCAGGCTGCCAGCCGGGCGTTTGACCGATCGGACTTGTCGCCGACCTGCACTTCTCATCTATCGTTCATCTTCATCAATCTTTCTATGGATTTTTCTGGCAATGACTATCTCTCGTAGAGTTGTTGAAGTTGATTGACCTTTCACAAAATCTGTCCTTGCGCAGCCTGATGTGATGTCGTCTTAGTGCTTTTTGTGGCATTGCTTAGCTGCACCAGTCATGCAAGCATTTGAAATGACTTCTCATGACCGAGGTGCTGCCAAAGGACACGTTCCTCCCAGAATTGCCACTAGGAGCTGCTGCCTTACTTTTCACAAAAGCATTAGGCAGCAGATCAAGCCTGCACTAATCTACAGGAGAAATGGCAAAACATCAATGTACATGGCTGAATATGGGGAAGTCTCATCAGTTTCCGTGAATCATGCTCGACACTGAGTCTCGAAGTACCTCCCAAGGTGGTCCAACTGGTGCCTCTGGATTCTTCGTCTTGCTGAGCGATTCTTCGCGACTGAGCCTGCAGAATTGATCAGAATGTCGTACTGCAACCCAGGATTGTCATTCAGCAAGTACTATCAAAATGCACTATGAATATGCTTTTGCTCCATAATGTTGGACATACTGATCGTCGATCAGTCAAATATTCATTACGTTGACGCGGACAGCTCAGATTTGCAATTTCGTCATCTGTGCTCAAAATTAGAGTGAAGAAAGTGACAAATTTCCATAGTTCTCTCATCCGGACAAGAATCACATTCTTCGGTAATTCAATATGTTTAAGCAACCACAAGCTGGGCAACATATCCCTTCAAGTAGCTGTCGTGTTGATCTTCGCTTTGAGTATGTTGTGAAATGCCAAGTAAGCATTATCTTGCAATCGAACACATGGTGCCCGGTCTCAATACGATCAGCCATGTTGAGGTCATATATATCTGCGTGCGATGAACATGTCACATCGTACAGCACGGCAGTCATAAGCAATCGAGGGTCTGGGGAGGATCTGCGGTCTATCTCGATGTCAGCTGAGATACTTGACTGGGGTACATGTCACAAATTGGAAGTAATCCTCTACCATTAGAACATGAGAGCAGCAGCTCCGCATTGATTTTCGGCCAGTCGTCATACCCTGGACAGAGCACAGAACCCAGCAAGTGTTATCAGATCATCTTATTTCCCTTTCAGGCTTCAATAACGGGTTTAACGGAGGATGCCCTGCCGATCATCGATCGAAATCAATAGTGTTTAATTCGTCCCCACAGCGCTATTTGTGGTATTATCACTCATTAATATGCCGGCATGCCCCCCCTGAGCCCGCAGGACAACCAGGGAAACCGGCATTCATCAACATTTGATCCAGCAATATGATGGGCAGTAAGCTTGCCTCGGTTCTCCATTGACCAAATAGAAGCGAACTAACTAGAATGATGTTGCACGTCGACGATAAAATTAATCGACATGCTGAACTCAAGTAGTACCTGCGTCATAGCGGTGCTATAGGCCTAGCTAGTGTTTTACTGTGACAACAGAACGCATTATTGGTCTCAGGATGAGTGTCAAAATGCTAACCAAGTTTTCTGGACGATGCTCTGTACCCGTGTCTTTGCTTGCTTCTAAGACACATCTGTACGACGACGATGATTCGATTGATTGCCAAGAAGCCGAAAGACGGTGTCACAGTTCGGCTGTCGATCACTGCAGGTCATGCAAGTCTATCGATCCTTCACTTGTTCACGTCGACGATCTAGACAGCAAGACACGGCTTCAATAGCTCTTTGGACGGTCAGGTACTGCAACTTATGAGTCGACGCTGGGCTCCCTGACCTTGTGCATACATGATGTTCGGCGTGGTTCTGTAGAGTACAGAGTAGACTGTTGGGATTCGAGAGTCCCATGTCTCAGAGATGTCTCCGGCACTAAGAGAGCTATTCTTGATCCACACGGACAAGATGTGCCAAAAAGTAAATGCTGATGAAGATCCACGGTCTAGTGATGCTTGTCAGTTCTGTATTGGGGGAGATACACCTAATACTTTCTTTTAGTTCATCCTTGGATTCATTGATGTTAACAGACACAATATCGTTGTGCACAACATATCTATCATGATCGATGATGGTGATGATAAGAAGATCAAGGTCAGTGCCGAAACGGATTCTCTATAAACCCTTCTGACCCTTATACAAGCAACCTGCGGTGCAGTTACCTGAGCAAAGTATCTCTCCCTCTCTCTCTCTGAAACAGATATGGCAGGTTTTCGCAGTAATTATCTACCCCTCCAACATGGCCTCTTCACGGTACTGATGACATTATCCTCCAGGTTCCATATTGACAGAGTCCAAGACTGCACAACTGTAGCCACTGCACAAGCACACTGGAAAAGGGTTTCATGCCTCCACGATCCCCAGTGGGGAACATGACGCTGGGTCAACCTATTTTAGGATCAGCAGCACCAAGTCTTTCTTGATTCAACCCACATGGCAGGCGGGTTGTTGCTCATCATCTGTTCACACGCAAGCTGATCGTGCAGTACTTTCGAAAATGCCCCAAATTTCTGGTTCATGGGAGTGGGGAACCGCAGGGCCGAGGACGTGGTTCAATCAGACAAATATTCATGGGAGTCGTGTCTCGACCCTCTCACAGATGCCAAGCTATAACACACGACTTGACGTTTGTCTCTGCATTGGGTCAAATTGGACCGGCCATTCCTTAAGCACATTTTCTCACTGGCTTGCATCCCAGGTGTTCTAACAGTACAATAGGGAGCAACGTTGGCGCCTCCTACTGGACCGCGGCTGAATGCAACGTCGCCATTTTCCTGCTTGTCTTCCCTATCTACGTCCTCTAGTCAGCCGCATGTTTCCCAGACTACTCTCTACCGAAAGTCATAATCGATACACCGATCAACCCACGATGACGCACACACGAACTCCACGGCGTAGGACGCAGCTTTATTCGCAAGACGCGGACCTCGATTTATACTCGATCAAAATTGAATCGAATTATACCAAGCGAGGATCCACCGGAGGTATCGAGGTTACCACCGAAATGATCCTGGAGACCTCAAGACACGAAGACACGAAGAGTTGACGAGTCCGCGGCGACTAGTAATTGATTCATGAATTATGATTTACCTTCATTCCTTTTCTATTTTCTTCTGCTCCTCATGCTTAACTGACTTCCATGCCTTTGAATTCGCCATTGATCCTATATATATATACATCCCACTTCTCCGCCCATCTCACTTGCGGGAGGCCCAACGCTTTTTCAGAATAGAATTGACGCTCGAAAAAGAAATGATACCAATAGCCCTAACCAGCTAATGGAACTGTTGACATGTATTCTTGCCCCTGCCACGAAGTAATAATCGATCCTCATGGTCCTCGATATCTCCATTGTTCCTTGCAGCAATCGCTATCTCCACTTGGTGATCGATTTAACCTCCACATCTTTGCCTGGCTCGGTTCGGCCCGTCAGATCTATGTCATGATGACCTGGGCGCATGCCACCACGGCCATCCTATTCAGCATGCATCTAGAGACTCATCCTAGATGATAACTTAACCATATCCACAACCAAACAAACCCACCATGCCCAGCGCCCTGCGCACCTTCACCCTCAACTTCGTCGGCGACGTCATGCTCGGCCGCCTCGTCGACCAACTCTGGCCGCAGCACGTCGACAACGCCCACGAACACCGCGTCGTCTCCTGGTTCCTCGAGCGCTATCCTCACCTGGCCAAATACTCCCACCGCGACCCCTGGGGCTCAGCCCTCCCGCTCTTCCACACCGCAGACCTCAACCTCATCAACCTCGAAACCTCCGCGACAACGACCAACGACCCCTGGCCCAACAAGACCTTCAACTACCGCATGCACCCGGCCAACCTCGCCGCTCTCCGCGAGGCCCACATCGACTACGCCGGCCTCGCAAACAACCACACCCTCGACTTCGGCACAGACGGCCTCGTCGAGACCATCTGGTCCGTCAAGGAGAACCACATCGCATTCGCCGGCGCCGGCGAAAGCACAGACGAGAGCCGCCGCCCAGCCGTCCTGCATCTCCCGCGTCCAGCCCCGTATCCCGCACCTACTGTCCCCCATCACCAGCACCATCACCAAACCACTCGCACCAGCACCAGCACCCCATCATACAAAATCCACATCTACGCCGCCTCAGACCACCCCCGCGACTGGGCCGTCGTCCCAACCTTCCACCTAATCGACTACTCCCCACGCACAAAGGACCATCTCCGCACCCTCCTCACCCAACCCCAGCCGGCCAGCGACCCCCCCGCCCTCAAGATCTTCTCCATCCACTGGGGCCCGAACTACCGGTGGCAGCCGGACGAGCGCATCCGGGCGCTGGCGCACTTCCTCATCGACGAGTGCGGCGTGGACATCGTGCACGGGCACTCGTCGCACCACGTGCAGGGCGTCGAGCGGTACGCGCGCAAGTTGATCATCTACGGGTGCGGCGACTTCGTGGACGATTATGCGCTGCGGGAGGAGTTTCGGAATGATCTGGGAGCGGTGTGGAGGGTTTGCGTGAGAGAGGAGGTGGAGGTGGAGGCGGATTCCGGGGTGGTAGGGGAGGAGGAAGGAGTGAAGCCTGGGTTGGTGTTGGATCGGTTGGAGATCTTTCCGACGCGGTGTGATCGGTTTCAGGCTACGTTGTTGGATCCGGATGATGAGGACCATCGGTGGGTGAAGAGGAAGATTACGCAGCTGAGTGAGGATCTGGGGACAAGTGTGCGGAGAGAGTTGGGGACGGAGAATCAGATTGTGGTGGACTTGAGGGATTGATCGGTTGGGATGAGGAAAGTAGTGAAACAGGCTCCTTGTACTGGGATTGAGGATGTTATGACTGGATATCAAGTGAAATTGAACCACACAACTCACAAGTCTTGACAGATATCATGTACGTTACCGAGATATATCTAGATAAATAATAAGAGAGCATCCGGGCAATAGCACCATGAAGCTCCCAAAGACAAATATTGTGACTGAGAAGAAACTGGACACTGTAGAACGACCAACGCCTCCGCTGAGATCTCGCTTTCACGTCCACATGCATGTTCGTGAGGGAAACAACCGGAAAAGGAAAAAAAAACCCAGGTACCGCCCCAGAATACATACACAACTCCTGTGTATTTCATTTGAAGCTGATAGAAATGGTATCTCATGACAAGGTGAATGTTTACGCCAGTGGTAAAGAAGAGGGAATAATCGGGACAAAAATAAAAGTTGACGAGAACGGGTGGCAGATTCAAGTTCAGACTCCCAACTCTGCCAATTCTCGTTCCTTTGCGCGGAGCATCTCCCGCATTTCTTCCGCTTCCCGCTGGAGCTTCGCACGGCGCTCTTCTTTGAGATTATCTAGGTCAGAGACACCGGGTAGGGCCTGCGGTGGGGAGTGGTGATGAGGTGCCAGGGTCGCGGCGGGATGGTGCTGCTGGCGGCCAAGAGCAGCAAGCGAGGGATCGAGGCGAGATTCGTCCTGCCTGCCTGAATGATTGAGAAGAGATGAGATCGAACTAAGACGCGCGGGTGGAGAGGGGTTCGCCGCTGATATTATTGGTGGCAGCTGATTAGAGCCGGATTCCAAGGTGGTAGGGACCGAGACAGCTTCAGCAGATGATGCAGTCTCGGCAAGCGTCCGTTTCTTGGGATTGCCGGCAGGGTTGGGTGAGAGGGAACGGCGACCGAATTGCGGGACGGGAGAATGTCTGGTTGCGCTCATGCGGTCGGGTTCCAGCAATCTCGGAGGCGGCGGGTGATGTGGTAAGGATAAGCTCCCGGCAGCACCGAAGTGCGTAAAGTCCACAGGAGGTGGTGCGATGCCAAAAGACCGCTGAGGGTTGGCCTGCGATGAGAGTCTGTCTCCAGGCATGGGCTCCGAACTCAGGTACCGGTAGTGATCTTCGTGAGCATGCGCCAACACAGCAGGCGACGCCTCCGGCGAGGCAGAGGAGCCGTGGGACGAATATGCCGCTCCAGTGGGAGATTGATCCCTCAGGGCCGGCACAACGCGTTTTCGACGTTTGATAATGGTTTTCTTCATCGTGGTGGGTCGATAACAACCGTGCAATTTGTAGTAAAGTCCTGGAGAAAGCAAAAGCAAACTGTTAGTAATCCATCAAGCAGGTCAAGGCACGAGGTCCATAGGGACGAATTCGTGGGGATCAATCAGCATACCACAAGCATTGCAAATTGGATGACCATTTTCGTCCCGTCGCCAAAGCGGAGTGACCGTGGTCCCACAATTTTGACAAGCGACCAGCATGTTCCCTCCTTCCGCTGGTGTACCGTTCTTTACGGCATCGTTCTCCGGTCCCGGGAGTCTGTCCGTCTCCGCACTGGCCGCCCTCCAAGAGTGCACCGGAACTGGAGCTCGAGCAGCGGACTTGTAGACTCGGTTGTTGTAGGCTGGACAGCCATCGCATCCCTCAGCTCCGCCAGTTCCATTGCAGTTACCCCCTCCGGGACAGGAACCACCCGAGCCAGACGAGCAGTGTCCATGTGGCCCCGAACCAGCCACGTTAGTAGGTTGTGGCCCCTGTTGCGCAGCAGCTTCCGGTCCCGGTTCTAGTCGGTTGCGTTTGGTCGGACGAGCCACATTCCGAGCTTTCAAGTATAAACCACAAGCATTGCAAATCATTGCACCTGTCGGTGATCGTCGCCACAGAGGAGTGCTCTTCGTCCCACAATTACTGAAGAAAGTGTCAGTCTAAAGGACTTAGGTTTTGAGAGTCAATAAAGCAATATAGGTATACCAACCTGCAAGAATGTCCCAAGAATGATGTGTCCTTCTGGCTCTTTGGCGACGTCTTCTCAATTTCGGGAAGAGCATTCTTTTGCGATTCCGACCAATGGGTCATAGATCCATTTGCTGATGTGTCCATTCCATATCGATCAGATCCCGCTTGTCCTTCGAACCCTCTATGTGCGATCCCATTTTCATCCCGATGGCGATCGACGGTATGTTCTCGGCCAGCCTGAGCCGACGAAATCAGTTGTTGGGCAGCATCGAGATCCTCTGCTGATGGGTGTCGCGTAACAACATCAGGGTTCCGAGACAATGAACGAACAGGGTCCATCTGTGGCACAGATGCAAGCATTGCCACCAGAAAAAAAAGAAAAAAGAAAACCCCCTAGCCAAGCTCGTTATGTTTCTTTCCTAGATCGATCTCCGCTAGGAAGGAATCGAACCGCAGTGTGAGGTTACTCGGGAAGTAGTCGAAGTTGAGCCGTGTCGGAATAAGGAGGTGTCAAGGAAAGGTGCGTCGCACCACTGGTCGAGGAGTAATGTATGGTGTCACAAAAGTCAAAAGTCGGTCAGAATGACAGTGCAGGAGAAAGGAGGATAGCCAAACGAGGGCCCTTCATAAAAAGAAAGGTTGAGGAACTGCAACTAGTGACGCTCCAGTCCCAACAGGGCGGTGCCAGGGAAGTAAATACCGGTCGATCCTTGACAAGTGCAGGAGAGAGGCGCGAGTGTCTCGAAGATTAGAGCGATCAAGAAAGGAAGGCCAGTCGGCAAGTGTTTAGTCGGTTCGATAGGTTTGATTGTTCTTATCAATAAATGATCCGCCACGAAGGGGTCTGGCTGTTGGCCAATCCGATTGAGGCTGAAGTGGCGATCTGAGATGGGGTGCCAAGTGGTCCGATCTTGTCAGGTGTTCAACCTGTAACGAAGGGAGAAAAAAGAGCACCAGTCGAGGATTAAACGAAAATCAAGACGATCTGAAGATGAAGAAGGGAAAAAGTGATTAGATAGACCAGCTAAAGATCAAGCGAAGAATGTAAGGATCTCGAGGAGGTGAAATATGTAGTAGTGAGGAGAAGGAGGAGGAGGAAGGGTCTAGAGACGATCACGATCCACTCTGAGCAATGGAATGTTCAAGAGGAAGAGAAAAGAAGAGAGACGAGTGAGAGAAAGGGGTTGATAGATTTGAGATAGAGGAAGAAGGAGAAGAGGAAGAGACAGGGAGGGAGATCGGGTGATGATGAAAAAGAAGAAGATGGACTGATTGATTGATATGGGCACGTACTTTGCTGGACTTAGAGATGGGATTGATTTGATGAACTGATTGATTGATTGACTGATTGATTGATTTGATAGAAGAAAAAGGAAAAAAGTGGGTAAAAAAAGCTGGGCGGTCACTATGAGATGATCGATGTTTCACTCGAGGATCGTGAGGATGATGGCGTTTGGCACGAGAATGACGAGATGCAGCCGACGAATGATGATGGATGATAATGATAATATGGATAGTAATGTCAAGTGGAAATAATCAGATTAAAGCCTCTTTAACCCGTCGAGGCTTGATCCCAAGTTGTAGTTCGGTCTTATCGCTGTTATCGATCTCCCAGGGGGATCTACACCAGGGCCGGTCTGGTCTGGTCCGTTTTTTGATTCCCGTGCAAGCTGTCTCTGCTGGGAATGCCAGGGACAAAAAAAAAGAAAGACAGAGAGAGAGTGTGTGTGGGTGCAATGTGTTTGATTCTGACTGATCTGATACTGATACCGACGCCGATACCCTTACGAACAGTCTATAGACTAAATCTGTAATATTATTCTCAGGGCAATTTTCGCCTCCTGCCGAAAACCCATCAGAGTCCATCATTCCTTCCTGTTTTTGCCTTTTTCTCCCCCGGATCGAATCATCTGGACTCCACCGATGCCTGTTTAGGTCTAGTGCTCTGGGTCTAGTGGTAACACGCTTTCCCTAAACAGTCGATAGTCTATCCGGGCTCAAATAAGCCTGTTTCCTTGTGTTACCATTGGTCAGTCGTGCAGTGTCTCTCATGTCAGCCTATTTGCTCAGCGTGTGATTGGCCGTAGATATCTTCCAACTCTTTCAAATCTCTCGCATCAGCTCCACTCGCTTGGGAGTATCGACATATCTCTTAGGTAAACTCAGAGCTACTGTCTCGGCATTCGTAGTCCAAGCCTTCGCCTGTATATAACTAACTACATCATGTCAGTCATGTACTCCATAATCAAATAGCAACGTATATATATTCAATCATGCTATCTACTCATGTTATACAGTGTTCACAAGGGGAAAAAAAAAGGAGAATACCACCAAATCCAGAGTGATCAATACGAAGCAAATGATCCAAAATTCCAAATCACAGTATCAACTGCCCCCAACAACAGGTCCACCTCCAGTTCACTGGCCATGCTAAAGAGCATCGCAGCCGGTCTGTCAGGTCGCATAATATCGCAAACATCACTTCACTCAGAACTGTCGCGGAGCGAGCATATATGTCATCACACTCGTCGAGCATCGTCAAGCGCATTATAGGGACATCCATCAACCTCCTCTTCTCATTCAGCAACCCTGCACTTCGGCAGCATTGATTGCCTCACCCATACAACGAGTCGCGCTTGCCACCGAAGACATGCGTTTGAGGAATCGTAGGGATTAGACCTGTTCAGCGCCCCAGCCCTGGTCGGCTTCGCGCATGTTGGAGGGAGGCTCGATCGATGGGATGAAGTCCAGAACAATGTAGCCTAGGCCGATGAATCCGACGAGGGAACCGGCAATCTTTTGCAGCACGTGGTCGTGCAGCATAATCGAGCCAACGAAGATGTAGACTGAGTATCCCAGTTAGCACATGAGTGCATAGGGAATCGACTCAAGAATAACTTACAGACACCACGTCCAAGGAACGAGAAGAGGAAGGAAGCATAACGATACACGTAGTCGGGAACAGTAGGCAACAGTTCCAGGCCGCCAACCACTTTGGAATAAGAGCATCAGTATATGACCATCGGGTGTCCCACTGAACAAGCTGCGGCGGATACTTACGGAGACCAAAGATTATCACGTAGGCACCGACAATGATCCCTCCTAGTGAGGGAGGGAAGAACTGAGCAATACCACCGAGAACCATAATCACGCCGACGGCGATGTTGATGATCCGGCTAGTAACCATCAGTCATTGTTCAAATGCAACTTAACCAGTATCCAGTGGAAACAACATACAAAATGTTAGAAAAGTCCATTGTGAATGCGAGTTGCACTGAGTATATTTCAGATCTTAGTATCGGCCTGGAACAAGCTATCGGACTCTTGAAACGGAGCGTAGTAAAGCGCAAGACAAAAGATTCGTAGGGATACGACGGGGAGAGACGGTAATTTGGGAAAGTTGGGAGCTTCGTTTGCTAGTCTGAATGATCGCAGCCTGCGTCTGTTGTGGAATAGCTGCCTAAAGAGGTAGGAATATCGCGAATCGGGATCCGACAAGTGTTTCGAAGTCGATGAATGTCCGTCAGAGAAACAGATGGGAGATCAAAGGGATGCGACTTGAGCGGGATCAAAAAAGGAAGAAAGAGAGAGAAGAGGTTGGGGAAATCAGAGAGATGAATGACGGGGAGGCTCTGGAGTTGGGAGCTTTCCCAGTTCGGTGCGCACGCAGCGGATCCGCCAAGCCCGGGCCACGGGACATGTAGATGACTCAGCATGCACCAGAGTGGAAGCCAAGAGTCAAAACTTGTGACCTAAAGGTGCCTGAGGCCACTGAGCATTACATTGATGACTCTTTCGGTGTGTCGTAGACAACAATTTTACTACTGACATTACACATCACTCCTACCTGCTTTCCAACTCTTGATTCTAGATATATTAAGGGAATTGGAAACCCAACTTGGCAGATTGCTCTGGAACACAGCCTCCAAAATCGCATTTGGAATCGGTGACGGCTTGGAGCACCAAGTTACTATCTACTCTTTATACCAGTAGTAAGGCCGTCGGCTTCTACGACCAGTACTACATGTCCGTCCAAATATTGATCGGCTATGTATGAGCGGTAAGAATTTGTTCTATTTATACTGTTAACGACACAGTTTCATAGAGATTAAATCAGAACACTCTCTAAGCATGATTGATGGTTGAATAATAGCAGCCTTCGCCAGAGAAAATTGTGAGACCCGTAACAACAGGAGCATAAACTGGATATGAAGACAAGGTGAATGATGAATATATTTATACCCACTCACATAGTAGATATGGATATGAAACAGCAAAGAAAGATTGAAAGTATTTATCTTTGGGAGAGGGTTGTACTCGTGGATTTCTACCACATATCCTTTCCCACAAAGCCCTGCTAGTCTCCTTCAAGCAATAGGCCAGCTGGGCTATTTCTGCAGCAATTCAATGAGCTCCCGTACAGAGCCGTGTCGAGGATTTCTCTTGATTAGATCTTCCAAACTTTTCTTATCCATCGACACAACGAATCCGTTGCTGCCGACTTGAACGGCGACCGCCAATGGCTTACCATAGAAGAAGAGTGCAAAAAATTGGACGGCTTCTTCCTCTTTTCCTGTCGATCCCCATCGGTAACCCGATTGAGGTAGAAGCTTCAGCAACTTCCATGATTTGACCCGAGTTGTATGCTGCAAAGTCGCGGCTATGTCTGATGTGTTGCAGACCTGCAGCCTTCGTACCGGTCTCACTACCAAGATAGCACTCATCAGCTCATTTTGCCTTCATTTTCTTCTTTCTGTTGACTGGGATGCGGGGGTCATTGGCAGTCACAGAAGGATTACAGAATTGACCCCATTCAGAGCCGAGATGATTCTGCTGCGCTACTTATGAGGAAAACAGAAGACTTACATCCAAAGTGTCTGTGAGCTCAAGCCCTCAGCACCGGCCGACCGAGTTACTGGCGCCTCGGGAGTCGGGAACTCAGGGGCCAACAGCTCTGCAGAGACAGAAAGAGAAGCCGCCAGGGCCGGCACAACCACCGCAACAGCGGGGAAAGCAGAGACATCGGCAGCGGCAGGGGCATAAATAAACTCTGCATCCGAATCAGAATCACCAGCAGCACAAGCCATCGCAGCCTGGATGTCTGAGACCGCGGCGGCAAGGGCCCGGCGCTGCTGTGGCTGCTGGACGCGAAGGGCGATGAGAAGCCACCACTTCTTGGCTTGTGGAACCTATATAACATTAACACAGCTGCTAAACTTAATGAGAACGCCGCAAAAAGCAGCAATAGGACACCATACACAAATGCACTTTTGCTTGGCGCGGAAACATGCAACACAGGCCTTCTGCTTGCGGCTGGTCGCGGCCTAATGGTCATAACTTCAAACCTTGGGATCATGGATCTTTACCTGAAGGCAACAGATGCAGGGGTTCCTATACAGAGAAAATGCCCAAAAGTCAGCCAAATCAACTGGAATCACGGTGTTTAACACATCTTGATAAGAAAATCAACATACTTAGCGGCCATAACGACCGCAGAAGCGAAATGAGGCGGAAAAAACGACAACGAAAGATTGTTGGCAATGCTGATTCGCGGGAGGAGGTGATGGTAAAAGTGATTAAAATGGCTATGAGAGAATCCGTGGAAGAGAAGGCCTCCTTATATACTATAGCACATGCCTACAATGCTATTTAACTACATATTTAATGAGCGGAACCTATTCAGCCGCAGAGAACAATAGAACAGCGACGAAATGCCACAGATCGATAAGTCTCCAGCCAATCAGATCGCCAGAGACAACCTAGATCTCCACCTCTCCGAGATGAATGGCCAGAATCGGTAACAATGAAGCTATTCAAACATTCGGGACAATAGAAGATCCGCAACATGATGCATGCGGCTCATCGCAAGCTGCCACACACGCTGGGCATCGCGCAACGATATTTTGGTCCCTTTCTGCAGGAGGGCTCGGATTCAGACCTTCCATTCGTCAGGAAGGGGGAGATCAGAGATCTCAGGTTTTTTCCGAGTTTTGAGACGAGGTCCGTGAAAGCATTTTGCTGGCACTTGCCTGGTACAATTCTCTTGTAGGATTCCGGGTAGGATTCTGAGCAATGCAGGTCATCTTCTTGTATTCCAGGTCATGGAAGATAGCGCTGTACGCTCTATTTATCTTCTTCTTTGGTAGGTGAGCCAGACTGTGGTCAAAAATCGGTAGTAGATTCTGATGATATCTCCTCCTTTTTCTGCTCGCTTCGTTGGCGCGCGGGACTGGATGGATCAAATAGCGCTCGGCTCACATTCAAGGTCCTTGATCCGTGGATGGCGGCATGGCGCAGTAGTCCCAGCTCGGACAGTTGTCTAGTATTCCATTGCAGCTTGTGCCTAGCGAAGCCCAAGATATCCAATCGTTACCACTGCCACCTCTTTGCGATTTCTTTCCTGTGCAATCCAGACGGACTATGAGGTAGTTCATGCTTGGCCGCGCGATATGCTTTCAACAAGCTTGGGTTAAGCGATACGCCAGCCCTTTAGGATAGGCGGGGGATCTTCGCCTTCAATGCCTTTGAAGGAGAGTGGTTAGGAGACTCGATAACACGCAAATAGCGTTTCCAGGAGTACGCGCCGCGTTTCACTGCTGATGTTATAGACGTAAATGATAGGTATTGGATGTAGGCTGGCAGATTATGGCGCCTCTTTGCTTAAGCTTATTCAAACCCCAAAGAGGAGTGCGTATTGTGAAAAGTAGGCAGGAGGAGACGAAGTTGGGATAATACTCAGTAATCGGGGTAATTCCTTTTAAGGTCTACTAAGGGGATTTACACATGCATAACAGTTCTCCCCTTAACTCAAACAACGCGGTATTCGTTCTTTCTTTGAAAGATTCTTGAATTCATCATATATTTATCCAAGAATACGTGAAGATGACTTCTGGCCTTCTCAAGCCATTGGCACTATTTTGCACACAATCTCAGTCTCAACGTTATATTCAGAGTGTACGCAATTTAGGGGATGCGTGGCGGACGCTCGCTGAGCCAGCGAACCTTACAGGAGCAGATGCTCAAACTACGTTGATCGAAACAACATTTGATCTGGCCCTGCGGCTCAGAAAAGAAGATGATGGGACGAATTACCATGTTTCTCTACAACTGCCATCTCTTGAAGAAGCGGCCGGAGAGGAAATAAAGCTCCAGGCACCTCAACAACCATCCTCTACTCCCTCAGAGTCTCCTCGTCATTACAGCATATTCGCTGATTATGGAACCGACTTCATCTGGCTCAACGAGAATGATCCGAATTACTCAGATGACAACACTTCCGTGGAGGCATCAGATGCCCTTTCAGACTACCCCCCGGTTGTCTTCGAGAATTACGACGCGTGGGTCGATGCTTACTCTGATAATTTCAAGAGAAGGTGCGAGGATACGCAGAATTACTCAGCCCATGTCTTTGCGAACGCAATGGAAGAGATTGCGTGGAATGTCGCTGGGTACCTGCTGGCATGGCGCATCGCTCTGGCACCGCATGTAGGGAGCGTGGAGTATTCTGCGGGCCAGGAGAAGTACCTGCTGGAGAAAGGCAAAGAAAGCGAAATGACTATCAAGTTTCTTGGGAATCAGGATGTACTTCTGGCGACGGGGGAGTCCACAGAATAGAGGGAAACACTGTTGTAGGAGCTAGTTTCCGCCTTGTTATTAGACCTTCCCAATTTCCTAGACTGTTGTATTAACTGAAGATGGATGATTTTGCTTAACTCTTCTATGACACATGTTTAGAATTACATCTTTCTTGTACGCCACTACTGAAAGGAAATCAGACTCCTAAAAGCTCCCGCTGCTTCTTATCCAGTCGCACATGGGACAGCCCATTCGCCAACCTACTCATCCGAACCGAGTCCCTATTGAGACTCTCATAAATGACCTCCAAATCGGTACCAATGCCTATCTCATCCGCTGTCTTGAGACTGCGCGCATCGACAAAAGGCGCCATAGAAGGCCATACGCTCTGCACGTTGTTGAGGAACAGATCAACCCCCAGATCCCCTAGTCCTTTGATTTCCTTGATCAATTCTCTTGCCCTTCTACGGTCATTTTCAGCCCTTCTCAGGAGATTGTTGAGATCACCATCTATATCGTCAATCAGCACCCACCCAACTGAAAATCGCATTATCAAAGCTTCAACAGTAACATACCGTACTTCGTATTGATGAAATCCGCCAAATCCCCTAAATTAGTAGCACCCTGCTCCCGAAACCGATTGTATCCCCCTTCCTTCAGCACCACTGTTCTCTCCTCCCAGCTGCTCTGCCCCAGTTTCCGAATATCATGGTAGCCTTCATTGATGACCTTGTTCACCGTGCGTTGCGACAGGTCATGAGAAATTGGCCGTGATTTCAGCATCGCATCGATGATCATCGCCAGCAACGTGTCGGCAGAAGCAGTCAGCGGTTGCTGCGCCAGCGACGTACCCTCCAACGGCCGCCGGCCAAACTCCTCGATGGTCTTGTGCGTCTTGGGTGATTCCGGAGGGTTGACATGCTCCTCTCCGTCTGGAATTTCGGGAACTTCTTGAGTAGGCTCTTCAGTGTACTCTTGGGCTGGTGCCTCAGCGCGTTCTTCATTCGGTCCTTCGCTAGAATCCATCACGTCCTCCGCACCTTCCAACCCCTCCCTCCTCTCCTCATCCTGCCCGGCACTTCTCGTCAGTTCGACTCGCTCTTCGGGCTCTTCATAACCTTCGTACCCTTCGTTCCATTCGTCGCCATCTACCAGCGAATCTCCTCTGTCCTGCTCCTTGGGTGTCGTGCTAGACGATTTGGACACTGTGCTCGGTGGCTGCTCGGTTTCGGCCTCGGCGGCCTTGTAACTCGATGGTTCGGAAGGTTTGGTCTCTCGCTTGCGCTTCTCTGCGACTGGAAGTGAGAATGGGCTGTCGTCCGTCTCGGGATAGTCTTCCACTGAGGGGGATTTGTACTCCATAATTGTGTTGTAGGAGGTCGTTTAGAGTCTGAGAGGTGTGGTGTGGTTTTGGTACGTATAATTCCGAGTGAATATATTAATAAACTGCGATTAATGGACTAGGGGAAGATATTTGATGACTGTCGGAGGACGATCCGAGGCAGCTTCGCGATGTGATGGTGACGTCGATATTAGGGTGGCCATGATGCTACGATCTGTTTACGGTCTTCAATTCCCTATATCAGGGGCAATATTAAAATCACACACGCAGAGCATTTAAAATTATGTTCTTTTTAATCTTTAAGACTCCGTACCCTCATGACTGTACAATACTACATACCAAGCCCGAATGACTTGTGGAAGATGGATCTGCTCGCCTGTGCGTGACCTACTACAACTTCGCCCGATCCTTTCGCTGCAAGACGTCATTCACCAAGCGAACCGCCTCAGCGGCACAGCCATATGAGGCCTGGTATCCAAAACCACCGTGGCCATAGTTATGTACGACTGACACTCCATCGATTTTGTCTGCCTCAATGCGGGTTCCACCCTCTCGGAGGGGTCGCAATCCAACGCCGTGGCGGATAATATCCAGTCCTTCAATGCCTTGGCCTTCGCCAACAAGCTGGGGGCACAAGGCAACCGCGCGCTTCATGATCCGCACGGCGAGGTTGGGATCGGGCAACGGATCCCACTGGTCCTTTTGGTATGAACCGCCGATGATGGTCCCACCGCCCGCGGCTCGGGTCATCATGTAGACCAGCTCATCGTCGCCATCGTCGGATCCGGAAATTGAAACCATGGCTCCAGGATCGTTGCGGACGATGACGATCTGACCACGTGCTGGGTACAGCTTTTCGTCACATACTCCACCCAACTTTTTGGACGAGAGGCCGGTACAGTTGACGACCACGTCCGCCTTCTTTCCCGAATGGTGAGCGCTTGCAGCGTCCGCGACATGTTTGAAAACAGCTCTCTTGAAGGTAACGCCGTTCTTGCGACATTGGCTCACAAGCCATGGCAGGTAGACAGCTGTGTTAATGCAAACTGAGGTGAACTTTTGCGCGTTGTCAATGCCGGGGGCTAGTTTCTCTGCTGGGATGCTTGTGAACTGAAAAAAATCAGAAGTCAGCTTAGTTCGTTGAGGGAGAGAATGACGAGTCGGTTCAAGTCAAAACATACATCAGGAACAACATCCTTGTACCACGGATTGGGCCGGACCAGCTCAGAAAACCACTGGCCGGTAGGTGAGTCTTGATCCTTGGCTCGGTTATAGACAATGGTGTCTGGTACAATTAGTCAAGATGCACGGCGGTCTCAGTACCAGCTCGCAACATACCTTGGAAGTGAATGCCAGCATCAGGGTGCTTCTCGGTCAATTCCTTCAGAACGGGCCAGGTCTCACGCTCCCACTTCTCGTGAGGGCTTCCAGACTTGCCCACCCTGTCATGGCAAATCAGCTACCGGCAATTGTCAAAATGGCTGATGGTATACTAACGGGAGATAGTTGGCACCGGCCCAAGGAGAACAATATTCGATGTCATAGTCTCCGGGCATATGCTTAGCTACCACAGTGATGCTATTGGCAGCATCCTTAGACAGGAGATATGCAGTGGTGAGTCCTGACACTCCGGCCCTGTAAATTGCGGTCAGTGGATTGTTCGAATCTCCATAGGTCCGAAATCGCTGGCGAGGCTTCTCCGCAGCAGCGGTGCTACCCAGCCTGGGTGTCCAAGACTATCATACCCGAGAATCACGATGTTATTTGCAGCCATTGTCCCTTGTGACAGCGTCGATAAGCCGACTAAACACGATGGATATAACCAAGGATGAAAGACAGAAAAGAACAAGGAATCATGAACTGGATTATAAGTAGTGACTAGTGAGTCAACACACTATGCACATCAACAAGCGGGGTCACATTCGGGGTCAAATTCAATTCGGGGTCAAATTCGGGGTTCACTATCAACGTATCGGGTCATTCCGTACATGAGCGATTAGATAAGGCGCTCTCAGTAAGGTACCTTACATAACCGTATCTCCACAACAGATGTTTTGATTTCACGGTGTAATACCGGGGTCAACAGTGCGGACAGGGTCGGGTATCTGATCTTTCACTCATGCCTGAAGTAGGTACGGATAGTAGACCTCCCTCTCAGTACTCCGGAGTACTTGGATACCTCACCTAGGGCTACCTAGGTATCCATGTACGTACTGCGTAAGGTAAGGTAGCTTTGCTTGTGCCTGTAAGGTAATAGGTAATTGATCCAATCATGTATTGTTGTATTTTTTTTACCTTGAACTTTTTTAATTTTTAATTTTTGTTTTGATATTCTAGTAGCGATAGGCAGGCCTCAAAAACAACTTTATAGCATTCAGCGATTGAGAATGTCGCCAGTCATATATCCTCTCCAAAAACACATTTTTCTAGAGATAGATACTCCACGATCATTGACACAGACACAAAGCGAAGAAGTGCAAATCCAACAGCTCCACTCAAAAATCTCAAATTCTCCTGGTATTTGGAGGTATTGAACACTTCGTCATAGACAGGATTTTACGTGTCGCCAGCCAATCAGACTACATGCAATTACTCACCGCCTCAGTCTTGGCCAGGGATGCTTTTCCACTTCTGCCACTTTTGTTACGTTTTCCTCCGCAACTCCGTCCAAAAAGTCTCGCCTGCGCGTGTTGTACTTGTATATCCTCACGCTACGGGCTCCCATTGAATTGCTTCACTTTTTCCCCTTCAAATGAGTTGCTGTTGCTGTGCATTCACTTGCGTCCATGTTCCCGATGGTTTAAATATTCATCTTCCATTTTCCTCCTCCTTCTCCCTGTCTCTCCTTCACCTCTTCTCCCCCCCATTCTTCTCCTTCCATCTGTCACTCTACCGCAATTCTTTTTCTCTTCCTCCCGTGTCCATACGTTCGTGCATCCGGCTCAATCAACTATGGCACAAGTCATGGCGCCAATTTCGCCATTACATCTATCTGTCCCTTCCCAGAAGGACCCATCGGTCAAGAGAACGAGAGGGAACCCGCAGCAAATGCCGTTAAATGCTCCTTGCAAGAAACCGTCTCCAGAGAAACCCGGGGCACACCCATTATCTCCTACCACTACCAAACCGGTTCCCAGAAAATCCACTCGCAGAACATCAACGTTACAACAGTCCACTCCTCAGGAGTCATCATCGCAAATATCTACTTCAAAAAAGCGCAGCAGAGAATTGGACCCGGAATGCCTTCGAATACCATGCCTGAATGAGCTAGGGCTCTACGCTTTCCCTACCAAGGGTGACGGTAATACCTTCCTCTCAATTGGCCTACTGGGCTCATGATATGATTGCTATGCAGACGATCGTATCCATTGATCCCATCCTGTGCTCGTTTCCAGGACTGACTGTTCATCTTGTTCTAGGCAACTGCCTCTACTATGCCCTCTCTGATCAGATGTTCGGAAACACAGAGCATGCCGACGAAATTCGTCTTCGACTCGCGAATCATATTTCTACACACAAGGATTACTTCATAAACTTCATCGCTGCTGTCGGTGGAGAGCGTAGGGCTCCTCGACGGGCAGCCGCGTCTAGATATTCCTCCTCCTCTTCCTCCTCTTCGTCCGCGAGCCCAGCCCCTCCTTCGGCAGAAGACATCGAACGTAGCTTCGAATCAAAGTTGGAAGAGTCCCGGAAGAATGGTACCTGGGGAGGATCAGAAGACATCCAGGCATTCTGCCAGTCGTTCAAAGTCGACATCCGCGTCTATAGCACTCGAGGCATCCAGACTTTTCGCGACGTCTATGCTTCACGCAGTGAAGAGAGACCAATCCTCCATATTGCATTCCATGTAAGTCAACTTTTAGTGTAGGTTGTTCGACATGCCCACAACCATTCTGACAAAGCCATATCCAGGACTTCAACCATTATTCTTCTGTTCGGCATGTGGACGGTCCACACATTGGACTACCCCGCATACCAACTGATTTGAAGTCAGGTGGGCGATCTTCGCATGCCTTGTCTCCTGTATGCACTGGAGCGAAGCGCTCTGTCGACGAGAGCGAGGAAGAAGAACCGCGGCCGGCTGTGCGCCGCAAGAGGACCCGAATGGAGCCTTCCAAGCCCACACTGACGATGAAGTTGCGTAGTCAGTCTCCCTCTCGAGCTTTATCTCCTTCGTGCACCAGCACAAAACGCTCCACTGATGAGAGTGTGGATGAAGATCCTCGCCCGGCTGTTCGCCGTCGGAGAACTTGCACCATCATCAGCGGCTGAAGGGGACAAAATCTGGGGAATCAGGTGGCCATCTAGCCTTCGCCCTGGCCGGTTGCCAGTTTCTCCGAAGTGTTCGACTTCCAGCAATCAGCATTGCTCTCGTCAAATAAATGGGCAAATACATCAATACCGTGACCCTCACCAACCACGACACCTAATCAAGGGCATCGCCCCTTCTCCGATCTACGAAGTAACGATATTTCACAAAACTTTGGCTTGCATTATTGGGTTTGCTATTATTCCAGCGCACATTTTCGCGCTTTCTAGCGTGCTGGGCGGGGTTGTGACTCCGTCATTCAAAACTTGAACTTCTCGGGGATGATCTGGCCATCATCTCCATCAAACCTGTAGCCGTTGCTTTTCGCTACGGGTTTTTTGTTGCATGAAACATACGATACCCATACAGCGAGGCGTTTCCTGGGGCTACGACTTTTCATATTCCACTTGCATTGGGGAGGTTTGCATCATACATTGGGCTAGGCTTTTTGTCGATTACTAGACATGGCTGGAACAGATAGGAGATATGAGCATGGTGCCTGGTGCATCAAACATTGGATGGCTGTTTATTAGTCGATTACTCATTTTGCTCAGGATAGGATGGGTCGTTATAGATATCTAGACACATCAGCAGCACATAAAGTCATTTACACTTGGGCAATTTTATGACCCTTCAATCAAATAGACTAAGATGTATCCCCTGAGGAATCTACATTTTTTGAGGTTGAGCAGAGGTTGATGTAATCAGTTCGTTTAATTCATTCATTAGACTATACATCGCATATAGTGAGATAAGGTTATTATTGCATAGATTTCCAAGATCAGAAAGCACCCAAGTTCTAGAATGCAACAACGGTAGGAAGAGAAGTTCATAGCTGAAGGAGATCGATCGTGTCTAAATGTCAGGGAATGGTAGTGTACGCACGCACTCATTTTCAGGTGCGCATGGGGTTTTGGTCTTATCATCGGTAGCGGGGAAAATATACATCAAATGCTTTAATGACTCCACCGACCCGATGACTCCTGAAGCTTTCCTGTATATTGGAGGTTGGAGAATATCGGGAATAGTGGTTGTTGGCTGTCACGTTCGAGTGGTTGGCTGTGACATGCAAGACAAAGATTTCTTTGCGCAGCAATGTCATGAACAGCACCATCCGGGAGGAGCTAGCGAGTCAAGTCGTTCTCAATAAGTGGAAAGAAAAGGGCCAAGGTCAATTGGGCTTCGTCGACTTGGGGTCTCAGCCAAGTTTCGACGATTGTTGGAACGTATCCGGACGCAACCGAATCCTGGGTGAATAACAGATATTATACAGTTCGTCGACATAGGTGCCTGAAGCTGAATCGCCAGCCACCACGGTTGTATGCGAAGTGTGCGGTCCCAAGCCGGTCGGCGTGGACAGTTCGGCGAACTTGGCGACGTCCACTTTGACCTCCTTGCGAACTGTAATCTCACCAAACGATGAACCCTCCGCCAGGGTTTCTTGAGAGGTTACGCTGACTTTGTCAGCAGGTTGTTTGCGGCTCGGCCAGAAGCGAAGGATGGGCCGCACGGAGGGTGCGATTTCAGAATCGGTTGTTGAGTTGGAGCGCACGTTGGAGTAGTATAACTCTTTGCTGAGCTCCTTCGCAAATCCGTCTCCACCGGTGAATCCATCGTTGACCTGCTGTTGTACTTTGAAAAGACGAAGGGGCGTAAAGCTGAAGTCCGGATTTGAGATTTGTGTATCCAGAGTCCCGACCACACAGAAGGAAAGAATAACGCAGTTGGTTTCCTCAGACTGTCTTGTAGTGCGACAGGGAGCTATCAATGGGCGAGCCGAGAATTGAGAGGTTGAGTTGATATTCGGTGACAGAGCAGAGGACAGCTCCTTCATTGCTTTTATTAACTGTTCACGGAAATCGTCGGCTTCTGTGTATGCACGAGCGGTCTCTGATTCCAACCAATGCAGGCAAGTCGAGACAGTCCATCCTTCCATATGCGACAACAGTTCCAAATGTACAATCTGCAACCGTTTAATTGGCAGGGTAGCGGATGGTAACGGGTTGCTGACGCCTTTGGCAGTGAGAACCTCAAAGTTGTCATGCACAGTTGGGCGCATCATAAACGATACGAGATGGACTCCTGGCTCGAAGTTTCGACCAGATGTCGCGTAATCTCGCATGTCCCTGAGATGAGCCTCCAGAGCTGGTGACGGAACATGTATCCGGCGAGACAGCAAGGGAATAACATTCTCGATTGAAGTGAAACGGTGCCCGGATGCCGCCAAGCGAGACGTCTCATGCTTATTCAGTTGTCGGACGGTGAACATCATCTGGCCCTTGTTGGCACGCAGTCGGGAATATCCCATAGCCCGTGAGAACCGGGATACTGGGGTTGTAGTAGTCAAAATATCATCATACAACACTCCCATGTCCTGAAGGGGCTGTCTGAGTTCCTCGGCCAGATCTTGGGCGGTTACACAAAAGTGCTGTTTAAACAACCCGTCAAAGTCAGCTTGCATCTCCGTGTCCCCGCCTGTCTCGCTTCCCTTGGAAGCGTATTGCTTGATCGCAGCCTCTTCGGTTTCGATCCGACCTCTCATGAAAGGAACGACATCCTGAACAAGTTTCCAATTTCTGGTGGCTCGAAATGCCCACAGGAAGGCGGAATGAGTCCTTGTGAGATCGTCATCATTGAAAGTCTAGACAACGGTTAGGACAATCACCGTGATTTGAAAAAAACAATACGCCCGAGATAGAAGCTGTTTTTATGACGTACCTTTCCAATATATTTATCAACAATCTTCCGACTTGGTAAGCTGGCGTGCGGAGTTACCATGACTCGACCAGCCGGGTCGAAGAAGGCACAACTCAGAACCACTTGCTTGGCCTTTGTTCGGGATCGCCGGCGATCTCCGCCAGCAGCGATAGCACATGCTGACAGAACGGTGCAGGCCACGCATGCCTAAATTGATTTGACACGTCAGTGAGATTCATGCGTTGGAAGGCAAGTCAACGCCTGACGAGAGACATACCAAGACGGAGCAGATGATGACAGTCTGACTTCTAGAAAGCTGGCCGCCTTGCCTGACAGAAGGGATATGATCTCTGTAAGAAGTACCAACGGCAGCCGTCCAGTGCATACCTGAGACAGCTATGGCAAGTAGACAGCCACAAATACCACGTCTCCACCAACTGTTTGTCCATGTCGCTCTCCATCGAAAGAAGACACCCAAAGCTACAGTACTCGCAAGAACGGCAATAATGGCAGATCCGACGACATGTGCAATCTTGTAAGTGCATCGATAATTGGCAATACCAAGTTGACCAATGTAGTGCATCCCACACACCGAGATGCCTGTCAGTAACCCTCCCGTAATTATGCGAAGATATCCTGCTTTCTCGCCGGCTTCGGTCGAGTAGAAGGCTGTGAACAAGACTACCACAGGCAGCACGAACGAAACGCCCGTGAAACTCACGCTATACATGATCTGTAGATGAGGTGATCCATCGCCGAGGACGATGGCTCTATTGCCGATAAAGTGCATACACCAGATACCGATACCACCCATAGTAATGGATGAAGTGAGAAGAAGGTACCTGAAAACATTTGAGGATTAGAAAATTCAAACCCGGTAGTCCCAACACAGAGGGAATGGCGTACCAGTTGTATAGACCAGCCCTCGAGGTCCGTCTGTGAAGCAGCTCCAGAGTGGTAGCACATCCCATTGTGCTAACCACATAGGAAAGAAAGATGTAACCAGCCAGATAAGATACGGCGACGGGGGACCCATTGGAGTGGTCCCCAATGTTCGAAATCATCTTGGATGAAAAATGGTAAAGAATGACTGGAAAGCGAGATGATCTCAAGAGATGTAAAGCGAGGGTGGTATGAGGTGTTCAATGCATCTGTGCCCTTAACAACTCTCAATAGATGGCGCCAAGCTTGACGAATGAGTGGCAAATGAACGAGACAATGGGAGAATACAGCTGAGTCTTGACAGGGTCGATCTAATGATCTACACCGGGGGGCAGATGGAGTGATAAGATTGCACTAGACGACGCGCAACATCATGACGCTGATCCTTTGCTTGTTTCAGAGAATAGGACCAACGAGTGACAGAGGTCAAGAAGGACAAACAGGACATGCGGCTACCTTTATGGAAAGAAGCGACCCAACTGAGGGGCATCATTTCTATGGCAGCCTTCCAGTTGCAAGAGAGGGACCAGTCCACAACTCCATATCTCCAGGTCAGTATCGACGATGAATTAGTATGAAAACGCTAACCAGTAACCTCAGAAAAGCTAAATCCTAACACGAGGATCACTCGGAGAAGGACAAGACTGGTGGCCTTGGCAAATAGTAAGAGTAAGATCAATATCGGCGAGATCGCGTCTAGTGAGACCAAGATCAACAATTGGATCGGCCGATCGAATCGCCATTGGTAACTTGGTCCGGACTCCGGAGGGGAACGATGGAACCCAGACTTTGATGGTGCGGATTCCGGCCCTGTCCAATGGGCAATGAGGCAACAGAGACTGCTAGAAAAAAAAAACCACGTCCACTACAGCCACCTCACAGCCGAAGCACACAAGAAGAGCAGCAGATAAGAGTAAGACAGTGGAACATGGATGGCGAGATCAATTAAACAACAATAATCAGTTGTATTGCTTTCACGAGTCCCAAGAGCGTTGCACCTTGGTGGTTTGAGCTCTTTGAGAGTAGACCGCCACAGGACCCGCTTGGAAATAATAATTGTTCAGCTGCGCCGTCCCTCGAAGTCACAATTCAGAATTGATATTCTTGGCTCCTGTCGGCTGTGTGCACAGAAGAGTGGACTGTTGTGTTTATTTCCTATGGAGGGCTTCGTATGTCGTACGCATTTCTTGGATCTGACTAGGCGAAGCCCCCTAGTTTCAGACCGAGGACAGTCTGGTAACATCTAGGTAGGCGTGGATGGAATAAAACTCAGCTGCAATCCCCTCCCAGGGTCTCAGGTCTTATCAGGTTGCAGGCGTCCCGGTAATCCGGTAATGGATCCGTTGATGGTTACCAGGCACAAGGAACAAAAAGGGCCTTCGAGATCCCTCATCCCATGGTTCTATCATGCCTGTGGCTGGAGAGGGTGTGGTACGTGCGCCACGAGTTTCGACACGTGGTTGAAAGCAAAAACTTTCACGAACCTGCCAAATAACGGCAGGTTGTGTGGAGACTGTATGAGTTAACCCTGATGCAAGTGACTGGACATTGGAGAGGCTAGACTCATAATAACAGGTAGACGAAGATATTTCAAGTGATGATGGTCAACAGTAGCGACCGACCAGCCGGGACCCAGGCTAGAAGCAGGAAAACAGAAGTCGGCAAGGAAACGAAAGCTGAAGATCCTTGGGATCATCAGTGACTACTCCGTAGTAGTGCTTGTCGATATCATTAGTTCTCCGAAACAATTGCTAGCCGATACCGAGTACTCCGCAGGCGTGTCAGGGTCTCCAGCACAGGTGGTGGCCTATATTCATTCACACACAGAAAAAGCCCACAGTACTGCAGGACGATGACACGATCTCTCAACTGTAGATATAAGATGAATAGTGGTCATTTTTGTTCTCAACTTGAGTCTTGAACATCTCTCACGACGGACTGTGGATGGGAGGAACAAGTGAAACGGAGCAGCTCCACAGTCTGCAAAATGCAACGAGGATCACGATATGAGCTAATGCGAATACGGCTAGACTGGCCGTTGGATCGGACTGGCCGAGCTTTCTGGCAATTCACAGCCTGAGGCCAATCGCTTCTTCATTATCCTCACACACTCAATCAATCGATCTATTTGACTTTTTGGCTTTTGAAGGTTTTGAGATCTTGCCGATGGTTGAATCCTGGAACCTAGATAGGAACATGAATCACTACTATTGAACTCTGTTGACAATCATGGCTTGTCTTTGGACGCCCATCGCCATAGATAGCCAATAACTACTAACTACATAACTTTTTCTTAACTGCCCTGTGCCTCGGTATCATCTTCCGACTAGCTGCCGATACTGAGTTAGCTCTGTGAACCGTGAACTCTGAATCCACACTTTGAAGGCCATGCTCACATGTTCATACCTCAAATTGAGTGCTCCTGAATATGGTATCGAAATAGCCCTCACCCCTAGATCTGGTTCGACATGGACGAAATCTGCCCTGGGTTCGGGCAATGACTACGGAGTACGGAGTATGGACTGCGTTATCTAGCATCACTGCTCCGCCAGATTAATCTATCCCAAACACCTGATTGACATTGGAAGATAACCACGGAGTACTGATCGAGTCTGTAATTCTGTATAAGTGGATATCTATACTCTGGAGGGAGGAATGATAGCCGACTGACTACTATCTACTGACATCTGCACTCCATAGTCCATACACTGCAGTAACCTGTGAGTGTGACCCTGTCCTGGCTCACAAGTCACAAGAAGGAAGCAGAGAGTCGAAAGATAGAGTCATGAACGTGCTCTCCTGCATCATGGATCTCTGGAGCTGGTAGCATCAAGATCTCAAAGGAGTACCTGTCAACAATACCCATGGCCCACTATGCAAATTTCTGTCTATCGCTGCGAAGTCCCTCCGAACTAAATCCGACACTCAGGTCGTATCCTTATGCATGGACTCTGTGTACAAGCTAACAAACTACTATGACAACCTTTAGTTGGGAATGCGACCGTCGACCTCTTTTTCTAGCCATCATCTATAGAGGAACTACTATTCCCTTGATCCAAGTGATCCCCTAAAAACTGACCACAGACTCACAGTATACGATTTTTCCAGCGCAGCGAAGAGTAGTCTGATTATCGACATCTAGACACTCCACAAACGCAGGAAAGGGGGTGGGACTCTCCGGACCGCAGTCAAGGCCACAGAAGCAGCAGCTTGCAAAGGCTGCCCATATTTTCGGTCGACTGGGAACATGAAATCCTCAGGGGCGGGTGCAGAGGCTCGCTGTCGCATCTCAAGCGTCATGATCTTGCTGCACGGCCTCTGCCACAAAGTCAGAAAATAGATCGAGGCAGGCATAGTATTTGCTCGCAGAACGAGGTGCAGTTGCTGGGCTTCCTCTTTCCAGTATCGCACCTTTGAAGTCGGACGGCCCATCTGTCCTACGCGAAGCACAACTAGTCTTGCCTCGATGGAAGCAGAGATACTTGGGCTTCCTCTTAAAAACTACATGAACGACTTGCCAAAGGCACTTATGTGTTCTATCCAGCTTGGATGCCCCTCCTTATTCAAGGGCAACAAAGACGTGAGCTCTTTTCCATTCGAACCACAATTATCCCAGAGAGTCCTGATCGAACTTGCAATTTACCGACTCAATTGTGCGGAGAGTGCTGCTACACCAGGCACAACGACCTCGTGGGTGCTATATTTCGCCAAGGATGGCACGCCGAGTCTTGGGTCCATATCAACTCCTACAAAACGAGTAACTGGACCGAAAAGATTTGACTGGAGCGAAACATGGCAATCCCATGCTCTCAGACTTTCCACATTCCCCACCTGCGGTTTCAAGTTTACACTTGCCTTCACATATACTACGGGCTGATATCCGTTCTGTTCCCAGGAACTGACTCGGTCAAGCGACTGACTCGCGGCATGGGGCGGTTGGAGAATACAAGCTCCCACTTTTCTGAGTCTTGATGAGGACTTTTCGCAAGCGGAAAGATCATATATAAGATGGACCGCATCATCACATCTTTCAGCCAATATAAAAAAAAGCCAGGTTAGGTGTCTCTGCTCGAAGTCTATTAGGACTGCTTTTTCCCCCCAAAATAGGAACCAATATGAATCAATTGGAAATGAATACGCCCGTGGTGCTCCTAGGACCCTTTCACCCTCTCAATTATAGCGCCCTCTGTCTCAGAATATACTCCGTTTGCCTCTGTCGGTGATACTTTCACGGCGATCATCCATGATAGGTGGAGGAGATATGTCAATTCTTCCCTCATGATATCCAGTATCTCACATCCTGTCTAGGACATGGCTCAATTTTCATGATCAACACCATTCTTTCTATATACTTCATACAATGATATGGACATAGTTGCTATTCTCTCTTCATCAACGGGACAGCACCCGTGCTCGAAGACTGCCTATAAACATTGGTAAAGGTCAATAACAGGGAGTTCAACACAAGATATAGCGTCGCCGTATCTTGAGCGCGAATGATGTAGTTGCACACTCTACATAGACTTCTCCAGGACGTCTGATAGCACCTACGCCTGTATGTGGCTGTGGATCATTTGATGTAACTTTTTCACTCATTACTTAGAAGGGGCAAGTGCCATAAAACAAAAAGGTGATGTATACAAGCACCAAGGCTATCCAAGTCCGATATAGTTCTCTGCCGACTCTTCTTCGGGTTCTACAAAAATGGGTACTACTGGCCCAATTCAGTATTAATTTCATGCGACAGTTACATTATGTCAAAAAAGTAAATTGATATCTCATATCACCAAAAACGATTACATGGTGATTGCACATATAGGGCCAAATGTTGTTTCTTTTTTTTTTTCTGTTTCATTGAAAACGATCAAGCGATATCACGCTTAAGCGACATGCGCCTTGATGGCGTTCTCAAGAGCAGGGGGATTGGCACCGACAACCTCGTTCACCTTCTGGCCGTCCTTGAAGAACATGAAGGTGGGCATGGCACGGACACCAAGCTCAGCGGCGATATCGGAGAGCTCATCGACGTCAATCTCGTAGAACTTGGCGTTCTGGAAGTCGGGCTGGTTGCTGAGACGCTGGAAGACGGGGGAGATGGCCTTGCAAGGGCCGCACCAGGTAGCGGAGCAGTCGACGATGACGGGCTCGGAGGAGCTGAAAACCTTAGCACGGAAGTCGTCGGCCCTTGAAGGAGAGATGTTAGTAGGTTGCCTTGAAAATAGCTGGCTTTCCCAGAATGAGTGCCAGAGAGAGAGAATCATACTTGGTGATCTTCTCGACGTTGTGAGACATGGCGGCGGATGAAGGGGAGAAGCGGGAGATAGGAGAGTGAGAAAAGGCTCGTTGAGCGATGGGAGAGATGTGGAAGCTTGCGGGGTTACGCGCAACGAAAGATCGAGACAACAGTGTTGATGCGACGGTGACTTTGGTGGCCGATCTGATGGACGTGGAGATGAAGGTGGATGAGAGAGAAGTAGGAAGGCGAAGAGCGGCCACGGTTGATGATTTAAACACTATGGATGATGGTTTGGAAGGTCTGATTAGCTCGGGAAGGAGGGGCTGTGAAGGAGGGGCACAGCTAGCAATTTTTATAGTGGGATGACGGGGAGAGCCTCTTGCATGACGTTTGGGGGGAGGCTGCAGGATGAATAATCAATCCCTTCGATCACTAATGCAGCGGAAAGGTCTCGGAGGCTGTGGAAAGGACGAGCGGTTAGGCTAGCACTTACTACTGATTACTATCGTGGATGTCCGAGGAGCAAAATTGGTGTCAATATAGAGAAGTGAGTTGATTTGTCGAGTACAGGCTTTGACCTTTCACAGTGCGATGGATGAGTTGATAATTGGATGCCTGGTGATTGCGGTGCAGCTTCGGTGGTGTTGGAGCTCCGGGAGTGATGAGGTGAGATTTCAGTTCTCGGCGAGTCTTGGTTCACTGTCCGGTAGCTTAAAGCAGCGTTCCATGGATGACGTGATCGTGCTTATGAATCGGAGAGGTCTGGATCATGGTAGCCTCAGGCACTATCCTCGACTCGCAAGCTATCCATACGATGGAAGGCTTCGTGTTTCTACACGCTATCGTCAGGACCAATGTATTCATTGGAGCGATTGGTTTTCATTCCTATCTTTATCTAGCAATTTTCAATATTTTTTCTCTCTCTCTCTCTCTCTCGCGCACACACACATACACTGATCTGCCGTAATTAACACAAGTCCATCAAACTGCGCTCTTGAGGGGGTATCAACAAGCAAAGAAAAATCGACTCTCGTCTCCCCAGCATCTGTCATATGTACAGGGTGGGGAGTTCCGAGACACATAGGCTGACAAGTGCCACATCAGGCGTCTAGAACCTATGGCAAGCAATGAAAAGGGGGATATTTTATACAAAGGAAAGACATGGGCCAGGGATTTAAGGAGCGGCAAGAGTATGTACTCAGGGACAAAGTATTAAACACTTGAAATAGAAAGTAAATTCAAAAGAGTATATTGGTGCTTGCTTCACGGTTTTGGTAAATGTTCAGTGAAGCAGGTTCGGCCGTACAGGTTCTTGATAGCGAATTGCACAAACATGAAGGGGTTCAGTATGCGCGACCATAATTGCCATGGTCAGCATATTGATGTTCGGAGGGATGCTCTTCGATAGGGCTGACTTCCTCATCCGCAGAAATGCGAGACAGGGACTGGATACTCCTCAGCAGAAGCCCTTCGGTCGACTTCGGGCGGATTGTGGGATTCACCACTATCGGTCTTTTGGCAAGCTCGGAGTGCCATGTCTCATCTTGTGGTGGTGCGCCCGCCATGGTGGTTTCTTTTTCATCTTCCTCCCTGGCGACGCTCTGACTTGGTCCCGAGGTGCTATCGCGGTAGGAGTCGAATCGGACACACGGTTCTCTTTGGGGATTCTCGTCTCCTCTAGGCGAGTCTGCGCGCTCTCCGTCAGCTTGGGAGAAGCTCACGTTGTGCCGAATGGGGTTGCTCTTTCTTTGAGAAATACGGCGCAGAAATTGTCCAGACATCCAGGATCCCTCCGAATCAATCGAAGCTAGTGATTGAGACAAAGGCACGTTGTCGACGTCGCTTTCCAGACTGTCACCTCCCCATGACCGGTGAGGAATTTTGGCTGTATCCTGTAAGTCTGATTCGGACCCAAGGATGGGATATTGAGATTCCTCATTCAGATCCGGTTTATCCTTTTCCGCTCCAACCTGATCGAGGATCTCCTCTTCTGGAATATCGGGGGATTGTAAGCGCGAATCCGGTGGAGACAGTGGCTCATCACCAAAGTGTTCGGTGAACTTGGAGTGGGAGCGCTTTATGGTGCCAGAGCGAAGGAAAGGTTTAGGGGGCACATAAGGTGGCGGCCCAGATGATTGTGTTGAGACTTTGAAAAATGACTCATTCGACATATTCGGCGGCTCGGAGGCCTGGTCTTGGAAACGTTCCCGATATCTTCGCTTGAGACGGGAGCTCCCGCGTCGGAACAGCGAGGTCAGAGTATTGCCACGTGTGCTACTATTGTCGGATAGACGCCTTTCACTCTCAATAGTTCTGGAGACATCGGACATAGATTCTCGTGTCAATCCATATACTTGCGAGGAAGTCGGGCTGCCAAGTCCACGTCCGGACGGTGAATGGGATGGTGATAAGGTGGTATGTGACAATCCCATATCCTGGGATGGGGTAAAACTAGGCCGTTCATTCAACTTGTGTCTGCGCAGAGAACTGTCGTCGAGGTTGTTCACGACGTGTACACTTTCCAGGGATGTATAGCGGCTGCGCTCCTTCGAAGCATCTCGCAGCCATGAACCAGACTGAGTATCGCCAGACAAGAAGATTTTGGTCTCATCATTCTTCGAAGCATTGTTATCTGTAAACGCAGATTCAACATGTTTGTCGCCGGTAGGTTGACCTCGGATAGTATCAGGCCCGCTCCTGTCTTCAACTTGATGCGCCTGGTCTGCGTTCTCCTTCTCCTCTTCCATCCTCTGTCGTTCTGCACGCCGCTGCAATCTGCGACGCATCCTTTCCTGCTCTTCGAGCTTTTGCTTCTCCTTCCGCCGGCGGTCTCTCTCCAACAACTCTCGCAAGGCGCTCGCATTCAAACTGTCCGCCAATGTGTCCACCCGCTGCTTCGAATTCAAACTCTCGTCTGAAAGTGACACATTGAGCACATTCTCCTTGCCGTTCGTCACCTCCGCAGACTTTTGACTTCTCGCGGTCGAGATACGAGGTGCTTCGACATAGCGGATGATGGGACGAGGTGTCCAGGCTGCGAAACTGTTCACCTTGAAAGTATACGATTCAGAGCCCTCGGATACCGAGGAAGCAGCCGAGTCACGCACGGGGAGACTCAGATCCGAAAGCTGGCGATCAGAACGCCGACTCGGGGCCCTCGGAGCTCGTCGCGTCTCAATAGAGAACCGTTCAGCGGGTAGCGTAGTAGACCGGCGAGGAATATCAATCGGCGACGAAACCATCAATCGAATCTCTTGCTCCCTTGCAATCTCATATGCCTTCCGCTTACTCAACTTCTCCTTCAAGACCATCGGGCCAATGTCGAGCCGCTTCGACTTGAGCATGGAACCGTTCCGCGACAAGGGTTGTTGAGCATGGCCAACACTAGGCTGAGAGTTATATGGTCCGACACCTCGTTCTGCCCGAGATCCCATGTCTCGTGATCTCTTTATGGAATAGGCTGGCTCATGGTGTAACGTCGGTTGGGAGTATGGTTCGGTAACAGGCTGAGAGGTTCCATCTTCGAAGGCAGCTGGGGGATTCTGGACATGTTGCGAATGGCGGTTCTTCTGACGCTTAGAATATTTGCGAGAGGGCTTTCTTCCGATCTGAGCATCGTCGAAGCTGGTTTCCGCGTCGTACGCCTGGACATCAACTGCGTCGGATGCTCCTATCTGAATAGTATGACGCTTGTTCCTGCGACCAAACGGCCATATCGCCATGACGCCAGATCAGTTGAGGCCTTTAATCCCCGTTGGTGGTTCAGAGGTTGAGGGTGTTGTTGTCGGATAGAGAGATGAAGCAGGAGAGCGAATTCATCTGGAATCATACGGCAGGGTGAGTAGAGGTAAGTAGGATCGACAGCGTAGAGCCTAGTTTGACTGGCTGGCTGATTTATTAATTGATCAATCGATCAATCAAAGCAATCAAATGGTACGGAGAAGTGGGTTTGTCACGAGATGACGAGTTGAGACATTTGAGATAGAGTCAGAGGAGGAGGTTTAAGGGCGGGAGGGAAAAGGAAAAGGACAATCCCAGCGTAAGGAGTCAGGTGCTGTTTCAAACGGGGGCAAGACAAGAACCAGTTCAGCAAGACAGATCAGTAGGAGTTTAGTAGATGCCCAGTGTGATCATCGAGAGCTGGGGGAAGGTAGACTATCGGCGCTGTCGTCACTCGTCAGGGAGCGATTGGAATGATACTGATAGAGGGAAAGCTAGATGATCCGCCGCCACATGAAGTGGCAAGAGAGTCAGGAGTTCTCTGCAATACAAACTGCCTTTGCAACAATAGTCAGGAGAACGACAGACTGAGAGATGACGCGAAGGGAAAGAAATGGGATATCTGTCTGTGGTGAAAGAGAAAAGAGAAAGGAAGAAGGGAGGCCTAAGGGAGTCCAGGCATCGAGTGAGGCAGTACAGTTGAAAAGAACTAACGATTCGGGGGTCTATCCATAGTGATCAGTTATTATTATTCTAGTATCTAGTAGGTCATAGTAACTTGCTGACTCTTATGACGGAGTAATAATTAAATAATAGAGAGAGAAAAAAAAATAAAAGCAAAAGCAAAGAAAAGAAATAATCATAATTATTAGTATGATAATAATACTACTACTGACTACTCCGTACCTACTGAGTACTTGACTGTGACTGTGACTGAGAGAAACACTGAATTATTACCTAGGTCCTAGGCAGCTTAGTCTTGGACTCTTAGGCCTTAGTAGTTAGTAGACATCTTAGTGCTGAGGCCGAGACAAACAAACCGCTTTATTTATTCGCTGACCCAGAGGATCGACTAGGCTGTTTCGTGGTTACACCAACGGCAGAGGGCCACTTGAACCAGAGGATAGAGTGAGAATTCGCTGTTGACGGTTGAAGCGTTGACACTTGACAGCCTGGCTGATGTTGGTACTTGGTATTATTATTATTTCATAGGTTGTTAGTACAAGTTACCCAGCTAGGCACCTACAGAGTACGTAGTAAGGTATCCATGATGTAGGTACCTGTACTCCGTGTTATCTGGCGTTTCGATTCGTATTAGACCTGCTTCTCATGATGCATGTATCCGCTGATATCCTCCCCCATCGACCTCAGCATCCCATTCAAAGCTCCCAGGTACTTTCCAGCAGTCCTTTGGTCATTGGAAAGTCATGGGGAGAAAGAGTGGCTAGATCATTGGATTCAAGGGTCCCCTCCCATTTCTCTTCGCGTCTAGCCATACAGGTGAATGATGTTCGTGAAAATTTTCATCAATGTGGAGAAGAACGACAACCGCTAAAGGTGCGCTCAACACTTAAGCAGCCACTTTTCGACGCCCAATCTCGTTGTGGCCTTAGGCCTAGAATTTCCATTTTTCATACCCCATACATAACTAAGTGCAAGGTACCTGCCTTAGGCGCACTTTTTCCTGTAGGGATAGGTCAGTAGAATTGGCTAGTATCACTGGTACCTATTGGGTGTTTTCACTTCAGGTGTGGGCGTGTATGTAATTATCCTAACCTAATTCCCGACATAATGTACTGTCATACTCTGTTACCTACACAGTACTAGGTATGTACCTAGATAATAATACTATCCAACAGGACAAGTCCAACGGCTACAGACTGCATCCATATTCCTTAAGAAAATACTATTCACCCGCCTAAGTGGACTATGGGTTACCTTAGTTTCCTGGTTGGCCTATTTTGTTAGTGCATCTGTTGTACTCCGTACCTGCTCCACACTCCATTCTTAGAAGCAATAATACGTGAAAGATATCAATTTGATTCGAGGCGGTAACTCAAGAACAAGGATAGGAAATTTGAGACACGGACACTGATCTGATCATTGATGATGGTCGGTCTCGATCAGTGAGTGTGAAGTATACCTCGATATATATCTAGCAGTCCGCCAACAACCCCTTATCTGTGTTTGATGCTTGGATCATTGATCTTTGAAATCAATCTATCAACTGGACACGGAGTAGTTAGTGTTTCCTGTGTTGACGGATGATGTCATGCCAGAAGCTTTGGGTTCGCTACCTTTGATCCATTATTATTCGACTGTTGAACATGGGAATCTAACGCGATAGCGATCAATCCCATGACGATCAGGAAACTATTTAGACTTAGGAAGCGCTGTTATGCCAACTTAAGCCGGAAAGCGAGCTCTGTAGTTTGCACTCTTCACGGAGCCACAGACTACTCCGTAAGAACATCAGGGAGATGAAGCACGAGGGACTTTGGATCCCATCACCCTTGCACATCCTTCTAGACTCTATGATGTTGGAGAATACCTCCAGCTGATGCTCTCTATTATTGCCAATAGTTCTGAACAGAACCTGGATTTGATAAGCATAATAGCAATGCACTCGCCAATCAAGAGTAAGGTACCTGTCCATCACTCCCAGATGAACCATCATCCAGTCTCCATCATCCGAGATGGGGTTTGGGGAGAACTCAGTAGTATCTGACCCCTCCACACAGAACTAGCTAGACTCCAGATTCTGCTTGTCATGAGGACAACCACCTGAAAGTTTGATGCCGACAAACTCCAGTTCTTCGTTGACTCGAACACTCTTCAGGACCCAAAATCGCCTTGGACCTCGGGACCAAGCCATTGAAACTTCACTTCAAAAGCTGACCGCTTGTTCGGCCAGCGTACGAAATAAACAATCAACGATAGGTACTGATTCTAGTGGGAAGCGAATCACAATAAAAGCAGAAATGGTTGTGGTGGGGAATTTTTCAGTCATGAAATTGATGGTCGACTTTTTGTGGCTTGAACATTCCACAGTCGTGCTCCACTGGAGGTCTCAGAGTCCAGAGGCCTCGATGGGTTTTTCTAACGCCGGGGATGTTGCTCGCTCATGTTATTGAAATTGAATCTGCAGGGACAATCGATCAGTCAGATTGATACAAATTGCTGGACGACCAATGCCTTGCTTCGTGATACGTAGTATCAATCCAGACTGTTCTACATACCTTACGGGGATGGAAATTGCCGCTCGATTCTTACAGGACAGACCACTGGAGATTCAAAGAGTGAAGAGTCAGTCAGAGTCAACTAGACTCAAGCGTCGCGAAGAATTCCTCCACTCCCCCCATCTTGAGAAAACTCAGAACTCCACCGAGGACTCGATGACAGGTCCGAATCATGGGTCGTGCTCCATCGATTATATTACATCCAGGTAATACTTACCAGAACTTACGAATCTTCTCGTGAGACCTCATCCACGGAGTCCATCTTATTTGATGATGATTATTGAAGACAATCCCGAGGAACTCCCCCTGCTCAATCTTAAGCTCGAAAACAATCACAAATCAATCAATCAGTTCTATCTGCTACGCTCCTTTGGTAAGTGAGTTCGTAACATGTGAATCAGTTTGATCTAGATGTCTTTCGGCACCCGAATCAATCAACAATGGAGATGAGTATTCCTTAGTGTTCTGGAAGCATGACTTCTGACTGGCCTGATGGCTCCGATGGCATCGATGCTACTCCGTACCTAGTCTAGGAGCCGATTTCTTGAACCCTTTAGCTGCAGCGTTCTAACTCTTAAGTCTTAAAACTTACGGAGTAACTAAGTCCAACCTTTTTCGAAGATACTACCTAATCTACGACCATCTATGTAGATAGCTAGCTAGTCTACGTACCGAGTTAGTTGAAGTCTTGCGTTCTTTTGATTCATCCCATGACATCCATCACTAGATCTAGGGCATATCTCATGGAGAGCCCCAATTGTCTCTCCAGAAGGGTAAGATTGATCCCAGACCTACAGACTCGCTCGCAGTCGCAAGGAACAAATTGCGGAGTCAAATGTCCCCTATCAAAGTTCTGGGCTAGAATTTTCTTTCTTTCTTCCTTTTTTTTTCTCCCTCGGGAAAATCAGCATCAGGGGAGCCCATCTCAATATCTTCCTACTCCTATCAAAAGTCCTAGACACCTCCGTGTCCCCGAAGGCCGATCCTTATCAACTAACCCTGCATTATTATTCCGTGGTCCGAATTGGCAAAACAACCACAGGACTTTGATACCTTCGATACTTTACAGTTGCCAATTACAGCGTTCGAGTTCCCCAGTCCGATCCATACGAAGTAGGTATGGATGTCATGACTCAGAAGAGAAATAATTAAGGCGGACCAATCACAAACACAAATGGTCGAGCTGACAGGTTCGTCCTCATATTTTCCCCTGCTCTAAGCGGCTTAGGTAGAACGGGCGAGGTTCGCTTTCTTTTTTTCTTTCTCATTTCGCTTGTGTGGGTCTATCTATAGGTGGCTGTTATTGTTACTTTACAAAGTTAGGTAGTTACCTTAAGTAGTTAGCAGTAGTGATTTCGGTACGGTAGAGCAGCGAGCTGTTAGATAGACAGCAGTGACACTACACCTTAGTTGTCACCTAGTCACCTAGAGTGGTTTGAAGTACTCCGTACAGTGCCGATACTCCAATTTCAGAACTCTGTCAAGTGTCAACTGTCAACTACCACTAGAGAAGTTAAAAAAAAAAAGCAACAAGATCGACACTAGGTATCTTTGGATCGAATGAGGAGACTTAGATTTCATCCGCTAAAAGGGAGGGGGAGGGCTACCCGCATAAGCCACGGGTCGTGGAATTGATGCTGAAGGGAACCACGTTGGTGATGCAGTCTGTACTATAACTAACAGCGTGCCAGACATGCTGCAGAGGCTTCTAAAAGAGCGTTTAATCCCGTTGGCACCGGTGTCCACAATTGGAGGAATCGACTTTTCAGGCTGCACTGCGTTCCGAGATGGGGTGCTAGTTAGCGGTTGATGTTCGGAGAAGCAAAAGGATCGGCAGTTGGCAGTGAGTTGGAGAAATGCATGATAAAATTTTATCTACAGACAACAGAACATGGGGGCTACAACGGTTGACGGGGGCGATGTCAAAGTCAATTTGGCATGTCTGTAAACACAAACGCCTGAGTAACCACTAAAACACAGAAAGAAAGAAAAAGAAAAACGGGGGAAAGCAATGCAATGAGTCTATTGCTCTATGCATCAGGCATTGCGGCGCAGAGCATACTCCGTAACATCGATGGATGACAGCCAACGCCAACTGGTGAAAAATTTTAACCACTATCGTATCTGATATTCGTGGATCGAATAAACCCACGCGGGGGCATCAAGGGTCAAAGAAATGGGTGATAGCCGGCATGGCTCATACAGCAGCAGCAGGAACAGAGAGATAGATACAAAAGCATGATACGTCCACGAAGCACCCACGCTATTGCATGGACCGCTTTCTGAGTCGGTTTCGCTCTCGTTCCAGTACACGATATCGACGGCTCACGTGTCGAGCCAGGAAGTTGCGAATGGACCAAGACTCGCCGGTGTGATAGCCTCGAGGACTGCTGGAGGTATTACAGTGCTCTGGGCCTCGTTGTTGTTCTGTGTCTGAGCAATTCGTCGAGCGTGGGAGTAGGATTTCGTTTGCACTCATAGCTTATTTTTATTGCTGCAGTTCGGGTACGCTTGGGCGGCAGGCTGAAAAGTTCGAGCACCCCGGTACACATAAACGTAGTTTCTTGGCTTCGGATGCTGCAGAAGCCAGAATGAGGGACGTTCACCTATCTAGCTCGTAGTGTGTGTTGCTCAATGGATGATTCTGCTTGATGACAGGTGTCATGGATGGTTGAAGGAGATTTTTTGCGGAGGATTAGGTAGCAGATAGGTACCTAGTAGATCGATGAGTGTTATGATTATTATTACGACGAATTTTGTGGCCTGAAACCGCACTCCACTGCGTAAGACAAATCCCACCTATAAGAGATCATATCCGTCCTCAGTCTCTCTACCTAGTCATAGATAGATACTCCATGCCGACTAACTATGTGTACTGCGCTGGGCTTTGAAACTCTCCAGTTGATCCTCAGCAACAATGAATGGAGGGGTTGTGGAGGGGGAAGAAAGAAAAGCAGTATCCAATCAGAGACCCCAAAAGCCCAAAGAAATCGGTGATGGGCACGTGCTCTCCCCACTTAGCAGCCCGGCATGGACCATTGCTCTTTTCTAGAAGTCATGATCGTCGCCCATTGAAGATCAAGTGACTATGATCAGGTGATCCTATCTATCCTCCAGCTGGAGGATATATCTATGGAGTATCAATCAAACGGAGTCGATGACTGTGGCAAAAGATCACTTGGTCAAGGACTCATGACTTGTCGTCGATGGGATAAACCCTGCTGATCAACGCCTCTATCACCTCACTGCGGCTCCATCCTCGCATCAGCGTGATATAAGCCTGACAGGTATCGATAATCCGTGCATGTTTGTATGGCCATTGGATCAGCTCACCGTATCATTTTGGCTGCAGAGACACCGCCAATCCAGTTGGGTGAACAGAGTAGGTTGTTTGACCATGTAGTCTGTGCCCTAACAGCAATTTATTGTGCGCCTGGATAAACTTAGTTTCTCATTCAACTGACACCAACGCGCGATCAGCTGCACTAATCATTCATAATTGTCGGCGGGAGAGCGATTTCATTATCCTTGGGCTTCTAATTGGTCTAAAGGCAATCCTTAAGTCGGTATGGAGTAAAAGGCATCAAATCTTGTCCCGCCCATCAGAGTTGCAACCCCGCCTTCCAGGTCCTTGATGATTTGATCAGGATTCCTTTGTCTTGTGAGTCATAAGAAATCATCACCCACATTCCCATGTTCACCAAACTGGCCCTCAAGCTGGTAATGAACCTGGCAATTGCGTCTGCGACTTGCAAAGTAGCATCATTGTTATAACTCAAAACAGACCATTACTAGACCAGAAATCTGTTCAGTCTCTCTCTCTCTCTCTGTTTTGAAGTCAGAACAATAGCCCTGGCTATCTACTACTAGCATCAATGGATCCTCTCTGGTTGTTCGTGGCCCTCGGCTACCTCCTCCTCTACGCTTTTGCCTCACTCCAAGCGTTCAACGAGCGAACACTCCATCGCAACTGTATCGCGAATTGATAGACGGGATGACTCTCACGAAAATACAATATGGATGAGTTTTACGGACACGGCAATCACGTCGCTGGGTATCGAGTTGGTCTTGAAATAAACCGCGCTCGTTTCACCTGGCATTATGGAATTACGGATGGAATGATGGAGCTATGCATCGGCTGAACTGATGCGATGAAATGACTCGACGCCCCTTGATGAAAAAGAATATGTTTTGATGATACCTGGCTTGCGAAATTGGCGTTATGGGCTGCAAAAATGATTGTTTCTGGGCTGAATGAGAGCTCTGAACGAATGACCAATGAAATGGCGTCGATGACCCAGGCTGAGATCATGGCGTGAGATCTATGAGATACGGGCTTTTACCATTACTATTGTGAATCTTGAAACCTTGCACATAGGTATCTTTCTTGACATATTTTCCTCGAATATGTAGTTGCAAATACTGGATCGTCCAAAATCGGTCACAATACTGCTGTAGAGTCTGCATTGAAGTCGCTACAAGACAACTCGCCCGGAGATACTGTGACTCAATCAAACAAGTTCTATCGATGAGATGAACGCTGCAATACTTTTCATTCCAGCCAGATGAACGCCTCGCGCCTCTAAAATCCACTTTCTTACCAACGGATATAATAGAACTCAGAACCAGATCTTGATGAGCTCTTCACTGACTGCACTTGGCGTTAGCACGCCGCTATCCGTGATCAACGCGGAAATCAGATGAGGTGGTGTAAAGTCCACCACATCGGAGCGGCCTCCCGTCTTCAAGCTGGAGACTCCCTCCAGCTCTGATGTGCTTGGGGACTCCACTGGTTGCTGCTTGGCTTCGTCTGCGATATCCTCCTCTGTCTTGAAGTCGATAACACGCTGCTCGATGGGAAGATCGTACTGTCCAAGGGGGTACGACCGAACGAACTTGTGGCTCTCAGCAACCACGTAAAATGGCTTGCCCATTGCCTTGGCAAGGAGACCAATCTGGTAGGTTCCCATGCGCGACACGATGCCTCCATTCTCAACCACACCCTCAGCGCCTACAATAACCATGTCCGCCTTTCCAAGAGAATATGCAACAGCCGACTCGGAGATCGTCGCTACGGGAACACCCTTTGCACGAAGGGCACGCACTGTCTCCATGCCCTCCGGTTCGGCACGGGAGCTCTCAACGTTGCCGTTGGCCGATGAGAGCACATAGATCACGCGGAAACGGACGGCTGAGGGCCCGCCCTTCTCATCCGCGGCCTTCTGTAGCAGCGAAGCAACGACTCTCGATCCACCATTTGTAAGAACTGTGCATCGGTCTCTGATAAAACCTCGACCAAACGCAGCAATCTTGTCGCGACTCTCCTTAGCCCGTCTGATAAACAGCCGACCATTTGAGAGCAAATGCGCTCTGATCGCATTGAAGTCTCCAGCTGGCCCCAACTGCCCGGGTCTTTGTAAAGTTGTAATCAGATATCTCTGGAAAAGATCTGTGCCGGCTGATAGGCCGATAGGATTTGGGATCGACTTCTTCAGGTGTGCGGTGGACTTTTCCAAAAGGTCGAGGGTCTCGGATATTGTTGACGATGGCGAGTGAGTGAGAAGAAGGACTAGAGCCTCGATAGCGGCAATAGGCATTGTCAAGTCCGGATCGGAGCGTAGGAGTTCATTGTATGTTGCGACAATGCTGTCTTCCGAGTCAATTACTGAAATAGCTTAGATCTTGTGCGGGAGGCTTACTCGAACGGTTTTGAAGGGTTTGACGGGGACGATGTGGAGGTCGCCATGGTTCTATGATAGCAGCTGATCAAGCGGCACTGTATGAAAACAAAAGCTGCTGTTTTCGACTTGTGTGCGTCTTTTGGCAGAAGGCTGTATCCCAGTCAATAATAATCATCGCCGAGCTGCAAAGAGTCATCGAAAAGAAACGCGGAGTGAATGTTTGTACTGTTTGCACGGCATGCCCCTCACGAAAAGACTAGTCCGCTTCTGGTTGCCATGCGAGGGCCCTGCGGTAAACAATCATCACAACATTTAAAGGACGATAAGAAAGCTATTCGCATCCACCATCCATTCGCTCTTCATCATATTTTGGCTTCGTAGAAGTCGCACGTTAGGGAAATTCCAGACGTCAATATGGCCTATAATCACCGAATGAGTCAACAGTTCCACAGCACCCAGCAACATCAGAACCGGGGTCGCAAGAAGGAAGATGAGAATGATGCCTTGATGCGCTTGGTCAGAGCAACCGACTCCTGTCTAGCTTATAGGTGATTTGCCAGATTACTGACAGTCTAAACAGCCAGATAAGGAAATCGCAGGATGTATCAATGACATTGGAATACCGTTCACAGCTGCCGATTTGATCAAGCCCAATCCACAGCAGATTCAGATGGTGTTCGAATGGTTTGCGGAGCTTCTGATGAACACAACCAGAGAGACTGTAGAGCCTGCGATGCGCGCAGCTGCAGAGGATCTCAGCGGCGATTATCCCGATATTGTACCACTGGAAACACGTAATCTCATGGGATTCTTCATCAGTCTACGAAGATTAATGTCGGAGGTAGGTCGACCAGACATTAGAAGTCCTTTATTGTTTGAGCTGTGCTGACGTGAATGTGCTCTCATTGAATAGTGCGGCGTCAATGATTTCACCTTCACGGACCTAACGAAGCCCACGCATGATCGACTGGTCAGAGTATTATCCTATCTCATCAACTTTGTCAGATTCCGCGAGTCTCAGACGCCGGTCATCGACGAGCATTTTAATAAAACTGAGAAGACGAAGGCGCGCATTGACACTCTATATGCGGAGAACCAAGAGATGGAACAACGACTGGAGGAGATGCGAAGGAGCCTGAAAGCGAACGAAGCCCAGGTCAAGGAGAAGGTTAGACGGAACGACGAGTTAAAAGCGCGGCTGTTGGAATTGCGAAGAAATCAGGAACGAGTTGCCGAAACCCTCGAGCGAGTCAAGGCGGATAAGGCTCGACGACAGGCACAGTTGGAAGAGAAGACCGAGAAGAGTGTGCGCACACGACAAGAAGTCGAGAAGCTCCGACCATACGCGATGCAAAGTCCGGTTTCACTTCAATCCGCCTTGACCGAACTTTCAGAAAGTCTACTACGAGAGAAAGCTCAGATTGACGCTATGGAGAAGAGAGCCCGAGCTCTGCAGACCTCATCGGATACATTCACTGTAGTCGGAAACGATGTACAAGCTTGTATCAAGCTTCTTGAGGATATATCTGTCGAATTACAGAAGGAGGAAGAGGAAGAATCCCGAGCATCGAGGAACAAGGAAGCAATTTCCGAAAGGGGAAATAACGTCAGAGAGGTTGAGCAGACTGAGAAGTTACTTCAACGGCAGCTGACGCGGTGGAATGAGAGAATTGAAGCTCTGCGGAAAAATGCCCATGAGAAAGCAGAGGTTGCCCAAGCGCGGATGGATGAGCTTCGGAACGTCCAGAAACAGCTCCGCGAGGAGCGGGCAGAAAAGCAGCGTGATATGGAGAGGAGACGAATCAGGATTGAGCAAACGGAGAAGAAGGTGAGACTCATATACGGTACATCGGCTTTCTTTGAATTCAACAATGCTAATAGTTGTCAAGATGGTCGATCTCAAGGAGAATATCGAAAACGAGATCCAAAGTGCCCACGATCAGTACTTGAAGTTGGAATCGCATATTAAGTTGTATATCACGGAGATGGAAAAGTGTCTATGAGTGTGATTGATGATTTTCAAGGAATAGGAGTTCAGGCTTGCTTCTAGGATACCCGGTTGATTGGGGTTTATATTGTGGGATCAATGTCCATGTTTGTTCTATTTGGAGTTCTGTCGGCTCGTTAATATGAGCATTATGCCTCTCAGATGCCTAGACTTGAAGAGTTTCTGGGACTGTATGGCTGTTTTCGTCGAATTTGAACCATCGTTCTGCGATCCGTTTTATAGGAACACTTCGTCCTTTTGGGATAACCTCACCATTCGTTCGAGCTGAGGTATTGAGTAGTGGTACATCCACATACCACAGCGCCTCGCCACGCTCCCTTCCATCGTCATCCGGAGCATGACGCCCTTCGCAAAGTAACAAGTCAAATCCTCCACGTGAAGAGACTTCCACCGCGGCCGCAAGCGTTCGGGAGAGTCCTTGGGCAGAGAACTCCGATGTAGAAAGATGCAAGGCAAGGATATTGAGCACAGCCAGCAGAGGTCTTTGGCTCTTCTGATTCTCATTGGTCGGTGTTTCTTTCACAAAATTCGGTAACACCGAAAGACAAGCCCGAAGATGCTCCAGCGTCGGACAGAAAACTAGCTGGACTCTGCTTGAGCTGGAGAGCAACCCGAGAGATTTGGTCAGGAGCTGGTGCTTTTTGCTTGTCTCTTGAGCATTGTTCCATATAGCCTCATAGATTTGCTCTAAGAACGTATCTCTCGCGGAACAAACTACCAGCAGAATTGTAGTAGCATTGACTGTGAGAAGGTGTTGTAGGAAATCTGGCACAGAGTCGCGAAGATAAATGCGGCGATTGGTCCCCATCGCGATGCTAGGAGAGCTTTGAGTAATGGCTGGTCATACCTTGATGATTATCGAGATGATAAACCTGCAATATTGACGTTATGTACAAACAGCATACCCTCTGAAGCTCTGTTGACGACGATTGATTTTTACAACAGGAACATCATAACGGGAGGAATCCATAGCGGAGCAACTCAGTAGTCTCGCTTGCATCATCTGCCGCCTGAACCTCAAAGTCACCCGCAGCTCCACCGAACCCCAACTCCCTCCCCTCGTCCTCACTCTCAAGCTTCGGGGATTTATTTTCTAACCATACTTTCCCGCGTGTGCCCGTGAGGGCCAGCGGAATTAACGAACTGCGCAATGGAGACGATCTCTAGGATCTCATCCATGCTGGAAACTGGTAGCGTGCTCGCCGTTGTCATTCCCCGCCTTCAATCACTGACCGTGGATGCTCGGGAACAGCTCGAGAGCTCACTTTGGAAGCTGCTCAGTCCGCTGCTCTCACGCGAGGGTCAAGTACAGGCCTCGTATCTCGGAATCATAGTGCAGCGCAGATCAAGAAGCTACTGGAAAGTCGCAATGACCGCGAGGTCTTGGATGGCATGCGGAAGGTGATTTCGGTGAGTACGACTTGGCGACGATAACATTTGAATATGGATCTTGTTCTGACTGCGAACCCTTTGTTGGATGTTACAGTTGATCTACTCATCTGAGCCTTCCCTTCCATTCTTCTCCGCCGTTGTAAAGAACGTCGCATCGACAAACCTCGAAGTGAAGAAATTGGTCTACATATACCTGGTCCATCATGCGGAGGCAGAGCCAGACCTCGCTCTCTTGTCAATCAATACGATCCAGAAGTCGCTTACGGATCAGAATCCTCAAGTCCGTGTGATGGCGTTACGAACAATGTCTGGAATTCGAGTGCCGGTCATTAGTCAGATTGTCTCTCTTGCGATCAAAAGAGGTTGTGGAGATATGAGCCCTCATGTTCGTAAAGCTGCCGCATTGGCCATTCCGAAATGCTACCGCCTCGATCCGAATACACTACCCCAGCTGATTGGATATCTATCAACCCTGCTCGGTGATGCTCAGTATTTCGTTGCAGGTCCCGCGGTTTCAGCATTCTTGGAGGTCTGCCCGGACAGGATTGATCTAATTCATAAGCACTATCGAAGCTTGGTAAAAAAGCTTGTGGACATGGACGAATGGGGTCAGCTAGCGACTCTACGCCTTCTGACAGAATATGCCCGAAAATGCTTCCCTAGAAGGACACAAAAACTGAAGAGGGCAGTGTCCAAGGGGTTCTACGATGACGAAAAGAATGATGACGGCGAAGGCGACGGGGAGGAATACGAGGTTCCGGTAATAGATCCCGATTTGGAGCTTTTGCTGCGGGCTTGCAAGTTACTCTTGCACAATCGCAACGCTGCCGTGATCGTTGGCGTGGTTCGTTGCTTTCTATATCTTGCTCCACCCGACTATCTTGCTGCTGTGGTTGGCCCCTTGATTGCTCTTCTTCGAAGCCCACAGGATATGCAGCAGATCGCGCTCTACAATATTGTTGTCGTCGCGTTGCAGCACCCTCAGTTTTTCACCAAGTATACCTCGCATTTCTTGGTTCATGCATCAGATCCATCTCACATATGGCGCTTGAAGCTCGAAATCCTCACAATCCTTTTTCCGCATTGTGGAATGCATCTCAAAGGTGTGATCATCAACGACTTAGAGCATTTCTCGCAAGGCGCGGACGCCGAACTAGTGCGGGAAAGTGTTCGTGCACTCGGGCGTTGCGCACAAGGCGAACCCAGCACTGCGGACTATTGTCTGAATGTTCTTCTTCGTCACATTACGAGCCAAGACGATGTCTTGGTATCGGAATCCTTGACGGTAATCAGACACCTGATTCAGCAGGACCCAGCTTCTCATGAACGAACCGTCATCCAACTTGTGAGAAATCTAGGGTCGACCAATAGCTCCGAAGCCAAGGCAACCATTGTATGGCTTGTTGGAGAATTCGCTGGTGTGGAACCGGAAAGAAATTTTGCACCGGATGTTCTGCGAATTCTGGTACAAAAATTTGCCGATGAACCGGAAGTTGTGAAGCAGCAGATTATCCTACTTGGCGCTAAGGTGTACTTGCACCACCTATTACAAAACCCTCCCAAGCAGGAAGCTGAAGCTGAATCAACCCCGGAGTCAGAGTCCAAACCCGAACAGCAGCCTGGCAACGAGTGGGCCGATGATGCTGCAGAGCACAATGAACCTGAAGTTGAGACGAAGAACGAAGAGCAGCAAGCAGAGGAGCCGCAAGAGGATCAAATCGCCCTTCTTTGGCGGTATATCCTCCTGCTCGCTAGATACGACACGTCCTATGATCTCCGTGACCGTGCTCGGCTTTACAAAGCTCTTCTGGCCAACCCTTCTTCCACTGAGCTTGCAAATCTACTGTTATTAGCGCCTAAGCCTGTTCCTCATGCTCCTAGCCCATCGGAAACGCGAAAGAATCTGCTCATTGGCTCTTCCACGCTTATCATCGGGCCGGATGCTGGTCCGTTTGGTCTGCAAGGATATCATGACCTTCCAGATTGGGTCGAATCTGGACAAGAGCCTGATCCTAGCTTACGAGAATCGGATATAAAGCCCGAACCTACAGAGAGAGCGTCTATGACGGCAGGCGAGCGGCTAGATCAAGCCCTGAGGGAGCATGAGAGTAACATTGCAGCTATGAAGCGGCAGCAACATGGTCCCGCGGGAATAGCCCCTTCAACGGTTAAGAACAAAAGTCTTGACCAATGGCTTGAAGAGGAGGAGTCTGAGAGCGAAGAGGAAACGGACTCTGAAGAAGAGGTAACGGGCTCTGAAGAAGAGGAAACGGACTCCGAGGAAGGAGAATCGGAGGAAGAAACTGATGAGGAAGAAGAGGAAGAAGAGACCGATGAGGAAGACCAGGAGGAAGCCAGGCAGCTTCTAACGCAGGATAATTTCCGGCCACCGGCATCACGCGGTGTCTAGTGCGTGGCTCTTACTAGAGTTACGCTTGATCTTGGAGGAGTTGGATGCAGATTTTATTACGATTTAGATATAGATTTGGTGTGATACGCCGTACATATTATGATGATGTTGGAATATATCATCCATCCAATCAAGAATGGCTTGGAATTTCCCGTATGGGCTCGAAGTGAACAAAGCAAGACGCAACTGCCACTGTACTTGAGGATAAACTGATCACGAAGTAGCTGCCAGGCACATGGGGCTCACGTGGAGAACTAAGCTTTTTTGAGCAAGTCTGGGGCCGCGAAGAAAATTAAATAGAGCAGGCGGTATCACTGGGCAGAATGCCCCATGAATCCGTGATCTGATTACCAACAAGCAGTGCTTCGTGATTAAGAAAGGTACATGGCTGGCCAGATGTTCTCGGTAAGGAGCTAGACTTGATTCAACGAGAACTGAAATAGTAAAACAGGTGCTCAGGCAAAAAGCGATCGTCCCAAGCTTTCTCGCCCTTCACCACCGAGCCTTGCCGTTACGCGGATACAGTCAGTGCCCGCTCATCCTCTTCTGGTCTGCTGGCCATGATGCGAGCTGTTGCAGGAACACTTCAGACATATCCCTTCTCGAGTCCACACTCATAGTGCCCCATCTTCTTTTGCCTTATATCCGCCACTGGCCTGGCCAACCCGTCCCTTATTTTATACTTTGGGCACGTGTTCACGTCTCTATCTCCGCCTCTCTCTGTCATCGTCGATTTCTTGTACGACCATTCATATAAAGAGCTATCACCAGTGACTGGGCTAGATTCGATTTTGCCGCAATGCCAGGCCTACCGGGTAAGTTTCACCATGCATGGCTGTTACCCCACCAGCAGATACTTATTGCGCGATAGCTAGCATCGACCTGGACGAGTGCATTGAGCGACTCTATAGGAAAGAATTATTGGCCGACTCCGTTATCGAAGCAATATGCGCCAAGGCCAAGGAGTTATTGATGAAGGAGAGCAATGTGGTGCACATTGCAGCTCCAGTGACCGTTGTTGGAGATATCCATGGGCAATTCTTTGACATGCTTGAGATCTTCAAGATTGGGGGGTTCTGTCCAAACACAAATTACTTGTTTCTAGGTTAGTTCTCACGCTCTCTTCTTGGGACTCAGGTGTCCTGTACTGACTGTTTCTCTGTGTTGCAGGAGACTATGTGGATCGTGGTCTGTTCAGCGTTGAAACCATCTCGCTTCTCGTGTGTTTGAAACTCCGATACCCCCACCGCGTGCACCTCATCCGCGGCAACCACGAATCCCGCGGCGTGACCCAGTCCTACGGATTCTACACCGAATGCGCGCGAAAGTACGGCAACGCCAACGTGTGGCACTACTTCACCGACATGTTTGACTTTCTCACCTTGAGCGTGGTCATCAACGATCAGATCTTCTGCGTGCACGGCGGCCTCTCCCCCTCCATACACTCGATAGACCAGATCAAGATCATCGATCGATTCCGCGAGATTCCCCATGAGGGGCCCATGGCTGACCTGGTCTGGTCCGATCCGGATACCGAACGCGACGAGTTCTCGCTATCTCCGCGCGGAGCAGGTTACACGTTTGGTGCGCAGGTTGTTCGGAAGTTCCTCGAGGTCAACAGCATGTCCCATATCTTGCGCGCGCATCAGCTATGCCAAGAAGGATATCAGGTTCTCTATGATGACCGGCTGAGTACGGTGTGGAGCGCGCCCAACTATTGCTATCGATGCGGAAACCTCGCCAGCGTCCTCGAGGTGAGTGACACAGGCGAGCGATATTTCAACATCTTCGATGCGGCTCCGGAGAATGATATCCACCGTGGAGAGCAGCAAGCACAGCAGAGCAAGGACGGCCAGAACCCTGTAATTGATTACTTCTTGTGATACCCTTCTTTTGTTTCTTTCTTTTCTTTCTATCTCTATTGCATTTACTTGTCTGCGCTGTGGCCCATTTCGAGTCTTTGGAGTTTGATATCCGAACGAGCACGTATAGACGGCATTGATGTGATGCAACAAGGTGGTGTAGTGACGAGACTTATACCACCAACGAATGTAGTAAACATATGCAAGGGCATATTATATTTCATTTCCCATTGCAAGTATTCAAGAGATTGAAGCCTGGGAGCAAACTGTCTACTTCTGTCCACATGCTTTCGACTAAGGAGATTCGTCCAACACGTGTAAATTTTAAGATATGCTGATCGTGGTATATTCAAAAGTAAATGCGATACGCCAACTGCCAAGAAAAGAGTCTACCAATCCTTCGCGATGTCGAACGACCATTCAAACTGGAGATGGGTGTGGTCGTCATCGTCGAGGAACTTGGAGACGGCATTGTAGTGGCCCCGGGCGATCATGCCGGAGGGCGCCTCTTCAGGTTGGACTGGGAGGATTGTCAGTATGGGCCGATACGCACGGCAACAGCTGCGGCGGACTTACATCGCTTCTCGTAGACGGGCTTGTCCGTGGTGTTGGGAGCATAACTTCCCTGCAGCCGGAGGTTAGCAACCCGAAGTGTCACAGTTGACCGGGCAAAACGGTCTTGAAGCGGACAACTCACCAGCATCTCCTCATCCCTGCTGACGCGGATACCCTTGCGCTTCACCACCTGCAGATACTTGAGGCCGCTCAGCACCTCGTGGTGAACCTGGAACTGGGCCTTGATGCGGAATGTAGAGCCCTCCTTGATTGTGAAGGGCTTATCCTTGAGCTTCTCGAGAGAACCGGGAGAAGACAGCTCGATGACCACGTCGGGACGGCCCTCAACCTCCAGGGCAAGGGACTTGATGATGCATTTCCTGGGGTCGTTGGGGTCGCCGATCGGGCTGCCAGTGTTGAGACCCAGTGAAGCCTTCCAGCGGTTCAGCGATTCGTCATTCTGGTCTACCTCCCACGATTATCGTTAGTGACAGAAGAGTTGAGTCATTGCGATTAGGGGGTTGGTAGACAAGGGGACTTAGCCCCACGAGAGCAGGGCGGCTGGCAAACGGTGGGGGCGGCAGACGTACCTAGCTTTGTATATTCTTCAATTGTCTTCTTTTCTCCGACCTTGAAGCCCTCGGTTTTCGAGGCAACGAGATCTTCGTCGTGCTCAACCATTGTGTATTCTCCTTTATTGTTTTGTTTTGCTGGGAACTCCTTTCGGCGGGGTACCTGAACCAAGGATTGTGGCACTCGTAGAGGGGAGCGAGTGGGGTGTTGTATATATACGTTCAGATGAGATAAGGCTCAGGCTGTATACACAGACAACAACGCTCGGAATAAGATAAAAATTATATAGAGAGAATTCAGGGTATGATCAGGAGGAGGAGGAGGAGGAGGCTATGTACTAGAAGTAGGAGACTTATCGTATTTCGAGAGTCCCAACCAGAGCCATAGTCAAAAAGGACTGGCGGGGATCGCTTCTTTTAGTCTGAGACGTCCTGGTGGGGGGGGGGGGGGAAACAGATAGATGGGAAGGGCGGTGAAGATGAGGCCTAGAATTGGTAGAAACAGCTATAAGAACTTCGCTCATGGTACTATCATTATTGTGATAGGTTTGAGCTGGCAGCATCGGGATGATGCTCCCTATCCTATGTCATGTATGTATCGTGTGCTATCATATTATGAACAAGGTCAAATCAACCCTGGATATATATCAATGGTCGTAGTGAGACGGGCGACTTGCAAGCGGATGCAGACTCAAGAGTCAAGACACAGGCATAGTGGGGTTCCTCCCGCAGATTAAGGCCACAGTCTCAGTGATCTTGGCTCCTTTGTGGAAGTGTGTACGGAGTATATATAGCATGGCTAGACCTAGCAGCATGTTCGATTGCACTGCGCAACGGCTCTCACAGCAGCACCGTTCGACATTCCAGTGTGCTTCAGCTGGCACCTGTACGCTGCATTGTCATCCAGAGTCTTGACGATCGTCCGTAGTCAAGACCTGAAATGGTACGCAGTGAGTGAAGCGGTGTATCATGGTGTATCCTGGTGTGGGACTGATGTTCAGACTCTAGTCTAATGAATCCAGCAGTAGTAGTATCTGAGGCTCTGAGTAACTCGAGCCTTTTTTTTTTTTTTTTTTTTTTTCTGGAACAAGACGGTTGAGTCTGCTGAGATTGTAACACATTCATTCATCGGCATATCGAGATGATCTATCCAGCCAGAATTTCAATCTGATAGAGGCGATCGATCAATCAGCCTTCAGTGTTCAACACCAACGGTGCCAATGGCTTGCACTCAGACAACTTTAGTATGAATTGCCTAGTCGAATGGAACTGGGAATCACCATGACGCATAAGGGATATCACTGGGAACCATGGAAACAGCACTTGTGCTGTAGCGATGGAGTCGAACTAACTACTCTCTAGGTAGTTATCTACTAGTTAGTGTCCAAACTCCAAGACAAGAAGCCGATCAACGTCACGGCTCTTTGTGAGGCATCAAGGCATCAAGGCATCGAGGCATCGAGGCATCAGTACCACACCACAAACCAAGACCTGTCACATTCTGTTATCGAATACCGGGGGATGATTTTGGTGTAAGACGCTAGTCTTTCTCCGGTAGCTTATGTAACTCTTAATCAACGATCATTGGCTCATCAGCGGGTTGCCAAGAGTGACTCGATACTGTTGAATTGAACAATACCGTATGGCCTGTGTAAAGACCGTGAGCCCAGCAAAACGCCCACCCCATTTGCTGCTGCTCTCTTATTATTATGATTTTCCCTCCCCCCTTGACGACTTTATCTTTTATCAACCTGCGTATTTTTGACCGCGATTCGATTATCTTCTGCTTTGTCGCGGCCCGATCTATCTGTGTACCGCGAGTTTATTATCCGCCCGAACTCGAATCACAAAGCGAAGAAAGGGGAAAAAAGAAAACTTTGCGGTGCTTGTCACTCTGCGCATAATCCCCTTTGTGGTGACGTCTATCTCCTCATCAAGTGTGGACGTCGAGAGCGACAGAAGACGCGCCTGCAACGTGGCCGCCGCTTTGGCGTCGCATCTCGCAAATTTAAGTCTGCGCGCAAGCGATAATCTATCAACGCCATCAATAAGAGCGTCAATCACCTTTTTACAGTGACTAGGTTCTGGATTTGGATTCATCATACACCATGGTGCGCTCATTGCCAAAGAAACACAACCCGTTCATCCTGCCGGATCAATCCCCCTCTTGTAAGTCCGAGCATCAATCGTTTGATCGCATTGAGAATCCCTGAATTTTTTTTCGAATCTCCGAGTGATGGGCCGCTGTGCGACAGATGCAACGCGTAGAGCTAATCCGTGTCTTCCGGGTGATGATAGATGAGGATCTTCTGGCGCTTCGTCGTTTAGGGAAAACGAATCTCGCCGTCAAGCCCACACAGATTGGAACTTCCAACGCGACAAAGCCTGAGAACCTGGGCCCCTTTGAGTATGCCCATTTGCGCGCGAAGCTGCCAGAGGACCTAAAAGGATCGGAGATTTTCCCATGGCATACCACCCAGCATTCCGATACTTACTTCCTTATGGTGAGTTAAGACATGGCCCGCCGTTTTTCATGATCGCTGTGACTGATCTCCTGTGCTTCGACCAGCGACGGAGCAAGGATGGATATGTTAGCGCCACCGGAATGTTCAAGATTGCCTTCCCATGGGCCAAACTGGAGGAAGAGAAGGCAGAGAGAGAATATCTCAAGAGTCGGGATGAAACAAGCGAGGACGAGATTGCCGGCAACATCTGGATCAGTCCCACACTAGGTGAGTTTGGTCGGGTCCTGGTCTCCATTGGCGATATTGGACTAACCCAGTGTAGCTCTCGAGCTGGCCAAGGAATACCAGATGTACAACTGGGTTCGGGCTCTGCTTGACCCTACCGAGATCCCTCAGACTCCCAAAAAGCAGATCACACCTCCGCCTAAATTCGAACTTCCAGCCATTGACGCGCTCACTCAACTTCCCCCTCCCACGCCGCACACTCGGAGGGGGCGATCGGCATCGCCTAGCAAGAGAGTTCTGTCCCCACGCAAGCCTAGAAAGACTCGCGCAGCCAAGGAAGCGAGCATCGAGGAGGCCAGTGCCGCCAGCGCAAGCCTGCAGACCGCTCTGGAGATGACCGCCTCTAATGTCGATACCGGATCGGCCAACGGAACCATTGAGCCCAGCGTGGAAGAATACGTTGAAGAAGAAAAGGTGGTTTCGATTGCAGAGGAGACGACTCGACCAAGAAAATCGGGCATGTCAAAGAGAGTGCAGCCCCCCATTTTGGAACAGCCGGAGGAAGAAGTTGAAGAGGAGAAGGTCAAGGTCGACATCGAAACCATTGCCGACGCGACAGACGACGTCAGAACCACTCAGACCACTATCTCCGTCGAGCTGCCCATCAGCCTTCCCGAGGCCCCTTCCGCGGAAGAGACCGAACAGATGATCGCAAAGGCCAAGGAAATGGTAGAAGAAGTCATCAAAGTCCAGGCTACGGAAGGCGAGCAGGCCGAGTTGTCGACACTCAAGGCGGCTACGAAGCGCAAGACCGACATGCTCAGCGAAGACGAGGAGGATGAGGAGACCAAAGCCGCCTCGGCTCTGCGTGCCAAGCGCGCAAAGGTATTGGAAGAGAAGTTGAAGCGCGAGCGTGTCCGAAACCGCGCGCTGGTTGGTGTTACCGCTGTCTTTGCGCTTGCGTAAGTCTCCTATACTGTCTTGGTGGCATTCCCCTCGTTCTTCAGGATCGCTCACTAACGATATTTTGTAGGGCCTCGATTCCCTATTTCTTCTAAAGATTATCTTCGATTTTCGTCGAGTCCCTGAGGGACAGGCACAGAGTATGACTACGCGTATGGAACAAATTGTATCGAGTGCAATTGTCTCGAAACTTACCTCAACACCATTCAACTTCCACCCTTTCTCCCCCATCCTGCCCGACACTCTGGCGTGGTAAAAGGACCTGTCTCCAAGATTTGGCCTGAGCAGGGGAGAGGCTTTCGGTCCCTTTTACCACTTCCATTCCCTTCACCCTCTCCATTTCCTTGCCCTTAGAAGAATTCTTGTTGGCCTTCATGGAGTCCGCGCTTTGGGCGTGACCTTTTTCCCTCAATGCACTTTACCGCGTGGCAATTTCTATCTCTCATCCCGGTGATTCTTGATGTATTGTATTGATATTTTATCGGCTTCTTAATAATGTGCCCGTTTTGATGCCTCGGGAAACGTTCCTGTCCATAGGTCGTGCGAGGATGCGCAGTTCTCCCTTGCCAATGGTGTTTGGATCCACAGACTGAAAGAGAAGCTGTTTACAGCTCTTATTCCTACCTTGCAATTGATGGTCTCCTGTTCTTTTCCTTTTGTGAATGGTTTGAGTAGTTATTTCATGGCGCCCTGTCTCTGCCCTGATCCCGTCCCCTTGGTGTTCAATATTGGTTAGTAGACACGAAGCAACGCAGTATGATTCGAGTCCTTAGTCTTGATAGCATTTCGAATATCTGGCTGTTCTCCTGTGAGTGCGACATGCATGGTAAATGAGTTCTGTCTTGGTCCTGGTCTAATAGCCTGATCGCCATCAAGAAGAACCAGGAACTCTCCTCTGTGGCTTCACAGATGGGCACTTCCAATTCAAAAAACTGTAGCCACATTGCTCGTATCTAGGTAGATTGAATATTGAATTTATTCTCATAGGTCTTTGCTCAGAAGCTGTCCAGTCCCTCAGTCCAAGCGGAGTTGAGCATCGCTGCAAACAATCTAAACACCGTCACTGCAATCATGAAGCTTTCTAGAGCTTGAGCTTCAACCCCTAGTCATCTTTCTTCTCCATATATGATTGAGAAAAGCCAGGAGATTTCCTAATCGACCTATCGCTTACTCTCTAATTGTACATTATCGAAGCCTCACACTACTACTCCCCTCGTACCTGCGATGCAATGTCGCTTCCAGGCTTAGAGCTCTCGCAGACTTCAGCGGAGAGGGAGTTTGTCTCCGCACCGCCAACGCAAATCTCGCTGTCCAAGGGCTCCGAATGGAGATTTGAGGTGGCATTTGGAACAGCGATTCGGGTCAAGGTGAGTAGTGTATTGTTTTCTATAACTCATGCTAGGAATCATGCGATTGCTTGCCCGAGAAAATCCATGCTACCGCCGATCCTCTGACTTTGTGGCATGCGACACTCAAATAACTGAGTTTACGGAACATGGCTAACTCAGAACGTTGCTGAAATAGCTCCTGTCCGGCACCGCAGAGCTCTTCGGCACAGAGCTTGCCGCCTCGCAAACCTACGCCTTCTCCGGCACGAAAGCGGCGATCTACACCTGGCATGGCTGCACCCTGGAAGTCGGCGCGGGCGATACGATATCGACGATCGATGGACTGGGCTCGGCGGGGATGAACGGGGGCGCTGTGCGCGGGTACGGCGCTGGAGGCTGCCAAAGCGAATACACGGCGGAGGAGACGCCGATGGTGGAATATGCGAATGTGCATTTTGCGCTGGAGGCGATGCGCCAGGAGGCCAAGGCGACGGGGAAGGATGGCCCGCGGGTCTTGATCCTGGGTCCGGAGAATGCGGGCAAGACAAGTCTGGCGAAGATCCTGACGGCGTATGCGACGAAGGTTGGGCGCCAGCCGATTGTAGTCAATCTGGATCCTGCGGAGGGCATGCTCAGCGTGCCCGGGTCGTTGACTGCGACGGCGTTCCGGACGATGATGAATGTGGAGGAGGGATGGGGCAGTAGCCCCATGTCGGGGCCGAGTGCGATTCCTGTGAAGTTGCCGTTGGTTTACTTCTATCCGCTGCAGAACCCGCTTGAGGCTGGGGCTTCCGTCTATCGGCCTATTGTATCGCGGCTGGCGCTGTCGGTAACGGGGAGGATGGCAGAGGACGAAGATACCAGGGAGACAGGGATCATTGTTGATACGCCTGGGATACTTAGTCAGGGCAAGGCTGGCAGTCTTGAGGTTATCAACCATATCGTGACGGAGTTTGCAAGTATGACTTCTTCTAGCTTCTACATGCTTTTATCCAGGATACTAATTGGAAAACAGTCAACACAATCCTTGTCATCGGATCGGAACGTCTCTACAGCACCATGATGAGAAGCTACGACAACAAACCCACAGCCAGTGCTTCCGCCGCAGCATCAGATGAGCGCATAACTGTCGTGAAGCTCTCGAAATCCGGTGGCTGCGTAGACCGAGACGCAGCTTTCATGAAGGCAGTGCGCGAGTCACAGATCCGGACGTACTTCTTTGGCAATCCCATACCCTCCACTGCGTCTGCTGCTCTTTCGGCCTCTGCATCTTCCACCACCAATGTTACCTTGTCCCCACATGCGCAGCAGCTCGACTTTGACTCTTTAGCTGTGTATAACTACACAATTTCATTACCTGATGAGGACGAGGACGAATACGATCCATCGCAACTCGGAACGGGCGACACATTCATCCCTGGCGGAAGCAATGAGGCGGAGCGCGCCGAACCCCAGCAGGCAGAAGATAGCTCATTCACCCCTTCTATGCCCGGATTGGCCGGCTCATCGGGCGAGGATGCGACATCCGCAGCCAACTCGGCTGTGCCTCTGAAGAAAGTCCCACGGCCGGCGCCAACGGTCCTCGCCAATTCCCTCCTTGCAATCACACACGCTGCTCCGAGCGCTCCTTCGTCTGAGATCCGTGATGCTAGTATCATGGGCTTCTTGTACGTGGCTGACGTGGACAGTGAGAAGGGCAAAATCCGCGTTCTGGCTCCGATAGGAGGGCGAGTGCCACCTAGGGCTATTGTCTGGGGCAAGAAATGGCCTGGAGAGGTGGTTGGTCTGGTGGGATGATCTTTGCATATGGGCAGCGGTGCAATATATACCTGATTGCGATGATGAATTTCTTTTATGCCGGTGGTCACGGCCTTTAGTATTGGAGTTTGGGACTTTGGGGTGTGTATATAGAGTAACAAGCAATGGATAAGAACCGCGATCTATGCGTACGCTTTCCTCTGGGTTTGAGTCAATCTGTCGATGTAACCAGTCGTTGGGCAAATCATAAAAATCCAAGCTAAATAATACCAACTCCTTATGAGCAGTCTATGATATGTTTTCTTTCAATTGTATACAGACTGAGACACGGAGACTCGTGCGTGCGACTTCCGTCTCACAGCTCCCCGCAACTCCAACACTCTCTCTCCAACTCCCGAAGAACAAGAACAAGAGAACACCCACCTCAACTTGTCAATTCCAACGCCCAAGCTCAAAAGAAGAACCAAAACCAAATGCTCTACCGATGCTGGCGGCGCCGCCGAAAACTCAAACGCCTCGCCATCATGCTCCTCCCCTTCCTCCTAACCGCCCTCCTCCTCACCCCCTTCTACTGCATCTACAAACCGCCAAGCCTCCTCATCCGCTACCTCCAGCACCGCTGGCCCGACGTCCTCTTCCACGTCCCCACGACCAAGAAACTCGTCGCCTTGACCATCGACGACGCCCCCTCCCAGTACACCGCAGACATCCTGCACGAGCTGCACACCCACGGCGCGCACGCGACCTTCTTCGTCATCGGCGCGCAGGTCCCCGGCCGCGAAGCCGTGCTCGCGGACCTCGTGCGCGCGCGCAACGAGCTCGCCAACCACGCGATGCACGATGAGCCGTCGCGCGCGCTCAGCGACGAGGTGCTAGCCGGCCAGCTGGCGGCTGTGCAGGCGCGTATCCGCGCTGCGTACGAGGCGGCGGGCGTGCCTGAGCGGGAACCCGGGGTGGGAGCTGCGGCAGGGGAGAGATATTTTCGGCCCGGGTCCGGGTTTTTCAGCGCGAGCATGAGGGAGTTGGTGCGTGCCTTGGGGTATCGGCTTGTCTTGGGGAGTGTGTATCCGCATGACCCGCAGATTCCGTATTGGAGGGTCAACGCCGCGCATGTTCTGGGGATGGTCCGTCCGGGGAGTATCATTATCTGCCATGATCGGAGAGAGTGGACGCTGCCGATGCTGAGGAAGGTGTTGCCGGAGCTGAAGCGGAGGGGGTATCGGGTTGTTACGCTTACGGAGTTGTTGAGGGAGGGTCAGGGAATGGGTTCGTGAGTTACATACATATTCTTAGCGGCGTTTTGGTGCTTTTTCTTTTTATGTGAATGATATTGTTGATACACTCTATAGATGACCCGTGATATTACCCTTCTATCTGGACAGAAGAAATATGTGGGAGAATCGGCGGTCGCCAGCGACTGCCAAAGCCCCGATAAATGTCACTCCCAGCGCTTCCACTCCAGCAACGTCCTCCGCAGCTCAGCATCACAGTCATAACCCTTTCGCTCATCCTCAAGCAGCCTCTCCCGCTGTTCGCGGAAGTGCTGCTCCTCGTCGTATCGTTTCAGCGCCACTAGCTTGAGATAAGTCAAGTCGTTCCGCTGCACGGCGTCGGTGAATTTCGCCCGGATGCGAGGCGAATATAGCTGGCAACTGGCTTCCCGGCACCGGGATTGTCCATCGCCTGGCACCAGCCGCATCATGGTGGAGAAGCTTCGTGCAATGGGCTTCTTCGATTTGACCAGCGGCCATACCACGTCGTCGTAGCAGTCCTCACACACCGTGAACTCGGGCAGCTGCGGCATGTAGTACCACATGCTGAGGATCAGGCGGTCCCGGCGACAGTCTCGAAGCACGACTTTGCGGCGCGCGTAAGCCAGAAAGTCGGTCACGTTGGGCCGAGCTGATTGGTCCAGCTCGGCGCGGTTCGCTGCAATGTCTAGCTGGTCGATGTATTGGATGAACCGTGGACTGTCCGACACTAAATCACACGCCCGTTCTTGTAATGCAGTGCTTCTCTTGAACGTCTCGCGATGCTGCGGCATCAGGATCCGCAGGTTACGCACACAGGCGGAGCAAACGTTGAATTTTGGGAGGTACATGCCCGTCTCAGGGTCGATGATCCGGTACCAGTATTGTTCGCTGATGGTGCGTCCGGAACAAGGCTTGCTTCCGGGAGGTGGACGAGTGACCTGGTCGAGTATGTCGAGAGTCTCGTACTGCTTCTTGATCGTCTGCATCCAGGCCAGTCGCGTCCAAGGTTCACTGAACGAGCAACGGACTTCCAGACCGCGCGGTTTGGGCGCAGCCGCGATGAACAAATCGCGGAATCTGGAGTTGCGCATCTGGTTCACGCACGACGGGCAGATGTCCAGGTGGGTCATCCCCTTGATTGTGGACCAGTCTTGATGGCCTGTCATAGAAACAGACCTGGGACAAGGTAGAAGACAGGGACTGGGACCTTCGGGAGAGGATTGGCGCACAGCTTCTTTGGAGGGACTTGTCCGTCTACCGGATCTGGATCGCTGGAGTGGTTGTTGTCCGTCGTCTAAAAATGATACTGTCCGTTTGGCCGCCGGCTGAGCTGATGTAGCCGAGGTGGTATCAGTTGTCGCTGCGGAGAATGAAGCAGAGAATGGATTGTTCTCCGGAACAAGGCCACGAGGGATTGGCTTTGACGCGGATGATGAAGCTCTAGAGCGAGATTGAGAAGTTGACCAAGCAGTCGACCTCGGTGGAATGGTGCTCTGATGAATCACGGGAGGCTCAATGGGCCGATCGTTCCCTGAATGCTGGGTGGAAGGAAGCGTCTCGCCTTGCAAATAGGCACCCGACTCTCGAAGCTTCTGTCGGTGTCTCAGTTTTTCCTCCAACCTTTCAGCCAGATCTGACATGTTCGATGGTCCTCCAGTAGGTTTCGGATTTGCCTGCGAAACCGGTTTCTTCTCGCGCAATGGATGCGCATTCGTCGTGGCCGAACCAGAGACATAGCCGGTCGTTGAAACGGATCTTTGAGTTTGAGTCTCCAAACGTTCGGTAGGACGTCCATCTCTTACGCTACCAGAGCGTCGAGGAAGGACAGGGGCGGTGGTCGCATCTGGCGTTGCGACAGGGGCTTGGGCACGCCGCGCCGATGGTTTCCGGGTGGCGTCTTGGGAAGTGACTCGACTCAGACCTGTTCGATGGTAGCTCTTCGACCCATTCACAATCTGAACGCTGGGGGCCGGATGGCGAGATGACGATCTCTGACGACTTTGGTCTGCAGGCTGTTGCTGCTTTCTATACGACGGGGCTCTGGATACCCTCTCCTTGACCGGCAAGGGATTCGGCGCAATAGGCCTTTTAGACAGTTCATCAAGAGAGTCATCCACGACATGGAGCACAGGATCCTGAGGGAAAACCGGGGGCGGCGTCGCCGGTCCTGGGCTATCCTCTGAGGAACTGTCCCGGCGGCCAGCGTCATCCCGACCATTTTCATCGGCATTAGAGGCTTGGGAGAAAGGCACATCCTGGATCACCGGGTACTGGTCAATGGTTCCTCGGGCACAGACACCTTCGACTCCGGGGTTTTCTCCCAACATGGATAGTCCGTGGAGTTCCCGAGAGAGTGACTCGGTTTCGCTTTCCACCACGGGAGATGGTGGCCATTGGGACCGTTTGCGTCCGAAGAAAGGCATCCTGGGCCACGATAGTCGTGTGGTAGACTTGAGATGAAGCACAATGTGATCTCAAATGATGTTGAAAGACCAAACAGTGAAGCAAATAAAAGTTATCCTGTGGTGATGGCACGGTTGATTAGGTCTCCTTCCTTGACGGCGGTTTGCATGGTATGGCAGCCGAAGAACAATGTCGAACTCACTCGGAGTCGGTAACGCGTTGGCAAGGCTGAGGGAAGTACAGAAGGGTAGATGGGGCAATTGGACTGTAAATGCAAGTGAACAAAGGGATCAGTAACGCCGCAAGTGGAAGATGCTGGGACGTAAAAAGTCCTTGATCGTGGTATACAAGATTAATGGTACAGAAACACTTTTGTCGGCCTTGTCTATGGGAGAGCAAAGAGAGAAGAGTCTTGACGACCAGCGTCAGGAGGGAGAAGTATATAAATCCAGCCGAGGAGCTGGTTGGGCAGCGTGTTCCATCATGGCGGCCCTATCAGCGCACCCACTCGTTGGATTGGGCGGTAATAGGCAACGAATCGCTCCCATGCAGGAATGCTAAAAACCCTCGCAGCCAGACACAAAGCGCTGGCAGGAGAACGAGTGGTGAATGCGCTGAACATGTCAACAGGCACCGAAACGTGATGACGCCTGGCTGTGGCAATCGCATGCTGCATGGCTGCGAGCCTGCGACTCCTGCGCCAGGGGGGGGGGAACCTAGGGCAGTTGTTGGCGGCCAATCCGACCTGGTGCTAGTGTCGGACGAGGGACCAAGGGGCGAATCATTGTATGCTCACAAAGAGAAGGCTGTGGTGGAGAGAGCCTTGCAGATGGGAGAGCGCCACATACTGGGGGCTATGGGGCAGTCTGGCAGACAGTTCACAGTTGTTCATGTTTTCCCATCGAGACGTAGAAAACTCGGGGCGATGGATGACCATTTGGACTTCCTACCTGTCCGTTCATTGGTCTCTGCATGTTCTCGGAGGAAGAATATCGCAAGGTAGGGCGTCTGATGCCGATCCCTTAATTTGATGCCGTACTCGCCGTGAAACTGTCAACAATGGGGCTAGGCGAAATGACGCTGTTTGTGTCACCTAAAGAGTGGCAAGCCCATTGCTTTTCCATCGAAGAATGCAAATAAATGGTTTGACAAAAGGAGTAAAAGTGATGCTATCGCAGGATCGCGATGATGATGGGTTGCGGATTGGTGGAAGACGAGGTTGTGATGCGGATGACTGTTCTTCTACTTGAGCTGGACAACGCATCGCCATCACTCCGACTGTCCCGAGTTCATTCATAGTCTTTCTTTCTTTTCTTTCTTTCTTTGCTGAATCCCTTCCAATTGTTAACAATTCAGTGCTGTCTACATAGTTTGAGTCACTATGTTACTTTGTGATCCCTCGCTTTTTGAATCGTTGAACCTGACATGTGGATATATCTCTATCGACGGTGACGGACAACGACCTCATCCTGCGTCTTCTTTCCCCATTAACCACGTTTATACTCACTTCTAGGGGATCTCAATCCTGACTCCTCCTCTGCCCCGTCGGGACAATTGTAGCGTCCATGGAGCAGCCATTTACTACAGTTCCATCGTATCCGACAGGACACGGATAGCATCCGGTGGCGTCATTCTCAAGAGGAACTCGTTTGATCGAAGACATGGCAAGCAAATGAGGACATTCCCTCAGATGGTATCACTCGAATGAGCAAAACGGGCCTTTATCTAAGCTGCACCTTCTTCTTCTCCTCCTCCCACCTCCCCACGGCCTCTGAACGACGTCCGGATGAGATCCGGGTTATGGCATACATCGCACATGAAGCCGAAGTGGGGGAGATTGCGGGGAACGTCCTTTTGGTGAAGATGAATGAATAGACAAACATTCAACACAGAGAGAGAGAGAGAGAGAGAGAGAGAGAGAGAGAGAGAGAGAGAGACAGATAGATAGACAGGAGTAAACTAACAATGGACTGATTTTATCGCAAAGTGTCGCTGCTGACAAATGCTTCTTTCTTCTGTAAACAAGATAGAACTCTACAGAATCCTTTTCTACTCCCATATTTATTCTACTTCTCTAACGAATAATGCATCGTCTCCCTCAAGCCTTCGCCCGCATCTATCATCCCCTCCTCCCTACAACAGCCACCACAATTAGATCTCCAAGCTTCGTCCGTGTTTCCGCTGTCCGCTCCCATTTTCTCTCCCCCTCCTCTCCAGCGCGCACCATGTCCCTCCCAAGCACAATGAACGCCGTCGTGATCGAAAAGACCGGCGGCCCCGAGGTCCTCGATTTCAGAACAGACCACCCCGTCCCTACCCCGCAGGCGGGCGAACTCCTCATCAAAAACAACATCTCCGGCATCAACTTCATCGACACGTACTTCCGCACGGGTCTCTACCCGGCCCCCAAGCCCGAAGTCCTCGGCCGCGAAGGTGCAGGCGCCATCGTCGCCCTGGGTCCCGGCCCTAATCCCTACAACTTCCAAGTCGGCGACCGCGTCGCCTGGCTCAGCACCAGCGGCTATGCGCAGTACACTGCCGTCCCCGCCGCCAAGGCCGTCAAGATCCCCGATGGCATCTCGGACGAGGATGTCATGGCGTCGTTCCTGAGCGGCTTGACCGTACTCTCCCTGGTCAAGGAGACGTATGCCGTGCAGAAGGGTGATTGGGTGCTGGTGCATGCTGCCGCCGGTGGCGCGGGCTTCCTCATGACCCAGGTTCTGAAGAGCATCGGCGCTCATGTCATTGGGACTGCAGGCGGCCCGGAGAAGGTCGCGCTGGTCAAGGGCTTGGGTGCGGACCATGTCATCGACTATCGCAGCGAGGAGGGGAAGAACTGGGTGGAGAAGGTCAAGGAGATTACCGGCGGCCGCGGGGTGGATGTCGTCTACGACTCGGTGGGTAAGGATACCTGGGAGGGCAGTCTGGAGGCTGTTAAGAGGAAGGGCACGATTGTCTGGTTTGGCAATGCCAGTGGGCCGGTTCCCCCTCTGCCTTTGACGTAAGTGATCTCTCTCTCTCTCTCTCTCTCTCCCTCTTTCTGATGGATATCTATCCCTGTACATCTGACTGACTGGGGTTTAGTAAAATCTCCCCCAAATGTGTCAAGGTGGCTCGTCCGACCCTCTTCGGCTACATTGAAACCCGCGAGGAATTCGAGTTCTACGTCAATGAGCTGTTCAACCAACTAAAGTCCGGCCAGCTCAAGGCCAGAATCCACAAGGTCTACCCTCTGGAGCAGGTCCGACAGGCCCATACCGACCTTGAGGGACGAAAGACGACTGGAAAGTCCCTGTTGAAGCCCTAGTTGGCTCTGTTAGGATGAAGTTGAGCCGCTTTCTCAATGAAAATAAAAAATATTGATGATCTACGTCCCAATATCTATCGTAACTTTGATATGTCTTTTTTTTCCCCCCATTAGCGTAAACGCCTGCACATGAACGGATTAGGGTATCGAACCCGAGTTACAGAACCTCTTCGACTGGCTTCCCGTTTCCAATTTCCTCCTTAGAAGGCTGACCTTCGTCCTCATCAGTCTCGTCTTCCTCCTCTCCACCTATTTCATGCAGGGTCTTGGGCTCCTTCCACCCAATCATAAGATCATTGCACAGAACCGTATAGATGGAGCAGTAGGTATTCAAGATCTCGTCAAAATAATGAACCCCGCAATTGAGCTCCCAGACCGACGTCAACACCTTCATCCCGGGATAGCACAGCCGCAGTAGGTTCTCCTCAAGGAAGAACTCGAACTCCCCGGCTGGCGCAGGCCCTTGCACCCATTCTCCTCTCTCGTCCGGGCTGAGGTCGATCTCAGGCTTGCCGGGGTCACGATACACCTTCCCAAGAAGTCTTCCAATGGGGTGCAGATCGCCAGCATGCACCTGGTAGAACTCCTTCGTCTCGGCGTCAGGAAAGATGATGTCAGTGACTTCGAAGCCATCGATGTCTTCGACGCGCATCGCGCGCAGCGCGTTTCCGTTCGCCAGCTCCTGGAACTTGAACGCTTGTCTGTCCGTGCCGGCGCCTGCGAGGGCAAACTTGACCACCTTGCGGGCGACCTCGTTGGTCATGCGAACGGTATCGTCTTTGCTGTTGCTCCACTGGTCGTCTTCAACGTAGTGGTCGTAGAAGACGCCGCCGAAGAGGGTGGAGCAGGCGGTGTTGAAGTCGCCAGGGCCCTTGGATGTGAACTGCTGGTTCTTCCAGAGCTCCTGGGTGGCGATGTCGCAGGAGGTTCGCGCCGCGTCGATGTTATCTTTGTATTCGGGGACGACGTCGTGGTAGAGAAGGTACGAGAGGAAGTTCCGAATCGTGACCGTGGCGAGCTTGACCATATCATCATTCTCCGGGTTGAAGTAGAATGGGAAGTAGGATGTTCTGTGCTCAACTGTCAGTCACCGTTCATCAAGCATGTCGTGTTTATGGGTTCGATGATGAGGCTCACAGATATCCCTTGACCACGGCATTGAAATCGATCGTCAGATCAGACCGCTCCTGCGCGATGCTGGTCTGTCCTCTGGCAAGAAGGATCTGTTCGCTGTCCAGTCCATTGAGCTCACGCTGGTCCAATCCCGAGAACATTTTTGGGCCGATGTCTACGCCTCCGTACTGCAGATACTTCAGAAAAACTTCCCTTCTCTCGGATTCGATACGGCGGTTCTTTTGGTATCGGAGAATAGCGTCTTCCATCCGACTGTAGCCGTTAGCTGCATGTACGGACATCGACAACTGGCGTGCAAGACTCACTGAATGATAGGTCGTGAGCTACATCGGTTATCCTGTGTATCAGCCTGACCCTCTGCAGCTACAAGAGTATATCACATACACATCGTAGATCTCTTGCTCATTCGCGTACTCTTCTGGCGTGATGGGGGCATCAACGTAGTATTCTTCGAACCCCGTGGGCTTATTCTAGAAACGGTGAGTTTCAATTCAAGCCATTTAAGGTGGGAGACTACCTTTCCACGTTTGCTCTTCGGTCTGTTGCTTCGTTTCTTCTTCTTCTTCTTCTTCTTCTTCTTTGCCTCCGCCCAGTCGATAGTAACACATTCTGGCTCTGCGTGATTGTCTTCCGCTTCTGACTGCTCAGCGTGAGACTCAGTGGGCTTGTTATCCTGACCAGCGCTCTCAGAAGACGCCATATCAGGCTCTAAATCTGGGTGGATATCCTGAGTGGTCCTGACGGGAAGCTCTTGACAAGAGCCCGAAGAGAGAGCGTCCATCCTTACGAAAGTGAAGAAGGGGGTGTTGATGTGGTAGAGTCAGGGAAGTAGTGACAACCAGGTGTGAGGGATGGGGAAGGAGATGGAAGTAGGCGGTAGAAAGGTTGATCAGTGATGAGTGAATGTTGATTCAATAATAGATCAAGACTGAGTGCTCCTGAGAAATGCAGAAGGCGGATTTCAAAGTCATGGATGGCTCTTGACTCTCATCTTGGGACTCTGTTTGTCTTTGCTCTATCTCATCAGCAAACGGCGCATGTTTCAAACTTGGTTGTTTCTCAATTTCCTCAGACAGTCCTTCCAGGGTAGAGCCCAAAGTTCAAGGTGCTTAGAATAGGAGGCATTCTTTCCCTCATATTGGAATCACCTGAGAGATATCGAAGATGTATGAGAACAACTCGATACATGCTGAATATATATCACAGACTCTGATACCCTGAACCAAGTGCAATTGATGTTAACGCTTATTTCTAAGAATCTATGACAATCAGCATGGAAGCTAAGGTTAATTGATGATTGAAATGGCTGTTATATGGTACACCCAAAGATGGTCAATATGATGCCATCCAAAGTTCCCACGACCCATAAAGACGGCCCGCCAATTATTCTCAACCGGAAATCCACAACCGCCGATCATGGTGATAGATTGATTATCTCTTTATCTCTCTCGATCGTCTTGAGCGATGCGCTGACCAGTTGACACCCGACAGAGGTGTTTCCTTGCATTCATCTTTTCTGCATCATGTCCATCCCAAGTCCATCTCACTTCTGAAATCAGTGCACAGTTTCGTCTCTCCTATATCGCTCCTTATCGCCAGTTGTTTTGTCTCCTTTTCCAGCTGATGTTGACTTACCCCTCATTCTTGGACTGTGCTCCGATCAGAAATAGCTCCATCTTACGGAAGGAAAATATAGGTGCGACTGATTACGCTCAATTATAGCAACACAAGACTGCTATCTGCCCTGTGAACAAAATGCCATCTCCACGGTCTGGCAGTGCGAAAGCACCCAAGCTCGACAGCGAGAGCTTTGTCGACTTTGACCACGCCGCTGCTGGACAGTAAGTTCTTCCAAAACAACTCTCGAGAATGCTCATATGGGAATTGGGAGAAGAAAAAAAAAAAAAAAGACATTGTTAACCTAATATGTGCTTCTTAAGTGACGGCGTCCGTTGCACACCCTCCGGCTCCTTCATCGCGAAGCCTTGCACGCCCGCGGAAGTCGCGTTCTACGAATCCAGCGCGCTCCACCCCGCTTTCAGAGAGTTTATGCCCACTTATATAGGCACCTTATCCTCAGCGGATCAGCAAGAGCCTCTCGTGGTAGCTGCGCAGCAGAGCGGCGCCATTGCCCTGCCTCCATCTGATGGCTCGTCATCATCAGCTACTCCGACCACCGGTGCGAACTCCGACTCGGAATCCAAAGCTGCCGAGAAGGAAGAAACATGGGTCCCTTCTGGCGGGAAAAAGCTCGAAACTGGGATATCAATCGTGCTGGAAAATATCGCTTCCGGATTCAAGAGACCAAATGTTCTGGACGTGAAGCTAGGCGCCCAACTCTGGGCGGATGACGCTCCTGTGTCCAAGCGCGCCAAGTTGGACGCCGTGGCTAGCGAGACGACGAGTGGAAGTCTCGGCTTCCGTATCGCCGGTATGAAGGTATGGACTGGCGTTAACGGCGCAACCGACGAGGGTAGCAAGACCAACCCCTACGCGACCAAGCACGAGGGTTCTGAGGGTGCCAAAGGTGAAGTGATCGAGAAAAACGGCTACAGACGCTACGATAAATGGTATGGACGGTCTTTTAATGAGGACAGTGTCAAAGAAGGCTTTGAGACCTTCCTTGCGGGCGCGAAGGCTGGTGCTGTCGATCGGTCGAAAATGATTGCCAAGCGACTGGCAGATGAACTGACTCGCGTGCAACTCATTCTCGAGTCCGAAGAGAGCAGGATGTATTCCGCTAGTGTGCTGATCGTCTACGAAGGCGATCCGGAAGCGATTGAGCTTGCGTTGGAGGAAGAGAAGAAGCCCAAGGAGGTTTCTCCAGAAGAGTCTGAGGAGGAAGAAGAAGAAGACTTCGAGTTGTCCATTCAACAGGATGGTTCCTTCGAAATCGTCGATGTCCAGATTGGGCAGGATGGTCTACCGCGGCAGGCGATCAATATCAATGTCGACGCAGAGACAGCGCTGGTGGAAGAGATTGACCTTGAAGAAGAGGAAGAGGAGGACCCTCCGAAGGTGCACGACCTTCGCTTGATCGACTTTGCGCATGCCAGCTGGACGCCCGGTCAGGGACCAGATGAGAACGTCCTGAAGGGAATCCGGAGCCTGATCAGGATTCTCGAGCAGCTTGCTGCGGAATAAACGTCTATTCTAGTGTTTAATTACTCAATCTCCTGCATCCAACAGTCGCTGGCGGCTTGTTGGAAAGGGGTCGTGCCATCTAGCCGATATCACTATATACTAAGATATTCTGCTTGGAGAGAAATACAATATATCAAACTACCTGGTTAGAAAAGAAGCGAAAATCTGAGAACAGCTGCATACTCTCATTGAGGCCATTCCATATCTTGTCGTGTCCTCCACCTACTGTGTATATCAGAATCCCCAAGGATACCCGCTTACATAATCCAACATCCGAAAAGCGTCAATTTGTAGATTCCCGGACTTGCAGTTCCTCAAGTCTGAAGCAGTGCCAACCGACAAGATGTTTCCTACTCGTGCTCTACTGGCGCGCTCCGTGTGGAAGGGTAAGCTTTGACCGTTGTATCCGTGAAACTTCTCCAGACCCTGGACGAACTGAATGGCTAACTCGCGATTCTCGAATCACCGCAGGCCCGAATATCGTCCCGTATGTGCAATCCCTCGCTCTCTACCTGATCTCTCTTCGCCTCAAATCACATAGAAACCATATCGGAGAAAGGATCATCACAGCCCAAGCCTGATAGCTAACGCTTCTATGTCCTTCTCAGTCTCCCCCTCCCCCGGAAACTGCCCGCTCCCCCCGGTACACCCCCAATCAAGACACAGAAGCGCGCAGCAACCATCCTGCCCAACTTCGTGGGCTTGCGGTTCGCGGTGCACAACGGGAAGACATACCAGGATGTTTTGATCACGGAGGACATGGTAGGGAGGAAGCTGGGGGAATATGTCCCGTACGTGAGACCCTGAGAACCCTGACTTTTCTGCTCTGGAAAGTGGTGTATGGCATAGCTGACAGGCTGGAATTGGATAGGACTCGCAAGCGCTTCACGTACAAGCAGTCGAAGAACAAATAGTCGATTTCGTCTTTCTCTCTCTCTCTCTCTCTCTCTCTCTCTTTTTTCCCCCCCACCCTTGCTTCCGATACCTTGCGCCGGTTCTTCTCTCTGGTGAACCATTACGATGGGATGGGGGTCGAGCCGTGCTTCGTCTAGCGGGATTCTCTGTGAGATACGGATCGAGTATTCTAGCGAGTCTGAGATGGCTTGGGAGATCTCAGCTGGGAATACGGCGCTGTCTCTGCTGACGCTCTCCCATCCGAGTGTTGCAGGGAGGTGTATATCTACGAAGAGTGTATGTAAAAACAGCTGTTACTGCGCACTGGAGTTCTTTGGGTATTATTGTCAGAATCAACATTTCTATTTTCTTTGGATATGAAGATACGTTAATCGAGTGTCTGGTGCAATGGTATGAAATCCAGTAAATCTGTTTGTCCTGCCTCCCAAAACGCCCGTGTAGAAAACCCTCAATGACGCAGAAAAAAATCTTTTGAATACCCCCGAATGCACAATATCCATCGTCCATGGGCCTGTATGTACGCCAAATAAGTCAAATGAAACCCCCCTTCCGGAAAGCAGCCGCCTTAATCCCATCGGTAATGGCGAACGCATCGTCAAAAGAATCCCGTCATTCAATCCAGCTTGAAGAGCGCGCCTTGTCGAAGACATATGGCAGTGTTCTTCTCCCACGGCGATGCAGACGTTCGACAACACAAGTCAATAATCCGACCCGCTCTCTCTACCGGTAAAACTCCCCTCTCTTGACGCTCACTCCATACTCCGACACTGCCATGCCCAGATCTTCCATGGTGAGTACTGTGCGACCTTGGCCAGAGCCACCGGAGCCACCACCGCCAAAACCAGGGCGCTGGATACCCAGATGCGTGCTCGCTTTGCCTTTGCCCGCGTCGCCGCCGGAGACGCCTCCCGCACCACCTGCGGCGCCAGCGCCAGCAGCACCGGCGGGGACGTTAAGACCCGAGGCGGCGTTGAGACTGCCCATGGGGTTGTTGGCGGAGGAGCTGTTCGAGGCGCGGATGCGTGCATACTGATATGAATCCGCAGCGATGTCGGCGATGAACTTCTGTGTCGCTAGGGCGAGTAGTCGGGCGAGATGTGGGGGAGTTTGATTCGGTCCGTTTCCTGGGGGCGGTAGACCGGCGAGCGTGAGGTAGTGGGCTGTGACGGCGTCTGGGATCTGGTTCATGTTAACCTTTGCTCTTGTGCGTGTCCTTGATGATCGCACTAGACGAAGATCGACTTTCCATCAAGTGAAGGGATAATGTGGATATAGCAAAACCATAGAAGGTGAAAAAAAGAGGGGACCTACAATAGGCGCATATTCGTCCATCTTCCCCAAAAACTCGCGCAAACTCGTCTCCTTCTTCGACGGTGCCACCGCGGCCGCTATGGCATCGACGGACGTAGGAAGTGCATCCTGGGCAGAGCCTCCAGGCGCGACCGTGTTCTCTCCCTCGTTTGCGCCCCCGGTATTGGCCATCTCGATATCCTGCTCGATAGAAACGTCGAGGGCTGTGCCGTCTGTCGTGTCTGGTTCGCGTTTCAGTACCACTGCAGGTTCGGCAGATGCCGACAGCCCTCCCGCAGGTAATGTGGATGTTGATAACGGCGGTGGGAGCTCGTGTGACTGTGAAGTGATCTGAGATGAGGCTGGTGGTTGCGACGATGGCGGCACAGGAGGCTGTGAGGATGATGACGATGAGTCGGCCATGGTGCCAGGTCAGGGATGTATGGCCGTAGCTAAAGAGCCGATAGTGAATGGGCAGATGACCCCTGTTGGACGAATAGGCGAATTATTGGACAAGATTGCTCGAGGTGGTCTGGTCTTTCTAGGGCGTGTACAACGAATCGACTAATGCATGTGTTGGTGATGCAGCAACGGAGAATGTCCCATGTTCGGCCCGATGTGCTTACCACGCCTTCTCCCGACTACTGACGTGAAGAGGGTCAAGGCTCAAGAGAGAAACAAAAAAGGAAGATCAAATTTGATAGATGGTCCAGATGATGATTCGAATTCTTATATTTACAATTTCTCTTGACAGATACACAGCCTGGATGAATAATCGTAGTATTACAGAATGACCGACCCCATGTTTGCCCGCGCTGTCCAGCGAATACCGTCTTCCTCGCTGATAGACGAACACCAGGTACTTCTCTCATGAGACGAATCGCTTAGAGGAACAGATGAATACCCCTGTGCTCGCAACAAATCCTTTTTTTTTTTCCCCCTTTTTTTCCCCGGTGGGTTGTATCGATATCGGATGGGACATCTACTGTCCCAGATGCATGCTGGGATCAACATTGCTTTGCTGATGTTGGGGCTGTCCGAACTGAGCACCATGAACTTCTTGACCCAATGTCTGCATCAGGTTTTGTTCTGCGGTTTGATCAAACGTGGAATGACCCCCAGCATCGGGAGGGAGGCCCGGTGATGCAGACATGGCATCGTGCCCATGCCCGAGAGCAACTGGCTGCGAATGAGCCCCAGCCAAGGCCATCATCCCTTTGATTCCTTCCACATGAGCTTTATCCTCTTCCCCTTGTTTCTTCTGTCGCTCGCGCGCCTCACGTTTGGCAGCCTGGGCAGGCGCACGTGTTTTGAGCTCTCCGGTGACGAATTTGAGGTAATAAGGAACTTCTATCCCACTTTTGAGGAAGAACAGTTTCAGGTTGCGGGCCTTGTCTTTGAGCTGCACTTGATTGCGGTCCTTCAAGGCCTCGCTAATGGTACCTCCAGGACCAAACATTGCAAGAATCTGGCTCCAATGGGGACCTTTGACGCGGTCCAGCCCAGCCATCAAAGCATTCTCTTCTTCAGTTGTCCAGGGTCGACGTTGACTCGGCAGGCCGGACTTGCGACTGCTCGGAGACGATTTTGCAGAGGCTGCCATACGAGCGCGCTCATATAGTACCTGGGTGGGTTGAGATTGCGAGTAGTGAGGGATCCCGGGCATGTAACCATGATTGGCCGATTGACCGTTGGGTCTTCCCTGCAAGAGGGGCGCGGCAGGGTTGTACTGCTGGAAATTTGCTTGTAAAGGACTCTGCTGGAACGTGAGCTGTTGCCCCGGTTGTTGTTGATATCCTGGAGGTGCAGGACTATGCTGATAATGCTGTTGATGTAGGTTCTGTTGAGGTGGCATATGTCCTGTAGGTTGCGCAGCGGTGTAGCCAGGCGGCGCTTGCCCGTGTTGAGACCCCTGTTGCGGCATTTGCTGCTGCTGCATATGTTGCTGGGGTTGTTGAACAGAATTCTGATGCTGTGGCTGCGGCTGTCCTGGTTGCTGGGCGACTTGCTGATGCTGATGTTGATGCTGCTGCTGCTGCTGATGTTGCGGATGCTGTGGCTGTGGCTGTGGCTGTTGGTGTTGTGGTTGTTGGTGCTGTTGTTGTTGCTGCTGCTGCTGCTGAGACTGTTGCTGAGAGCGCCTTAAGCCATGACCCTGTAACGCAATTTGCGCAGCACGAGCAGCACGAGCTACCAGATCACCGTGCATGTTCTTGTCCACAGGGACTTCGGGGGCCTGTGTAGCAACAGGGAATTGACCTTGAAGAGGCGCATTGGGCGGATCCTGTGAGTCTCCACTTGACGAAGATGGCTGTCGTCCCTTGTTGATTTTCTTAGTCTGAATCAGTATTAGCAAGACCAGGGTTGATCGGCTAGCACGCAATTACTGACCTGTTGATGGCAGATGGCATCGAAATTCTTCGTGATGTAGGAACTTAGATCACGAAGAAAGTCTTCCCAGTGATACTTATCCGGCAGGGCTTTCATCGCTTCCTCGTTGTTGACCTCATTCAAAAGAATGTCCCGGCGCGAGCCAGCGCGTTTGACAAAATCAGCCTCGCTCGGCGCGAGTTGGCGGGTCCCCGGCCGTCTGTCAAGTAATCGTTGCTCCAGATCATCTGGAAAGAGGTCATACAGCAGCTCTGTCCTTGTTCTCTCCGTATTGTTCATCGAGGCGATAAACGCTTGTGTCTTGAGCTCGAGGAACAAAGCACCTTGTACCTTCAACAAACGACCCCCTTCAGGAACGAAAACATCTAGAAAGTGGTCGTTCAATTCAGCAAACCCAATCTCTTGTGTGCCGAAAATGCTTGATACGAATGAGGCTAGGTTAGCCTTTCGGATAATGTCGACTTGCGCAGGTTCCGTGAGATTGAGTTCTGTCGGAGAAAGAAAAGACTGTTTGGAAGAATAGACTTTCTTTGTGTGGTCAAATAAGGATCTCATGGTCGCATACGCCTGTCCATTCTCAGATTCCGGCTCGGAGACAAACGAGGTGATATCCTGGTACGTCGACTTTGCCAGGAGAGAGAGAATCTGGGTAGACTAGTTCAGGGATAAGTTAGCAAAGAGCTCCCCCCGGGCTACCCAAGGCACATTTAGAGATGATTCTTACCAGATTGTCAAGAATAGGCAGACTTTGAACTTTTAAGTGAGAGTTCGCCTTGACATAGACCAATCCCTTTTGCGCGGCTTGGTCCGGTGTAGTTGTAGTGGTGGTAGGAGCAGTCAGCTGCTGGTGGCCGATAGCGCATTGCTCCTCGACTCTCTCTGCGTGATTCATGATACTCGAAATGACAGAGGCCATGTCATCGAGATCCGAATTAGCTTCCGGTGCTCCAGGATTCCTCGCGGAGTCGACAATCTGGATCTGTCCGTCATGCTGTCGTTCCACAGTGTCCATGATGCCAGCACCTAGAGCGGATGATAATTCTTCTTCGATTTCGTGTCCTGGGACTTGGTCTGTGAATTCAGAGGTCGAGGGTGGAAGTAGTAATGTCTCCGACTCCGATTCGATACGTCGCTTCTTCGAGGCTCGAGGGGAGACGGATCCATCTTCGTCCTCATCACGAGGGCGAGACTCCTTCGAGGGAGCTATAAATGAAATTGAGTCAACACCAATTCTGCATTTCTGAGATAGGACTTGAAGAAAACATCGAAAGTGATCCGGGGATTGACAATGACTCCCGAATCATCTCCATCGGGACGGATAGACATGGTCGATAAGCCACCAGTAATACGTACCATCATCCTCCACTTTGAGTGCTGGAGATGCAGGAACCTCAGAGGAGACCTGATCATTAGAAGGGAACTCTGAACCTTGAGTATCGGCCATCTTGGACAAGTCAAGACCCCTAGGGATATAGTCCTGACTTCCAAGAGCAGAAATGAGGGCTTAGGGGTAGGGCGCAAGCGTAGGGCTTGGGAGGAGAAGTGAGACGGACAGACCGCGTGAGAGATTTTTCGCCGGCGTCCGGAGCAACCAGATCGGGCGAATCAGAGCCAGTCTACTACTCAACCACCACTACGGATAGAATATAGATAGATAGATAGATAGATAGGTAGCTAGACTAGTTCAGAAATAAAATGAGAGCTGTCTAGGTAGTCATGAGAGAAGTCAACCGAATTGAGAAATGTGTGAAGGAATTGGCTATCTCTCATCCCTCTTACAACAAAACATCCGTTGGTTCTGTTGATGCCTTAAGGTTGTCACAATCCCGTCTCATGACTGTTGTGACAGTTTCTGCCTTGATGCCTAAGGCAAACACAACCTTCATCCTACGTCTGTCGATTCTATTATTATTCATCTAACTGTGCCTCGAATCAAGTTGATCCTTGCTATAGTCTACCAGATCAACTCTCTTAGCAGCGAGTATTGCTGGATCCTCACTCATTGCAGCGCCGGGGACCTTGACTAACCGAAAACCGATTTTGACGAGGTAGTTAGTGTTCATGGTTGCTTCGGTGGGGATGCTACCTACCATTACTCTTCTGTGTTCACGTCATTGACCATCAAGTCTACCATGTCACTTGAGTTGCAACAGACTGACACCTTGATTCTGCTTAGATCAACGAGGTACTCTTCTGTCACAGAAATGTGGTATCTCGTTACGACCCATCCCGCCATGCCATAGGGAGAGAAGTGATGATCTTGAAGCTCAAAGCAACGGACCTACAACCCCGAACAAATACAAGGATTTGTCTGGGGCGCAAATCTTTTCGGAAAGTGCTTTGGTGCTCGGTCATTCAGATACCACCTACCTCTCCTATGAATCACCCATCAGACTGCAAGGATACAGAAGATGAGTAAACTCTGGGAGAGGACCATGGCACATGTAACCTCAAACCCTTCATTTACAGGTACTACTGCGGTAGCTTAAGCAGGAGTTTGGCTCTAGTGTTGATGCAAGATTTCCCACACTGTCACTTCCAATCAAGCATTCTGAATGGCCGATGGATCTAGCAAAGGTCCAGGCGCCTCCAGGATGGAATCTTCCCTGGTACCTTTGATCTTAGACATGATGCTTCCGGAATCATGCGGGGCTTACTACACAGTTTGACTCCGTCTTAAGGACAGCGAGTCTAGGTTGATAATAAATACTTATGTCGTCTTCTTCTCTGGCTGGAAAGGCGAATCCGGAGTCTCGTACTTGTAACGAGCATTGCCATTTTCTGGGTGACTGGCCAGTCGATCAGGGTTCCTTATATTGATCCTTGAGCTCCTTACTCGCGAAACAGCCATGCTGATTTCTGCAAAGCAATATCTTGCCCTGGCAGCGGCGCTGCAGATGTCTGCCGGGGCATCGGCTCAAAATCTCAAGGAGCAAGTTTGGTCAATATTTGCTTACAATCTCCATGGAGATAGTATTCCAATTGCTCTGCCACGTCCACGAGCCTTGACCCCATATGGCGCCAATGACATGTACTCCGCAGGAGGCGCTTTTCGGAACCGATATGTTGCCGTTCACAATGATGAGGGCAATGCGAGCACGAGGATACCAAGCTTGTCGCCATATCTACTGGAAAGCGAAGAGGTTTCTATTCTTTCATCTACAGACCAGCCAGCTGTTGCATCCGCGCAAGCTTTTATGCAAGGACTATACCCGCCTCTTAAGAAAACGTACAATGGAAATTACTTCGACCCTTCATTTCAGCTAGCGAATGGCTCGATGTCCACTGCTCCTATGAACGGATATCAATACGCCCAAGTGCTCACCTTGAGCCCCGCGGATCCTCGATCCATCTTGTTGGACGGCCAAGCCGAATGTACGCTACACCAAGTTGCTGATTCAGAGTATCAATTCAGCCTTGAGGTAGAGGACATGAATCAGAAGTCAGAAGCATTCTATGGCCGACTGCATAGCCAGGCATTGAGGGGAATCTTTGACCTTTCCTCAGCGAAATATTCAAACGCCAACTCGATATCGGAGTTCCTTCAGTATCAATTGTTGCACAACAAGACCCTGTTACATCATCTGAACCGAGAAGATATAGAGCTTGCACGATGGTACGCAGATCACTATGTGTATGCGACGAACGGCCATACTTCTTCGCCCGGGGTCATTGGATCCAACAAAATTCGCACAATTGCGGGTAGGACACTGGCTTCATATGTCCTGGAGGCTTTTGATCGGAATATCGAATATCGGGGCGTCAATGACAAAATGACTTTTCTCTTTGGCGCCTCTGAGCCCGCCGTCGCTCTTGCTTCGCTCATGCAGGTCGCCTCCTCGAACCAGGAGATGTTCTACCCACGCCCGAACCTTGGAGCGTCACTTGTCTTCGAATTGTATAGCCTTGAAAGTGAGGCATATCCAACATATCCCGAACCATCTCAACTATACGTTCGATTCTTGCTTCGTAATGGGACAGATTCAGCTGCCGAGTTCCAGTCGTATCCTCTCTTTGGACACGGCCCTAGCAACGATGCGATACCGTATTCTGATTTTCGCGCGCAGATGAAGAAGTTTTCGCTTGGTTCGATCAAACAGTGGTGCATCGAATGCAGCTCGTCGGCTGTGTTTTGTTCAGGTGTGGTGGATCAGGTCAAAAAGACGCCTGCCTCAAACAAAGGTCTCAATCCTGCTGTTGCTGGTGTCATTGGAGCCGTGATAACTGTTGTCACCCTGGCGCTCATAGCTATTGTTGTTTTCCTCGTCTTCGGTATGCGAATGAAACGGGTGCACAGATCCGGCCTTGGAGGCTTCAAGGGTAGCAACAAAATGGCAAGCGACTCGGATGTCACCTTCAAGAATACAACACGTGAGGACGTAAAGACAGCGGAGGATTCTCATAATGGCATTTCGGGAGTCAGTGGAGCCGTGGTTCGTGGGCATGAACGAACTGGAAGCTGGGAGATGAGAGACCAGCAGGAGGGTGCATTAGCCACTTCTACTGGTGGTCAAGAAACCGTATCTCCGTTCGAGAATGATCATGATGATATATGGAGAAGACACAGTATTCTGGAGCCCGTCAAGGCTCTTGAACACGTCTGAGATATATCGGCTTGTGCGTTCTAATATGGTGTTCCAGTCCGTCGAACCGTTTGTATCTTGATTTTTGTTCCTCCGATCTTAGAATAAAAGGCCCTCCGTATCTCATATCCTAAGTCTCCCTACCTGCTTAGAGAACCCGGAAGAACGACAAACTGTCATGTCTGTATGCGCGGCTCTTTCCTTAGAGAAGTACTTGCTCGTTGTGCTGAAGAATAGTGGTCTGGTCCACCTTCCAGATTCAGTCGCTCGTGTATACCTCAAATTCTCCTGAATCACTAGTATAAACTTCGATTTTAATGCTCCATCCCTCTTCACTACAAGGACATCATCCTTAATCTTATTTCTTTTTGCTAGTACCTTAGGCTTTCTCCTGTGCACCGATTCCGTTAACTAAAGAGATGATGAGATATGATATTCCAACTCTTCTGGCGTTGAGCCAAAATGCACACTTTGACATCAATCGCTTCAGTGCACAAGCCCTTGGCAGTATGTAGCTTCGTTTTTATCAGTGACTTAAGCTCTTTCCTACCGAAGCTAATCGTATCATGCCATCCAGATGACTTGCTCCGCCAGCACAAAGCAGAAAAGAGCGTTTTGTCTGAACGACCATTGAATCGGTCGAGGAACACTTCGAATATCTCTCATCAGAGCCACGAAACTCGCTCGTTCTCAGGGCCGCGTTTGCGTAACCCTTGTCGCCAGCCAAGTGACCCCCCACGAGGAGTTCTTGCCCAGGCCGATGCTGGATTCGCGCGATTCCTCAAGGAGCATGCATCGCCTAAGCACCAACGCGTCACCGCTGGAGGACGAATTGTTCCAATGGATAGACAAGAACCTCCTCCTCAGATGAAACTCCTGATTAATGAGAAACATCGGGATAAACTCTCTCCCTCGGTAGAGGGGAAGGGCAAAAGTAAAATGAAGGATAAACAAGCCGAGTCTGTGGACGTCAGTCGTCATACCAGTGATCACTCGGCACCTGCTCGGACTGGAGGAGTGCTCACATCCCACGCGAGATTATCGAGCATCAGTAGCAAGTTGGATTCACAAACTACAAATTCACAACCCATCCCCAATCTGCAGACAACCCTACTCAACCCTACAACATCCTTGCGGTCCAATGCGGCTCGCACATTTGGCAGCCATCAAGTTTCCGAAGGGACACAGCCAGTCCAGGAGAGCTATGCACCTGGGCCGTTTGATCAGATCATTTATCAGCTGGGTGGATATCCGCTTGTCTGGTTTCCAAGTATACAAGCGTTGAATTCGCAGGGCGCCATTCCTTCTTTCATGCCGTCTATATCACAGCTCCAGTCTTCCAGCCTGGGTACGCCATCCGAATTCACTTCAACTAGCAGTCTTTTTGGTGGAATCCCTTCAACTCTCGGTCAATCTTCCTCAATCCCAGACTTGTTTGTTTCTACTCCTGGACTGCACGAGTATCAATCTATTACCAACCATGTGATAACCCCCAATCAGCCACTGTTCTCTACGGCACCTTTCCTCGAAGCATCGCTGTGGAAGTCTTTGAATCAAGTCACGACTGACTATGCATCGCTGTCAACGCAACTCACAGGGCTCGACAGATATATGGCCATGCATACTTGGGATCTAGACCCCCGAGCCAAAAGGTCGCTAGTCGAGCAAAGAAAAAGTTTGGTCAGAGAGCTGGATGTAGTGCGGTCGTACAAAGAACAGTTGGAGACAACACTTGGGGTCTCAAATAGCTCCGGTGTCCAGAAGGGGACTAATCCAAGCCTCTCAGGCCCATCGAATACTCGTTTCCCAGGGGGGTTTGTAGCCAATGAATACTTTTCGGGACTGTCCGCCTCTTCCATGCAACATACGGCGTCTGGATATCCCCCTTCAATGCCGGTTAGCTCACTTGCGCAGCATTCATCACCCAGCCAGTCACTGAATCTGGGACTCAAGTGGCAAGCTAACCAAGTTATGGAAGCCTTTGGAGGAAGTCACCCGGCTACTCCTAGTCTGTGCAACAACTGGGACGACCCAAGACGATACAACCAAAGCTCAGACGCTGGGTTGAATTCGATCAAGTCTATCAGAATCTCTGCTGCCAATTCAACAGGACCAGCAATTGGAGAGAATGGGTGGATGCCTTCATCGGTAGCAGCACCCTTGGAGATCCGAGAAGTATACAACAGAATCGAGGATGCCACGAGAAAGGACAAACCCATTGACGACCTTCTCAGAGAGCTTTCTCAGGTGACGACACAACTCATGATGCACAATAGGCACAATCTCGATGGGCAAACTCATCGGACAATTTCATTGCTCGGCAAGCAGATGAATTCATTTGAGGGCGCTCGGAAGTCATTATCTACAGACCTAGTTCATGACACTGGTGTGCATGGACCAGTGGCGGGACACTGCAGAAGGCCGTGGGCGTCCGAACACCTCGCCCAAAAGCCTTCAATCAGGTTTCGCGGCACATCTCTTAACTCAGAAGAGGATTTTGACAGCGAATCAACGGCATCATTGGTGTCGACAACGGATTCGTGGGCCACTGTCCGCAGCGAAGGGTAAGTCAGTCTTAATCTCCATCGCTTTGTATCAAAAGGACGACACCACTCATTGAACCAGCAATGACAGGAAGTCACTCGACAGTGGCTTGGATCAGAAGGACCCTACGATATGCCAAGATAGGTAAAGAGACACCCAGAACAGCGGGTAGATACAAACTTACAATATATTGGAAACAGGAGCACACGCTCTCTCTATCCCAGTTTCGCTGCCGTGGTAGTCGGGACACCCACGTCCTATCCTCCGGGAACCAATGTTCCCGGGAACAAAAGTCATCGCGAAGCTACACAGGGATCTCATCTGTCTATCTCATCCATCGTCCGAGAAGGTTCCAGCGCACAATTGAGGATGGAAACCGGGAGGCAGGGAAATTCTCAACTGCTCACCCAGTACCTGAACAACGATCGCGGCTTGACTTTTCAGAAAGCCACTGCATTGGCAGTACCCCAAAATGTCAATGCCCATGCGGACCTACCCCCTTTCGATACCCTCGTGCATAGACCCCTTTTGAGCGTGGTTGGCCAAGTTGACGACAGATGGCGGATTCTAGCCCAACACTCGAAGTAGGGGGAGGGCATTGACGACGCTGCGGGTACCATTCGCATCAAAAGGGGTTGCATCATTGCAGCCTGTGAAAAATGCAAGGAGGAAGACACAAGTGACATCCAGGTATCGAACTAAGAAGTCAACTCGACTTTTCTTTGTTGTACTCGAGACCTTTCCATGGGCGGAGAGAACCCAGGGAAAGACAGCGATGGAAAGGGCTTCAGTCAAGGCTCAGGCAAGGAGCCGGGTGTTGCCGGTATTGGAGTGATGTATAACTGATTCTGTATAATTTACAGTGGTCTCCTTTTGCTTGCTTGAGCTTGTTAGGCTAGCATGATGAAGGATGCTAGGGTTTGGAACAGTCTATCAGTATGCTACAGTAAGTTGTCTTTTGTGCCTTGGCTTTGTGGCTTGCCTTGTTAGTGTTTTGAATATTTGTTAGGCCTTCAGAAGATGGAGATACTGTGTGGGTTCATTCTTCATGTACTCATGGTGGTGACAAGACCACAGGTACTACTCTTCAAGTATTTCATCACCATCGCTGGAACGCGAATTCCGTTTTCCTAGCACGAGAGTCCTCTAGCTTACTTACCAGTGGCACCAGTGCACCTTGCGTCTTAGAGGTTGCTTCAAGGGCCGCAAAGTTGATCCGTCGGTCTGGACCGTCCTTCCTCCTGCGCCGATGAACGCCGTCGTAGATTTAGCAAGGGGATACGGTCTGTACTTTCAATACCTAGATTGATCTGGGTTTTCCTCATTTCATCTGCGAGAGATCCTCGTCCAGGAAATAGATAATAGAAATAGAGGAATTCCAGCAGGAATCCGCGTCATCAGCATCATGAAACGCCTGTTGGATGGCGGGCTTGAGGCGGCAGGCAACAAGCGACATCATCTATGGCCAATCTGACGAGATGTGTACCTGTCCATCATAGCTCACCCATGGCAGGCTGAAAGTTTGGTGGATTCGTAGTCTGGATATCGATATCCATGGACTGAGGCGAGTCCATTGGGTTGTCTGATTGGTATGTCAGCGAATCTCCAGTGGCGAGAGAGAGATGGATTGCCGCAGTTAGGGAGGAAATTCTGGAAGCCCCCAGGCAGATTAGTTAGTGGTTAGTGAGGGCTTTTGTAGGCTTGAAGAGTCTTAAAAAGCAAGTGAGTCAGTTGAATTAGACGACATCTACTACTTTTCCTTTTCCCTCGGCAGTACGGAGTAGTATCTACTTACTACTCTCTACTCTGTAGGTGGAAGATAAACCCCATTGTCACTGTGCCAGTTGACTAAGCCCCGAAATCCATTTCCAACTTTCCCTCCACGTCTCCACTTCCACTTCAACTTCCACTTCTCTCTTCCTCTCACCCTTCCTCTCTTCTCTCTCTCTCTCTCTCTCTCTCTTCTCCTTCCCCCATCCTCTTCTTCGGGGGATATCTTCGTCTCTCGTTTGTAAATTAGTCATATCTATCGCTTCAGCATCTCTGTCATCTTGTTCCGTCCATGCGTACTGTCCTCTCCGTCTCCATTCTCCCAGGGTGTACGTCCCTTTGAAGTGACTCTCTCCTGGGCGTATCTCTCTAATCAACCAACCAACACCGCTGTACCGCCAACGTTCTCCCCGCGATTTCTAGTCCCGTCCCTGGCCGTTCTACCCACTGCGCCGCCCCCTTCGTCAATCTGTGCCGCCATCACCTGAAATTCCCAACGCTGCGTCCGTTTTTTCCCCCTTCTTTAATCGGCTTCGTTCATCCGACTGTCTTGGACTCGAGAGCAGAGTGACCGCTGGGTGGCATCTAGAATTCTACCTCCAGCATGACGCAGCTTTTCGCTTCAAGCCCGTCCTCGGTGACGAATGAGAAACGTGGAAACTTTCCCAGTTTGTCTCTAGCCTCGAAGAAACACAATCATGAATCGAGCCATCTCCCGACACGCATTAAGAATTTCTTCCGCATCAACAGTTCGAGCAGCAATTCGTCTCATACTAGCCATCACTCCGGCAGTGATCGAGACAGAGACGCCAGTCTGTTGTCTAGCGGTCTCAAATCGGAATCGAAGTCGACGTTTAGACAATCTCGCTTTCTGCCCACCATCGGTCGCAATCGCTCGACCACAGTCGCAAGTGAAGGAAACCCGCTCGATGAGGGCGTCTCCCCGACTGCTACGGCCAATCCATATTTTGTTCATCAGGGACAGCCTTCCCTGCAGCATCGCAATGACGTATCCGTGCCATCCTCTCCTCCAGGCACCCCCGAACTGCAAGTGGATGGGGTCTCCGCCGCGGAACAAGCAACCACGGCCAACAAGGAGGAATTGGCGCGCAAACTTCGTCGGGTTGCGTCAGCCCCGAATGCGCAGGGGCTTTTCGCCCAGGGCCAATCCGACGGGCGTCCTCAGACGGCCGAACTTGGAAAGGAGCCTTTGCTCGAACAATCTGACGCCACACAATCTCTCATCGGTCTAGTGGAATCTGAAGCGCAGGACGCCGACACACTTGCTGTGCCCAATCTGGGCCCTGGAAGTAAGATTCCGAGCCCTGGCCAGATTCGCAATTCAGTAGCCTTTCGCAGGACTTATAGCTCGAACTCGATCAAGGTTCGCAACGTGGAGGTGGGCCCCAGTAGCTTCGACAAGATCAAATTGATTGGCAAGGGTGATGTGGGCAAGGTTTACCTTGTACGGGAGAAGAAGTCAAGCCGCCTTTATGCTATGAAGGGTGAGTTCATCTGTTGTCATCTTAAATACCCATGGTTTGCGGGACGAGGGACAGCGATGCCGGATGTACTAACAGTACCTCATTAGTCTTGAGCAAGAAGGAAATGATTAAGCGAAATAAAATCAAACGAGCGTTGGCCGAGCAGGAGATTCTTGCCACCAGCAATCACCCGTTTATCGTGACCCTTTATCATTCATTTCAATCTGAGGACTATCTCTACCTATGCATGGAATATTGCAGTGGTGGTGAATTCTTCCGAGGTACGTGCGATGTGCCCCAACTCTTCTTTGTTCTACCGCTAAGAAACATGCTTTTTAGCGCTTCAAACGCGCCCGGGGAAATGCATTTCCGAAGACGCGGCTCGATTCTATGCGGCGGAAGTAACTGCTGCTCTGGAATACCTTCATCTGATGGGTTTCATCTATCGTGATCTCAAACCAGAAAGTGTGTGATCCATGGAAATCCATTGGTCTCCGTGATGGGCTCGTTGGCTAACAGGTCTTCCTACAGACATCCTTCTTCATCAGTCTGGTCACATCATGTTGTCGGATTTCGACCTGTCCAAGCAGTCTGGACCCGGCGGTGCCCCTACCATGATTCCAGCACGCAGCGGCAATTCCGCGACTTCGTTTCCCACCATTGACACCAAATCCTGTATTGCCGATTTTAGAACCAACTCTTTCGTCGGCACCGAGGAGTACATCGCTCCGGAGGTCATCCAGGGCTGTGGACATACCAGTGCTGTCGATTGGTGGACTTTGGGTATCTTGATATACGAGATGCTCTACGGAACTACACCCTTCAAGGGCAAGAACAGGAATGCGACATTTGGAAACATCTTGAGAGATGAAGTGCAATTCCCGGAACATGCGGGGGTGCAACAGATTTCGAAGTGAGCCCTTTCTCCAGCACTTATAGTGATTATAGATGCCTAACCAATCGACTCATAGTCTATGCAAGTCTCTGATTCGCAAGCTGTTAATCAAAGATGAGACCAAGCGTCTCGGTGCTCGAGCTGGGGCTTCGGATGTGAAGACTCATCCTTTCTTCCGGCAGACGCAATGGGCACTCATTCGCCATATGAAACCGCCTATGATCCCACATCAGAGTCGCGGCACTGAAACATTGAACTTCCGCAATGTGAAAGAGAGTGCAAGCGTCGATATTGGCAGGACTTCAAAGGCCAAGGGGGTTCCATTAGAATCCGGCCTTGCCACACCTAATGGAGAATTGACCGATCCTTTCGAAGAGTTCAACAGCGTCACACTCCACCACGATGGAGACTTCTAATTGACTAACTCATGAGCTGGATTATTGTTTTCTCCTCTCACCTGCTTTGCGCGATACCACGAAATTTTGAGCGGCTCATCGCAGACCTTCACGATGCATGAATGATCAGTGTTCGAAAGTTGATATTCTATTGCGGCTGTAATTTGGAGTTCGGCGTGCTTAGAGCTTGTTGATTGACTTACATTCTTCTACTCCTATCAGGGTGGTTACGGACATTTTGTCGGGCTTTCGGGGCTGTTCGATCCTTTTTTTTCGGTTTGCCGCTTTCGCCTCGATCCTACCACGGCATCATACCTTTTTTTCCCCCTCTTTCCTTTATCTGCTACAACTGTCACTATTGCAAAGACGGCGTTTGTGTTTTCGGTTATACTTGCGGGCCAGTTTATCGCAGTCCGTCATCGGAGGTTAACCTCGAGTGTATGAGTCCTCGAGTTTGATATGTTCGTCATGCGCTCCGTTTACGAATCTGTTCGTTTTATGCTTACGCAAAAGCGCATGTTACAAATGTCCATTCGAGGAGCAGGCTAGCCTCGGGACATGCCTGGAGTGCCCAATCGGTCACTACATGGGATAATAGCATTCATGACTTCTTAGAACCTTTGGACGGGGACAAATGTCCGTGTAGACTAGTCGTCATTCAATTTATATTATGGTCTCTCTATTCCAATACCTGGTCATTTCCGTAGGGCAATGTCAGCCGAGGCAATGTGTATGAAGTAGACCGATCAGCAAATCTCCATACGATTGCGGAGTATGGAGTAGTCGGATACCTTAGGTGTCGACAACCTTTATCTCCGTTCAAACCGATAAAACAAATAAACAGCAACTCCCCTTCACTCCACCCGAATACAAAACAATAACCATGAACTAAACCAAATATCGCCTGGATAAAACATCTCTTCACCTTCTCACAAAGCCATCACACAACCACCATGTCCTCCTTCGACGAAGACCCCGTAGCCACCGCAGAACGCGACCACGACCGCGAACCCGCCTCCAACTCCCTCCTCCGCGCCTCAACCCCCCTCGTCTCCGATCTGGAACAAGAAGTCCTAGAGGAATACACCCGGCTCCTCGGCAACGTCAACAAGGTACAGCCCCATGGGCCCCTGACATTCCTACGCCCTAGCTAACAGCCCGCCGCGCTGCAGCTGTCCGACAAACTCGCCGACCTCGCGGGTAATCCAACCTCACTAACACTCGATGGCCTGCGTCTCCTAGAGCGAAAGACGGCGACCGTGTGTACTCTGCTCAAGGCGAGTGTGTATAGCATTGTTCTGCAGCAGCAGATCTTCAATGAGAGTGAGCAGCAGCAACAGCAGCAGGCGGAAGAGGAGGAGGAACGGCGCTTGGAGGAGCAGCAGCGGGGGTTTGGGGGTGGGTATGAAGGGGATATGAGTTTTACGGGGCGATATATGTAGGCTGGTTTGTTGGGTTGGTGGGGTGTGTTGTGTCGAGGGCTGTGTTATACCATTTTGCCTTTTTTTTTTCTTCTTTTGCATTCTGGCGGGTTGTCTTTTTACGAGATTCAAAACTGATGGATGGGTTGGGCTGGCGCGGATGGCTTCGTTCTTGAATAGACTGGTTTTCATATTGTGACAGTGACAGTGACAATGGCTTAATACAAGTACATGATAAGAAGACAGGGAGAGGGAAAAAGAACTCGAAATCCAGAACGATTATATACACCGCCGTAACGCACCGCAGGCATTGGGGAACAATGCCGCTCAAACTGTGTCCATAATCATACAGTCGACTCTACGCATGATAAGACAGGTCGGAATGTCCTGGAAACCCCGGTAATAGCAGGATTGAAGAAACAGCTGTCAAGGAAGGCGATGGCGCATTCAAACAAAGGACGGAAGATGAGAGGCCTACGCTCTTCCAGAGTAGTAGACTTTGCGCACATCGACCAGCTTCTTGCTCCGGGCACGAGCGATGTCTTCTGGGTTGCGCTGGCTCATCAGAGCCTCGTAAACGGCCTTGACCGTGTTCATAGGGTTTCTCGAGCGGGTCACGCGGGCAGCCAGATCGTGGATACCGCATGCACGGCAGATCTCGAAGATCAAATGTTGGCACCGGAGGCCAAAACCTAGAGCACCAATTGTCAGCGATCATGATTCCCCTTCGTCCGAGGAGCAAAGTATCTGAATGCTTACCAGGTGGACGTGTCATCAGCTTCAACTCCACGGCTCCCACCTTGCCCTCAACGTCTCCAAAGATAGTTCTGTTCTCATATCGCGGAATAGGCTGCATATTTCTGATGGCTCTGTACTTGGACTGAAGCACGGCATCACCGGCCTCTTCGGATTTGGCTTCGCCGATTCCCAGCAAGCCATTTCCGTTACCAGCAACAGACAAGCAATACTGCCGACGGACCTTACCCAGACGCGTCTGGTTGACAACCGAGTGCGAGACGAGGCACTTGGCCTTCAAATCCATGACCTCCTTTTGATCATAACCGGTCGCCAGGAGGAGTCGCTTCAGCGCTTCCGTGATCTCTTCTGATTCCTTGCCCTTCACCTCGGCGTCCTTGAAGAAGTTGATTTGCTTTCGCTCTCCACTGATAGACTCGCCAGGGGCAAGCAGATCGGGCACCAGTACGCTGTGGGGGTTCAACTCGTTCTCTTCCTTGCCCTTGGTCATCCGCAGTGTCTCGGCGAACCGTACCCAGTCGGCCGCAGTAGGATCCTTCGGAAGTTGTGCCAAAAAGTTCCCAAAGTCCTCCGCGAGGTCGTCGTCGCTCTTCAGCTGGGCGTTGTAGTCGGAATTGGATTCGGGAGCCTTGACGTGCTTGTCGACTCCGGGTTCGATGGTCGAGAAATCATCGAGGTAGTTCAGTTTCATCGGATCCCGACGGATGGCAAACTGCTCTGCTAGGTCTTTGGGGTCGATGGCCGCTTCACCTGCCTCGATCGCGGCAATCTGCTCCGGCGTGTACTCTTCCTGCAGCCGCGCCTTTTCTTCTTCCGTGTAGGGCTTAAAGTCATCGGGCTTCACGTTCCGAGCAATATCGTCCAGAGATCTGAGATTGTCGGCCTTAACATTGGGAAATTTCGGCTTCCGGTTGGCGAGCTGCATCGGAGAAGGGTGGAATTGGCGACGAGGCACGCGAGGGACTGCGGAGGCAGTCCGCGAGAAGCTGCAGAACAGACATCTGGCCGGTCGAGCGACACTCATTGTGGCAGATTGTAGCTCTCCGGCGAGCAAGGGCCTTGCAAGAGCTTGGGTGAGACGAAGGGGAGGTCGTGACTGGAGGGGGAAGTTGGGATGGTTAAGATGGAGAGGACAGGAACCATCAACGGTCAACGGGGACGGTGAAATTCTCAGCGGAGAGCGATGGACCAATCCGCGTCCGCCCTTTTCGCTGACTTTCTTTTTCTTCCGCCTTTTGGCTTCAAATATTATTCGATCCCAAATTATTTCCCCCCCTAGAACAGTCCGATTTCGTGCGACTTTTCCCTTCAATCCTTTTCATTACACTATCTATATGTTTTCTTTGAGGTCGCTTTCTTCGGTAGTTCTCGAAAACAAGTCCTTTCTTACCCAGACTCGTCGCTTCGCGCACTCTCGCGACAGCTACACTCGACTTTCGCAACTCCGTAATGCGACAGGACCTATAAACAAGATGCAGAATTCTCCCAGAAAACCCCAGGCCGACCAGAAACGGCGCAAGAAGGGCAGAGCCGATCGGTCTAAGAACTCTGGCTTTGACGAAGTGCTCCAAACTGATATCGACCAGCTATTGCTGAAGAACAAGCCTCAGACTGAGACCGATGCTTCCCCCGCCCCGCCTGTTCTGCCAGAGCTCTTCACAGAATTCGAAGTAACAGTATCTGAGCTGTCCTCCACAGGTGATGGTCTCGCACTTTCAGAGAACAAGGACCATGTCTACGTTGTTCCCTTCAGCGTACCAGGAGATAAAGTGCTGGTCAAGGTTGTCCGGCACCATGAACCACTATCGCACAGTCTGACGGACTTTATCAAAGTCCTTGAGCCCGGGCCTCAGAGGAACGATGCTGCAATTGGGTGCAAGTACTTCGGCAAATGCTCGGGATGCCAGTTGCAGATGATGTCGTACGAGGACCAGCTAGCGCACAAGAAACGCATCGTCGAGAAGGCGTACGCCAACTTCTCTGGCCTCATTCCAGAGCTAATCCCCGCGGTCGACGACACTTTCGCGTCGCCCTTACAATACGGATACCGGACAAAGCTGACGCCACACTTCGCGGCCGTTGGAGGAGCGGGAAGGGGGAAGAAGAAGACGATACCAGAGGGAACTCCCATTGAGGTGCCACCTATCGGCTTCACATTAAAAAATCGACGCCTGGATCTGGACATTGAGGACTGTCCGCTGGGCACGGATATTGTTCGCCGAGGGCTCAAGACTGAGAGGAAGAGAGTCGCCGAGAACATTCACAAATACATCACGAAAGGTGCTACGCTTCTTATGCGGGAATCGACCAAACGGATTCCCAAGGATGGCTCGGCCGAGACAGATGCCGGCATTGTCCAGAAGGAAGGCGAGGATGAAAGCCCAGCAGAGTCCGGGGATGTTATCCGAATTGAGCATGACAAGTACATCGAAGAGAAACGATGTGTGACTGACAATAACGCCACCTCGGTCGAATACATTGACGACTACATCTTCACCAACAAGGCGGGAGCTTTCTTTCAGAACAACAACTCCATCCTCTCCGGCTTCACAGACTACATCCGCCAACTCGCGCTCCCCAAAGACAACGAAAAGGACGCCAAGCCAATCAAATATCTTCTCGACGCCTACTCCGGCTCCGGTCTCTTCACTATCACCCTCTCGCCTCTCTTCAAATCGAGTCTGGGTGTCGACGTGGCCGGCGACTCCATCATATCCGCCCGCGAGAACGCCCGTGCCAACGCCCTCCCCAACACTGGGTTCGCCGCGGCAGATGCCGCCGTTCTCTTCAAGGATGTCCCGTACCCTCCTGAACAAACTCTCCTCGTGATCGACCCGCCACGCAAAGGATGCAGCGATGACTTCCTCCGCCAGCTGCTGAGCTATGGTCCCCGCCGCGTCGTCTATGTGAGCTGCAACGTGCATACACAGGCGCGCGATGTTGCCGTTATGGTCCAGGGCGATGCAAACTGCAGATATGAGATTGAGAGTATCCGCGGATTCGACTTCTTCCCGCAGACCGGACATGTGGAGGGTGTAGCGATTCTTAATAAGGTGCCCGCCTCGGCGTCTTGAAATTTGCGTATTCTCTCATAATAAAAACGGGAACTTTGCGGCGTCTGATGTCTTCGTGTTTACATTTTTGGATTGGCGTTGGCGCTCTGGATACAGGGTCATTTGTGCTGTAGGTCCATTCTAATGCATCCTGTTTCTGTGTATATGATTGGATGGTCAAGTAGTGAAAAGTGTATCTTTAGTATAGTATCACTAGAGAATAATTTCCAGCGTCTGAAGCTTTAGGATGCAGCGGTGTCAGAAGTGAAAGGTTCTAAATTGTCGGACCAGAAGAGGAACTATGGACATCGATAGACACAATGGCTAGCAGATACAGTATCGGGCAGTGTTAAGCTAGTTCCCAATCCGCCTTACGTACTTCCCGGACCACCGAGCAGGGCGAACCTGCGGACAATGCTGGGACCAATCTCATCGTACTCCGCCTTGGTATGGCAGTAGCTTCGGAACTCTGGTGTCTGTCCCAGCAGACTGCCTCCGAACCACGGGCCGTGTCTCTGTCTCTTGTGCGTCACCACAGCCACATCCAGACCACCACTCTTTGCACCGCCGCTACGGGCTTCCGAGGCGCGAATGCGGGCGTCTACCAGGTGTCGAATATCGCGCTGTAGACGACGGCCAAAGTCTTTGTAGAGGGTTGATCCACCGGACAAAACAATGTTCTTGTAGAGACCTCTCCGGACGTCGATGGGGGAGGACTGGATGACACCGTCGACGACAACCGGCAAGGGAGTCAGGAAGTCAGAAGAGTAGATTTCGGGGTTGAAGAAGATCTCCGGGGCGAGGAAGCGCTCGTATCCAACGTCGATGCTCACGCTGCGGCCGTTCGGGGAAGTTACGGTATGCTTCAGGAACCGGTCGGGCTCGCGGTCATAACGGGCAAACTCCTTGACAATGTCGGGACAAACGTAGCAGTACTCCTCCTTGACCCGTTCCGCTGTCTTCAGGCTGCTGTCCGGCTCGCCTCGGTCACGCAGCAAACTCTGTACGAAATAGGTGATGTCTCGACCGGCGATGGGAATACTCTTAATGGAAGATCCGATGACGTAGCCTTCGGCGACGGGAATGACATGGGTGACACCGTCACCAGAATCGACGACTGTTCCTGTGAGAGACCGATCTGTAACTTTGGAGGATGTCCACGAGGCTGCAAGCGCAAGCACGGCCTGGACAGCAATGTAAAGACCGGCACAATTGAAGGACTCGAACATAATCTCCGCAGTATTCTCACGGTTTTCCGGAGGGTTCAGAGGCTATCCCAAGTCACATTTCAGTTAGTCACCATATCGATAGCCTTGTTATGCGCTGCAACAACATGTCGTTCACGTACCGGTTCAGTGAGCAGAAAGTAGTGATCTTCGGGCTCGACGCGCAGGTATTTGAAGATCGAATTGGACCAAAAGCGTTCCATAGCATCCCAGTTTTCAATCTGTCCATGTCTGATCGGATAATTTATACCGTACCCAGGCCCACTGGCCGCGGCCAGAGCCTCATCGCCAATAAAGAAATCAAGGTCCTCGGTCCCGCGCTTTGCAGACAAGTTGGAACTTGACCCAGCGCCTCCGGCAAGAAACGACGGCTTGTTGGCAACTGGGGGTCGGCCACTCGATGGACCTCCAGCACTTCCGGCACCGCCCTTGCTGGCAATTGCAGTAGGAAAGACGAAGGAGGGAGAGTCGTTCCCGGCGAATCCTACAATGGTGTCAGCCTAGTGCTTGGTCGCACGACTGCAGAAAGCAACAACATCACTTCACACTCACCAAGCTTCGAGTATCCGGTACCGCTACGCAAAAGAAGAACCACAGTCAGCCGCAATCCATAATAACCGGCGGGGGGTTTCAATGTACTTGTCCATGACAACGGCCGGGGTTTGGGACGCCATGTTGGATGGAGGTGGGCCCCTATTAACGAATTGCGATGATAGATGCTCAAAGCGTAAACTCGGAGTCAAATGAGAGGGAAGAACAATGAAAAAAGAGGTGCAATGATCAACAGATCAATCAAATAAGACAGTATTGTTGAGCCTCTGGAAACAGTGGCAGAGGAGGATGAGGGGGAGGTGAAGGTGAAGGCGGCGGGCAGCAACACTTGTAAGTACGGAGTAAGGTACACTAGTTAACTACTAGGTATCGATGTATGGAGATCAAGCAGGATTACATAGTTGCCAAGCCATATCATGTGCCACACTAGATTTCTATATGTATGTGCATGGAATACCCTCAGATATTCTGGATTAGGTTAAAATGTCTCTTAGAAAAGTCCTCCCCAATTATGTATCATAACTTATTCACTCCCTATAGTGCGATCTCTTGTAGTGTGCTCAGGCACCAAGGCAGCATAAGACATCACTGCCACTGATCCTTCTGAGACCTTTCAGAAATGGAAGCTACATCTCCCAGCACAAGACTTCATCTTCATCTTCAGCTTTGATCGATGGATGATTCGCTGCCTCCTCTTGTCTGTCCACGCTCTCATTCTCCTGTCTATCCTTTATCCTATCAACTACTCCTGTCTCCTACTCTTTTAGTCTCTGGCTTTGTGCCTCTACCTCATGTTGTCTTGTCGCATTTTGAGTTCGTTTGTCCTAGCATTATCCCATCGACTTGACTTCTCCCTCATATACCTGCCCTTCAGTCATTCAGCTGAGCAAGAAAAGGCGCTATTTTTACTATTGCTATCTCCCTATTAGGTTGATCCATCCTATTCAACTCTTCGACTGAAGATCAAAAGGCCAGACAGAGCGAAACACAAGCGGCCTGAACACCACCATTTGTGCTTGATAAAACCCGGTAGCCTGGGGTCCTTCGTTGCGTGATACTCGCCTCTCGAATATAGGGAATGACAACTTTGCCACTGCCTCGCGTTCGCTTTAACCTCAGACCACAGTCATAACAGCTGAGTGCAACGTCAAGTCTCATATATCCTCCACCCTTTCTGAAGGGACTGTGTTCTAGGATGAGCGATCAACCAACAGGCGGAGGCATCTCTGCAATTTTCGTCCATGTTGGAGCGGGTTATCACAGTCCTGGCAACGAAAAGGTTCACCTGCGTGTCTGTGAAAAGTGAGTTCTCCAATGCGATTCTACAACACATTTGCTATCTTCGCTCTTCATCGAATATCTGCCCCATCTCTAACCCTCAATAGTGCTTGCAAAGCTGCCATGGGCATCTTGAAGAACGGCGGATCAGCTCTAAATGCTGTCGAGATGGCCATCTTGGTGATGGAGGATTCCGAATTGACCAATGCTGGATACGGAAGCAATTTAACTATTGACGGCAACGTTGAGTGTGATGCTACGATTGTAGATCACCTTGGAAGAAGTGGTGCAGCTGGAGCAGTGGCTCGTAGGTCCCTCTATGTCTGCTTTTGTTCACTCTCTTTCGACCATTTAGGCCGTGCTTTTGCAGTGATCTCTCTACATGAAAATGCGCAATACTGATCTTGATGTTCAATCACAGAGGTCAAAAACCCAATCTCTTTGGCGCGGGTGATTCTAGAAGCCTCATCGCGACCATTGACCTGTCACAGAGTGCCTCCGAATTTTCTCGTCGGTGACGGGGCCACGGATTTTGCTTTTGAGCAAGGACTGGTGGTACTTCCACCAGATGCCTTGATAAGCCGCGAATCTAAGGAAAGATGGCATCGCTGGCTGGATGACTTGAGATCTGCTGAGCTGAAGGGGAAAAGCCAGGAGCAAGCTCGGCTCAATTTTAGGGAATTCAGGTCGCCTTTCGTTCGTCGACCAATGGTATCTCGTCATTCGGGTATTCCGATCAACTCCCCTACCCCTCGGCTACACGACAATGGGGCTCTCTCTGCTAGTGGCGACTTGATGGCTCCTCCTACCGAGTCCGTTGCAGGTAGGCAAGGTACAAGTGCCCCTAACAATCTGAAGAGACAACATCATGAAGCAAACCCGGATGGGGATACCTACGGGGATGGTGCACCTTGTACAGAAAAGCGTATAATCACACCCCGGGATCATGACCTTCGCTTCTCGGGAACTTCCTCGGAAGTAGCAGATGAGCACCCCAGAACCGGATCTGCAACTCTGAACACTGGCTCAGCTCCTGGAGCCTTCGCTACGGAACCAGCTACTCAGATACCGGAGACCACGCCTGCTGCCAGAGATGAGGACCTGATTACCGATACCGTTGGCGCTATAGCTGTAGACTCCAACGGTAATATTGCAGCTGGTTCTTCTTCGGGTGGCATTGGCGCAAAACATCGTGGTCGAGTCGGGCCTGCTGCGTTGGTGGGCATTGGCACCTATGTGATTCCCACCGATCCCAATGACCCCGAGCAGACTTCTGTAGCGTCTGTCACATCCGGCACAGGAGAGCATATAACTACGACCATGGCTGCGCAGACATCGGCTTTGCGGGTCTACTACTCCCAAAGAAGGCGTAGAGACGGCGAGTTCGAAAAAGTTTCCGAAGACGAGGCGATGAAAGCAATGATAGACACTGAGTTTATGGGTAAGGATCCTGGCTTCTTTTTCTGACCTTCCTTCGCAATCCTGAGGGACAAATTGCTGACAATGTTGCTCAAGGCCACCCGGGTGTGAAAGCTAGTCCTTGTGGAGGCGCTATCGGGATCCTAGCTGTGAAGAGGACAATTGACGGGATTTTCTTCTACTTCGGCCATAATTCAGATTCATTTGTGAGTATAGTAGTACTATTTTGCCACGCCTGTATGCTAAATCCACGTCTTTTAGGCACTCGCTTCCATGAGTAGCGAAGACGAGAAGCCACTGTCCGTGATGTCGCGCAACAGGGGAAATGAGACGATCGCGCAGGGCGGCCGCGCCTGTGTGGCTAAAAAATGAGGTATGTACAAATCAAAATTCCCTTGGCCTAGCAGCTGCAGGTCAAGTGAAGAACAATCAAGTCATACTAAACCTGGTTTATAGCTATGCACGCCCTGGTGGTTACGGGTAAGAGGCGACCCAAAGACAGCGAGTTCTCGTATTTGTACAACCTCAGGGTTTGACAAGGAGATATTTTGTGGTGCTCCAGCTTGTGAAAGAAAACAGTGGGGCTGGCTACCTGAGGGTGCATCCAATCTTTTTGGAAGTCTCGCCGGCTCTGCTTTAGCTTCGACTTTCCCTTTGTTGTCATTCCTAGGACACACACAGTTTGAGCCTCATATCTGATAATAGCGCGCGTCTATGTTCAACATGTTCTCTTTGCGACGGTTCTTGCAGATTGGAATATGATCACCATAGATGAACTTTGGCGTCTTTTTCTGTCAACTTATCATCGCAGCTATTCGTATGTGTTGAGCATAGGATATCTAGTGGGAAATGAAAATCGCCTCGTTAGGTCATTATTTCGAGCTTGAAGGGTCGTGATAACGGAATCTGGTGCCGAGTCTGATCTTTGATGGGATGCTTGAGTCTATACAGTCTGTATTGATTCAAACCCGTAGCATCGGTTCTGTTCCATGGCAAAAAGATCTTCCCTCTGTGGAGTGATCAAGGGCCAGGTGTAGGTGTAGACGTCGGAGTCGCCGTTCCTGATGCGCCATTGGCCCGGATCTTCTTCTTCTTTTTCTTGCGGGCGACAACCGCTGGCCTGGCGCCGTAATCGCCCGTTTCGAGGTGGGTACCACACGTGAGACAGCCCCCGTTCTCGGGAGGCTCGCAGAAGATGCTCAAGCAGATGGAACAGACAAAGCCAATATCCACGACGCGGCGATGACAGAAGCAGGCGGCGCGGAAGTCCACATCCACCCGCGTTGGCAACACCAGATGCCTCCGAGACCGCTGGTCAGGCAGGAACGCCATCATCAGGTACTGCAGCAGACCACGAGGCTCCGCAAGCGACATGTAGACACCCTTGGTGGCATCGGACGCCTGCTGCAGGAAGACCGCATCCCCGCTCAGCTTGCACACGTCGATGGGGACATGAAGCCGCTGACAAGCAAAGATGGCGTTCATGATCGGGATGTACTGGTGCGCCGAGTCCGTCGAGCTGCTCACGGAGATAATCAGGATCCGCGACTGCAGGCCCTCCGCGCCGCCGCCCTCGCCGTCCGCCCGCCCACCACCGCCCGGTGCTCCCTCTGCCGCGCCTGCCGATCCCGTCGCCGCGGCACCGCCGTGCGCCTCCGCCCACGCAAGCGAGCGCCGGTTGATGTGGCTCAGCGCGAGGGTCAGCGCGCCCGCCATCATGGTCGTCGTGGACGCCTGCACGTCTGTGGCCGTCGTCGCGCCCAGGAGGCGCCGCAGGTTGCGCGAGACTTGCTCCTCGACGATGCGGAAGGGGCGGTACTTGTTCACGTGGGCGTCGGCTGCGCCAGAGGAGCCGGAGCTGTCGTCCATGGCGACGTCGCCGTCATTGTCTGCGGATGCGGGTGCGGATGCGGTGGTGGTGCGCGGGTGTTGAGTCTCGCAGGGGTACAGCCAGGTAGCCTTGTGCGTGTGCGAGGCGACAACGGCGACCTCGTTGGCGTAGTTGCAGGCGAGGTGGGCGTTGATGAAGACGAGGATGTTGGCGATTGCGGTGGAAAGCGGGAGGGAGGGCTCGAGGAGGGCCCAGGCGTGTGGGTTTGTGTCGAGGACGATGGTAAGGAGGGAGGGGGCGCGGTCTGGTGGGAGAACAAGAGTTTGTTAGCTGGGTGCCGAGCGAAGCGAGGACAATCGTATGTATAGCTTTGGTGTTTTTGTTTTCTTTGGTCTCTTGCCGGTGGTGTCCTTACCGTTGGCACTTGTTTCGTAGTGCTCTGTCGCATCCACGGCGTTCATTGTTCGGGAGGGTTGCTCGAGGCTGGTATGTCGGGTATAAGGCAAGGAAGTGAATGAGGATCGAATCTAACTGCAATCTCGTCCATCAACGCATACTGAAATGCAAAGAAGAGGTGACAATGGCTACTTTCGGATATGTTGAGAGCTCCGTTCGGTCTTGAAAAAGCTTCGGTTCAGTCCAGCCTGGAGGTTCGACGTCTGAAATGACGGGTAGAGACAACTGGAGCTTCTACCTGTTGTCTCCTGGGCAGCTATGCAAGAATAAGGACCTCGGGTTTGGGATAGGTCGTTTAATTCATCCCACCAGCTGCCGTCACCAGAAAGTAAATGTCCGTCTTGATAGAAATGCCACTCACGTGAGATGATGCTGTTGGAGTGGACTTGACCGCCTTTCAGCTCATCCATCAGGCATAGGCCGATAGTCTAGATATGCTACTACGGTATAGAATCACGTTTGTGAAAGTTATTGTTGCCCATTTTAAGTGAGTTGAGGTTGACCCAAAACATGGTATAAGGCTAATTCTAAACGCTGCAAGCGCGAACAGGTTGCGATTATGGCATCAACATATTAAGATGCTAAAGATATTCTCTCCCTATATTAATGAAAACAAAGCAAGAAATGCATGTTGCATGATCTGGCTGTTGAAAATTCCAGATATGGATATCGCTTCAAATACGCACAAGCGAGTGTTCGAGATGGCCACCACAGCATGGATATACACATGCGGATGAGAATTGACTTCAATGATTTAAGAGTCATGCAGAACTCGAATCAAGTCCTGCCTCTGGCCTCATATGAAGATGGTTGTCCTTCTCCACAGTTTGATCGAGAACAGGTATGTGGATTGATTCCTTGAGGGCCTCTCGATTGGGTTCCGCTAGAGGGCTTGGCTGTGTAGAGGTGTCTGGCGTCTCGCCTCTCGCTTGATGCTCGGTCAGCCCCTTACGGATTGCAAGGACAGAGTCAACAATGACTGCATCGATTCCCTCGGCCACTTGGCGCTGTAAGTTGAGAGTGAGTAAAAATTATGGCTGGTAGTTGAATCATCAAGAAATACGTACCTTGACATTCACGGGCTCGTTGTTCAAAGTTCCGTAGGATACGCAGACAAGACCTGACTCCTTCACAACCCGGACAAGGCGAGGGCATAACACCAATGGCTCAGCCTGAGAGACAACGCCCAGCAAGCTCCAGCGGGAGGCGAATCGAATAGCCTCCTGCAGGCTACTGGCGCGAATGTCACTCACCGGGGAAGCGCCAGAGTCGGATAAGAAGAGCACCGGGATAGAAGGTTGCTTGAAGGCGAGCAGGAGACAGATGTCAGGGTTGAAGCTGGAAAAAATCATGTTGCGGCCCTGGCCGTGCTCGTAGGCCATGCGCAGGACCGTGTCCACAAAGGAATTCAGCTCAACCGCGAAAGTATCCATCTCCTCCTCCTCACTCTCAAAGAGCATCGGATATTCTGGCGATCCGAGGTCAGATCGTCTGGCGGCTGTTCTTGGGGGGGTTACAAAAACTCACTCAACTCCATATTGAAACCAACCGATCGGGGCAGTTTCTTGAACAGCTCCTCTAGTGTCGCAAATGGGGCCTGAATGTGATTCCCGCGAGTGTTCCCTTTGAAGCCCTTCTTCTTGAAATCCCGAGTGTGTTTGATCCGCTCATTCAATTCTGAGGGGTCAAACTCCGAGCCACCAACCGACATTGATCGCTGACGCAATGCGAGATTGCTTGCGACATTGCCAGCTGTTTTTTCGTTGTTATGACTAGGGGGGATAGATTGACGAGACTTGCGGCTGTCGCCCAGCTGGAGGAATTGCTCCAGAGTCAGAGTATGCACAGGAGCGTCAATTCCCGTCTCACTGACAAGGAAGTCGTGGTAGATGACGGGAACATGGTCTTTAGTCAATTGCACGTCGAACTCGACGTATGATGCTCCGAGATTGGCAGCCGCAATGAACGACTGCACAGTGTTTTCTCCTAACTGCAAAGACCTGCGACCAGCAAAGTTCTTCCCGAGGCCGCGGTGACCAATGACCATGGTTGAGCTCATACTTTTGTAGTAGGTCTGGTTGCCCGTGATGGACATATTCGGGTGCTTGAAGGGAGTAACGATAAGAAAATTGAACGTCACGGAACCAATGACTTCCAGGGTATTAGCTGCAACGATTGGGACCGTCGAGTCTCCCTTGAGGTTCATACGGTGGGAACCAATGGTTGGCTTGACGCTCGAAAGCAAAGCAACGCCACGACCTATGATCTGATCTTTTGTGCCAGCATATGTCGGGACAAGATCGAACAAGAGTCGGACATTTGCTGGGTCTGCTGAATGGAAAACAATTGGCTCCGTACAGATGCTTTCCTGGACGGGAAGATCAATGATCTCGGGTTCCCCTTGGGCTCCGCTGGCTGTGACAACAATGGACAGGGCGGTATCTAACTGGGTAGAATGGGCGTTGACCATAGGAATACGGTCCAAGTTCACGGCATCCATATGCTTCCGCATGTCCATGGTGCCGAGGCTCACTAGAATCATGGACTGATCGGTAAGGTACCGATGTCCGAAGGTCTTGATAGGGTCAGGCAGGCGCGACCGAGGACCCCCACTGGGACTGATATTGGACTTCCTCTCGGCAAGGGACGATTGTGAAGGAGGTGACGACTGATTCGAAGACAGCGTCGAGACGGTGGTGGCAGGTTCCGGCTCTGTCACTTCCGGTTCGGGGGTCACCTCTGCCAGACGTCGCGCAATGTCAAGGTGGCCTCTCAAAGCAGCATGCTCCTTGGCGCTCCAGCCAGAAGAATCCAACCTCTCAAGATCGGCGTTGGCTTCGATGAGCAAGTCAACAACACCCAGTGCGCCGTCCACGCACGCAATGAACAGCGGCGTCCAGGAATAGGTGTGCTCAGCAAGCTCAGTGTCTGCCTTCTGGTCATCACTACCTTCCAGAAGAATTTTTGCGCACGCATCATGCCCGAATCGAGCCGCGACGTGCAAGGCGGTTTCACCCTGATCATCCTGGTAGTTGATATCGACTCCGGCATCAACAAGGAGTTGGACAATATCCACAAAATTGGCCTTGGTGGCCAAGGCTAGAACCGCGCTGGATTTAGACACCTGCTTGCGGATCGCGGCTTTCTCTTGGGAAACACCCTGCCAATTTTCGGCTTCCAACAGTGTTCTCGTTGTCAGCGGATGGCCACCGACTACACTCAGGTGCAAAGGGGCCCAGCCGTCGTTGTCCTGCCACTGCGGCGCATCAATTCCTTCACGGACATCGAAAATATTCCAAGCCTGCAAATGTTCGATTATAACCTCACAGACAACTTTGAATCCATACTGAGCAGCATAATGAAGGGGAGTGCGCCCTGAAAGATCTTTCGCGAGTAGCGCCTCACGCTGCTGGGGCTGGAGTTGATCCAGAATGTACTGCAGGAGCGTAACAGAAGGATCGGACCTGTCCAGACGCTGGGGCTGATCCGCCTCTTTCACCACTGAACGAGGAGGCTGTATAGTAGGAGCCGCTGCAGGTGTGATGTAATGAGAAGTCTCCAGTGGGAAATCAAGCACCATAGAGGCACTTGGTTCGGAGTCAGTGGAAGACTGTGCCCGTCCTATCGAAATCACCAGCCGGTGAAGGCAGTTCCGCTTGTTGATATCATCATCCTCATCCAGAGAGCCAATCCGGGGAAGAAGGGTGGAAATGCAAGCCCTCGAGCGATAGTGGATGGACCGCTGTAGAAGGCTCTTCAGGACTTTTGGATAGATTGCGTCTCCGATATCGTCCGCTGCAGCCTTCAGCGTCTCCAGTAATTCAAGGAGCACGTGTGTGTCATCCTTGCGCAAGGCTTCATCCACTTCACTGAGCATACTTGGAGGAAGATTGAGATGCTGGCGGGAGGGGCCCTTCTTTAGGGAAAGGGAGGAGTGGGTGGAACTGGCATCATCCAAAGCCTTTGGCTCTCCAAGCATGGAAAGCCAGTCGTTGATCGTCTTCAACGACTCGATCACTCGAGCATTCGTGGCGAAAGGCGACAGATCGACCTTGGTCTCCAAGTAGGTTTGCTGTGCTTTCACGCCCACTTTCTTGTCCAGTTTCTTGGTGATTTTGACGAAACCTCGGCGGTTCACTTCGCCGTACCATTGCAGCTTGCGTAGTTGACCGCGCAATTCAAGCAATGCGGCCAGTAGGTCCTCTACATCTTCCGAGTCCAGCTGTTGGGGTTTGTCTAAGGAGTGTTCTTCCAGCAACTTCAGCCGCCGGGAGAAATCCGCATATTTCTTGTTGTAGAAGTAATCGACATCCTCGAGATTTCGATCGAGGGAGTAGAAGAAGTCTGCGCCAAGTCACAAAGTCAGAGAACACGCTCCACGGCGCATTAGATTCCAAGAATGAGGAAACTCACTAGCAAGATCCGCCTCATGGCCAGCCTTCACTTCCTCTGCCGCGGACTTGATAAGCTTCTTAAGAGCCTTGTATCTGATGTAGGAAGAACTCCATTCGGGAACGACATTTCGCGACAAATTGCGCCCAAACTTCATGATGAATGACTCCTGGTCGCAGTCTCCGCGAGAAAGAATCCTATTGTTCTCCTCAGGTTTAATTGTCAAGTCTCCGTCTGCTGGTCTTTCGAGAGATTGCGTCAGGAAAAGCAGACTAGGATGATGGAGGGCGAGTAATGATAGCTGCAGGATAACGGAAATCAAATGAAAGAGCGAGCTTTGAGAGATGAAAGGAAAAGAGAATTCGGCTTCGAGAACAATAGCTCCATTTGTCAATCTGAATAAAGAACCGAGGGATATTCCGTAGAGGCGCTAGACCCAAAAACTTCCCTCGCTCTAGAAAAATCTCTTGAGTCGAGGTGAGGGTAGGTGGGTGATAGGGGAAGTATGAGGAGTCCGCAGGCAACGAAGAGGACAGAAAAAAAAAAAAAAAGAGAAGAACTATAACGTCAAAAAAAAGTGCCAGTAGTCAGCACGTGCTGAAGCTTAACCAGGAAGAGTCGAAGAAGCGAAGGGTTACGGTGAAATTGAAAGAGACGAACTGAAGTTTCAGGGGCATTCTGGAGAAAGGAACTATACAGAGTAGTGTACTCCGTGGTCCGTACCTTTTCCTTTTAGTGTAGAGGGAGATAAGTTAGAGGGAATGCGATCAAAGCATCAAGGAAGATTCTAAGGAAGAGAAGATTCGCTCGGTGGGTCATCTGGGGAACGATACGCACTTGGGTCGTTTTTCTCCATCCAACGACGTATGACGACGGGGTGGGATGGATCAATATGACTTGATGATTGATAGATAGATGAGGCGAAAAGAATGGAGGCCCACGAAAACAACGAGTGAGATACAAGTGAAGCAGCAACAACGGCGATTCTTCACTCTTCAGCGTGCGTAGCAAAGAGACTCTGATTTGTCCGCCACGCCCCCGTTGCGTTCCAGGGATGAGATGAGATGTCGGAAGAGTCTGTTGGAGAAAGCCATGATTAGTTCTCTGCGACGTCCCTTTTTTTTTTTTTTTTTATCAATCTTCAATGGTAATACCCAGAAGGCAGGTCGTGGAGCCTGTGGCGGTGGCCAATACCGAAGATGGTCCTTGAGATGTCAATGATCCAGTTGTCTACTAGACTATACCACACCGTGCTTGAGAATAACAAGATGATAATGAAATAATAATGACTCGGGAACCACCAAGGATTATGATGTCTTGTGGATATAATGAGCTATATATGCTCCACCCCCAGGGAGTGTGTGAAAATATATGATGCTTTTAACAATGATGTAGGTCGTCTCAACCAGCGTGAGGAAGAACTACAGCCTACCGCATCACTGCAATGACTGCATGTGGTCGCAAACAACGTCGTCTCACGAATCACATTCGACAGTACAGCAAGTGGAGGCCCAGAACAATCCTAATACTAATCCTGTCCTGCATCAGAGCCCTGCATATGTGTTTGGATGCTTAGAATGGGTATTTGTTCGCGGGGAATATTCCAGTGTTGGTGAGGTGGTTGTTTCGGATTTCCATATTATTGATGGTGGATGGATAGATATATCACAGCAACATATTATTTCACATGTGCTACCCATCCATTATTGAGAGAAACCACCATCCACGAACTGATGGAATCTCCCTGTACTCCGTAGATAGATAGTGACTAACTGATTATATGCCATTATTATTACCCCCGTCATTCTTCTTGATGTATCTCTTCACCGTCTCTCTAGAACTCAGAATAGTCTACGGAGTAGCTCTGATATCCTCACCCAGAATAATGATTCAGTTACAGTAGCTAGAAAACGAGCTCTGTAAGGGACAACATCACGAGACGTTCTATTCAAACTAATGGAAATAAGCGTTGACTAGACTACTGTACTCTGCGTCTATTTACCCACCAACCCATCCACAAACAACTACTCTGTAACTATAAGTTCTAACCTCCTGGTCTATCTATGTATCTAATCGTCAATAATGCAAGCGGAGAGAAGCAGCACCGTCTCCGTCGTACATAAATTACATATTATTACAAGTCCTCCATCCTCCATCCTCCATCCGCCATCCTCCCGGACCACCAAGACCGACAACAAACTATCGAATCCTTCATTCCTGGCTCATGCTGTTGAACTCTGGAACCTGGGCATTCTCTTGGCATAGTCATACTCCGTAAGAACTAGATTGATAGATAAGATGGAATGGTCAGATGACTACGGACTAGATAGATACCGACTATTCACCCCTCAGTTCTAACTACCCTTACAGATGCCATTCTTCATCGGTGAGTTGTTGGGATTTTGTACGAGGAGGGTGGCTGACTGACAGATCACAGGGTCTGTCTCGCTTCTCAGACATTATCAATCATACTGTAGATAGTTCAGGAGGTTGCCATCGGGGGTCGCCAGGAATACTGACTTAAAAAAAAAAAATAATTCGTTGACCGTCTTTTGGAGAAATTGCATTTCATCATTCAGTTGATAGCTACTTCAAGTAACCAGAAGAACTCGTAAACTCCTGTAGGGAATCATCATCTCTATAACAGTCCCACAGAAGGAACCCCGGACAAAACTCCGCATCCCACACGCTAAACAAATAATAAGGATAAGGGAGTCCAGCCGTAAGAGAGAAATAAAAGCAATGCCTACTATCGGGCTGACAAAAAAAAGAAAAAGAAAAAGAAACGAAATAGATCGTTGGTAGGAAAACACCTCGGCAGGAAGAGCACCCCACGTATTCAACCCCTCCTTTGGGGCTGGAAGAAAATCCGTGAGAACAACACCTCGCCGAAATTTGAACCCAATCCATCCATATCCATAGAAAGAAAAAAAGAAAAAAAGAAAAGAAGGAAAAAGGAAAAAGGAAAAAGGTCAATGGTTCTCAGTGACTCTCGACGAGAGGCTTCAAAGCCTCCACGCCTGTCTGGAGTATCGCTGGGTTCGATGTCTTCTTCAGCACCTTGGTCAGAATGTCAATACCTCCACTCTTCTTCACAGCCTCTCTGGCACGCGCTGAGATCTCCCCAGTCGCCATGCAGGTCAGATTCCGCACGCACGCAACCCCTCGGTGCACGAGTCCGTCATCATTCTCCTGACACAGACCGAGGAGCAGCTCCACGCCGCGAGGCCGATCCAGAATGCTCGCAATGGCCGCGTCAAACTCCGTGAGCATGGCCAAGGCGCCGCCAGCAGCCCTTCGGGTGTCCATGTCAGCAGTATCGGTTAACGCCAAAAGAATATGAAGACGTTGCGCGGCCCGGTTGGATCCATCGGAAAACTTTGCAGCTCCAGAATCGCAAGTCATCAGATTGCAGACCAGTTCACAAGCGGCCCGTTGAATCATAGGACTGTCTGAGAGCAGAAGATCTTCCACAACCGTCCAAGCATGGCGAACGATCGCCTCGGCCGTAGTCGGGTCCGGGTAAGACGCAAGGTTAGTGAGAGCGAGAAGACTCTCAAACACAGGGAGAAGATCGCGTGGCTGCTCTGCAGATAGGACACCAACTTCGGGAGTGGACAATAGGCCCGTCAGAGGTCGTACAGCCGAAGTGATCTGAGGAAACCCGGACGAAGGAAAAACGAGCGCCGGGTTGACGGAGATGAGGATACGGGCGAGTGCGTGTGACGCGCTTTGCATCGCCTCGTTGGACATGGAGCCCGATGTCCCCTGTCGAGCAGTTCCGAGGGTAAGCAGCAACTTGACCGCGCCTTGCTGGGCGAGAGTCCCCCTAGATCTGCGATCCCGGGACAAGGAAAGTAGGATTTTGCTGACGAGACCCTGCACAGAGGGTAAATTGTTCTTACTGCATTCGATAAAAAGAGGCATGATTCCAGCCTGGACAACCGCGTTGCAACGAGCAATAACGTGCTGCTCGTTCTCCAAAGGATGCGGCCCGGTCCGTGCTCTGGCACCAGATGCATCTGCGTACGCCTTGAGTTGCGATATTTTCTTCTGTTCTTCAGTCATGCTGGGGAGAAACTGAGTCAAGTTCAGGATGATCATCAGTCCACCATAGAGCACCGAGGTGTTGGCCATGCTGGCTTTCAGCACTTTGATCAGGTCTTTCAGGAAAGCTGCATCTTGTGCCAGCTGCGCCTTGACAGTTGGCTTGACGGAGGAATAAGCCAGGCCTTCGATTGCATTGGAGACATTTTCCCCCTTGTATTTCGAGATTTGATCCTTGAATCGGCTGACAAGTGCAGTGGTCTTCTCATCCTCCTCCTCAATCCTGCCATTTGATTGTGACGGCTGGACGCTCTCAGAGGCGCGAATCTTCGCCAAGATCACCGCTGCCAACTCGGAGCTCTGGTCGTTACCATTCGTCAAAAGGTGAGAGAGCCAAGTGGATAGGTGTTTGGAGATGGCGTCACGGCATGCCTGGTTGATGGAGGCTGCATTCAATAACTCCAGAATGGCTGTTTCCACCTTCTTGCTCTTCATGTTTCTTGACGTGAAGGGGATGAGTGAATTGACGAAATCATCCGAGAGGAAGATGGCCGCGGCAACATCGGGCACAACGGGGAATACAGCGGCCAGGGCGGAAAAGGCGATAATATGATCATTATTGCGAGAGCTCGTCACTTTTGCTGAGAGAAGACGTGAGAAGCGGTCCTGTCCGGGTTCTCTCGCGGTTTCGAGGTATTTGACCGTCGCCAGAGTGGCCTGGCTTCTCAGCTCCAGAGGGAGCCGAAGGTCCAAAGAGGACAGGATCACGTCCAGCCCTTCATCGTCGACCAGATGCTGCAGTTTGACCGCATCGACGGCGAGCAAACGCGCGATTCCCTTCAGGGAACGGCCATCCAGGTCATGTCCCGATTCCATGAGCTTCGCAATGAAGAGCTGGAAGAGCTCGCTTTCACAGTGCAAGCGCGTATCCTCCGATGGCCATACGGCATGATCCAAGACCACGGTGTCCAGACAGACAGCCGCGCCATCACCCCGATCGTAAATTTCGTCGAAGAAGGTGGTGACCGAGATCTGGAGTTTGTTCGAGAAGTATTGCCGCACACTGGCATTTTGGCGAACCAGGCCGGAGATAACATCGTCTTGTACCGAAGATAGAGTGTGAGGATCCTGCGCTAACAGGAGCTTGACACATTCCAGAGCCACTTTCTCAGGCGGTTTGAGCCCGTCAGTGCGGAGATAGAGGGCGGCATCCTTTCCCGCACTCTCATCCTTTCCAGTTGCATATCGCTGGCACAGGTCTAACAAATGGTGTCCATTTTCCTCTTCTTGCTGGATTTTGATAATGGCAGCTTTGACGGCGGGGCTATCTGGGGCTAAAGAAAGTGCTTCTCGAAGGTTTCGCGAGGCAGCCTATTGTACAGACCGCAGAGTCAGCGATGGCCCGTACTAGGAAAAGTGCAACCAACGGCAAAGCTGGAATCCACGGAGAAAGGCAAACGGAGTCTGTGTAGGATAGGAACAGCAAAACATACCTCGCGATGACCAGAATCTGCCAGCTCAACAGCCTCCCGGGTCAAATGTACAGCACGCTCTTCGCCTGTCGAGTGAACCATTTCAGGCTTGAGGGGCAGGTGGGTGTTGAGGCGAACGAAAGGGGGGAGGGAGAAAGATTGAGAGGAAGTGATCTGAACAAGACAAACAAGAAACGACGGCAGAATAAAAAGAGAACTTCCGATGATCTTATCTCTGAGTAAATAGGTGACAAGCAACAGAAGCAGTGGCAGTAATTGTAGCAGTGGTAGTTGGAGTAGGAGTAGACGGAGCAAGTTAGCAGCAGCGAGCAAGCACAGCCAGTACTTCAACCCACGGCCTCCGAGGTGACAGTCAACCAGCAAGGAACACCAGCAATCATGGAGATTTATAAAGGATACGATGACTGTCCTGGTAAGCAGACTCTCATAGAGACCGGACAGTAATCAGCGATCAATGGGTTAATAATAAAGATGATGATGATGATGATGATGATGATGCTCATGCAGTAGAGGAGAAGGGTGTGTCAGTATATTTTTTTTTTTTTCTCCCTCTTGCGATCATCATGATTGCTTGAACCCATGAAATTATGACCGGGGGGGTGGGTGGGTGGAAGGGCGGATTTGTTCGCCTCCCAGACAAGGATGTAATTTTGGCCGAGCTCATATTACCTAGATGGTACATGTAATACAGGCTGTCGGAGCTCCGAACCGACCACAAATCGACAAAACAGCCACGATATGACGGTACTCATACAAGCATTTACATACGGGCAGCGGCGGATAAGTCGTAATTAATTAATTCATGATACGTACATTATTTTTTTTTATTTGCGACTCGGCGGAGTCGGCGCGCACCCCCTCCTTAGCAGTTAGATAACAGCAGGGCAACTGTTAACTCCGGAGTATCCTGGGGCCAGATCTTACTACAGCGCTCTAAGTTGCCTACTTACCTTTTATTCCATCCCATCTCATCTCATCTTGCATCATCTCAGTTGGTAATAAGCTATTCTGCTTCTCTGTCATAGTCCTCTCTATCGAAATATACACAACAATACATACATCTCCGTCATCTCGGATAAGAATACTCTTCATTCCATCCGGGTCGTACACTATGGAGATCCCTCTCTTGGCAGCACCGCAGCAGAGGATATAGCGCCTCGCTTGGTGGAAAGAAACCAAAGCCCATCTAAGACGCCTCTGGCCTAGCTCCGCCGATAATCATCAAACCAGTATCTAATCGCAATCAGCTTGATTATTCAAACCTTGGACTTTTGGGAAAGATAACAACCCACACCAACCACAGAAGCCAATAACCGCACGTTGTCCACCGAAACTTCGGTTCCTCCACGCCCACATGCCGAACACCATAGGCTCTTAGGGTCTCCCTTTCAAGACGCTCGCAGCCTCGCAGCCTCGCATCCTCCGTACTCCGTAGTCTGTACTCAAGAGCCAGACACGCATGGACTACGGAGCAGTCTTTCCTTGGGGCTGGTCCGTCGCTCCGTCGGCACTAAAGGGCAAAGGCGTGCATAAGTGCATCTTCGAGAGCTTCCAAGACTTTCTCTTCCAAGAAATTGGGCTAGGGTGCTGCGGAACTAGTTAGTGCCTGTGACCTCTGCATGGTATGATGGTGACCGTGCAGGGCTCTCAGTGTCTTGGCTTATACTCCTTGATCAGGAGGATCTACGCGGGTCGCGGGCTCGCGGCTTTGCGTTCTTGTTACTTGTACTCAGATCTGACCCCGTTGTACGGTAGAAACGGAAATCATCTACATGTCCGTAACTCCGTGAATCCACCGTCCATCGTCTATAGATAGTCCATAGATAGTCCATACGGTTGTTGATTTCAAACACCCCCAGGTGTCCTCCAAACCCTGTACACAGTATACACTCTACACTGTGTGACGATGACCATTATTATATTTATGTATATGAATACTGTGTATATATAGATATATATATATATATATATATCATACCAAGTGGAGAACGTACTTTCCTCCGTATTATTATTATGCAGGAATGCAAGATCAATGAGACATGGATAACTAGGTACGGAGTAAGGTAGTGGCTTACTGATGGTATCATGGTACTGTATTATTGTTTGTACCTTTCAGCTCTGGTAAATTCCCACCGAACACCAGCTGCATCAAAAGGCTTGGCTTGTACCGCCGAGGTATGCCCTGTATGACTTGTTGCTACTTGGCAAGTTTGTCTACTTGGATCCAAGTCATCCAGCGCGTCTATCTCTGTCGCACAGAGTACGGAGGAGTAGTGATGGGGAAAGCCAAGATTGACTTGTTCGTCGATCGTGGGCTAGCTTGAGCCAAGCTGGTGGTATTGGATTCTGGCAGCCAAAAAGAGGGAAGAAGTGTCTAGAATCTAGAGAAGGACCAGAGGTGGTTCTAGATAGATACCTTAAGGGGTATGTACATCAGTACCTACCAAGCAGAAAACTACTACGTAGCATTTTGTGATCTCGCAGATGTGAAATCGACCTTGTGGTCCCTTCACTCCAGATGTTAGAGTGTACTGAAGCATGGAGAAGCCACAAATGTATTTTGTGCTGTGATATTTCCTTAATATTACTAAATTTCCTCCTTTCTCCAATGTCGAGCCAGTTTGCAGCTCCGCTATCTAGCTGCTGGATGGGAAGTTGGACGGCATGTTTCCACTTAGCAGGTAGAGATGTACTGCAACACTTAAGATTCCTTAGACTAATTCTTGATTAATAATAAGACATTAAACTGGTGAATAGCGTTCCACTCTACGTCGCGCCTATTACAATCATAGCACCCTAGACATATTCTACCTCATCTAAATCAGAGTGGGCATTAACCACTCTAACTAAATAAATAGTGACTTCCCCTCCCCTAATAGCTTTAATACTTTCTATATAATACACTATATACTTCTAAACCCCTCTACATGGCACTCTTATTACTCCAAGATATTCCTAAAGCAGCGTACCACAGCACGCTTCTACTGCCTACCTAACCTACAAGACTTACCTGACACTAATTTCCCACTGGGGCAGCTGTGTAAGTGTCCCTACCCTAGCAGTAAGGTATATGCCACAAAACTCCCCCACTGGGTGTATAGTATGTTGTGCATGCACCACAGGCAGCCCTTACTTCTGCTTGACTTTCACGGAGTTAGCACTTAGCATGCTTAAGATCACTATTACATGCCTATGCACAGTCCACCCTAGTATTCTGCCCTACTTAGAGACACAGGCACACTTCTAGCTTAAATACATAAATCTCAGTTCCCCTGCGGCCAAGGCGGTTTCCCAGGAATCATGGGAGCCAAACACCTTTGGGATACTTACTGTGCAGGAAGTATATAATGTATATACATAGGAAGAGAAGTATTCAGCGCTGGTATGGCAGGCAAGCTGGGAAAAGAGGGGGGTGGTTAAGCTAGATATAGAGGATAGCATGTGGAAGAGTAAGGTGATATGGTGTGGGTGGCTAGATGGTGGGATAGGGGCTGAGGCATGGTGGAGGGGGTGAGAGGGGGAGGTTAGGGGTGAGAAGGAGGTAGAGTCTATAGCTACTATTATAGTGGAGGAGACAGTAGGTGTAGGGCTAGGTAAGTTAGACTTTACAGTGCAGTTGCATGTGTTGCTTAGGGTAATGCGGGCTGCGGTTAAGGAAGGGCAGGAGAGGGAAGATTTTCTAGAGGAGCTGGAGAGGGGGATGGTGCAGAGTGGGAGGATTAAGGAGGATAGGGCAGGAGTGTGGCTGAGGGAGGCTTTAGGGGTTATTGAGCTATATATACGGATATTGGGGGGGGGGGGGTTGTGGCCGGATGCAGAAGAGGAATGGGCGGAGGTGCTTCAGCAGATCCTGGTGGACAATGGCCAGCTCTTTGCAAGGTGGAGGGTTTCACCGCATTTGAAGGAGTTCAATTTCGAGCTGGGTCCGAGGGAGCCTATGTCTTTGACATTTAATTTCGTCCCAGTCATCTTCCAAGAGTATGGACGACCAGGCGAAAAACATTGCGCGCAAATTGTTCTTTCCTGGAAATCCCAGGGCGTCCAGTCTGGCACAATCCCATAAAACAAGACCATATGGGCGAAAGGCTGAGTAACGTACACATCTGAGAGGCGATCCATTATGGTTATTACATCGCCATAAACACTATGTGCCTCGGGATGATCGGCCAAGGTACATATCCAGTTCTGCCTTGTCCCATTCCTCATCTGTCATGGATGTATAATGGCCGCAGCAGTGGCTGAATTCCTCAGAAATTGGACCGGAGAGCAGCCAGGAGTGTAACTTTCCATGGCCACCTGCCTGTTCATCTAGCCATTCAAGAAGAGTAGTTATCTGCTCCACCTGGCCGTCATTATACTTCCATAATATTGTCTTCCAGAACCCTTCCACATTGTCCCCCAGCAATGTCTGTACTGGCTGACCGTCTGTTGTTATAACTGAACACTCCACATGTGTCTTCCGAAGTTCATAGAAAAGCACAACACAGAGTAGACCATGAAACAGGCGTTGCTCCTCAAACCACGTTGCCGGTCCGATATCAACGGGAACATAAGGGATTCCCTGAGGGCGTTGACTACGGTCAACTACACTCGCCAAATTGATATACTTAGTCCTCTTAGGCAAATGCTCCACCCGCAACTTTAAGCACCTAGCAATCATTGAATGAAAGCATGCATGCGCGATTCGTCGCAAGCGGGTCATTAGGGCAAGGAGTTGGCAAAGAATGGCCGACGACGTCGACCTGGATATGGTCTTCTCAATCGGAGACGGTTCCTGGGGGAACCGCTCCCCAACATATCGTAGGGTGCTTAGAATGTGTATGTATGACGCCTCCAGTGGCTCTGCAGCTTCGTCATTCGCCTGCCGGGGCTGTAAATCCAAGGCTTGGGTCCAGACAAGGACCAAGAGCCTGACTGCATGCTGAACATGTGGGAGCAGGCCCCTTTCGCGAGCAGGGTTTCTGATAATCACATCCACAATCACGGCGAACAGATCGGTATTCTCGTGGAGGAATGCCGCGACAACCCGAGATGCATTATGCAACCTATACAGCGAGGGCAAATCTGCGAGATTCGAAAGAATATTTTGTAGGACGAACCAAGGAAGTTGGCTGAATGGATCCATCCCTGTTGCAGTTCTTTCCTGAGTGGTATATAGCGTGGTTTTCAAATTATCAACCAAACTGTCGCTGACTAGGGAAGCGGACCTGGCAGCGCGAGTATCGATTGATAGCCTAATTTCAGCTTGACATCGTTTCCTGTACCGGTACGAAAGGGGAACTGAGAAATCTGGTTTGTTTCCTCCCACCTCCCTGACCGTGATGATGAGCAACATCAAGTCAGCCTCAGTTTGTTAGACATATACTTCTGAAATTCTCTCATACTGTATCAGTCTTCACTCTTCACGCTGTCATTCTGCAAGAATCTTCGGGTGTCTTCACATTCCCTCCAGTTCCAATTGTTCAATTGCACAATGTTGTTGAGAATTCCTCAAATAGGCCTGGCAGCCATCTTCTGCTCCCTCTCTCTTGCTACAGCATCAATCGATTGTCTCTCAAACATCACTTACAATCAATTGGGGTCGTTCAGCGGCGCACCCATTACATTCAAGTTTGGACTGCTTAACGCCACAGCCTGCGGACAATACTGTGAGAAGACGAAGAAGTGTCAGGCATGGTCCTACGTGCAAGGAGGCGGCGAATGTGACCTCTATCCTGCGACTGCTCTTTCAACCTTTTCTATCCGCCAGTTTGTTCATGGACATTGTTCCAATATCACAGGTGAGCAGAGCTAGACGGAAGACCTTGTCAGGATATCCTGTGAGAGGTCCAGATAACTCCACCGTGGGCTCTGACCGACATCCGAGTATGAAGTATTTGATCTATTTAAACTACCACAGATCAGGGGTCTTTCATGTCCAGGAATCATCCTTGTTGCTTTCGTCATCTGATATCCATACCGACCGCGCGCACTGACAACGTGGAAATCCTCAAGTTGATCCAGCCGCCCTCAGCCCTCTACATCAGGCATCCCTCCTTGATGCTCGAGTGCAAATCACTCATTCCCACCCGCACGCGACGGAATCCGCCCTGGTTGCCTGCCTTCCGGTGCTTGTCTTTGCCATCAGCGGCCGGTGACACCCCCCGCGCACCACTCATCACTGGTAGGTCAATCGCGAGCGTCTCTGGGATGCGTTCCAAAGCATAAACCTCGACCAGCCACTCGTACCAGACTTTGCGGTCATCTGTTTGCCGGGTCATGGTGACCACGACCTCTCCGTTATCCGGAACATTGAGCGGCGTCTGTACACTTATCGTCAGTTACTGTAAATGCACCTGCGATGAGGATCGCAGATCTATTCTAGAGTAGGCAAGGCGGGGGTGGGGGCCGCATTCTCACCTTCAAAGGAAAGTAGATTGGGAACCAACTGATCATGTTGGCGCTTTTGTTGTCCATTGTAACAGGGTTGGTCGACAACTCGACGTCACGGTACAGCACCGTCTCGAAATAACCGGCCAGACCATGGCAGACGCCTCGGTTCTGCGTAGGAAAGGAAAGACGCGTCCGCCGCACATTGTGCGAATTAGAGATGGTGGACGTGTACAGCGGCTGAGGGGGGATAGCCCGGTTGGGATGAGAGAAGGACCACGCTGTTTGCACATAAGGGATTGGATCCTCGGCCCCCGGAAGCGTGGATATCGAGGAACGATTCTGGCTAGTATAGCTGTTACTGATGTCACCCGTAGCAGTGGTGGCTGACGGCTGATTGGTGGAGAGGAAATCAATGGCGTGTAGCATCACCACATACGGTGTCTCGGGAGCCGCTGGGTTGGATACGGCTTGATTCATGACATCCGCGTAGAGCTTGGGGGCCGAGATGGGCGTGAAATGGGCGGTGTATGAAGCTGGAATGGAGATACCATGCTCGGGGTTCAGCAAATGGGTAATACCATCCAGACATTCCGGCGATAATTCATTGTCACCAAAAGAACCCAGGAGCTCCGAGATGACGATGTCAATCCGACCGTCAGACGAGCCAGAAGCCGACAAGCCATCAACGGGCTCAGGGGTCGATGGAACATTCTGATCCGACTCGGGTTTGTACAAGAGCGAGTCCTCGATACCAAGGGATTCTCCGATCGGCCCTGAGGGTACTTTGGGGTTGTTTGTTCTCCGTGGGCCTTTCCAGCTTCGCATATCAGACTGCACAAGGGTGACCTTGCCACCCCACAACTCCTCATTGTGACGTTGAAGGAGGACAAAGGCATTGGGATTCTTCTCCACAACCCAAAGGTCGATATCGACGCCTGTTTCTGCGCTGGCTCGGATTGCTCGAGTGACCAACGGCCCTCTGCCGGCGCCCACGACAGCGACAACTACCCGACCATCCGAGTTAGAGGTGGGCTTTTTTTGCTCGGCCCAATCACTCAGGGCTTTGGCAATGGCTCTCTCATACCATTCATACTTGATGGGATCCTTCTCAAAGACTTCGTAAGTAATGCTTTCCAGGTTCACAGTCAGGGGCTGCAATGGTGCCTGCAGATAGTCTTGATATCCCACGCCGAACCTCTCGATGGCCGAGCGAGGGGGCTGCCGCTGTTGGAGGTTCCGGATGTACGACAGATGAGGTGTTGGATCAAGATACTTCTTGTTCGAGGCCGAGGCCTGTGCAAGGCTTGGGTAATCGGAGCCAGACAGGTTGGACGGATTAGTCTCAGAAGCGTCATTCGATTCCACGCCCGGAATAGGGCCGACATCGCAAAGAAGGATCCATGGAGGAGTTCGAAGACGCATGAGCTTGGCAATCAATGCTTGGTGCGCTTTGGATAAGACTGGATAGCCTTTCTGGTTCTTGATAAAGGTGTTGGTGTCCATTGTAAGCAGATGAACCGGCTCGGAATGCCAGCGAGTCTGGACGGTGATTGGAGGTAGATGCTTGGGCAAACAGAGTGCTGTCGGTTTGTTTTAGCAGATTGTTGAGGATAACGAGGCGAACAGAAGCACACAGATCATTCGAGAAATGTAAACAAAAGGAGAATGTATTCTTACCTACGACAAGTCTCGTATGATATTTACAGATTCTTCTAATTACGTCCCAAGCATCCCAGGTACCAAACGGATCCACCTTGAGCGGTTGTCCTCCCTCTGAATCCGATAGGAACTCTTCGCGAGCAAGAGGAGCAAGGTCTCCCATCATGTCAACTTCGAGATCGGGGTTGTCAACCATCCCCAGCCAGATGTGGTATTGAATGTAAGGACCAAGGTTGATGGCATCCTGAATCGCCCTCGCATAGAATACCACGCCTTCTGAGTGCAGACTTCCGTGGTGAAGCTTCGGACCAGGGATCAGGAGATAGCCAACGCCGCAGAAGGCTGCATATGCTACCTCTAACATGAAGACTTGGCGAGAGATGTCTGCAATCAACGGGTCAGGGGAGCACATATCAATCCACGAGCTGGTGACACCCATCAATTGACTCATTGTTTGGTTGGGGGTGAGATGAGTGTCTGCAGGGCCCAAAGGTGGAATGACCACGGGATTCGTATTTTCAGTGGTTGCCAGGGTGCCATTGGGATCGGACGAAACTGCCTGTAACTTGGATAAGTGAGAAGAGAGTAAAGTCAAGACCCGCGAGTGGAAATGAGGCGTGGTAATCGGCGTGGTGAGCATATCATACTAGGATCCCAGACATTAGCAAGGTTAACGCATAGCCTGTTCAGCAGCATCCAACTCCACATACGTTGCTCTCGTGAGCCGCCTGCACAATCTGTGCAGTGATAGGCAATGTGCGATTACGCTCATGCTGGCCAACGCAAAATGCGGGCGCCAAATCATCCGAATTATTGCTGTATGAGTCCATTTTCGCAGTCTGTCTAGAAACCGCTGGTTACAGAGTTTCTAATGTGAGCAGATACCGAAGCTAAGAAGATCAGTGAACGGTAAAGGCTGCCAATTCGGAGCAGATGACTGATTCCCAGGCAAATCAGTAGGCACTGTACGCAGAGCCGCCGAGGAAATTTTTGACTCTGAAAGTGATTGTTGACACGGTACCTTTGTACCCCTGGTAGATATCTGCCCAGAAGATTAGTCCCGCATTCGAGATCGGAGATCGCTAGACAGTCAATGCGGCGTCATGTCAATGCCACTCTAGAATCTCGAAATTCCAAGTTTATCTGAAAAGATGGGCCTCTCTTCAAATCTGTACTGCAATCACTACCAATTGTTCAGAAGAATCTTCTACACGCCCTACTGTTGTCTTCCATCGACTATTCCCTTGCGTGGGGAGGGGTGCGGCAGAATGATCAAGGCGGTGAGCGAAATACCAACAAACCAGCAGTGGCGCGGTCACATGATCAGCGGCCAACTTTCCCTATCGGGGTTAAGCGCTTTTTTTCCGCCATCGCCAAAATTATTCTGCCGCCGCCAACTCAAAAGAGATCATTTGGATTTCGTCTGGCTGCAGTTGCGAGGCGACATTCACTTTCGCTCACCCGATTTGTGTTCGTCTTTCCGAAGCCTTCCAGTCGAGACTCGCCATGGTTGATCCACGCTCAGATTCTGAAGAACGTTCTCGTGCTAAGCGCCAGAAGATGGACAAAACAGAGACAGACCCCCGGAACAATCCTTACCTGGCTCACATGTATGCAGACGAGTCAGCTAATGGCGACTCGGGTTCTTGGACTGATGGCGCGTCCGAGCAGAGAACTACCTTTGCCGGCTTGAAAAGACATCAGACAACAGCGGCACAAGTGAAAAAGGTGGAAGCAGGAGACATCAATCCATTCACTGGCCAGCCGTTCTCCAGCAAGTATTTCTCTATCTTGCAGACTCGTCGTGATCTTCCCGTCCATGCTCAGAGGTAAGCCGCTCAAGCCCTGCTCTCCAGAACTTTGCGCCTGAGATGCTGACGTTTTGCGTGAAGAGATGAATTCCTAGAACTCTACCAGAAGTCTCAGATTCTAGTGTTCGTGGGTGAGACGGGTTCCGGAAAGACCACACAGATCCCCCAGTTTGTCCTGTACGATGATATGCCCCAGACCCAGCGCAAATTGGTCGCCTGTACCCAGCCTCGTCGAGTCGCTGCTATGTCCGTCGCTCAACGTGTGGCCGCCGAGATGGATGTCAAGCTTGGAGAGGAAGTCGGTTACAGCATTCGTTTCGAGGACATGACAAGTTCCAAGACCTGCCTGAAATACATGACCGATGGTATGCTTCTGAGAGAAGCTATGCATGATCATGACCTTACGCGCTACAGCACGATCATTCTTGACGAAGCTCACGAAAGAACCATGGCTACTGATGTGCTCATGGGTCTTCTCAAAGAAGTTGTGCAGCGCCGTCCCGACCTGAAGATCGTTATCATGTCTGCCACCCTAGATGCGCAAAAATTTCAGCGCTATTTCAACGATGCCCCGCTTCTGGCGGTCCCCGGTCGTACGCACCCTGTCGAGATCTTCTATACCCCCGAGCCCGAACAAGATTATGTCGAAGCCGCTATTCGCACGGTCCTCCAGATCCATGCCACAGAGCCCGACGGTGATATACTACTGTTCTTGACTGGTGAGGAGGAGATTGAGGACGCTGCACGCAAGATCGCCCTAGAGGCGGATGAGATGGTGAGAGACGCCGACGCTGGTCCGCTGAAGGTATATCCGCTGTACGGTAGTTTGCCTCCGCACATGCAACAGCGGATTTTCGAGCCTGCTCCTCCTCCACGCAGACCAGGCGGTCGCGCTGGCCGAAAGTGTATTATCTCGACCAACATCGCCGAAACATCTCTTACCATCGACGGTATCGTGTACGTTGTGGACCCCGGATTCTCGAAGCAGAAGATCTACAACCCGCGCATTCGTGTCGAATCGCTGCTGGTGTCTCCTATCTCCAAGGCTTCTGCTCAGCAGAGAGCCGGTCGTGCGGGTCGTACACGGCCCGGAAAATGCTTCCGTCTCTACACCGAGGGCGCCTTCAAGAAGGAGTTGATCGATCAGACTTACCCGGAGATTCTCCGTTCCAACCTTTCTTCGACAGTTTTGGAGCTGAAGAAACTTGGTATCGATGACCTGGTTCATTTCGACTTGATGGATCCCCCCGCTCCTGAGACACTCATGAGAGCCCTGGAAGAGTTGAACTATCTGGCTTGTCTTGACGACGACGGTAACCTCACACAGCTGGGTCGTCTTGCCTCAGAGTTCCCTCTCGACCCCGCTCTTGCCGTAATGCTGATTAGCTCTCCTGAGTTTTACTGCTCGAACGAAATCCTTTCCATTACGGCTTTGCTTTCCGTTCCCCAGGTCTTCGTTAGACCTGCATCACAGCGAAAGCGCGCCGACGAGATGAAGAATCTCTTTGCTCATCCCGACGGTGATCACCTGACTCTTCTGAATGTCTATCACGCCTTCAAAAGCCCGGAAGCTCAAGAGAACCTCAAGCAGTGGTGTCACGACCATTTCCTCTCGCTCAGATCCCTCCAATCGGCAGATAATGTGCGCATGCAGCTTCTGAGAATCATGGAGCGCGAGGAGCTGGAAATGATCTCAACCCCTTTCGAGGACAAGAAGTATTATGATAACATTCGCCGTGCGCTGTGCGCTGGTTTCTTCATGCAAGTCGCCAAGAAGGAAGCTCAGGGCAAGAGTGTCTACACGACCATCAAGGACAACCAGAACGTTCTCCTTCACCCTTCGACTGTTCTTAGCTATGATGCGGAGTGGGTTCTTTACAACGAATTCGTGCTCACGACGAAGAACTATATCAGAACTGTTACTGCGGTAAAGCCCGAATGGCTCATCGTATGTTGCTCATCATTTCTATTGCTACTTACCAGAAGCTAACTTCATTCCAGGATATTGCCCCAACGTATTATGACGTCTCGAGTTTCCCCAAGGGCGAGATTCGGTCTGGCTTGCTGCGTGCCGCAGAGAGGCTGTCGCGTAAAGAGAAGATGCGTGCTGATTCTGGAAAGAGACGATAGATCGTTATGATTTTTTTTTTCTTCAAGAATACATAGATTCCCCTTCTTTCTTCTTCTTTGAAGGTCTTTTCACCCCTCGTTTCTAGAAGTAGACTTGCCGAAAAATGCACTGTACATGCGAGGCGTTATTGGTTTTCATGTCACTTATGGGATACAAGCAATATTACAGCTAGAATATGAGGACCTGTGAAATCGACGCCGAAAATGACCGCTACTGAGGCCATAAACGGCCGCATTTCCACCTGTAATTTCCCTCAGTGAGCTGCCACTTTAGCACTCAAGCACATGCTACACACCACTATCCTACACCCGCCAAGCATTATTTAGTCACCATCCTGAGGTGACAAAACCTTAGTGAGCATTTACTCTATTTTAACTCACAACCAAAAGTGACGCCAAAAATGGCCTCCTCTGCAGCCAGATCCAGCTGCCACCAGTTCAACTAGATTACCCAGATACTGTATAAAATGCCGCCCATCCTCAGTCTATTCTTTTTCTTTTTCACACCCTTTCTCCTTCTTCCTAGCTTCATGGCTTCCACATCAAACCGCAAGTTAATCACTCTTAAATCACTTCCAGAAAATAATCTCCTTTCACTTATATTCAGTTCTGTTTATTAATATGTCACCGCCTTACCCCCCTCCCGCAGATCCTAATGAGCATCAGTACTGGACCAACCTAATCCTCTGTGAAGAAACTTAAGTTAGGCTTAAGCATTTCTGCAGTCTTGGATAGCTTCCTCTGAACTTCAAGCCCAAAATATTAGAAGGTCTTGCAGTGGTTAAGAGATACTGGTGAAGGTACCTATACATCTTCTCAGACTGCTCTAGATATTATACATCATTAATATATCCCTAACAGATTTTGCATCTATTCAAAAGAGGACTACATGGAGTATTTACTCTTAGAGGACTAAATAATCTACATGAATTTTTTTAATTAGATGTACAGGACCTCACGAGAGAAGCTTCTTCAGTCATATAATAAATACTGGCAATAACTTTATTAATACTTCAGTCTGTTTGCACGGCGTTGTCTAAACAACAATGTCTATAAATAGATGCAATAGGTATGTTAGTTTATTCTTAGCCCTAATAGCTCCACTATTAACATCAGTAATAGTTCCTGAATTAAGTATTCCCTGCAGAGCAAAAGATCACCAGGCATATAAAGAAGAAGGATACCCTTAACATAGATGTCTTCTATATCTTATATTGCCATCACTAGATACATTCAAGATTTTTCCATCATGGGAGTATGATTATTCAATTTGCCATAGTACAGCTCTAGTCTGTCATCACTAGAACACGACCGGGTGTACTGCTCCCTCAGAAAGCTTTCTAAACTAACCAGAAGTTGTCCCTGGGTAAACGCAAAGGCGAGCAAACTTTTCAAAGTAACCTTCCCAAACACATTTCAGCCACCAATCTTCCTAACTCAGTCTGCTACCGCGATATTAAGCTCTTTTATCTTAAGGACCTAAATAGCAAGCGTGATGTCCTTTATGCCATTATTAAGTTTCACAATCTCAAAGGCCAGCCAGAAGGCGCTGACAGGTAAGCAAATCCATAGATAGCTAGTTGCTGATGCTAATTATTTTTCTCAGAACTAAATTCTTCATGCATAGTGATTATCAAATAGTGTACTGCCTAATCAACTAAATTATTTTGCTTGCCTTCTGTGATGGGGCTTTTCTCAATGATTTGACTCCAGAACTGATATAGCAGCTTTAAGTTCCAAAGTGCTGCTAGTCTCTTCCCCTCTGATGGAAGCCTGAGATCCTTAATACCCCTCTTCTTTAACATCTTAAGCGCACTCCATACAGCTATGAGCTCCATAAGTCATTACTAATAATATATAACTTAAGCCGACAAGCACTCAATGAGCTAGGTCAAGATGCTAGGTTTAAGGATAATATCAGCTATTATAACTACTGATGCTAGACTGTAAACAAAGTTAATTATATGTACCTAATTGTGGAAAGTAGCTTTGCTAGATAATAGAATGCTCAAACTATATCTAACTTGATGTTACAGGGAACTTCACAAGTCAGGAGCAGCAAAGAGTGCTAGGCTAATCCAGCAACACTATTTTTAAAAAGCATTACTAATCATAGTTTATTAGCTGTGATCTCCAGCATGTCATCCTTCTCTAACCCTCTTAGGAAGGTCTCCTTTAGGTTACTAAAAGCATGCTCAGGAAGAGAGACCCCCTTGCCCCATCTAATCTTACTAACATGCAGAGACGTGCTATTTGCTAAAACCTAAAAATCCTAGAGCTTAGATAAGAGCAGAGGGAGCTAAAGGAGGAGATGTGGTTGCTAGCTAGTACAGTAGCTAAAGCTCAGGTGGCATTCCCTCATCTACATTAAAGATATGAGGCGGTTAAGAAAGAGCTCTCTCAGCTAAGGAAGAACCTAATAAAAAATACCTAAGAGATAGCTAGAAAGGAATATTTTCAAAATAAGCCTGTGCTCGAAGTTGACAGACAGATTAAGTAACTCCTTAGCCAGTCTGAAGCTAAAGATTATAAAGTTGGCAGCTCTGATAATGAAGACTGAGATATTCCTATCCCAGAATATATTTTCCCTGAGCGAGCACGCCTTGTTGAGAATTTCTACAGGCTAGAAGCAGAGGACTATAATGAGGATAAACTGCTTATATGATGTATCCAGGTCACTAAGGACATGGTTACGCTCTTGCAGCTGTGTGAGCTAAATAGGCAGGGTAACTGAGTCAACTGGGATACTGTTGATGATGATGATGACAATGATGATGAATGTGAGAAGTTAAAAGAACCTTCACCTCCAGAAGAAGAGTCCTTATAATATCTAACAGATGTTTGCATTATCTGTTATGGTCTCTCCTGTTGCTCAGTGTCTAGTCCTCCTCCACATAAATTTCCCTCTAAGTAAAAAGATTCCCTTTGTCGCCATCTCATTAATTTTCATCTCAACCATGTGCATGATGGAATAAGCTACATGTGGACAGCCTGCTGTGATATTCCTAAGTTCACTAAAGTCACTAAGTTCTTAGCTCATGCTGTTAAAGTACACACATATGACATCCATATTAAACTGCACCACCTCACAAAAAGACCTTAGCGTGCGGGCAGCAATACGTTGTCTGTTAACAGTAGAATAGCTTCTTTTAAATCCAATGGCCAGTCAGGCACCGACACTCCCACTTCCTCTGTCAATCTTAAGATGGCAAATATCAACCCACACTTATTAGAATCTCATGAACCCACCACTATGGAGCCTCCACTGCATTGCTCAAAGAGATTGCAGCCTGAATAATAGCGCAGGGTGATATCTAGTATACAGTTATTATAACCTGAGCACAAAGCTCTGTTAAGCCTGGGCTCTGTGGGTTCTCTTTCATTTTATAGAGTATATCTATTTAGCATCTACCCTTGTATATAGCTAGCCTCAGGTACCTTCCAAATGCACATTATATTCTTAGAGTTACTCACTTCTAAGTCAAGTCTGTTGCAATGATTAGCAACGCACCAGGGTATTAGTCCCTAGTGCCATGTAGCATAAACTCACCGTGGTAAATGGAGGTCACTAGGCTCTAAATTTGCTTTGCCTTGGGCCAAGTACATTTAAAAGCTAGATAAGAGCTGGCTGAGCCAGCCACTGTCAGTATAGGTATTGGTGCCTCAGGCTTTCCTGCAGGACGGATGAATGGATAAATGGAGACTCCAGAAGGTTCTCAGTGCCAAAGTCTAGTAGCTGCGCTCAGGCAAAAACCAATGTTTATTAATTATTAAGTTTAATTTAGAAAAGTAGTAAGGGGTTTGGGATTAATTCTTTGCTTCTTTTATCAAGTCTTAAAAGTAGATTTTGAGGTTTTGTAAATGTAAATGCATTGATAACTTAGGCTGAGGTAGAAGGGAATATTCATAGTCATCTATCACCATCCTTAAACTTTAAGGACATCGCCAAGCCCGCATTACAGGCTAGTCTTTTAGGCAATAGTGTTTCATGTTAGTGCTTTCTAAGAGTATTATACTTCTAGTGAGATGCTTCTATAGTTGCTGTATTATTTACATTCTGACCCTTTATCTAATCTCTCTTGCTCTGCCTGGGATTTCATTAGTTGATCAGGGTATTCATTTAAGGCGTATTATGGCCTGCCAGGGATGACATCTGAAGACCTATCTGGACCTGATATCCACCAATCATATCTTGAGAAGTAGACATAATAGAATAAGAACTATGGAATACCAGCCCACTGTCTGTCTTGCTGGTAGGCCCTATTCTCATGAAGATTCAGTAGTTTTTGAACTCTTCCTCTAAATCAGGTGAGAAGCAAAGTTTTATGAATGCAAGATTTTACAAGTCCCAGAAGATACATTCCAGAAACCCAAGATATGATGTGCTGATTTTAAAGGTTTAAAAGGAAATATGCCCCCTGAGGATCTGTGCCACAGCTATAAATAGAGAGCACTTATGGCTAAAGATTAAATCTGCACAAGCTAACTACAGGTCAAGGCTGCAATTGGGATGAACCTAATATGGATTTCATCAAATTCAATGGGAGCTTGTGATGGATGAAGAAATAATAGCATCTATTGCATGGTATATTAAACTTTAAGTAGAGGGATTAAGACATCTGTCATAGGTTCCATGTCAAAATTGGTCCATAAGCATCAGATCAGTAGCCCACGTAGGCAGTGAACTATTTAGGACAGCAGTTGGCTATCCACAGGCCAAGCTGGCTCATGGTCCGCGGCCTATGGTCCGGCCAGGATTGCGGATGACTGTTCTAAGGACAGGGGCCAAAGTCAGTGGATTTCAGTCCCTGGCCAATAGGCTTTAGCTTAAAAACACCTGCTTGTGCGCACTGACTCTGCTGCGGTATTGCCCTATGGCCTGATTTGGCTTGTAGCCATTGGCTTTTTGTTGTTCCTGGATATCCGTCTTTCAATCACTGTCTATATGGGATTGTCTATCTAGTGGGCTTATTATCTCAGACTTTTATAGTTTTTTATTT